AGTCATGACATGCAACTCTTGTAACCACAGGACATTGCCATGCTAAAAAGGTTTGACAGGTGATCCTACTACGTCAACACAAAACTTGCAATACCTTGCATTCCAAACAAACCCTCAAATGAAAGTGGCACTTTTACGTCCTGGACCTGAAGCACTGCGAGCACTGCGGTGACATGAACTTTGGCCTGGTGTCAAGCTGAATGTATTTGTCGTTGATGTCTCGACCACACTTGAACTTCAACTCTGATCCCTCAGCAGTCACATGGATGTACCGCGTGAACTTGTTGCGAAACAACGGGGCGTCATCCCCAAAACTTGCATCATCAGGTCCAGCTATCTCGTTCCAGGTACCAACTACATGGTCGACTGCCTTCTCAGTGGTTTCATGCCCTATGTGGGCGTCTTCATCATCCTGTGAATCTTCTGAATCAGATGAGTCGCTCAACGTCTCAGCAGACAGCTCTGGAGGATCACGTCCCTCATGCCCAGCTGCATCCATCACAAAGTATCCACTACGTGTATTATCTGGTTGAAATTTCAAACCACGAATGTCCAGTAGAATCCCTTCCAGCACACGCAGCGGTGCAGCTGCAGCATCCCTTGAATAGAGAAGTGTCATTTTCTCGCTGCTCGCCATGTGGTACCCAAGGTGACGCCTAACATCTATAGGCGCTCCATACTTCGCCGCCCAGGACAAACACGTGGTCTTGAGGCTGTGTGTGCCAACGTTAGACAGCTGGTCCTGATCAATCCCAGCTGCCCTCAAGAGTTGTCGAAGCCAGTCAGCAGCCTCTCCAGGCCCCAGGGGAGTTCGTGCCCAACCATTGTGAGTAGGGATTGGGAGCATTGGGACCCCATCACCCTTAGGCTTGCCCGCTTCAATGCATGCCCGTTGCCAATTTGAAAACCAATCGATGCCAGACACACCAAGCCGAGGGGCCACCATCGGGAGTAGCATCGTCTTGAGCTCAGTCGTATACGCAGACTTGGTTCTACGCACTCGACCTTCTATATAACCAGAAGGCTCATTGCTGCCAACCACCTCGTCCAGTACGACACTCTCCAAGTTCTGTATGTCTGAATATCGGCCCCTGCAGTACGCACACAAAAGGAAGAACCCTGCTGCTACGCGGTCACGTGCTCGGAATCTTCCATCTCCAGTGATGGCCTCCAGCTTGGCCATCATTTCAACTGTGAGTGGGTCCTTTCTCATAGTTTTGCGCTTCAACAAAAATTGCTCCTTAGCGCACCCTTCTATCCGCCTGCTCTCCAACACAGTTGAGCAACCATCCAAATCCAGCAGATGATGGCAAAACCTCACAGCGACCAAAAATGATCTCAAATAAGTTGGGGCTGCAGTTCCAGCTTCAGAGCACATGTATTGATAGACGACCTTCTCTTCCAAAGGAATAGCTACCAAATGATGGGCGTCACACCAGTGCTTATATCTCAGCATAGGTCCAGCTCGATTGTGAAGGGTCCCTGTGGCCCTACCAGCAAACACATGTTTAAGACCTTCACAAATGGAATGTCCAAGTGGTGTCAGCCTGTCCCATTGTCGGCCAAGCTGAAAATGCTTCAAGTTGTTGACAAGGAGCCCAGACCATTTCCTGATGGCAGCAACACGTTGGGAGTTCAGCATAGACTCCCATGACCTGTCAGTGATGGCACGTTTTGACCTGAAAGTGGTCAATGTCTCTGCCCTATGAGGAGTAGTATCTTCCACTCCTTCAAGTGCAATTTCACGGACGACCACAACACCCGATGGTCTTGCGCAGCTACGGGTTTCAATGTCAAAGGTTCTCAGTGGAGGTCTAGCTTCCCAAATTGGCAAGAAAGTTGATCCCCACACTCGCCTTCTCGCAAATGCAACATGGGATTCAAATGAATCCATGACCAAATCAAGTTGTACCAGAAAAATAACGTCCAGTAAAAATCTTTCCAAATGCATGTACCACACCCTGTCAAAAATTCGCTGTACTGAGGTTCAAGCCAAGCAAATGGTCGAGCAAACGACAGCAGATGCAAAGATTGACTGAGTTTCTATCACACTTCTTCCCCCAAATTCAGCAAATACCAGAGTGTTGTAAAAATGCCAGCAACGAATGCCACAGTGACCAAAAGATATGTCCTTAGGTTGCACCCCAAGGCAAGGACGACCTCTGAAGGTGTAGTCACGGCAACACCCTTCTGGGCAGCAGAGGAGGTCCGAAACCGTGCTGGCATAAAAAACCAAATGTTTTACCTCACCCACCCACCGCTGAGCCATGCGTTGCAGTGGCCATCATTCAAATTTTGAAATGGTCACCATCAGGTGAAGTAAATTATATTTACACAACACATACACACACACACCGTGTCAACACCAATACGTGCACAAATACTAACACGTGCGGACATGCCAGGGCAAATATATGACAAACACACGCACACACACACACCAGGAATACATGCACAAATACTAACATGTGCGGACATGCCAGGGCGAATATATAACCAAACACACACACACTGAGAAATGCATCAAGATACCAACAGAAGGTTTGGTCTCAGCGTCGCCTCTCTTTTCTTTTTTTTTTAATACCCCCAAAAATATTTCGCGACAGTGGTTGTTAGACCAGCGTTTCACTTCCCTTCATTTTTTTTTTTTGGTTGAGGTTCACCTCACCAAATGTGAGGTTCACACCTTAGTGTTAAAAAGGGTGCCAGTGCTGGAGCACAGTCAACCGTCTTTGTCCTCCAGCATCTTTGTGAGTCCGCTGGAGCAGATCCGGTAAATCAAAGTCGATCTGAGCTTGCTGCCAAACTTCGTGCACAAAGCCACCTGCACGAGGTATGACCACATTTGGATAGCTTCGCGGCGACGGCCACAAATCACAGTCTTGTCACATTGCTTGCAGGTCAAATGGCGAGTGTGGCCATTCGCGCCACGGTGGATTTGCTTCTCATCTCCGCCGCAGTAGCTCAGATGCTCGCAGTGCTGGGTCTCTTTCAAGACCATGAAACATTCCGCATGAAAACTTGTATCGGTGAAACTTTTGCTGTCATCGGCAAGTCTTGGTCCATCAGGCACAGCAGGGCCTTTCTTCTCTGTCGCAGTGCATTGGTTCTGAGATCCATCAACCTTGTACTCGTTGGAGTCAGGGACCAGGGCATTCACATGAACTGCAGTGGCGTCAGGGGCTTTGGCATTCTCAAAAACCATGTCATTCTTTGGAACTGCGGAGGGCTTGAAAACTTTGGCATTCTTTGGAGGGATGTCATACCCAGGGGCTGCGTCATTCACAAGGGCTGCATTGGGCTCAGAGTTGGAGTGCACAGGTCGCAGCTTTCCAAAGGATGCAAAACGAACTTCGTTCTCATCTGCAGATTCCAAACTATCGTGCAAAACAAACATGGCATGAGAGGCTTTCTTCGGAGATCCTGACTTCTTCGGTTTCTGACCCTTTCCCTTCCCCTTCGGCTTGAAATTGGGGCATTCTTGATCTCCAACCCAGTGACCTCGTTGGTTGCAAGAGGTGCAGGTTGACATGCTCTTCAGAAACTTGATGGCGTTCTTCCGGTTCTCCTTGGCCTTGGTGTCGAACTGGATGTCGCCATGAGCTTTGAACGGATAGCTATGGCTGCTGCCACTGGACTGTGGCTTCTTCTTCCCAGAACCCTTCTTCTTGGCTCTGAACTGAGCCACAGTTGCAAAGGCTTCCGCAACATGCGGATCATCCAGCGATCCACCACATTCTTGAATCAAAGCATCAAGGCCATCGTCGTCGCTGTAGGCGAGGTAGCTGTCATCTGCTTCGTCGTCCTCGGCCTCAGCGTCATCATCTTCGTAATATCCATCGCCATCATATTCAGGCTCATCATCTTCGGCCTGATCATCAGCCAGGAAGGCATGTTGCTTGAACCTGCCCTGACCGACCTTCCACTTGGCCGATTTCATAGCGCCATGTTGACCACCTCCACGTGCACATCCTAGATAGTCACGTCGAAACACTGGCTTGCCACTGATCTGAGGAAACTGGATCCTCAGCGCATGGGAGACCTTCTTGAAGTCGTACTCGTTTCCAACAGAAGCCAAAACTCCTCGCTGTTCACGTTGATCCAATCCGCTGAAAGTCAGCAGCATCATGCACCTCAGGTTGTCGCTGACGGTGGTCTCTTGGGAGGACTCCTTGAGACGAGCAAAGTCCTGCTCCCTTCTGATGATATACTGCTGCATGCTTTCTTGCGGTTTTCTCCAGACATCAGCGCTGTAGAAGGCAGTGAAGAAGAGCTCGTTAATCTTCACTGGCGTCTCAGCTGCTATGCTCTCTTTGAGAGTCTGAATCAACAACTTCATTCCCCCTTCAGTGGCTTTTCCTTCAGCAGTCGCAGTTCGGAGCTTTGAGTGCTCCAGCTTTCTGACAGCTTCGTATGCGTGGCCTGTTAGGCCTGAGCGAAGGTGGATCGGAGTGGACACCTGGGATTCTTGACCTTCTCTTCCAAAGTACAAGTCCCAGGCACGCTCTACATATTCTTCAAAAGCTTCCACTTCGCCAGCATACTGAGGAACTCCGTATCGATCGCAAATGATCTTGGAGGCAGTAGAGGAAGTCATGGGAGGTTGTAGACACCTTCAATGGTGAAGTTCCAACCAGTAGTAGGAGGCTGGTGCCGCAGGGCTGCCAGCAGGTCGCACAACGAGCGCAAGGGGCTGGAACCTTAGGCACCAGCTAGCAGAGGCCCTGAGTGAACAGGGCTCCGCTTACCATCAAAATCCCGGCAGCGGCGTGCGGGAAGTGAGGCACCTTTTTCTTTGGGCAAAAGAGCGCTCTGGGATGCGCATGGAATGTCTGCAAGACTGAATGCTGCAAAGGTGGAATGCTATGTCACTGCTGTTTCACATGCAGTTTCACATATAATGTTTCATTAATATGTCATCATACATAGGATGTTTGACAAATCCTTTGATGATCCTTAATGATCAAATCCCCACAACATCAACTGTTTTGACGTCTAGCCTGAGCTGCAAATCCAGTGGGCTCCGGAGCTGCTTTGGCCGAACTTGGACGAGGGGTTCCCACCGCTGGCGTGCCGGGCAGGAAGCTGGGGATGGCCGGAGACGGGCTGCGGCTGCGGCTCCGACTGCGACTTTCCTTTGGTGACTTGGACTTAGAGGTGGCAAACAGGACTTACCATGGAGAGGCTTAGATATCTTAGATAGCCTGGATATATACTCACATTGTCACATATCCAATCATATTTCCGATATATACAGTGTATATATATATATATATATATATTTCTGGATGTATACAGTGTCATTCGTTTTGGCATGCTTTGGCATAACATTTCAGACAGATACGCCTCTGAAAAAAATAATCAACATATATCAAATAATAACCCACCAAAGCAAGGTCCACCCAGCTGAAAACAAAGAAAACATTGCAGTACCAACTTTGCAAATGAAGTTCCTCCCTCTCCGCCACCAGGATCTCCAAGGGTTCCAGGTTCATCAGCGATTCCAAGAGTTGCGGTGGCAGGCCTTCTTGCAAACTGGGCATGCGGGCCCCACGCGTCACGCTGGTGATCAGGTGAATGAAGCAAAAGAACTCATGGTAGGTCCTTCAATAATGGTGACTTCGCCAGCGACCATGTCACACATTGATCCAGGTTGAAAGACTTTTGGAGCAAATCCACCATCCAGCACTAAAATTTGACGAGCTTTGGAACAACCCCATATAAAAAACATTTCAAAACCACACATATAATCATAGCGCATGTTAGCACATGTTAGCACGTTCAAAATGTTCAAATAAGCCGATGATTTGCCAATGCATCAGTGCCATCAAGGATCAACATCCCGTCACGCTCGACATCTGAGAGACCCCAAGCAGTCTCCAAGGTTGTGGGATCCAGTCCTCTCGGCACAGCAACCGTGTTCACTATGCCTGATGGTGAATGTTTACAGCTATGTTTAGCCTAAATACGTGCGCAGCAGCGCATGATACCAGTGTGTTTTCCTGGAAAGCTTTGAAACATTCATGACCACTGCCAGCCTTTTACTTAAAACGCGGGTAGAGGTGGTTGGAATGGGGCCTGCAAACATTTGCAATCTCCTGAACGCTGAGCCAACTGGAAAGCTTCGCTTTGACTGATGAAGCCGTCTTTGTCCCAGTCGGTTCGCTCGAACAACGACCTTAGATCTGGAGAAGAGTCGGACACTTCTACCGGAAACTATTGGGGACATGATGGGATATGAATCGGAATAGCACAATAGCACTGAAAGCACCACAAAATACCGAGCAAAAAGCTGTCCACTTCAGTAGGCAAGTCAGGGTCAGGATCTCAGCGCCCAAACCTACGTTTGTAGCCCCCGGCTGAACCACACAAAGCTCAACCGATGAGGACCAAACAAATTAAGGACTTCTATGACTTCTATGAAGCTTCACAGGCAGGTTGCCATGAATATATGAATTGACATGAATTGACTTCATCCCGGGATAGTACTGATTCACACGGTACAATATTCATGCATTGATGAAGAAGTTGCAAGAACATCAGCAGCAAACAAAAAAGTCGCTTGGCCATTCGTCAACATCAAGTTTCCACAAAAATGCTAAGATCAAAGATAATCAAAGAACGACTAAAACCCACTTGACCCCAACAAGACAAAGAAAAACCAGATCAAACAGCAAAATGCATCAAAATGCATCAAAATGCCACGTAACGCCATCACTTCATCAACACTTCCTCCAAAATCCTCCAATTGTTGTTGCCTCCGCCACCGAGGCGCGCATACTTCCGCTTCTCCCGGCGCGAGGGCGCCCATCGCGCTTCGGTGAAGGTGCGTTGTTCGTGTCCTCGAGGGGTGCCACCAGGCGTTGGACCCGAGAGAAATCCGGGCATCGGAGAAACGCTGCGGCTGCGACTCCGGCTCTCCTTAGTGACTCGTGGCAAAGGATGGACACTTCGAAAAGACATGATCAGGTTGTTGGTATCTAAGCTGAATGCGTGGTGTTGTGTGGTCAGGTTTGAATCCCATTCATAAGTCAAGCCAACATTCCACCTTCAGCCTTTGGAGAGCCGAGTAGAATCACTATAGAAAAGCAAAAGCCTTGCCAACTTTGCAAATGAATTTCCTCCCTCTCCGCCACCAGGATCTCCAAGGGTTCCAGGTTCATCAGCGATTCCAAGAGTTGCGGTGGCAGGCCTTCTTGCAAACTGGGCATGCGGGCCCCACGCGTCACGCTGGTGATCAGGTGAATGAAGCAAAAGAACTCATGGTAGGTCCTTGGGCCAAACAGCCGGCTTCACCTTTGGATTCTTGGGCGCGATCTGCCCTGACTGTGGTTGTCTGAAAACGGGGTACCCAAAAATCCCATGCTTAATCACCATTTTCCCCATTCTTTGTGTCTCCATCAGTTTCGGACAATCAGCCGATCCAAGGGTCAAGGTCCCATCTCGATCAACATCAGACAGGCTCCAGGCTGTCTCCAAAGTGCTGGGATCGAGTCCTGGTGAGATGGGGATGGGGATGAAATAAACGCAGCAATGGACAGCAACTCCAACAATTTGGATTTTGCGGGCTATGTCTTTTGCGAGGCCCTAGCAGGAACAGCACAAACATAGCCAATGCCAAAGGGATCATGTGATACAAATGACATGGCACGAACATCATTAGCGTCACTAGTCTTTCATAAACAGTTGGCGAATGGTTGACTTTGGGGCATCAGCTTTGTTCAATAAGCCCCCTCCTGAACGCTGAGCCAACTGAAAGGCTTCACTTTGGCTGATCAGGCCATCATAATCCCAGTCCGATCGCTGGAACAAAGACCTCAGATGGGATCTAGGGCACGCATGGGCACGGATCAACATCCTCAGCGCCATGAACTCACGATTACCCACTGATTACCCAAAGCATTTTTAGTGCACTCAACTTCAGGGATGTCAAACTCAACCTGTTTGTTGGGAAGGTTCAATGGAATCAATGGGCATGACCATGTTGAGGGAGGGTCAAAAATGTCGGAATGAACGCGTCATGTAAAGACTGTTGACCCCCACGAAACCCAGAAACCAGCAATGAAACACTCTTGGCTATAGCTATCTCCCCAATTGATGGCGATTCAATTCCCATGATAAACTTCCAGACAAATTGTGAACATATTGCCAGCCATTAAAATGTTGGTGAATTACACTTCTTCCTGCTTCATCCGCATGATTGTGGTTCAATCCCAGAATCATCATGACCATTCAGAACCATTCTTTGACATGTTTCATCAGTTTCATCCATATTATATACTGTGATAAACCCAACGATAAACCAACCATTGGGGGATGTGTTTTTTTTGTGCAAATTTATTGCAATTTTTCTATGCATTTATGGTAATTTTGTGTATGTATTATACTACATCATTGCATATCAGTATTGGCTTTACAAACGAATGGATGGTTGTGGATGGTTGTGGATTATGAATAAATCATGATTAGGTCATTAGTCCATAAACAATAGCACTATGATTCCGATTATGCAAACATCAGTAATAAATCATGAGTATCATTAAACTTGCATATGGATTATAAGATAGTTTGTAGAACCATTACCCAGTCCATATGGATTATCAGTACTATTAGTATAAACCTTATATAACTTGAAAACACCATTACCCAAATGGTATTACCCATTTAATCGATGGGAATTTCAGGATCCTAAATTGGAGGTACCTACCATATATAAGGCCTATTTTTCAGGCCTAAATTTCAGGGAAGATCCCCACAAAATATGGCCTGAAATATGGTACTAACGTACCTCCATTTTAGGATCCTGGAGATCTCCCATTGATTTAATTAACCATTCGGACCATTCCCCAATTTTCAGTGCTGCATGTTCCACTCGACCGAGCCACGCGTATTTCCGCTTCTCGCGGCGTGAGGGCGCCCAGCGTTCCAAGGTGAAGCTGCGACGTTCCGGGGAGCGGCCGCGGGTGGCGCTCATGGCCGTGAAATCCGTTGTGGTGGATGGAAATGACATGAAGGTGGTGATACACACCAACGTACACACACATATATATATATATATATATGTAATCATATCATATCTATAAGTGAATGTGCTGGGGGATAGTAGTGGTGATGGTGATGATGAGGAGGGTGGTGGTGGTGGCTTTATATACATCTGCGCGACTCGTTGCAACTAAGTGGGCGTTCATGCTTCGAGTATCTTCCAGTGTTTGAATGTCTTGTAGTGGCACGTCTTTGCCTGCCAGTGCTGGATGCTTCCTTAGTATGGCTTTTTGGCACACCATATCATATGGGTTTGCTGGAAATGTACCAGTTTTGTACCAGCTTTTGTAGCACCTGCAAATCTGATCAGCCTGGTGCCCGTGAAGACAAGCCAGCAACATCACCTTGACGCGTCGCCCCCAAATTTCATGATGTGTAGTTAGTAATGATATTTCATACTTTATCATACTTTATCATCATCTTTCCCCATGAAAACCGCCATAAAATCATGAAGGGGTCTCCCCATTTTTGGGCAAACCCCACATGGTCTTCCTGATTCGCACCTTCGAGCTTCAAGCTGTGCCATTTGATGCCCACCACCTGCCGGACAGGATTCCTGGATACAACCCCCCAACTATACAGTAACATCTAATCTAATCTAAAAACAACGTCATATAAGCAAAAAACATTTTTTTACAAAATCATACATAACATCGAATGATAGCCGCTTCGGAGCATAATATAAGTATAATACACACATCTGAAATAGGACTATCCAACAATATCCAAGCATCATCTTAAAATTTGTTTCACACAAATGACTTGATGACTTGCCATGTGTGTGGCCATGGGTTGTTGCCTCACCTGTTTCCCCTCCTCCACGGCATGGTGTTCGCCACGGTCTTCCGCACTGCGGCCCGCGATGCGAAAGGCCTGATTCTCTGCCATGGAAGTGGCTGAGATCATTTTTTTTGGCAGGAAAAGCTATGAAAAGGTCCATTTTATAATAATCCCTTACTGGTTCATTGGTGGAAATATGTGGACATACTAGTGAAACCTAATATGATACTCCGAAAATTTATGGAATACATCTACTTCCTCTCAAGCTGTTTTTGTAGCTGAACGGGGGCCCATGAACCATCCAAACTAAGGTTGGCCCATGTTGGCCCAGCATTGGACACTCCTTTATTTATCACTTGCCATCACTTGCCCAAAACGCCAGTGGCAATCCCGCGCGACATCCCCAAACGCGACCTGCCTTACCCTTAGAGGTGTACAGGACCTCGGCTGCAGCTGCGGGGATCGTCATTGCGTCAGCGGATCTGGTGAATTCTCAATAGCAAAACCCGATTGAAGCCGTGCTGGTTACATCTGGTCACCTCTAGGTTAGCATGATAATAATGTGTCATACTTGTATGTTTGACATTATTTGACATCCTTTTGGTGAGCTCGTTTAAGATTGCTATTGAAATCTATTGAACACATCCAGGATGACCTTAAAATGTTGGGTGGTTCTATAACCACAAAATCACCGGAATGTCAATGATTCAATGGAACCATAGCACCCCTAACCACAAAAGAGAGCAGGGGCCAACCCCATGGTAGAGCAAATTGCCAATTGAATCCAAAATTGAAATACTAACTACCTTTAACATCCATCAAAACCCATTCAAATTCAGTAACTCTCAATAAAATTCCCAATCTTTTCCCTACAACCCCCTTCCTCCCCAACCTACATGCCATGCACATCCTTGAAAAGGCCATCGCTGCCAAGGTTCCAATGACTTAGCGATTTGACCTCGCTCACCACCAAATTGGTGATCATGACATATCATGACATCTCATGACATATCATAACATATCATGACCCAAAAAATGCACGCATCTCTGGGATATTCTTCTAATTGGGTCCTTAAGTCTGGCTTCCCAGAGCCGCATCTGAGTGCCAACTGTTACCCAACTCTTGGGTCACGCCGATAATGTACTCTGATGGTCCATGGCAGGTGCCTTGGCATCCACAGTGACATATCTTGTATGTTGATGCGATTTAACGTCAGCCCGTGCACGGGTGCTATCAATATATAAGAAGGATGAAAAGAGACTGAAATATCAAGCGAATTCAAAAACACAGAGAAACAAATGGCCCTCAAAACATCACTCTGGCACCCAGGCATCCCACGCCCTTCCCAAACCACCAGCTCCACCGACCCAGGCCATCCCTCCAGCAGTTGCCCCTCACCGGCTCAGCCGCAGGCGTTTCTTGGCGCTGCTGCTGGATTTACCACTCTTCTGGCCATGCACCTCCTTATCTCCGTCGCTGAAACTGATCTCGACCTCAGAGGCGTTGCCGGATGGGTGGAAACCCTGGTGACATGGCAAGGGGGGCAAAATATCAATGTGTTGAGCTGGGAGAATCATCCAGAAATATGGTGATTTCATGTGTAGAACAGTGAACTTTGGGCTCAGATCAACTGGGACACAAACCATGTGCAACCCACCAGAAATGATTTCATAAACCAAGTCAAGGAAGGGAGAGATTTCAAACTTGCTGACAGTAAATTACATTTTTATCCTAAAAACCCACCGGCAGCGACTGCACAGGTCTAGTCTTTTTCAACCGCGACATCCGCGGGTCTGGAGTTGGGTCGAGCTCAGTAGTTGCCCTTTTGCTTCATCTGCGTCTTTTTGACCTAGCCCACTGCTTCAGCCATGGCTCATTGGTGGTGAACTCATCTCAGCAGGATATTCAAGCTCCGGTTCAAACAGCATTGCAAACTATCTCCCGTGCTGCTCCACATGTCCAACATGTTTCTGCGATGCTAGGGTAATTCATACATTAGAACCATTTTTGCGGTTTGCTAATCCAACCTATCTTGATTTCACATGATTTAACATCCCTTCATTTTATATTTGCCTTCAGGAACCCTAGGAACTAGGAAGCCCATGTTTCAAAAATAAATCATCGCTCATTCATATTATTCATATTCATTAAGCACACACAGACCACACCAACAAACAAAGACGGTGGGATCCTCCTGGCGAAACCTTTAGATCGGTTACCTCACCTAGCCACACAACTCCCCGTCCTGGATGGTCCTCCGCTGTTCCTTCCGCCGTTGTTTCTTGGACTTCCTGGGAACAGCATGGAACAGCTGGGGGATGTGTAGTTTTGTGTGGTCAATTTGTAAGTATAGCCGTGACCGTGATATGCTGGATTATATAATAAGATATAATAAGTAATATATGTTCATGGACGTCATTCCCATCTATTTTGTTGTAATTACTTATATATCATGTTTTTCTGGTGTATCTTTAATGAATCTGACTCTACTCTTGTCATTTTGGGAGTTCCCCTGCCACAACACCGGCCAGGATGGTTTAGGTCTCCAGATGGTGCACAATGCCCGAAAACTAAGACCTAACTGACCTAACTTATTTTGCTGATCAAGGGGCAACTGGTCAGCTCCAAACAGCCCCAACTGACGTTTATCAACGGGGGGGTTCTCTCTAAAGCTGAGACTAGTGTCTCCACATCCACCTCCATCTCTGGCTTCATCGTTGGTGATCCAGGTGGAGAGGCCTACACGGACGTCCTCCTCAAACTTTCGTCCTTACATGTCCTTACCCTTTTCACATTTGCCATGGTCAAAAAGTCAAAACATGGCATATGGGAATGGTCATCCCACAATCATTGATTCCTCATGCTGGGTGATAGCTAATATAAAGTATTTATATATATATATATAGATAGTATCACACACACACATATATATATAGCATATGTAAATCCCAGTGTGAATTGATGACCATCCCCCAAAATGGGTACACATGAAGATCGCCATTTGCTGCGCAAAAACCAGGGGCTCAACCTTGGACATCACGGGGGAAGCCGCCTTCGCTTTGGGCGATGCCTGGCTTCAATGGAAATGGCATGAAATCACCACAGGATCAATGGGAGATCTCCAGGATCCTAAAATGGAGGTACGTTAGTACCATATAAGGCCATATTCTGTGGGGATATTCCCTTACATAGGCCTAAAAAATAGGCCTTGTATATGGTAGGTACCTCAAAAACACAGGTTCCTGAAATGGCCATTGACAGGAAGAGCTTCTTCCCCACCTTGGGCGATTTCTCCACAGGCTTGGCGGCCACGGGGTGGGCTGCGCGCTGTTTCCGCCGGTCCTTCTTGGATGGCTTCGGGGCCTTTGGGGCCTGGCGCCCAAAGAGGGTGCAGCTACCGGTGGTCAGAGTTGGATGAGGTGCCGAGGGATTTTGCTGTTTCACCTGCTGAACATCTGGGATTATGAGTGGGGCTGGATAATCTGAGATAACAACTGTGGCTATAAGATGCTATAAGTATGGCTGCTTTAGCTAGTTTTTTCTGCCTCGACGGAGTGGGGTTATGCTCATAGTCCCATAGCGATAAGGAATTAGTGAGATGCAACTGGAAATTGGACTTGTGGACTACGTGTGAAGCGTGCTGCCGCTGCCGTCCCTGGCCATTTTGAGCCTTCTCTGTTTTTACAGGGGCCATTTTCACGTCTGGTTTGGGCCTCGGCACCCACCAGCCAAGGCAAAAGAGGCTCTGGCCCAAGGCTTGAAACAAGTGAATGTAGATTGCAATGATTCAACCCTAAGCCCAAGCAGGATTTCACAACTTTAAGGGTTTCTCCCTTCATCCCCTTCTCAAGGAATTCAAGAGAAGCTTAAGGCAAGTGAACGGATGGCCTCAACTTGGCCATGAAGGAGCTTCAACAGCAACAGGAATCCAACACTGTTTGCCTGGTTGGATAGTGTTGGGTTGGAGGCACCAAATCTTGGCAGATCCTTGCATTCCCCAAATATAACAAACCAGCATTACTGATGGTCAGTCATACTGAACCAACACCGGTCCTTTCCTGCGACCAGTGACGCCGCTTCGGCTTTGGCCGTGGCTTTTTGGATGCTGCTCTTCACTTTCCACGGCTGGGACTTTGTCTTCGGTCCTTTTTTACCAAGCCCAGGTCTTGGCGACTGGCAGGAAAACACAACCAGAACGATCTCCAACAAATCTGTCACATGGCAGTGTGTCAAAACCTTGTACCCCTGGTGAACATCAAAATAGCTGGTAAATGGGTGTTCATCCCACTAAAAAAGGTATTAATAGGTATTGATCCATACCCACATGATTTCTTAACTAATTCCACTGAGTCAATGTGGCTGGCAATTTCAATCAACACAACTTAAGCCACGGGATGCCAGGTGGCCACCAAACTTCTTCATCGCTTTGCCTTGGCGAGACTCATCCAGAAACGGGTCATGTTTTCCCATCATGTTCCACAGGCAAACTGTTCATTTACCAGAGGGTAAACATTAATATCATTAATGTGCATAGTTTGCTAACATGTCGAACAGTTTAAACGATATTAAACATCTACAATCTATAGTGGAACCCCCAAAATTTATAGCGTCCAAAACCTTTGTCCAAAGACCAACTGCATTCCTGCGTTTCGTCCAAGTGACCGCCCTTCACATGGCGTTTCACCATGCTGAGCGATGGACTCGCCACGGAAAGCTGGGCGACTGGGCTCAAGTGGCTGCCTTCAGATTGGATTTCCAATACTTGGATGGCCATGATGGCTATGGCAATAGATTCATTATCATTCCATATGTTCCATATATTCCATATATTCCATAAAATTCCATCTTCTATCATATTCCCCACATTGCAGCTACTTATAATCGCCAATCAACAGTGATATCCCCATATTTTTGATGGTTAAAATTGTTGAAACCCCACTAAAAAAACACCACACATAAATGATGCTTAAAAGTGCCCATCTGGGTCAAGTTGGCACCAGTCTTTTTGGCGAAGCAATCAGTTTTTTTTCGTCAGCTAGTCAGCTCAGCTTCATCTCCTCTTGCACAGTAGCCACCAGGGAAGCCTTGTCCTGGCGTGACTGGTGGCTGCGGTAAGATGTGTTGCAAGGCAAAAAGATAGAACCACACATAGAACAACTAATGTACGATAATGTACGTATGTATGTATATATGTATGTATGATTATGTATGTACATCATTATGAAAAATAATATTGCACACAATTCCCCACCGTGATGGTGATGTACTTCTATTCTAACTTGTCCGTGACCGTATATATCTGGAAATGTGCTGAGATATTGTGAGAATGATCAAATCTGCCAAGGATAAATTCTGAAGATTCATGAGAATCGATGATTTGAAAGTGGTCCACGCGACTGCCCTAACGTTTCACCAACGGATGCAGTACTGTTCAAACTTATAGACGTAGCTATAGGAAGCTGCGTGCCATCCAAAATATCTGAACAATATTATTGAACAAAACTAGCACCCAAGAAAACAAAACAGGCAAACATCTTTTTCTTTGAGCCGTAGGAAAGTCTCCAAATGCCGAACCGATATCCACTGATGGACACTGATGACCCCCATCACAGCTCCTGGAAGTGTCGATGTCCGAAGGCTCCAAAGGTGGCAGTCTCCCAACGCCAAGGTGGACCGGCCACCGAGTCTGGGCAGGTCAAGTAGCCTCGGATTTCTGGATCCCTGTTTTGGGGACATGGAAATGATGTCAGATGATGTCAGATGTTGTCAGATGATGTCAGATGTCAGGGACTTCGGATGAATGAATCCGGATTCCCGGTGTCTTTCCGGAGGTGAATTTGCCAGAATTTTCAGGGTTACACCATGTCCATTCCGAGAACATGTCCTGCTACTGTAGGCCAACGAAGCTGAGGAACATATGGGAGTTGTTATGAGAGATCCTGGCCAGTCAACACTAGGTATGTGAAGGCAAAGACCCTGAGTACACTGCAAGCAACTTGAGGGAGGTCAATTAGGGAACCAACTTTCCAAATAAACTAAATGAACATCTCATCATTTTATCACTTTTTATGGGCCCTTCATCCTATCTTTTTATGTATTTTTGGCAGGGCTTACTTTCCATTATCTAGTACCCTCCGGTAAACTAACATAACTATGGAAAATCACCATTTTTAATGGGAAAATCCACTATAAATGCTCATTTTCAATAGCTATTTTGACATAACCAAAGGGTATGATCTCTCCACTTCCCATCAGCCCGTCCTTGACCAGGGTTACCAGCCGGCCAAACGCTGGGAGGACACACCTGCAGGAAAATCATCCTCAAGGGATTTCTGATGGCTGAAAACATGCTGAAGGAACCCATCCCCTGCCCAAACGATTGATTTTGTGAATTGGAAAAGTATGGAAAGGTATGGAGATGTACCCTCTGGTTATGTCAAAATAGCTATTGAACATTGCCATAGAAATAGTGGATTTTCCCATTAATAGCATGGTGGATCTTTCCATAGTTATGTTAAATTACCAGAGGGTATGGAGCATCATCTTTTAGGACATTTTTGGAACAGGAACCATTGGTCATCATGAATGTCAACGGATTTCGGTCGCAGGCTTGATCCGAGAACGCCCAGCCCCACTCCAAGGCACGCAGAGTAGCTTCACCTAGGCGTGGACGCAAATTTGCAGGAAAAGTATCACGCTACGCACTGGAATATCCCTGGAATGTCTGGCATCTATCCAAAGCTTCCACCCACAATTTCTGGGGAACGGATGGATTTCACATGTTTTCACACCTCCATTTTGAGGCTACCTCCACTCTGGATATCTGCGCGTCCAGGGCACGGGCAAGACATTGCGATGCTCAATCAGTGCCAGCGCCATTCCAAAGGCAACGTGCGCACCTGTTCCTGGCTAGGATTCAGGGGCTTGATTCCATCTGGGTAAATTACTATATTTTACAAACCTGAAATAAGGCCATTTTGGGATGATTTCCCTTATTAACCATGATTCCAGTGAGGTCGCAGTGAGGTCGTTATAATTTACCCGGATTCCATGAAGTTTTTAGGGGTGACATGGGGTGACCGTTACTGCGGTTTGGCCATTTTTTTAAAGAAATCGCATCATATGGATTCAACCAGAGTCAACCGCTGAGATGGCCATTGGGCGCCTAGACCCAGCAGAGCGATATTGTCACCAGGGGCAATCTCAGTCTCCTGAAGCAACACTTCAAGAAAGTGAAGGCTTGAGGGAGTAGAAAAAAGTTTGATGCTCATGGTCTGTTGAAGTCCATTTGTCCATGGTTCAAATTTGCTCTAAGAAAAAAAAGTCAGATCTGCACACCTTGGGCAAAAAGGACATTTTCTGCAGCGGAGAGCAAATCAATAACGCTCCAGCCTTGATGTTTTTTTGGATCCTCTTCTTCATGGCTACATGTGGCTACTGTACGCATCAGCCTTTGGCTCAGACTCTGGACCCCTTGGGCTCTACATAAATGCCCTGCAAACCAAGTCATAACCCCCAAGAATAGCTTTCGGAGACGATCTTCCTGTTGGAAATGGCCACAAGGATTCCGTGTGGATTTGCTAGGGGATTAGCTCTGGTCAACTCCTCCAGCAGCTTCACGGCAAGGTCTTCCAAGCTTTGCCAGGGAAGTTGCACTTCATCTTCCGCTTGAAGCCATCGACTTCTGCCAGCCCCCACCTTCATTTTGTGACTGCAAGGTGAACTTACAATCCTAAAATAGTGATATGATTGATAAGTGGTTGTGAATGTCTTCTGGGGGTTCTTATATCTATAGTCTATATCATTTAATTTATATCTCTATCTTAGAATATCTATATATGTATCCATACTTAAATAAATAAATGTATGGGGGGTTGCACAAATGGGGGTACCCCACAATGTATGTACTGACCGACTTACACTTAGAAACCATTTTTTCCAAGTTTTTTGAGCCAACACTTAGAAACTCCTAAATTTCAGTTTCCAAGTGTTGATTAGTGGTTAAAAAAACAAAACCCAACACTTAGAAATGCCTTCAACACTTAGAAACCTCCTCTGGGGTTATGTTTGCTCCAAAATGTAGGTCGGTCACTGTATCTGAACAAAAACATATAATACATGTATATACTATATATATACATATAATATGTAATATACATAGATCGCTAACAATTGACCACACAAGGGATTTTCAATAAATGTGCGTGTATGTGTGGATGTATGTATGTATGATTCTGGATGTATGGATATATGGATTGAAGAATCACAAATAAACAGAGTTTTGAATGAACTATGCACACAACTTGGGATGCTTCACTGCAAGATTTATGTGGTCGTATTCCTTGGGGAACATAACACTTAGAACCTCTGCTTCTTGAATATGGATGATAACCGGGGGTACCCCGATTTCAGGACACCTCCATAATCATCCATATGCATATATAATTATATACACACGTACAATAATAGATATTTTTCGCATACCCCAAAGGGGCATTAGCCCCACAAATCAGCCATTCTTAAGGAATATCAACCATAATCCTCTGGTAAACTAACATAGCTATGGAACATCACCACTTTTATGACATAAATCAACTATGTCTATGGCAATTTTCAATAGCTTTGTTAGTCATTACCAGAGGCTAAGCCATATTTCACCCATGTTTCTGGGATCGGCACTGCGTAGGCCATCGAGTTGTCGCGCTCCTGAACAACTGGATGCCATGGGAGCCGACTCTGTGCAGGGTCGAAGTTCACCTGGGGAGCTGGGAAAAATCAATGGCCATTTCAGGTTCCTAAATTGGAGGTACCTACCATAAGGCCTATGTAAGGGCTATGTAAGGGGATATACCCCCAAAATATGGCCTTATATGGTACAGTACCTCCATTTTAGGATCCTGAAATTCCCATTGAAAAAAGGGAAAACATAAGTATGATCAATGGATTTATTCGTCATTTATCATCATTTATCATATTTATCATGGCCAATCTTAGATACCCTGCAAAAAAAGGAACACATCTTAGCTGGCTAGTAGATAATCCCATCGACAGCCAAAAACTAAAGGATGAGTTTCTTGCCATCTAAGATTGACCTAGTTATCATCATTGATCATCATTGATCATGATAAGATTGAGATTGGATGGACTTGGAAGGATTTTTCATGATTTTTCCCTATCGTGATGAAGCACCATGAATCCTTAGTGCTGGTTTTGTTCAGTATCATGTCTGGGTCCCAGCGAGTGGGGGCCTGGCTTGATCATGAGAAAACATGCTCCATATTTAGAGGCAGTACATCTTGAAACCATGTCAAAACACGGTATATGGTTAAGGTCATCCATCTCATAAAGTGGGAATCCAATCATAGTTGGATATAGTTGGTATGTTGTAAATCCCTATGAACATGGATTGATAACCATCCCCCAAAATTGCTATGCAATCCCACGTAATATCTTGTAGTGTGCAACCAACTGATTTCACTGGTCGATTTTTGGGGCTACCCCATGCTGGGACAAGCCCATTTGGGCGTGACCCAAACCTGGCGGAAGCACGAACCTGGTCATTCTGGTGGTGTTTCCCCTAAAACAAACACACACACACACACCCATATATGTATTAGGGGACTGCCATATTGAGCCAGTGCCATCTGACTCATCTCAACATCTATCAACCAAACTTCCAAACTGCCGGCCCCTGCATCAGAGGCGCACCAATCACGTGCACACCCTCCACCTGAAAGTCATCGCACTTGCATCCGGAGATCTGCCTCGTGGGGTGATGTGTCATGGGCTGGGGATGCAAGATGTAGCATGGAACACAGAGCCCGCAGGTCGTGATTCCAACAGATTTCAACCGATCCCAAGAATGCTCTTGTACTATTGAGATCTATTGAGTACTGCTAAGATAGAACAGCTGAAACAAATCATTACAACCAGCAGCCAGTATACAATACAACAACTATGTAACTCATGACCCAAAAGTTCGGGTTCCATCTCCAATTCCGTCACCGTCACGGGTGCCTGAAAACATCAAGTCGCTTGGCGCACACCTGCTGCATTTGCAAAAAAAACATATGAACCATGGTCAATACTCACTATATGGTTGATGGTCATCCCATCCACAATAAGGATCCTTATAATGGTTATTATAAATCCCTATGAACCATTGGATGACTAGCCCCTATTAATGGTTATTAACCATGAGTATTGACCACAGCTCATATAAATTTGGAAGGTCAATCCAGCCAAACACTAATGCGTGTAGGATCAAAACTTGGTCCGCTACTGCCCAAAGAAATCCACTGGATAGTTCATCTTAGAGGAAAACAACTAGTTACTATACATGCATATCTGTGTATGTGTGTCTATCTATCTATTCTAATCTAATTTAATCTAATCTACCTAATCTACCTGTCTGTCTGAGAGTCTGTCTGTCTATCTACCTATCTACCTATCTACCTATCCTATCTATCCATCCATCCCATCCCATCCTATCCATCCTATCCTATCCATCCTATCCTATCCATCCTATAAATCCTATCCTATCCATCGATCTACATGCGAATGTATATATATATATATTAATATATACAGTGTATATATATATTATAACTATAATGCATTAATCAACGTGTTTGGCTGTTCATTTCTACCCAGCCCCATCCTCTCCCGTGGCCCAAATGGCCTCAGCCGGTTCCTGCGCTGGAAAGCGCTGCCTCTCCTTCTCAGCCGCATCGGGCAGTGGACCGTGTTGCCCCAGGGGGTCAGGGATCACCTCAGCCACAAGGCCACCGCCAACCAATTCAGGGACCCTGGAAACAAACCTGGGAATAGCAAACTCACCATTTCAACAAGCCAATCATCTTTGAAGTGACGTCCCAGCCCGCTAGGTTTACTATCAGAGGATAAAATTGATATGTCACCTTGTGATGTACATGCCGTCTCTCTGCACTTTTCGAGTCATGGACAAAAATCGCACTAAATTCTAATCCAAGTTACATGCATCTCCACTTACAAAGATCTTACAAGCAACTCCCTTCGGGTCTTGTAGCACCACAGTGACAAAATCGACAGAAATATCCTGGTCGTCTGTAGGTCATCCAGGAACACCATGGGTTTTCAGCTGGGTTGCTATCAACTTCACTGGGCCATCTTGCAGCTCGGGCCCCTGCTGCCGCGGCAAGGGCAGCCAAAAGCCCTGCCATGGCCAGGTCGCAAGACTGACTGTTTTAAGCCCACTGGGACCGACAAAAGTAGATAGAAACATGAGTAAACATGATTAGACATCAACCCCATCATTTAAACACTTCAAACTTGGTTGATCATCCCCGTTACGGTGTACCCATTAAATAGAATTGTCAATCGGCTGTTTTGACGACAAAATCAACGACCTCCACGATCACCCCATGCCTTATAAATCGCACTGCTGACATCTTCATCTTCACCTGCCAGCTCCCAGATACATCCCTCAATCTACTGCTTAAAAATCTGGAACAAACTATTATATCTTAATTAACTTCTCTGTTTATGGGTTAGTCTGAACATATCTGAAACAAAATCTGAAAATGGTGGAACCTCCCACCTAAAATTCACTGGTTAATCATCATCTTCCTCAGTTTGATGTATTTTGATGGTTAAACACATCAAACCAAGTTCTTCCAAAGCAAAGCCACCATCGCGCGCCTGGATGGTAGCTGCCTGCCTGCATCTCTCCAATGAAGTTGTCCAAAACTTCACATTCCTGGCCAACAAAAATGGGACCTATGGGATTGATGTGTGATGGGACTGTTGCCCATGGCCGGTGCCTTGGTGTTCTTCTGGAAATTGGGAGGCCGATGCCCCTGGCTGTGTAAACCTGAGTGCATTGCCCGTCGATTCAGTGGACCTCAAAACCACTAAAGCATATCCAAGGACTTGCCAACTTGTTGCACTCCTTCAAGCACTTTGAGAAAGGATGCTGTCATGATCTTCTGGTTCGAGACATTCTCTCCCTTTATGTGTGCCCTCTGGTAATCAAACATGGTTTGCTGGGAAAATCCTCCACTTAGTTCGGTGATTTGCCCATATGTAGATGCCCATTTCCCATGGCAGCCATGTTTGATGGCAGCCCTCCGGGTATAGATATCACACCCAGCCACAGCTCAGCATGGCTCAATGGCTCAATGCCTCCATGGCCAGTTGAGCCGTTGAGGCAAGACACAGATCCTGCGAAACCTGGGATGAATGTACAAGGCCTCGGCGTTCAAACAGCCATGCCCTACTGGTAGGTTGAAACTGTTTCAAGATGTTTCAAGTCTGTCTCCATAATGGCAGTCACTTTGGATCCCAGACATGATCAGACATGGATGGGTATCCATCCAAAAGAATAAGGAATAGCTATGCTGCAAGAAGTGACTAGTGCGTCAATGACTGATGCCAAGCCCACGGCTAGATCCTCGTAGTTGGAAAACCTCGAAGTCTGGTGCATGACCCCCGCTCAGAATCATTCCTTTAGCAGCTTCGAGCTATTGTTCTGTTGAAGAAGCTGACAACATTGAGGCTTCTGTGTTGTGGTGGACATACTCTCTTCACTGACAGAAGGCACATACCAGTAAATTGGCTTTCTGATGCTTTCTGTATCCTTGTCTCATAACTGGGACCTATGGATCGGTCTGGATCATAAAAAATCCTTTAAAAAAAAACCTGGAAACTTTTTCATGGGAAAATCAGTGAACATCAACATCATCAACATTAATCAACAAGAAAATTCATGGAGGACTTTCCATTGCCATGTTTAATCACCAAAGGGTATCCCTTCACCGGATATAAGTGATGCCAAGAAGCTGTTTGGAGTCATCCTCCTCTGACCAGCTCAAGAAACAGGGGATTTGCAGTGGCGACTTTGGCCGCAACGTACCTTCAACCAAGGGGCATTCTTTTTCAAACATGTCCTGAATGTAAAATACAGTGCTAACCATACACGTTACACCGGACAGTCCTGAATTTAGTTGAAGCAGTCAACCTGGAAAATCTATCGAAAACCTATGGATCTTACATAGTATCATACGATCATTATCGTAATTCCCAACATCCCGGTCTCAACAGCGTCTAACTTTCCGAGCGCCTTGGCCATGCTCGGCCATCTCGCGATGTCCACGGCATGAGAATAGTAACAAATATCGGAACTTCTCCTTGGGTGAGCAGTCCCCTATATCCTAACGGATTGTGATTTCCCATGATATAGCTCACTTGAATCAATGTTGACTCCTTTTTGGGGATGGTTTATACGACTGTATACGGCCCATTTATGGTCATATTGGGGGTATACAATTTATTACAGTATATAGTGCTATAGCCCGCTAATCAATTTGGCTCCAACATTCGAAACAAACATTGAAAACATGCCTTTCGCATCCTCATCCGCATTATTTTCATTTATTTTCTGGTTGTGTCCTGTGGGTATAAGTAAGTTCACGGATGAATACATGATCCACTGGAAGCCTGCCAATGGCATCATGAAACTCATGAGCCTCCCCATCAAGAGAGGCCAGCTGGGAATGGCAATGCTTCAGCTCCTATTGTCAGAGCATAGAGCATTTTTTCTCAATGGCAGAAATTGCAGAATAAGATAGAATAAGAAGCAACCCGGGGTAATCTTGCACTGTTTTTCCAACTTTTACCCCAACCAGCCCAACTGTTTGCTGTTAACTATTCTCAATCGCCGTCCATTGGGATCGTCATTATATCATGCTCTATCATGTCATAGGCAATAATTTTTATATCATCCAATTACATCAATTTTACCCTGTAATCTTCTAATGTTTGGATCTGTTTCATGCACACATATATATATATATAGTCTTATAGTGTTTATATCCACCATTTTATCTGATGATCTTTCAGTTTGTCCAGCCTTTGTATACCCTGCGATAATCAAACATGATGTGCTGAACAACCACCCATTTAGTTCGATGATTTTCCCATTCAAACCTCCTTTCTCTCGCGGATGTTCCATCCTTTTTGAGGCTTTTCCAATGGGTTTTCCCGTCATTTCTGGGGGCATTTCCGCCATTGGTCAACTTCCCCGCTTCCCCATCCTTGGCCCAAGCTGCCGTGAAACGTGGGTCTCCTTCTTGAGCGAGTCCTCAGCAACCAGGTGGACGATGACAGTGTGGATTTCTGCGGGATTTGAAGAGGATTGTTCATGGGATCTCATGGGATTTTGTGATGTGAATTTGGGAGGAGTTTGCAGGATTTTATGAGATTGTACGGGATTTTCGGGTGTTTCAGTTGCAATTGAACCCACAGGAAGGGGGATATACATGGAAATACCCTCCAGCAAACTATATACCGTAATAGCTATGGACAATGGCCCATTTAATCCCATTTATATATAGATATTTTGCCTACAGTTTTCAAAATGGTGATTTTCCATAGCCATGTTAAATTACCAGACGGCAGCAAGTCAGTCAAAAGCAGCACGTCGCATCCAATTTCTTTGCATGTATTTTATTACATAATATTATTGCATGCAACAACTCGAAAAAGACCCAGCAAAAAAACGACAAAAGTCATCCATAGTCATCCGAAAAAAAAAACACCAGCTAGAGTATACTGGAATAATCTGGCATATAGTAATTGAATGTATTTGACACGTTAGAATAAAATGCACATCTGCAAATGTGTAACCAATATCAACAAATGATTGAATGGGCTCTGGAAGCTGCAATAAATGAGTATCATGAGGCATGACCACCACAGCACCGCGCATGGATTTTGTGAAACCAAAGGAGGAATCATGCTGACATATGCTGACTCTAAACCCCACTCAAGCGTGACAGTATCTCACAGTCATGTTTTGAATCAAATGAAACTAAGGCTCAAACCTGCAGCTACACTTCGCCCACCAGCATGCAAAGTTTTTCAGGCCTTTTTTCTTACAGCTCATAGCTCACGTACATTGACATGGCTGCAATACACAAGTCTTTCCACTCAAGAGTGAAGCGGTGAAGCCATTCCAGTGCCGTCCCCTTATACACAACGAGATGCTGTTTCAGCCCCTGCCTCGTTCATGCTGATCTTTCCATCATCTGCCGGGTCAGATTGCTCAATGGCGTACCAAACGCCACCCAGTAAGCTAAGGGCAATGCCAGTGAAAACCAAGGGAGCTTCAAAGACAGGGTCTGAGAAAAACACGATGCCCTCAAAAACCACAACGAAATTGGACAAATTCCCAAAGACCAAGGTGGACGTTGCCTTGGGATGGGTCTGTTCCTGTGGCCCCTGGAACAACTGCTCTGGTGGGGTGGGAAAGGTATGAAACTGCGAAAGCAAAGCAGGATTTAGGGACGCCGTAAACGTGAACTTCAAAATTCTTGCCTGCTGAAGTCAAATCCGGTCGCCGAGGTTGCCTTGAGAAGATACAGCACGGACAGGTGATTCCCGATGAAGGCAAAAATGGACAGACCAAACATCAGCATGATGGATGGGTTGTGGAGCCAAACATTCCAAGCTTCTAGAAAGAATCCTGGTGGCAAGAGTTGCAGGACCACCCCAGAATTCACGCGTTGAGTGGGCAAACGCGTTTCAACTTGGTATTTGTGGGAGACCCCAGCCTCCTCAACCCTTCCCCAAAAATGTACCCCCCAAAAAACAATACAGAATATATATATATATACATATATAGAGAACACAATATAGTATATATATATATATACATATTCATGTACATGTCTATATATATATAAAACAAACAAAAGTTTGCCCGTGCTTCAAGCATCGTTCATTCAGCACAGTCAAGCAGGCTGCGGGGACGGTGAGAAGCAAACCATCAAAGGCACAAAGCAGTGTGGCCGGCGCATCTTGACAGTCCTCGATGTGGTCGTGACGCTCCCAGTGATCGCAGGTGGCCACCTTTATCATTTTATCAGCCAATTTTTTTTAGGAACTTCATTAAGCATCCACGATGCGAATTGCAATCAGAAAGGAAGGGGATAATAATGGAGAATACATTGGTGACATTGGGATAATCCAGAATCCATAATTATCCCATCATCAAACATCCAACTCTCATCTCATTTCTTAGGGGTGGGTTACCCCTTTGAGCTGCCCTTACTGTGAGCATGTTCCCCCAACGCCAAGGCTCAGCCAGCAGCATTCGCTGAAGCAACCGATATGGTAGCACCAAGGCAACCAAGAGGCCAGCGGATCTCAATCCGTTGGCGCTGAAGTCCGGATACTGCAAACTGAAGAGAACTGCTCCAAAAGCCATTGTAATCAAGGCCATTTTGGACGAAAAGGTCTGGTTCAAGACATTTTCAACGCGTGAGGGCAACACTAAGGGCTCAATGAAGAGAGCGAAAAGCGGGCACATATTCAAGAACACGGTTCCTGCATGGTTTTTTGGTGGAACCAATGACCCCCTACTGGCTGTGTAAAATTCAGAACCCTTCTTTTTCACAAGAGAAAGAACAACACTATTTGCTGCGACAAGCCCTAAAATCAGTAGATGGTTGCTACACTCCATGCTACCCCCAATTCAGTAGGTTGTCTGAACTCATACTGAGCCCACGAACAAACGCCAGCAGCCAATTCTATAATTCAGCTCTCATCCCAAGCTTCTCTCGGACAGTGAGCAGTACATGGAGACTTCATGGTTGATGAGCTGGTAAGCCACAAACCACAGAGCCGCAGGCGTCCACCCAAAGAGCAACTTTGTCTGCGTGGTGCAGGACAAAGGGTACCTCATTGGCAGGATTTCTGAGTGGATGACACTTCCAGATTCAAATTTCAAGGGACACCACATGTTGAAGGTAAGGTGAACGTTGGCAACTGCCCTGCATCGAGATACAATGTAAGCTCACTTGGCACCCTTGAAGGACTTCGCTCCCCACTGCGTGACTTCACCAGGGGCGGTGGGGCTTCGTTGCTGCGAATCCGGGCGATGAGCATATAGACATGGCAACCCACTGTCCACAACATGGTGGCAGCGGACATGAAGCCAGCCTGGATGGCAGTCATAGCCATTGGTGCTGCAGTCAGTGTTGATAAGGATTGGTTCACCAAATCCAGACCCACTGTGAAGGCACAAAGTGTGAATGGCACCATGATCAAATAATGCTTCTCCTGGCTGGTGGAGGGAAAAGTGTGCTTTTGGATGCTTTTGGACTCCATTTGCCAAGATATGCCAAGATCAAACACAACCCCGGGAGAAACGGACAATTGCGCGGCTACTGTCTCTTTGAGCTGCTGAGCACACCGAAACCATCCAAATTTAAGGGCCAATACGGGGATTGAAACGTTCATACAATTTGTGTGACTGAAACCGTCGTGATTCTGGCCTAAGATGTGTTAACGGCAGGGTTGACTTTCAAATTTGGTGGCCTATAATACTTGGAACTGATGAGTTTCCATTGTTTTGCATGTCCCTAAGCCTCTGGGATTTTCAAGTGGGTTCGCATGGTCTACGTGCTCCAGAACGCCGGAACTCCCCTGCCCCCCGCAAATGCTGTTCCAGAGACTCAGATGCCCACGGCTAATACATATGCCAATACTCCCTATAAGTATATTGAAAAGCACTGACTTTTTGATTTTTGGTGGCCAAGCTGCCATAAAACATCCATAAACAATCCATAAACCATAAACCATCCATAAGCCATCCATAAGCCATCCACAAGCCATCCATAAACCATCCATAAACCATCCATAAACCATCCATAAACAACCAAAAACCATCAATAAGCCATCCACAAGCCATCCATAAGCCATCCATAAACCATCCATAAACCATCCATAAAACCATCCATAAAAAATCCACAAACCATCCATAAACCATCCATAAACCTACCGTTTCGGGATGATTTGTACCGTGGTAATTTTTTTGCGTCTCCTTACATCCGTAGTGAACAAAATATGCCCAGGCCATTGCCAAGGGAACGAAGAGCAAAAGGTACACGGAGACGATGATTTCGGGTGTGGCAATCTCCACATCCACCTGGAGCATCACGACCCATTTTACAAACATATACCACAATAATCCAAAATATACCCAAAAAAAACCACCATGTAAAACTATGTTGAGGTAGCCATCCGTTTGAACATGTGTGGAATCTTTCACACCTATGAGCCGAACCGTCAACCAACCTTTTTTGGGGTTTTTGGATGTCATAGTTTTGTTCCAACCCTTAACCCCCAAGGAGCCCATCATTTCTGAAATCTCTGGGAGACTTTTGGTCAGCCAAGAAGCTGCTGTCGCGAAGGTATTATGCGGCTGCACTGGGACGATTCGCGTCCTCACTTTGGCAAAGGGCGAAAAGACGTCTGAGACGTTCGCGCCTCTGCGGATGGTGGGGAAGCTGGAGCTGTGTCGTACATAGTACGCAGGGAGCACGGCCAGCGACATCTCTGGACTCAGTCGAAACGGTGAGTCAAAGATGGATCCCAAGCTGCCAGCTGATGCTTTGTCCACATTGACATCTGGAGCATTACCTGGTTGATCATGTAGCAAGTGGATCGAGAAAAGGGGCCGTGATCATTGGAACCATCTTCTGAACCAGGGATGGGTTAACATAACAAAACAAGTACTCAAAAGTACAAGGCGAGATGCTATGGTTTTCTGTTTCTGCTTCCATTTCAGCAGCTTGCCTCAACTCCTGTGAGTATCCAGCTTCACCCCGGTAGTCCACCTGTGGTGGCAAGTTGGTACAACCAACTGGTGAACAAGTAAAACTGGAGAATGTATCGTTCATGAACTAAGGTGGAACACTTGTTGAAGCTGGTATATTGACAGGGTAACAACCTCATCAAATCCCATTAAAGCGAATTAAGCAACCTGTTGCAAGAGAGGTACAACCCTCCCAAATCCAAGTGATGCGCCTCTGCCTGTGTAACTTTCACCACAGACAAAGCAGCAGAACCATCGATCAGAGTGAAACCCAAAAGTGCCCAGCCAGCTGCTATTCGCCATGGGCTATGCCCCACGGCAGCCATGGCAGCCATGACACGCGAGGTTATGGATGCAAGGGGGGGATTGAGGTTTCGGAGGTCCGCCCCCGGGTTTCGATATCGAAAGCATGATGCTTGAGCCAAAGTGATGCCAGGATGCTGGAATCAAAAGGCATGACTGGTTGACCGGAAACAGATGCCCTGCTGCGACTTGAACTCAACTCTGGATATGCCTGGATGCAATGCATGCACAAAAACAATCAGTGCCCCCGCAAAATTGCTTCTGGAATGGCAATGGATATCAATGGATCAAAATCCTGACTGGCGCCCTCGCTTTTACAAAGCCTATCACCGCCCAAAGACATAGGATGACTCATAGAGTTTCACCCATCCCCATCCGCCCATTCTGGCGGAAAACCATGGGGAATCTCCATTGAACCAGGGCACTCGCTGCCTCAAAGGCCAAACTGGCGCCTATGTCGAAGCCACACCTGAGAGACGGGATGATGATGGACGAGATGGATGGGATGGATGGGATGGATGGGATGGGATGGATGGGATGGGTACTTCTGAGGCACATCCCACATATCTATACCTCTGGAGATCTCTGGAGGCAGTTCTCTAGTTTTCTCTTGCGATGCAGCTCCTTTGTCCTTTGGTGACCACTGTTAATGTCTCTGGTCTGTTGGGTGATGTTGGGTGCTGTCTGGTTCCTGGTTCCATGGATTCTCTATGACGTTGCGGTGGTTTGAAGCAAACTCTGATGTCTTACAACCAGTACGGGGAACCTCACCAGCACCACAAACAGGGCCACCCGGCAGGCCGTCATAGGGTCCATTCGCTGCCAGGTTCTTGGCTATGTCGTCCATTACATCCTCATAGCCTCCAGGGAAGAACTTTGGGAGGGTATCAGTCTACAAGCTGCCCTGGACTTGAAAGCCACGGCCTCCCATGCGTTTTTGATCACTGCATCGCTGTATTATTTACCATTTGTCATCATGGGTTGACGTCACAAAGTCCTGAAGAAAAATCACCATTGGGACATGGAAACAGATGGAAACAGTAACAGTGCAGCTGAGAACTATGAAACCTACCTTGGTTTGAAGTCTTCGGGCCAATCCAGCTCTCTTTTTGGTGGCTCTCGTTCAAAATCGTGACGTAGCTCATGTAACCTTTGCCGGGCCGGCTCAAAGTACATGATGTACACGTGCAAAGCTGGACACTTTTGAGATCAGGGGATAGAGTTGCACACCAACAAAGATATGCGGTAAAGAATGACAACATGTTTTGTTCTTCCACGTTTTTATGTTTTTTCCCCTCAGGGGGTTCATAGCCATTGCTCAAAATCTGCCACCCAGCAGCCATCGAAGGACTCCCCGCAGGGCCGTCCGAAAGGAGCAAAAGTCTTCTGCACAGCCGGGTCCCAATGAATCTCTTCCTGACGTCTGACGCGTGTTGTTCATTTCCAGCAGGAAGCAATGAACAAATTGTCGGCCAAGAGTTCTCCCTACAGGTGAGATTTGAGACACGCAAGCAACGTTATTAGGTGATGCCCCTTTGTTGCCAGGGCCAAACCTGTACGAAGATGAGCCAACATCAAATGTTTCATGCTGCGCCTTTCCCAAAAGAACACCACCAACTTACACTTTGACAGGCTTTCAAGGTCAAGCACAAGCGGATAATGCAATCCTGAGGCTTCTCCTGCTGTAGATGTTGAGTCCAAACAAGTCCAATCGAGTACATGAGAATGAGCCATGGGTCATGTGAGATCATAGATTGCAACTGCCAAGCTTCCAGCTTATGGTTGATGGTGCCTTCCAAGTAGTGCCATTCCAAAAGATGAAAGTCAACAACCCATTTCAGGTTCCTCAGCTTTGAGCTGCAAACGCCACGCGCTGGGGTGAACATATCAACGCCAAGGCACTTGAAAACAGCTTGCACCTGCTTCTCGGACATGGCATTGTTGGAGCCAGGACCATGCAAGTACAGCAACTGCAAGCCGGTGACAGCAAGGTCGAGTCATATCATTATCATGGGTCTTCGGCGGAAAAAGTGCATGGATGTTGTTTTTTCTTTTTTAAATACATGTGTAAATATACGTATGTAAATGTAACTGATCCCTTTGAACAGAAAACGGGCACATGACGCTAACCAGTCTTCAGAAACGGGCTCGCTCCACCATTGTTGGCACCTGTGGCATGATATGTATAAGTATATATGTGAGTCGTATAGTGTTCAAACATTGTCACAGGCTGGACCTTCTTGATTGATCTTTGGCTGCTGGAACCCTTGAAATCTGGTGATTTGGTGAACATACCTTCTTGAAGCCCCCTCAGGCCGTCCAAACGCACCATAACTGATAGTTGCAGTACATCATAATTGTCCCATCTATCAGGTCATCAACCAGAAATTATAGTTAAATTATCATGTACCATTGCAATCATCATAATTATCCATCCTCATCATAATTTACATATAATCTATATATAATTTATCATAGCTCTCACCAAATTTACCATTGAGAAAAACTTATATAATCCATATTTACAGTACAAAAAAAAAACGTAATCAGGAATGAAGCAGACTCATCCATAGCCATCCATAGTTCAGGATCATCCCATCGATACCCGAAGTCTCCGAAGTCTCCAGCCTTCTGCGTTCGCTTGGTGCCGCCCCCAAAACCCTTACCCTTTGGAGCTGGGTGGGGTGCCTTGCTCAGCTGAAGTTCCTCAGGAAACAATAGGAAACAGCGCAGCTCAGTGCCTAAAATCATCTAAAATCTACACAAATGGCTCGTGGTTTCACACTTTCAAATGGTTTCAACATGTTTCAAGTCTCAACCCATCGAAAAAATCCTTGTTGCGTCGTGTTGAGTCAATCTTGATCATAACGGAGCATCGAATTTTTGGAATGAAACATTGCAAATACAGCACATGTTTCAACCCAGCCCAAAATAGCCCAAACAGGTCCGTTGGGATCAGGAAATCATCCCAGATCAATTGGCGTCCCACATCGGGCCATGAGCTGCGGGCCATGTTCTCAATCGAGAAGCAGCTCGCTTCTGCTCACGCAGATCCACCAACTTCGGGCCCAAGGTCTCTTCTGCATCATCCAGGTCATCAAAATCCATGGGCCACGTCCCGTGGCCGCGGAAAAAATGGGTGGGAAAGTGGGTTGCAAATGCCAAGGGGAGGTAACATTTAAGATAACGTTTGATAACATATTGTACACTGATGGCATGCTCATGGCAATGAAAGTTCAGTCTGGCTGCAGCCAGTCCAAGAGATTTTGTGCGTTCCTCAGGCATCCGAGAAGTGTGTTCCACGCTGGCCGCTGATCCATTACACCTGCCAAACACCCTCGATGCAAGTGGCATACCTTCTGGCAACTAGTCCAGCAATCCCAAATCCCCATTGATAGATGATTTTCCCATTAATGCCACCATTTGCAAGTATCTATCCAATTTAGACAGTATATGTGCATATTTAAGACTATATTATCACTCACACACGTATATATAACACAATACAATACAATACAATATAATATAATACAGTATAATATAATATAATAGAATATAATAATACAATATAATATAATAAAAAATAATAGAAAATAATAATACAATATAATATAATATAATAAAATATTCCAAAATATAATATAATATACTATAGTAAAATTAAATATAGTATAATATAGTATAATATAATATACTATAATAAAATAAAATATAATATAGTATAATATAATATACTATAATAAAATAAAATATAATATAGTATAATATAATATACTATAAACAATAAATATGATATACTGTAATACAATATAGTATGCTACAATAAAATATAATATACTATAATATCGTATTATATTGTCATATACTATAATAAAATATAACATAATATAGTATAATATAAAATAATATAGTATCATATAACATATATAATATAAAGTAATATAGTATAATATAACATAATACAATATAATTTAACAAAATATAGTATAGTATATATTATTATATTATATTAAATTACATTATATTATATTATCTTATGTTATCTTATCTTATATTATATTATATTATAATATTATAATATATTAAAATATTGTATAATATTATATTATATTATTCTATATTATTCTATATTATATTATACTATACATTATACTATACTATATTATATTATATATATGCAGTATAAAGTAATATATTATACTAGAGGCTTTTCCATTGCCAACAACACCAAGGACTGGTACACCCACCTTTTTGGCGTCAAGAGGCGCACGCTGCATGTCCCCAGTCAGCTGTGCATCTCATCCGAAACTATCAAAACACCTACAAAGAAATAGATTCGATGACTTCGATGCCTCCATGTATCACTGTCGCTATGCAAATTAAGCGACTGACTCGAAAGTGAGAATCTGAGACATACTGAGACACTGCTAGCTAAAGGCCCGCAGAGCAAGGGCTTGAGTCACTTCGATTCACTTGTTGCTCTTCATGGTTTTTGCGCTGGACTTCGCCTTGGCCTTTGCCTTGGCCTCGTGGGGTCATGGGGAACAGGATGTCCTCACGAATTGTAAAGTATGGAAAATGCAGGCAACACTGGCAACACCATTCAAACATATTCAAACGGACCGATGAAAACGGCCCTTTGGCAAAATTCACTTTCCCGATCTTTCCCGATCTTCTGAAGCTCAGAAATCTAAAAAAGAAAATCCACGAGTCAAATATCAACCAGTGCTAGTACGAGTAACATCCTTAAAGCAACACCCCACTTAGCCGCCCAGCTTGCCCGGCATCGCTGCACCTTTGGGGCTTTGGCTGCGCTTTTCATGGCCTTCTTAGACTTGAAAGCCAAAACGCTGAACTCGGAGGTCTTTGCATACCTGAGGTCGCTAAGCCGCTAAGCGTGAAGGGTCTATCTGATTATCTGGCTATCTCCCTATCTCCCTATCTGGGTGCCCATCTACTCCCATCTATATGCTCGCATCGATCCATCCATCCATCCATCCATCCATCCATCCATCCATCCGTCTCATTGACTGGTCCGTCCATCCATATTGCATCATCGGATGGCTAACCCACAAGTCATTGAGGGGCCCAAACATCGACTTTTTGGGTGACATAAGCAACACAATTGGAGGAGTTTATCCATTCCCATGAGCAATTTATATATTACGAACACAATCATTGCTTTGGTAGTGGTGGTGATGCAGCAAGACTAGATAGACCGTGATAGACCTGTGAAAGATTTAATGTCATTTAAAATCGAAATATCTTGAAATTTGACAGCTGGAACTAGGCTGGAGATGTACATGTTTTCACTGGTCACCAGTTGAGTGTTCGCCAAAAACAGGGCATCTACTGAGGAAGCCACTTGCTCCAGATTGCAGCTGGAAGGTCTTTCTTGGACACATGTTCGGTCTTTCCTGGGTCCCATGAAGCATTCTCCATACTTGGGAATAATGGGTAAATTGAGGTAAATTGAGGGTAATGATGTGGACTAGGGGCTGGGTGGAAGCTTTGAAAGTCTTGGCTGGCTACAATGGAAAGTTTGGGTAAAGGCTGGTCTCGATATGTCTCGATTCCTATGGAAATTAGTGGGCATTACATGAAACTACAATCCCAAGAATTCCACTCCGCCTGCAATTCTTCAGCCTTGGGTTCCACCGAAAAGGCACATGGACAGGACAAATCGGCAATCTCTCTATGCATTTGGTGGAATACCAGGGTTCCTCATTTAAGGAACTATTGTGGTAGGTCGCTTGGATGTTAATCAGCAAAAAGCGTCTCATGCTCTTTTTCACCTCGTAGTTGTCGGTAATGATTTCCATGCTGCCCCTTTCCTTCAGCGCTTTCTCCTCAAGTCATCTGCACATCATGATCCAGCACTTGGTGTTTGTTGCTAGGTCTGTGTTACTTGAAGCAGGTTTCTGCACTTTGTAGCATTCATGTCGTGGTTTCCAACCACTGCTAGCCAGAACGGTTTTTACGGATGGAGATGGATGGAGCATGACCACAAGGGTTTCTGGAAAAAACACATATATATTCTAAACTATGGAGTTCTCACAGTACCTTGGTACCTTGTTTTCAACCAAAGCCACCAACAGTTTTTAGATGTTTGTCCTCAATAAAATTGCCCTTCAGCTGGAACAACGTTCAAATCTGAAGTGCCACTTCAGGCAGCCAATTTGATTCAAGTTGGTAGGTTTGCCTTCAACCCAAAAATGAGCTTGTTGATTGACAGAGTGCACAAGATGCACAAGGTCTGGTTTTTCAAGGTCATTGGATTGACAAATGCCACAGTCCGGGGATGTCGTCTGCACTTTTGACAACAATTATCCCCGATTCCAACAAACCCCGACTTTCAGGCCACAGTACTCTTACAGGGACCTGTTATTGTTGTTGTATGTTGTTGTCTTCTCTTGTTTGGTCTATGTTCCAAAATCTATCGCCATGATCCACATCTCCATCGGCAGGACATATCAGGACCAGCTCTAATCACATCTCCACATGTCACGAAAGCACGGTGCTTCTTACCCTGTGGTAATAGTCATGGCAGACAATGGCGAGCCATTCATATGTTCAGAAAGATTTCACCAAAATAACCTCCATTGAGTTCGAGGATATCTCCGGAGTCGCAAGGCCCAAGTTGCAACTTGAGTCTTGCACATCTCGATCGTCTTCTTCCTGGTTGAATCCGCTGGGAAAATCATGGAAAAATCCATATTGAAGAATAGTTCTTTGAGCGTGACATAGACTGACCAATATTTGCGAACCCCCAGATTGTGACCAGTGTTATTGTAAAACCCAGGTCAGCCATGTCCACACGTACGCAGGATAGAACTACTGGCAGGGATTTTTGTGGTTTGTGTTATTTCTCATCGCGAACATGAAAACTTGGCCAGGCTCACTTATACCGGTTACTGCGGTTACTGTATGTACAACAATATGGTCCGGTCCGATGAGTATAGAACTCCGAATGCAGTGCAGTCTCGAGTCTCGGCTCCAAAGACGGCATGAGCAGCAACATTGAACAGATTAAAACACCAAAAAGATACTATAAAACTTTGAATTTAGCCAAAGGCCAACAAAACATCATTGACAGCACTCCCATATATCAACACTTCCTGCAAAGCACTTGACATCACTTGACATAGCTGAGTTTCATGGCTGCTTCTTCTCCTTTGGCCCATGCCCACTTCTGCAACACCAACTCGATTGCATCGTCAGACATCACCATGGCGATCGAACACCACCACCGTCTTGCACGGTAGGCAGAGAGGAGACAAGACTTTCAGCAAAAAGCTGTGGTAGAAGCAATGGATCCGAAAAACAGCCAGCCACACATGCAGTTTAATAAACAGTGATGAACATGAATGAACTTGCGGGTGCCAGACTTCCTACAAGATACTCTGCAGCCAATCCCCTGGGACGTATTGGGACGTGGCCACACGTCACGCGGGCGTTTTTCGTTTTGCTGCTCTGAAAGCGGAGTTCAAGGAGCGTTTAACATATTTGGCCATCTGCGGAAGCTCCCTTAGCGGCCCGGTTAATCCACAAGGATTGAAAGGTGAAACCGGGACCCATGATACATTGGCATTAAAATTGATACCCCATGACCCCATGATACCTCCCCTATAATTCTGGGTTAACATGAATATGACTGATTTTGTGAGAGATACACACAAAGGGAAAGGTTCCTTTGCATGCTGTAAATATATATATATATATATGGCAGTGTGTCAAAACCTTGTACCCCTCGTGAACATCAAAATAGCTGGTAGATGGATGTTCATCCCACTAAAAATGGTATTAATAGGTATTGACCCATACCCATATTCCACACCAACATGTTTCATGTACCATCTATTTTTTCCTGCCTATTCCTTGCTGTTTATGGGACTTCTGCACGGCCACACGTCCTATGCCAAATCAGCCACGAAGCAAGCGCCCCTCACTTCATGTCGCGGTTCAGCGCGGAATTCACCGATCCAACGACGAGGTTGGCACCCTCTTCGCCACCGGACGACGGCACTACGCAGGGATTTGCCGCTGTACAAACTGGTGCATAATTGTTTCTGAGCAGGACTGATTGACCAATCTGTCAGTGGAGATGCTCATGGAATCTCATGGATGTCCATTTCCTAGATTTCTTTCCCATTCTTTTCCATTGGTTTCATCTTCATTATCTTCAACTTGGAATGGCAAGTGGCATACTGTTGCAAGTGGCTTAGCCATGGTGTTCTGTTCAGAAAGGTTCATGCACCGCATGCACACATGAAAGCTGGAATACATGGCAGTCAGGATTCTGCCAGTGAAGCCAGTGCGACCCTCGTCTGAAAACTTGGCTTTCAACGGCATGACCACCCGAACATGGAGAACAAATGGGTATGGGTTAAAATTAGGTGCCCAATCATTGGATGGTGAAGACTAAAAATAAACAAACATGTGTCGTAATTACTGCAGGTCTTAATTTTTTGAACCCAGCCCAGACCCGGACGTTGAAGAACAAACAAGGCAACAACAACTGGGTGGCAGCAACGATGAGAAAAATACGGGGACAATTGATATCAACGCGCCCAGACTCTTGAAAGCCACACATTAAGTGTATCGATGTGCAATGATGAGGATACATAATGACACACACACACAAAAAAAACAAACAAACACATAAACACGCACATGTATAATATATATATAATCATGTTTGTATGTATGGTATTTGCATTTGCGTTTGCGTTTGCATTTGTATATTGCATTGTAATGTAATGTAATGTAACGTAATGTATAGTTGTAAGCTGTGGAAATGCATCGTGGTCTGGCATCCTGGCTATATCTGGCTATGGATCTCGTGTCCATAAATCCTCCCTGCTGCCCAACACCCAGCCGTTGCAGTGCTGCATCACTCTGGTCATGTTTAAGTCATTCAAAACATTGAGGGCATGGAGCACAAACATCAGGTGTGAAAGAAGATTTTCAATCCTTGGATGGAATGGGATGTATATATTGTTTATGACTTTTTCTGGGGCTACCATCATGGATTTCTGGGGTGTAGCTCAGCCGTCTGAAATAGCATTGTTCAATATCGATCACACTTAGGCTCACATGGGAAAGGAGACAAGAGAAACACTGTTGACAACAAACAGCTGCTTTGCCTCATACCTGCCCAAGTTCAGCATGCACATCTCAGGCCCAATTTCATCAACAAGGATCGGACAGGATCGGATATTTGCTGACCATGAAATGGAACGGCTGTCCTGACCCCATGCATCCCCATGCGCAACACGGCCACAATGAAACTACATCAAAGACAAGTTTGCTCCTGCGAAATCTGCTGATGAATGTAGTATGAATGTAGTGAATCCTGAAGTGCCTGAATACGCACTTCATCTTTCCAGATGCTGCACAACCGGCTGTGCGTGGCCCTCAAACTACAGTGTGGGATCCTTTGGCAGTCGCATTTGGAGCCCATCGACTTACAGCACCAAGAACTTGAAAAGGTCGTTGGTTGATTTGGCCCATCCCCAAAAGTGAAACTCATTCACAGTTGTAAGCTGGTTTATAAACATTTATAAACCACAAACCATCATAAACCCTCGTTCCATTCTAGCTATGAACCAACTTATCTATCTGGGAAGGCTCACCTAATAGGGGTCATCATCCAAAGCCTGTGGCTTCAGCCAATCTTCCAGGCAAAAGTACTGAGTCGACATGAGTCGACCTTCCCAAGCTCTTGAAATTGAATTCCGCATGCATGGCTCAGCACTCAAGGCGGGCCCTGGCCCACCGAGGAAATCTGGTTTGCTGCTTTGCTGCTGGAATTTTGATGAGCTTTGGAGAAAAAAAAACATGGAATGGAATCTTTGGATTAGCCACAGCAATTCTGCAACAAAATTTTGCTCATGACTTGTGACTGAGGATTACTGGGACGCCTAAAAAGGTATCTTAACGTGGGCATACTGTTTTGCATACTGTTTCACAAGTGACTGACCCTTCGGACCCTTCGATTTGGATCCCCGGCCTTTTGCTTTGTCCTCGTTGCACCCTTGGAGCAGTGGACTGGTTGTTCCCAAGGCGCAGCACTATCTTACAGCAAACGTATCAGGAGCTTGGCAGTCTGCTGTCAAATGAGCATCTTGTGTGATGGCCAGCATCGCGTTTGACAAAGAGATACATATTTAGATGTATAATTTTGTAGTAAAATCATGCACACTATCTAATTGTATGTTAATATATATATATAATATTATATAGAGAGGTGTGCATGTGCGCGTGTGTAAGCATACAATACATGCTACAGTACAGTAAAGCAAGCCCTTTTCAGAAAAGCCCTAACCAACACCCAGCGTGACCTGGCCATCCATTCTGAATTTCGCCGAGACACGGCTGGCGTGGAGCTACATGTGGAAGGTGTCAGCTGACCAAGCAAGGTCAAGTTGGTCAAGGAGGCACTTCGACTGCGGTGAGTGCGGTGAGTTTAAGGTTTTGGAAAACAGCTGGGGGTGGTCGAAATCATTGAAATCCCAACCATTTCTGTGGTAACATGAGGGATGCATTACTGAGTTCACCACATTCGGTCACATCTCAATGCCAGTTCACTTGAGATCCACGTAGAACGAGTGACTAGGGGCGACGATCGCAGTGAGGATAACACGTCCAAAGAGCGAACAAGGCAAGGCTTCCAGAATTGGGCCAATTCAAACCCACCAATATCCATTGGTTTCCCTTTAACTTTAACAACCGTCATTCATGGTGAGTAATCAGCTTCGATTCTTGTCCCATTTGTCCCCGATCAGCTCGGCTGGCTACCTTTCACCCCTGATGGTGCGCTCGCCCACGCAGGACCTGCATAAAGGATGCTGTGGTTAAAAGTTGGATCCCATAGCCAACAGCAGGATTTCTAACAATGCTGGGATGACCATAGCCCATATACCATGTTTTAAACATGACACATATCATGCTTTGTGCTTCCTTGGTGAATCTCCGCATTTTCTCGGCAATTTTGGGGTGCAACGGCAATCCACATAATCCGCATACACTTTCTTTTCATACATCACTCTCTCTCTCTCTCTCCACGGCCCTTTCCAAGAGTTTAGTTCAGCCACAGGCTGAAGGCAAGCCAGCGGCCCAGTTGCCCAGTCGCCCAGAAACAGTGTTCATTTAGTTTTCACTTGAACATACTTGATCAATCTGAGACCATCTAAGACCTATGTAAGATCGATTTGATGTTTAGCCGTCATCAACCCCGTCAGCACTCCTTTTTCCAAAAGGCGCGGCCTGGGTCAATGGATGTCAATAGCCTCCCTCAGACTTCTTCTTCTCAGGCAAATCGATCCAATAAATGTAGTCTGCGAAGCCTTTGTCGCGATTGAATTCAATCTCACTCACTTTCCGCCCCTCTTCGAAGTCGCATTCGATGGGCTTCTCTGGAAAGCATAGGATGGGCTTCTCGAGGACAATGTCATCTGGATTGGCGGTATCGTACACAAAGAACATGCGCTTCGTTTCCCCAATGTCTGTGAAGTTGACTTCCAAACACTCATCGGGTGTGGCAACTTTTGTGGGTGTGTTGAACTCGGGATCGATCATCTTCTCCTGACAGGTGGGCTCGTCATCCTCGTCATCCAGGTCCTCCTTCTCAGGTTTGGCTGAGGCCTGCCATCCTTCTTGCCGAAGGCAAGTCTCCCGAGCCTGCCCCTGCATCTCAGGGGAGCAATGCTGCATCTTCTGCTGCAAATCGTGGCAGGTGCTGGCCCCGATCTCGGCCAAAAAAGTCGACACTTCCTCAGGATCCTTCTCTTCCCGGAACCAGCCCTCCTTAAGCCCTTCCTTGTAGACATCGGGGTGTTTTTCGAAGAAGTCAGAGGTCACTGGCTGGTTCTCTTTGGGCTTTTGCTTGAATCTGTTCCGCTCTTTCCTGAACTTTTCAAGGCCTGGTTTTGCCCAAAGAAGCCGCGGGTCCTGCCCCATGTACACACCACCGACATCACCTTGCTTGGCTTTGATGTCAAACTGGGAGACCAAGCGGACCTGCCTGGGGCTCAGGACACTGTTACACATGCGTTCTCTGCTGCTGTTTTGGAGCACGTTGAACTCGCCACAACATTGCTGCAGCCATTCGACCTTTTCGCCCTTGGCCAGGAAGGGCCAGGACATGCAGCTCCGGCCGTTCTATCCACAGGAACGACCACAACAGCCTAACATCTCGGCCTCCACTTTGCGCACGACTCTGTCGGCGCAGGTCTCCTCAAAAGGCGTGGCATCCTTCCAGACATCATCGGTCATCTTCCAGATGTTCTCCAGGGTCTCGTCCACGATCTGCTCGCACTCATCCCGACAAACGTGCTGCAGCAACTGGTGCTCCATGGAAGCTGTGAACCTTCCTGTGACCAAGGGGTCTAGGCGACCCATTCCCTTGGTCCCATTGTGCTTCGAAAGCCCATTGGCTTCATGGAAGAGAGCTTGGCTTTGAGGGCTGCCGACATCGTCCAAGGTCCCCGTCAGGATCTCCTGGCAGAGCTGCGGGGTCACCTTCAAATCCTTCCGGAGGTAGCTCTGCATGTGATCTAAATCGAACACGATGGATCCGTAGACCTTCTCCACGACCTGTGCGCAGAAGCGCACCGCCGCCGCCTCCACCACCCCCGAGCGCCGCTCCGCTTTCTCCGAGGCACGGAGACATTTGCAGCTCGTGCCTTTCCATCCTCCCGGGCTCGTGTCGGCAGCCAGGCGAAAGGAACGGAACATTTTCGCCTGACCTTTGACTTCCTCCACTTCCCCGCAGCCGTCGGATGGAAAGAGATGGTCCCAACAATAGCACCATCCTTCACTCTCAGTGACTCCCCACTCTTTCAGCTCCTCAGAAGTTGCGGTGCCTTTGATATCGCGGCACTTTCGGTCCCCAGGCTGCTCCTGTGATTTCTCAAAGGCACTGAGACATTCGCAGCTCCTGGCCGCATCTGCCAGGCGAAAGGAAAGGAACGTCACGAACTTGCCTTTGGTATATATATGTATATATGGAGGGGACTTCGACTTCCTCAAATTCCCCACAGCCGCGGGATGGATAGCGACCGATAACACCACAATAACACCTCTCTGCATTCCGAAGTCCCCACACTCTCAGCCTCTCAGGACTTAGGGCCTTCTTGATATCCTGGCACTTTGGGGGCCCAGGCCATGCCGTCAAGGCAGCCGAAGTCTCCAACCCGGGACGCGCCGCTTCCACGGCGTGCAGGGCCAAAGCCTCGATCCTTTCCACGCGCAATGTGCCGCAGGAAGATTTGCTTCCAGCGAAACGGGCAGGTTGCAAACAGATTGAGTGCTTGAGCTCGAACAAAAACAGAACGCAACATCGCAATTGTTGACAATCTGAAGCTATGGTGAGTAATCAGCTTCGATTCTTGTCCCATTTGTCCCCGATCAGCTCGGCTGGCTACCTTTCACCCCTGATGGTGCGCTCGCCCACGCAGGACCTGCATAAAGGATGCTGTGGTTAAAAGTTGGATCCCATAGCCAACAGCAGGATTTCTAACAATGCTGGGATGACCATAGCCCATATACCATGTTTTAAACATGACACATATCATGCTTTGTGCTTCCTTGGTGAATCTCCGCATTTTCTCGGCAATTTTCGGGTGCAACGGCAATCCACATAATCCGCATACACTTTCTTTTCATACATCACTCTCTCTCTCACTCTCTCTCTCTCTCTCACTCTCTCCACGGCCCTTTCCAAGAGTTTAGTTCAGCCACAGACTGAAGGCAAGCCAGCGGCCCAGTTGCCCTGTCGTCCAGAAACAGTGTTCATTTAGTTTTCACTTGAACATACTTGATCAATCTGAGACCATCTAAGACCTATGAAAGATCGATTTGATGTTTAGCCGTCATCAACCCGTCATCAACCCCATGCCAAATTTGGACTTGGCCTGACTCTGCGCACCTAGCGATTCCGCGAGGCAAATTGGAATTCGACCCGCTGGGATCCACAGAACATTGGATGGTACTGCGGAACCGCATTTCATCAACCTGAGGAACAACAAATTGCAGACCTCACAGTACTTAGTATACTTATATACTTTATATTATATATATATGCATATTATATTATATATACTTTTAATATCATATCATATCATATCATATTATATTATATTATTTTTATATTATTTGTAATATATGTATGTATACCAATGCTTGAACGGGGGAATGACATACTCAAATCACATAAATATTAATACACGTGAACATGAATCGGACATCATGATGTCATGCCATTGTTCTTGGTTGTATCTTGATTTAATAAATCAAGTTGAGTAGACTGGAAGGTACCCTCTGGTAATTTAACATAACTATGGAAAATCACCATTTTTAATGAGTAAATCCACTATAAATGGTCATTTTCAATAGCTATGTTAAATTACCAGAGGGTACATGGCCCACACCCAGGGTTGATGGCCCCTCGGCATCGCCTGTCTACGCCACTTGGTGTCGGAAGCATCCTGCGATCCAGTGGGCGGAAGAAGGGTGTCCTGCTTTTGGCTGTACAGAAGCACAGCCAAAGGCTGGAAAATCATGAATCAACATGAATCAACTGCGTCTCAATCTGTTCTAGAGTAGAAAGTCCGATATTCCGCATGAGTGCGTGAGGAGGTTGAGTAGTTTAGGTGGGCATATCATATTTGACTTCACTAATATATTTTTGTTTGATTCACAGAAATTGGCTGTTCAATACTGATGTGCACTTTTCACTGCAACCCACATGGGAGCAAACAACCTTGATCATGGTGGATTATGTTGGACTAACTGAAACTTTCATATGGTAGAGGATCGCATGCTTGTAAATATCTCAAGGTCTCCATCCTTGTCAGAATAACTTAACATTCAATCTTAAAACCGGTCCATTTAAGGCATTTCAAGGCCATATTCCCTTTAAAGACACTTTACGCCTTTCCCCACTTTCATGCATCTATGCGTATATATCTATATAATCATTCATACACAACACACAGTACAAGCATGGGTTGCATCAGATTTCATAATCGGTTTGATATTGCAGCGGGATTCTCCACGTTCGCCCCTCTTCATTGTTAAAGTCATTTAAAACCGAATTATTTTCTGGTGAAATTGCAATGTTTGATGGTGACATCAGAAACACATACTACGTAAGTTAAACGTCCATTTTTGCTGGTAAACCCAATATCTTAATACATGTTACACACCTTACTAGTCAGTCAAATCCCCACATTTTGGTGGTAAACTCCAACTTTTCATGGCAACCCCGACATTTTCATATATATATATATATATTAATACACCCAGTACAGCTGTTATACATTTGTACTTGTCGAATCCCCAAAATTTGACCGTAAAACCTCAGTTTTTGGCCGTGAAACCCAACATTGCTTCGTAATTTCCCCCAACATGACTGGTTGGTGGTTTTTAACCAAATTGAAAAATATTAGTTAATGGGAAGGATTATCCCATATATTATGGAAAAAAACATGTTCCAAACCACCAACCAGATGAATTCCGGCATTGCCACCGCTGCCTTCAACCTGTGCGTTCCGCTCTCCGACTTCAGCTGTTGCTGCAGCTGTTGGATCTCGTGAGCCTCGCGTGAAAAATGGTCCATCATGTCACCATATGATTTTTGCATATTTTTGCGGTGTCTCATACCCCCCAATGTCAACTAGGCCTTATATGATCTTATATGTAATATGGGGATTTCTTTGGGGCTATGAGATGATATGAGATTTTCATCAAGCTCAAGAATGATCCAAGTTCACCAGTAATGACATGTAATGACTCAATGTCAGGATGTGGGCTGATGTAGGTAAGTTTTTGTTTGACCCAGTGGGTTGAAGGGAACATTTAAAGGAAAGCCAGGTGTTTTCATTCAAATACATTCAAATACAAGGGTTTTCAGTGCGATGTTTCCTGCAAGTGATCATCATGGCCATATGCTTGGTGATGTGTTCTCCAAGTTTGATCAATTTTGTGGCTTGAACATGGTTGAACCCCATGGAACCCCATGGTGATGATATATCCAAGTCTGATCTCCGTCACTTCAAACAGCAGGGATCGCCTGCTGCTCAATCTGCTGTCGCTGCCGCAGTGTTTCCTGGGCGCTCTTCTCTTGTGCCGAGATTAACGCCAAGCGACGCCTTGGATGTCGAGATCATCCCCGGTAAGTAGCAACCTACCAACTGTGACAAGAACGGGACTATTCAATACACAATTCATATATTCCATCGTGATTGGAGCTTTTCATGATATCGTATTCAGTTTATGCATATATACATACAGAATCATATATCATAGTCACGTGATATACATATACATATACATATACATATACATATACAATGTATATATAATTATATATATATATCCCAATCAAGAAGGGGTTGCGGATCATGAACTATGATGAAGAATGATGATTGATGAGACAAGTTCAGACAGCCAAGTTTCTCCAACTCCACTTCACTCTTCCTCTGGCACTTGGAGATCTGGGCACTTACCTCAGGAATCCAAAACCACGCAAAGTATTTAAGTCCATCCTCCAAGGTTGGGATGGATAACCCATGGATGATTCATGAAATCTGCCCCGTGGATCCTAAAAATCCTAAAATCTACTTCTTCTTTTTCATGTGCAGTACTTTGCTAGGTCATGTCATATATGCAACTATATTACATGTCCTCATGACATGAGTCATGTCCGATGGCCCCTTGTCCCTTCACGGACCTACGCCTTTCTTGGCACCTGCGGAACTCTGATATTTCAACCAAAAGGCGTTGCCCCACAGTCCAGCGCCTTATGTAAACTATCTTAATCATCTTGGAACCTTGGACAAGTCTAGTAGAGTCTAGTTGTGACTGTCCTCTGGTGGGTCCCTATCCATGCTCCTCCAGAGGCAAGTTACGCGTTCCTCCCTAGCCTTCACGCGATTCAGGAGCTCTGATCGTTCTTCTTGCATCTGCTGCCTGCGTGTTGCGAGCGACAGTGACCCATCTGGCCCATAATTCACCAGCCTTGAATGGGGCAGTTTGGATGGTTCCCATCACATCCAATAACCATCATGTATGCTGAGATCGTCAGCCAAAAAAATATAAAAAAATCTATGTCTGCCAAGCTTCCTCCAGTGAAACCATGACCCCAAAGACTCCCCAAGAAGGTCGATTTCACTAAGTCAGACCTTGAACCCCCTGCAGTCTCAAGTCGAAAGCCCCAGAATTTTGAGCAACACTCTCCTGGTGAGTCTCACTACACTGCAGATGAATCCGCAATCATCCAACGCTGAGATGAGTGGTGCCCGAGCACCTGCAATCTTCCAGCAGCCTTTCTTTTTCGGCAACGAAACCCTCCTGTGGTATTATGCTGGGCTGGCCTGCTGCAGAAAATGTGGTCCGAAAAATAAAATGGCACCTCAAACAATCGAAGGTAATGCAAGCATTGAATAACTGCTCATATCGGGGTTGCTATGGAACTTGTGACTTCTGTTCATATAATTATAATTGCATTGACAATAGCGCATACCAATATTTGGCTATGGCTCAAAACATCTCAAAATTCTTCAAACCCCTTCTGTTCACATCCGGAATAGCTGGTCAATGGATGTTCATGCCCGGCCGTATGTTTGCCTCTTTCCCCCCAAGAGGATCTCCTCCAAAACTGCTTCCCTCTGCCGCAGCTCTTCTTCGTGCCGACGTGTGGCTTCCAAGAGTTCTTTGGCGGCTGCCTGCCGGTAGGGTGTGACAACATGGGTCCAAATTTCAGATCTGAACCATCCGGTTGGATCGGTGTCTTGTGGCATTTCTATGCATTTTTGATGATCAGAAACAGATCCATTGATCCACTCTACACCAAATTTTTGGGATCTTCAATTTTGGCGTGTCTGCTTTCAACCCCTATCATCCCCTATCTGCGTTCATGGATCGGCTGGGCTTGCTTGTGTTTGAGCGATTGATTTACGGAGTCAAGCTTAGGCTCATGAAATCTTCTTTTCTGATAGCCGACCATATTTTGATATAGTTATTTTTGAATTCTGCTATGTACGTTCTAGTTTGGCACCCACTGGCAATTGCATGGGGTAAGCAAACTCCTTCGGCAACTTGTCATGGCAAGCGAAAACTTGCCATGTGGCTTTTAGAACAAGATCGAACAAGTAATGCAAATGCGGGACCCAAAAACTCACGATTGTTTGCATGCTCTAGCCCTTTAAGGCTGCAAACACAGCATGAATAAGGTGAGAAGTGAATTTGTGTCCAAACACCTGCAACCTGAGCTGGGCGTGCTACCAGAACCTCGGGGTGATGTACGTTGTATTGACTTATATATCCGACTTATATTGTAGGTAATTTACAGTAGCTTGTGGGACTGTTTTAAGTTTCTGTTTCTGGATATAACTCCTCAGAGCTTTGCATTTCCACGAGCCTCTTTGGGCTGCATCAAGAAAAGGTATCTGGCATGTTGAACATTGTTGAACAAACGTTCTACGATTGGCGAGCCATCCTTTGGGCCATTCGACAGCTTTGCATCTCTTGGTGCGCAGAGCGGGATCTGTTACTGTTGGCCAAAGCGGTGAGCTGTCTGCCACTTGTCCTGAAATATTCCGACATGGTCATCATCTTCTGATGGGTGGCGTTGCGCACTGAGCCGTTCTGCTGTGGCTAGGAGCCGCCTTCCAAAGCATCTGCGTCGGCTGCCTGAACCTCATCATGATGAAGCGCCAAGAATAGTGTCTCCTCTAATAGACCCCCCCGCAATCTCCCACAATAAAAATTCACCGCACTCTTGCAGTTGGTGGTTCCACAAAAATCAACGAATTCCAGCTCATGCCCAGCAACGGCCACCATGGGAGTGGAATACCAATAGGATCCCGTGACTTTTCCCTTGGCTTTCTGGATATGTGGCCGCACCCAGGGGTCCCAATGTTTCATGCCATCCATGACTCCATCTGCTGGGACCCTCACAGGGCTCGCACCCTGAGAAAAGGTGAAGGCGCCTTGCAAGCCTGTGAGCTGACCAGGGCGCTACCTAAGTAATTGGAGATCATGGGGTGAATATGGCATATTTAATATATAATATTTAATGTATATATATATATATAATTAGATTTAGATATATGAATATTAAGAATGTCATCCAAAAATGGGATGACCATGCAATATATATATATATATCCAATAATGGGATGGTTCATTGGATTATCATGGCATATAATCTACATCCAACACCATCCAACATCATCCAACCAACCGAAAGAAACACATATCGTTTGGAGTGCTCTTTCATGCCGCATGTCAAAGCATGATTTCACAACTCTATGCACCAAACCTTCTCACAAAGCCATCCCCAGAGCTGGTGACCGCAATTGCAGGAGACATTGGCGCACCATCAAGAAATGCTTACTTGGCCAATTTTCTGCTTCAAACTTGTGACAACCACATCCTCCAATTAAATACCGAAATTTGAAACTCCCGATGCTCCCAAAAACTTCCAAAATTGTTCGATCTTCGCGCCCGGAAACTAATTGTATAGCCATGGAGGCAAGAACCTGCAGGGTGGCTTACATTTCCTTTATCCAGCATCACCCTTTCGAGGGCCATCAACCACTAGTTAAACCCCAAAAAGTGATCCAGCTGATTTAACATGGTTCAATCCGTTTTAACCATCCCCAACATGTGGAGTACAAATTTCATTGTTACACAATGAATCAACATCTTAAAACAAATCGGAAATAGAACATGAATTAAAGTCATACAAAAAACATCAAACAACCCTGTCCTGGGTGTCCGTATGACAAGGTCAACGGCCACCTTCCAGTCTCCTTCTCAAAGTTTCGTGGTTTCCCTCCTCGTGGACAGTAGCCCCAAAGGATAACGTCCTGGGAGGGGTGTCTGGGGATGGGTGAAAGTAAGGTACCTCTCAAAAAATCGAAGAACCTGATGCTTGACTATATATACCTAGCTGTTTCATGCTGTTTCATGTTTTGTCAGATTTGTATACTGTTCCATGCACTTAGCGTTAAGAAACTAGCTAGGGAAGAATCTAGTATTGATTGCTGGTAATGCTGAACCCTTCCATCTGTCTTGTTGTGGGCGGGTGCTGAAACTACAAGATCCTTCTTCCGAGCATCGAAAGGTGGGAGGCTTCCAACAGTTTCGGACACTCTCAACGTGAAGTTCGGTGCCAAACGCACATCGTCTTCAAAAATCGTCGCGCAAGGCCATCGCTCATACCTTTCATCGACAGCTGGCAGCTGTGAATGGGGCTACCCCCGTGCACCGAGTAGTTGTTTTGTTGAGAAGAGCTGCAAGACATTGTGAGATTCTCGCCCAAACCCCTCAAATTCAGCATCTTTTGAGAAATATCTGGTGGGATAGGTTGAGACCTTGCAGTGTTAGCCGGGCTGGGATGAATTTGAGAAGAATACTCACAGGCCTGAATGGATGCCGCGTTTTTCAATCCTGTGATGCCTTACATGATCGTATTTGTTTCCTGTCTTTTTTTGTACGGAAAAAGTGGGCCCAACCCAAGCCACATATAAAAAATGATTCGTTGATATTTGTTGATAGTTGATAGTCTTGCATAGTTTGTCCAAATGGACATGTTTGAAGTACTGTAAACATGCCACAGACCAGCTTACTTTTTATTACTGTATACAATTTATACTTCCATGTCAGTATCCTGCTCTTGTACCCAGTAGTCGAAATCCCAATCTTTTCGCATTCATAGACCCCCAAGTCATCAACAAGCGGCTGACAGCAAAAACTGTGAGCCCACGCCGCAATCATCATTTCTGGGAGGTGCTTCACTCACCAGTTTGGTTGGCCAACCACCATCTTAACATGTTATATCCCCAGCCATGTATCCCACCAAATAATCTCTGCCACCACAGCTGCAACATCATCTCATAGATTTCCCGATGACTCAAGGAGTTGGACAGCCGCGAGTCGCATGGACATTGCATCTTCCCCGTTTCCTGCCGTGCCAAACGCTAGATCAAGCGGAACGGCCCGTGTATGCAGGTTGACCCGGAAATGAGTCAAGATTTGAGGCAGTCACTTGAAATCCTACCTGCAATAAAAATGATAGGATGGAAGAGGATTTCACACTGAACTCGTGAATCTATATTTATATATGTGCGTGTAACAACTTGAGCGTCCTTGGCCAACCGCTGGTCTGTCAATGCATCGACTGCGCTCCAGAAGTGGTATTGGGTCAAGTTGGCTTGAGCAAATTCCCGCTTGATGTGTTCCCTTCGGCGTTCGCCACGTTTCCCTTCCAGGGTTGGAGCAGGCACTGCATAGAGTAATCCCATACTGATTCCATCCCCCAAATCAAAAAAGGACAAGCAGTTGCAAGAGCCATCTTGGCTTTCGGTTCTTTGGATAGTTGTGATTTAACATCCAGGTCCACAGCTGCCTTCCAAGTTAATCACCAGCACATGCTCCAAAGGATTGCATTTCAATGTGGCTGGCAGCTCCAAACTTCCTACATCGCCCTCGCGCTTCAGAAATTCACCGTCCATGACCACTTTCATGGGCTGCGGATTTTCCTCGGCCAAGTGGCCAAGGGACATGGGATGACATGGAGGTCGCAGTTATGAACCACGGCTACATACGGCTACGATCAATCATCATGTCGCTGAATCAGAATGGAAGGATAATGCACTGGTTGCCTCAATCTGGCCGCACGCTTGCAGGAGCACTGTCTGGTAGTGCCACCAGAATCATCGGCCAATGCCGTGTATATATATATATATTTTTGTTTGTGTGTGTATGTCTGTATGTATTTATATTTATGTATGTATGTAGGTAAGTAGGTAGGTAAGTAGGTAGGTAGGTAGGTACGTACGTGAGTACATAAGTATGTATGAATGCATGTTGTGTTTGCATGTCTGTACGTATGTATGTATGCATGTTGTGTATGCATGTATGTATTGATGCATGCATGTATGCATGCATGTATGGATGTATGCATGTATGTATGTATGCATGCATGTATGTATGTATGTATGAATATGTATTTACGCATGGATGCATGCATGCATGTATGCATGCATGCATGGATGTATGCATGTATGTATGTATGTATGTATGAATATGTATTTACGTATGGATGCATGCATGCATGCATGCATGTCTGCATGTTTGCATGCATGCAAGTACGCATGTATGCATGTATGCATGTTTGCATGTATGCATGTATGCATGTGTGCATGTGTGCATGTATGCATGTATGCATGTATGCATGTATGCATGTATGCATGTATGCATGCATGCATGCATGGATGTATGTATGTATGTACGTGTAAGTGTAAGTGCAAGTGTATGTGTATGTGTATGTGTATGTGTATGTTTATATGTATGTGTGTATGTGTATGTGTATGTGTATGAGTATGTGTGTATGTGTGTATGTGTGGATGTGTGCATGTGTGTGGATGTGTGTATGTGTGTATGTACGTATGTATGCATGCATGCATGCATGCATGTATGTATGTATATGTGTGTGTGTATGTGTGTATGTGTGTGTACCATCTGTATAGATGTAAAACTTCAATATAGTGCAGGGGGATGAGGGTCCCTTGGTGTGCCTCATCTAACAAAGACCGCACCAAGTGGATGTGATATCGGTGCGTGGCCAGCGCTGACGTACCTGCAATTTTAGTATAATATAATATTATAGTCCCGCCCCTGGGCGCATATAAGTCGCAGCTGGGGGGGACATATAGTTTATCGCTGTTGCTTTATAGGATCAACGTCTACTGTGATTATACGTATTATATAAATATAAAAATAAATATATATAATATGTATATATATATGTATTCTTATTATTTTTCATTCTTCGTGTCAGTTTACTGTTGGTGTTGTTGCACGTAAGATACATTCCACATCAGAATTCGCAATGACTGTTCTGAGCAAGTGTGTGATTCATGCTGGATTCGTCAAGGTGGCATGAACCCTTCGGGGAATGCTTTTCTAAGCCTAAGCAAAATGTGGATGCAACGACCTGATGTCTGAATTTACACATTTTAATTCAGTAATTCATCTAAGTAAAGTGAAACAGCTGGCCATTTTTCGCTTTTCACCCATCGGTCGAGGGAGTGTTGAACAGCTGGCCGCCGTGTGGCTTCAATTTTTTCAGATGACCTGCCTTACAGCCGCGACAACCTTCTTTTTTCAATATTGCTCGAGCATTTTCAGCTGTCGACAATTGCAACATGAGGATTCCAGGCACAGGCCATGCTTGCAGGTATGGTGACTCTTCCTTTTTGGTCGTTGGTGAAGTTCAATTGTGCACGTAATTCATTTGAATACTGACAGCCGTCTATGGGGTTGACGTCAAATTTGGCCTTTGAGCCTGCAACAAGGGGAAATTTGCACGATCATGTGGATGTATCACTTCATTAACTTGTCCCCCATGGGTCCTTTATTTCATGTGTTCTCCTCTCTATAGGTTGGGTCCTTCGCGTGCTGAGGTAGGCGTAGGTTTTCGCCGTGTTAGGTTGGTTCAGGCGCTTCCGTCTTCCCCCCCTCCGCTGGTCTTGTTCCGTTGTCCGTCGGCCTCCGCTTTTCTTTTTCCCTTGCCTTTTCACGGTTTGCCCGTTCCGGGCCAGGTGTGTTGTGTTGGTGTTCTCTCTGTCCCTCTTCTTTTGCGTTCCCCTCTTCGCGTTCTGGTTAAGTAAATTTCATTTCATTTTCATTGTCATCTCACTTTCATTTTCATTTCATCTGCCCCGCTGCGGTGGGGCGTGTGTGTGTGTGTGGAACATCTGAAGAGATGTAAAACTTCTACCTTGATTGACGGAATTGCTTTTTCTTATCAGGTTCTTTGCCATTACAATGAACCAGTTTTGAGTATTTTACCAGGCATTTATCCAATCTTCTTTTCAATTGCAGGGGGTGTGACGGTTGATTTCCTAGTCACGCCAACGAAGCTATGGAAATCAACTGGATGGAAGTTTGGACGCAAACTTCTGTACCTACAGTGTCGCACCTGGGCGCATTCAAGTCGCAGCTGGGGGACACGTCATACTGTGTTTTCTGTTGTTGTTTAACTGCATTGTCAAGTGCCAACCAAACTTTAACCTGAGGTTTCTCACTTCTGATCATTCAATGGCTCCTGTCAGGTTTAATTGGAGTGTTTTTGCACGTAAGATGCGTTCCACATCAGAATTCGCAAAGGTGTTTCTGAGCAAGTGTGTGATTCATGCTGGATTCGTCAAGGTGGCATGAACCCTTCGGGGAAAGCTTTTCCAAGCTAAGACTTGACACTTCGAAATGACCTCTGAATTGACACTTTTGAATTAGTAATTCGTCTAAGTAACGTGAAACAGCTGGCCATTTTTCGGTTTTCACCCTGTCGACTGTCATTTGGTTGAACAGCATGCCGCTGTGCCTGGCTTCACCTTTTCTTTTGCCTGAATTTACACTTTTGAATTTCGTTTAAGTAAAGTGAACAGCTGGCCATTTTTCGGTTTTCACCCTGTCGAATGTCGTTTGGTTGAACAACGTGCCGCTGTGCCTGGCTTCACCTTTTCTTTCATGAAAAATCAGGCAACAGGACATGCTTTAGGTGTCGTTTTTCTTTCTTTTTATGGTCGTTGGTGAGGTTCAATTGTGCACGTAATTCAGGGGTTGACAACTTAAGCCGTTTACAGGGTTGTGACATGAAAGCCGAGGGCCTTTGAGCCTTATCACGAATAATGCACGTAATGTGGATGCATCTTATTTCATCAACTTGTTCCCCATTGGTCCCCTATCTCATGCGCGCTTTCCTCTCTAGGTCAGGTTTGGGTCCTTCGCGTTCCTAGGTAGGCTTTGGCTCTCACCTTGTAGGTTGTGTCAGGCGCTTCTGTCCGCCCCCCCCTCCTCTGGTTGGTTTTTTGGCCCGTCGTCCGTCCGCTTTTTCTTTTTCCTTGCCCTTTCAGGGTTTGCCCGTTTCGGGCCAGGTGTGTTGGTGTTGGTGTTCTCTCTTTTTCCTTTTCCTTTTTGCGTTCCCCCTCTTGTGTTCCGGTTAAGTATATAATTGTCATCTCATTTTCATCGTCATCTCATTTTCATCTTTCCTTCATCTTCACCTTCATCTCATTCGTCGGGGCCTTAAAAAGCCTCGCGGCAGCGGGGCGTGTGTGTGTGTGTGTGGAACATCTGAAGAGATGTAAAACTTCTACCTTGATTGACGGAATTGCTTTTTCTTATCAGGTTCTTTGCCATTACAATGAACCAGTTTTGAGTATTTTACCAGGCATTTACCCAATCTCCTGCAGGGGGTGTGACGGTTGATTTCCTAGTCACGCCAACGAAGCTATGGAAATCAACTGGATGGAAGTTTGGACGCAAACTTCTGTACCTACAGTGTCGCACCTGGGCGCATTCAAGTCGCAGCTGGGGGACACGTCATACTGTGTTTTCTGTTGTTGTTTAACTGCATTGTCAAGTGCCAACCAAACTTTAACCTGAGGTTTCTCACTTCTGATCATTCAATGGCTCCTGTCAGGTTTAATTGGAGTGTTTTTGCACGTAAGATGCGTTCCACATCAGAATTCGCAAAGGTGTTTCTGAGCAAGTGTGTGTGTGTACCATCTGTATAGATGTAAAACTTTAATATAGTGCAGGGGGATGAGGGTCCCTTGGTGTGCCTCATCTAACAAAGACCGCGCCAAGTGGATGTGATATCGGTGCCTGGCCAGCGCTGACGTACCTGCAATTTTAATATAATATAATATTATAGTCCCGCCCCTGGGCGCATATAAGTCGCAGCTGGGGGGGACATATAGTTTATCGCTGTTGCTTTATAGGATCAACGTCTACTGTGATTATACGTATTATATAAATATAAATATAATATATATATATGTATTCTTATTATTTTTCATTCTTCGTGTCAGTTTACTGTTGGTGTTTTTGCACGTAAGATACATTCCACATCAAAATTCGCAATGACTGTTCTGAGCAAGTATGTGTGTGTATGTGTGTACGTATGTATGTGTGTATGTGTGTATGTGTGGATGTGTGCATGTGTGTGGATGTGTGTATGTGTGTATGTACGTATGCATGCATGCATGCATGTATGTCGTGCAATACTGTTGTGATGATCAACTTCTGCACCAGTAACGGTTGGTTATTTGTTCCAGAAAAATGCCACAGTAAATTGCCGCCCATCTGACCTGGGAGGCCAGGGCGGAGAGTTGGGAAACCTTAAACTTCGACCCAGGCGTCCACAGACTCCGCTGCTACAGGTGCTGGTGTGGGGCTTGTTGCACCGCGGACCTCCAAGAGATTGGCAAAGACCACCTCATGGAGAACCACGTGGTGATCATAGGCTAACTTTTCTGCAAGCATGGCTTCATTGCTCACCAATGTTAGCCAAACAGTTGAGCTGCTTCTGAGCGCTGAAACTTAGAACATGTCAAACTGCCAAGGAATAAATCTCAGTATCCCCAACCTCAAATTTCATACTCCTGCCAATCCCATCGTAGCCAAGACACATATTTCTTCTCTGGTTCGAGGAGATTTCCCACCACAACACCTAAAACGAAGACAACAAGCAATGCCACGTGCCGCGCGGCCAGCATCCACGCCCATGCCCCGGCAATGCGGCATGCGCGTGGGTTAACATTTGAGGCTTGAGGATCTTGAGGCAAAGAGGTAAAACCATACATCAGGGTGGAGCAAACAATGTGTCACAAACATAATGATGCGCAAATTATGATAGGTCCACTTAGTTGATATATTCCATCGCCAATCTTAGATATTCATCAAAACCCCAAACTTTGCTGTTTGGGTGAATACATCCACATTTATGACGAAAAATCATTGGAACATGTTGGAACATCTTAGTAGCCATCCATATATCATTTGCTGGTGAAGTAACCCCAGGTAATTTAACATAGCTATTGAAAATCACCATTGTTAATAGCTAAATCATGGTAAATCAACTATAAATGGGCCATGTTCAATAGCAAACTGTTAGTTTGCCAAAGGGTAAGCCATTTTTTTCTCACCATGAGCTTGGTGCCGCTTCGGCCTCCTTGGCCGAAGCGGCCCGCATGGTGATCTGTTGCTTGATCTCTTCGGCGTCCATCACCTGGCTGTGCAACTGCTGTTTAAAGATGGGGAGAACAAATAAGACATTCATGATCTACATATATACTGTACTATATAATCATATATATATATACACAGATACATATCCATATATAGTACAGTAATATACATATATAGTACAGTAATATATCTGCTATCACTATCTCTCAACCGATCCGGGTTCATCGTTGGACCAAAAAAAACTACCATATTCGAAAGCAGCAGCATGCTTTCGGAAACCTCCCGGGGATTTCCCAGCTTGGTTCCAGTTGAATTACCGGGTAGCCACACCAGTTAAACCAGTTGTTCTCCGGAGAAGTGCCTCTTGTCTGGACCTCATCTCTTCTTCAACTTCTTTCTTTTCAGCTTCATGGATGGTCACCTGTGAAGGATTCTGAAGTGCTGCACGGCCCTCTCAGCTGGCTCCACTTTAAGAGATTTAAGGATACTTAAAAGCCACCGAGTGTCAATCGTACTGTGTAACTTGATAGCTTGAAGATACTTCAAGAACTGTCAATGCCCAACCAGCTCACCAAAGCTTTACATCCCTGGTACAACCTCCGCGCCTTGCCTTGATCTCCAATTGCTGCACCAAGTTCTGCAACTCCTGGTGGCGTCAAGTCTGGTTTTAGCGCCATGGTATATGTATATTATATGTATATTATATGTGTATTATGTGTGTATTATATGTGTATTATATGTGTATTATGTGTGTATTATGTGTATACTACATGTATATTATATGTATATTATATGTATAGTATATGTATATTATATGTATATTATATGTATATTATATGTATATTATATGTGTATTATGTGTGTATTATGTGTGTATCATGTGTATATTATATGTATATTATATGTATATTATATGTATATTATATGTATATTATATGTATATTATATGTATATTATATGTATATTATATGTATATTATATGTATATTATGTGTGTATTATGTGTATATTATATGTATATTATATGTATATTATATGTATATTATATGTATATTACATGTATATTATGTTTATATTATATGTATATTATATGTATATTATATGTATATTATATGTATATTATATGTATATTATATGTATATTATATGTATATTATATGTATATTATATGTATATTATATGTATATTATATGTATATTATATGTATATTATATATTATGTGTATATTATGTGTATATTATATGTATATTATATGTATATTATATGTATATTATATGTATATTATATGTATATTATATGTATATTATATATTATATGTATATTATATGTATATTATGTGTATATTATATGTATATTATATGTATATTATATGTATATTATATGTATATTATATGTATATTATGTGTATATTATGTGTATATTATATGTATATTATATGTATATTATATGTATATTATATGTATATTATATGTATATATATATATATGCATATTATATGTATATTATGTGTATATTATATGTATATGTACTGTGTGTGGCTGCCTCAAATTGGGTAAACAACTCTAAGTTAGGGTCATCTTCTCCAATGTTCATGGGAAAATGATAGACCATGGAATTTCACTTTGGTCAAGCAGAGACCCGTAAACGGCAGCTTTGAGTTTTGCAACAGCACATGGCATCCCAGTCAGAGCTGGGCCACCTGCATCATTGATCTCATTAAACATCATTAAGCCAGCATAATGAACCACGATCTTCCCTCTACCGCCTGCAGTTGATGCTGTGCATCGTCCAGTGCTTCATCTTTTCGAAGCGATTCTTTCTCCAATGTCTTCACCTTCTCTTGCAGCTTGCCTGGCACCCACCCTCTTGAGATCCGAAAAAGACGGGGAATTACACACTTAAACGCCATGTATACAGTGTATAGTATTGTATGTAAAAATGCTATATTTGTGTATATATATATATTACATATTAATACATAATTATACATATATTGTATAAGACGAGTATGGTATATTTTGTGGTTTTCCTCAGCATGAAGATCATCCTCGCAACTAAAGAGCGCAGACCTGAATGCCGACGCTCCCTTTCCAGGGAGTCAAAGGCCAAGCGCCTGTGGGATCGTTGATGATCGTTGACCCCCAAAGAATTCGACACCTCCAAAGGTTTGCACTCCTGGGGTGATTGCAAATATTGCAAAGGTACAATTGAGAAACATGAAATATGTATATATATATAGATATATATATACTGTATATATATATTATAATAGTTTATGAATTTATGAATGTTTAAATTAAATGAACATCACCGACGTGTCTGGCTGCTGAAGTACCTTTGGTGGGATCCGGGATACCTGCGTCCTGTATCTGGAGCTGGGAAGGATGCAGGAGATACATAAAGCACCTACGGAAAATGCAGAGATCTGCCATTACAAACATTACATCCTGCAAAAAAATCATAGCACCTAGATCTCTGCAAAAAACCTCTCATTTTTACCATTTTGTAATAGCTGACCTTTCATAACACCATCCCACGAAAATCCAAAAAGCAGCATTGGTCCCTTGGGATAAGCATCCCAGGTAGCGAATGGAACCACTTCAGCTGCCACATCAAGGGTTTGTTGCGCCCCCATTTCTTTCTCTTACAGGCTCAGTTTCCTTGACTTTATAAGAGACCAGCAATTGTGCCCCTTTTTGGCGGCTCGAGTATCTATCTGAATCTATCTATCTATATACAATACAACAACTATATATATATATACTACATAAAAACCCACCATGCTTGCAGGTTGAATTCCAGTTTTGGGGTTCAAACTTTTGTTGGTGACATCGTACCTCAAAAAGGCCATGCTAATCCCAGCGCCTCTCTCTGGAATGCTGCGATTCAAGCGTTGCCACCTGCTCGGTGCAGCTACTTTTGGCGGCCTCTGCCAGCAAGGCGCGGTCCTTGCATGGGAACTTCAATGTACCTGGGTAAATTCTACTAGTTGAAACAGTATAATAGTGAATACTTCCTATAGATAATTGTAGTGAATAGTGGAAATAGATGGAAATAGTTAGAACTATTCTACCTGGGTCAATAATCTGAATAGGGCTACCATGGGCTATCTATATTGGAATAATTCCCTTAACCATCATTTCCAGTGAGGTCATGCGGAATATCTCTCCTCTCCCTCAAATCTCTCGCGCTCTCTGTCTCTCTCTCTATCTGCATGCAACTATACAGACTATACACATACCGAAATACTGTGCAACATTGTGCCACCAATCATCACCTTTGACACCGTTTTGAATTTTGGTGTGCAACTTACTATTGAAAGCATGCTGCTTGAACTTGAAGACCACCTAGACCCAAGGATTCCAGGTACCTCGGTCCTTCCAATGAGCAAGCTCTACCTCCAATTGCGAGACCCTGGCGAAGGCATGGGTGGCGCGGACAATTATGAGGTGGCCTGACCTTGGACTCTTGCGACTTGGTAATTGATTTCCCAATTGCAATGAAGCCTGAGCCTTGCACCCAGGACCGCCAATGGTTAGCTACAGTCCAGGAATGAGTTCGAGCTGCATGACTCTGTCTCAATAATTGGGCAACCCTTGGCTTCTTCCGGAGAAGACCATTCTCCGTGTTTTAATCACGCGTTTCCTTCTTGCCTTTCGGAATCCTCCCCCGCAGCGGGGAAAAAGCACATTGTCCATCCAATTCTTCCCCAGATTGTCTTACTAAACAACACATATGGTAACAATGATTCTGCACGTTTTCTAGGCCCGCAAAAATATTAGTCAAACAAAAACTCCCAACAACATAATATACATATATATTATATACATTCTATTATATGTATTTATAAGCAAAATAATAACAATAATAAAATACATATTAAAATGATACACATACATATATTTATATATACATACACACACATATGTATAATATAATATATGTATATATAATATATATATATAAAAAATAATATATATATATACAAAATAATATATATATATATAATATATATGTATATGTGTAATACACACACCCACACACACACATATGTACCCTCGGGGCCCCAGGTTTCCGCAAGGGGTGGGGTGGGGTGGGGCATGTTAACGTCATGTTCATGGTACGTTGATGGGAGGGGTGGGGTGGGGCAACGTGTTAACGTCATGTTCATTCATGGTACATGTTAACGTCATGTTCATGGTACGTTGATGGGAGGGGTGGGGTGGGGCATGTTAACGTCATGTTCATGGTACGTTGATGGGTGGGGTGGGGTGGGGCATGTTAACGTCATGTTCATGGTACGTTGATGGGTGGGGTGGGTGGGGCATGTTAACATGTTCATGGTACGTTGATGGGAGGGGTGGGGTGGGGCGTTAACGCATGTTCATGGTACGTTGATGGGGGGTGGGGTGGGCATGTTAAGGTGTACGTTGATGGGTGGGGGGGGTGGGGTGGGGCATGTTAACGTCATATCATGGTACGTGAGGGTGGGGTGGGGCATGTTAACGTTCATGGTACGTTGATGGGTGGGGTGGGGTGGGGCATGTTATCGTCATATTCATGGTACGTTGATGGGAGGGGTGGGGTGGGGCATGTTAACGTCATGTTCATGGTACGTGGAAACTTTGAAAAAGAACATGTTGCAGCATGTTGCAGCAGGGTGTTGACGTTGAAACAACAACGAGCAAAAAAAAGGGTGACTATCAACATGTCCCGTTTCATGCTAACATTTAAAAAAATGCAAATACCAATTTAAAAAAACAGCCCTTCATATTACACCACGAGCGGCAGTAAAAACAGTACTTTTCCGCTTAAAAAAAAACAACGACTTTCATGAATTGTGCTATTTCGTGTGGGAAAACAAGAAAATCAGAAACTTTGAAAAAGAACATGTTGCAGCAGGCTGATGAAGTTGAAGCAACAACGAGCAAAAAAAAAGGCTGACTATCAACATGTGCCGTTTCATGCTACCGTTAAAATTAACTGCAAATACCAATTAAAAAAAACACCTCTTCATATTACCCCACGTGCCGCAGTAAAAAATGACAATTCCGGATAAAAAAACAAAGAAATTCATGAAAAGTGGTATTTCGTGTAGGAAAACATGAAAATCACAATTGACATGTACTGTGGATAACATGTCATAACATGCAACTTGCGTGGGCCTAAAAATTTAGCTCCGTAACATTGTCATTAAAGAAAGGAAAAGAAGAATGTGCAAAATCCACATTTCGCTGTGGCGAAACAATGATTTTTGACATATGGATCAATGAGAACCAAGATACTCTGCGGAAACCTAGGGCCCCGAGCGCATATATATATATATACATACATATATAAATTTATATACATGATCACCCCCTAAAAGATCCTAAAAGCTACTACCTCTCATCTACCTCTCAATAGATATACTTCAAACATAATATCTTCATTTCTTCATCCTCCCAAGGAAAAACTCCATCCCCATGGCCCCATGGCCCCCCATGGCCCCATGGCCCGCGCCTGGCATGTGCCTCCAGCGTCTCCCGCTCCGCCTCGGCTGAGCTCTGCTCCAAGGCGCCCAGGCGCTGCTGGGCTTCCAGGGCGTCTAGGCGCCAAGAGGCAGCCTGGGATATTGGGGGATGGTTGGGGTTGGGGATGGGGACTTGAGGGTTGGGTGATATTGGGGGTTGGGGGGTTGGTTGGGGATGGGGGTCAGGGGGTTGCGGTTGGAGGTAAAATGAGGATTTCGGGCAGAAAATGGAGTTTCAGGTCTGCAAAAGCTATACGATGGGAAAGGGATTTGGGCGAGCAAAAGGCTGGTAATTTGTTGGGAAGTGGGAAAGCGAATCGAATTTCAAGCAACCAAAAGTGCGAAAAGCGGGATTGAGACAAGAGAAGCTGGAAATTGGGGGGATGACCTGATCACGAACGATGATGACGCGTGCGCATCATTGGTTTGATGCGCTCCCATGGCCATGCCCCACGGGGTGCAGGAACATCTCACCAGCACATGATCATACGTTCGTTCCGGAGGGAAACGGATGCATCTGGTGTGCGTAGCCATGCCCAAGAAAAAACAATGTTTTTCCTGACAACTGAATGGCTCATGGTGTTGTCCACCAGTCTTGGTCAGGATGGTTCTGACCCAGGATTTTCAATGGCTGATACACTATCATATGCAGGCCAGGGGATTCTTTTAAAAACAACTGAACAACTTTGAACATAAAACCCCAGCAAAAATCTACAAACAACTTCTAGCTTCAAAAATGATTCCGGGCTATTTTCAAATGTTAATGCACATGTTCATGTACTTGTCTGTCTTTTCGATCCTTTTCGGTGATCAATATTTCCCAGGGGCTTGTCACGGCCGGCACCTGGTCTGCAAAGAGACTCAGCTGCTCATCCACCGAAGCAAGCGCAGGTAAACGGTTCACTGAAGCCTGGGAGCTGCGGACGAAATCAGAACTCTGATTGCAAAGGAAAACATGCGTCCAAATCAAATTAAGTGGATGCTAGTGTGACGTTCTCATGCTTTGCGTGTAATATATGTATATATATATGTGCGCGCGCGTATGTACAAATATCATTGGCCCACACTGGTGTCCACGAGGAGACTGTGCACTTTGTTCATGTATCCTAGCTTGATTAAGTGTGTCAAACAGGTGATGTCAGTGTGAGAGTTCGACATTGCCGACATTGATTCTAAACAACCAGGCTACACACGTGGTGATATGATGGTGATATCAATGTAAGACCTCTTAGTGGATAGGACCTGTGTGAGCATCGCGCAAGAAACCCTGGGCAAATTGGAACCGCACCAAAAGCATGTGGGAAACATGCTGTCACAACTTGGGATCATCACCGTTCTTGCCTCTGGCCTCGTGATTTCTGTAACATCTATAACTAAAACTTCCTCGCAATTCACAAGATCAATGTAGACTAATTGGCTCCCAAACAGGCGGAAACATATTTTGGCTCCGCTATAGTTTTGACGTATTTTAATTGCCTCGCCTCCTTCTTTTTTCAATCCCCTATTTTTCCCGGCTGCGAGCTGATGCAAACGATGGAACCAGCGGGAGCCAACATGGGGCGACTGAAAAAAGCCAGCTGGCAAAGGAACAAACCTCCTGGGAAGATCCAAGAATCTCAGAGCTAAGATCAAAATCAAACATGACATACCCTCTGGTAATTTAACATAGCTATTAAAAATGACCATTTTTAATGGGAAATTCCACTATTAATGGCAATTTTCAATAGCTATGTTAAATTACCAGAGGGTAACGTGACCAACACTTGAATACTTGAATCCAAATCACCAATTGGATTATTTTAAAAAAAGGGTGAGCATTTGAAATGGTGAATAAAACCACACATTGGATGAAATGGCAAACACCTGAAAACCAACAGCTCTGATTTTGGAGGTCTAAAAGTTCGACAAAAACGCCGTTTTTCTGCCTTCGGCAGTTGAAGGACTAGTTTCGTGAGACCAGTCTCCTGAAATCAATAAGCCAAATTCGCCTCTTAGAGGGCGAGTGTGTTGTACCTGGCATGGGAGAAATGGGACTTTGTGGCTCACAGGAGCCACAGCATGACCCAACCAGTCTGTGTGAAGCAAAACTGTTTCAAATACAGGACCCAAAAGCAACACACAAACACACATACGCAAAAACTATCCTGCACCCTGCAGATGTTGATTCAGCGGTTTACAATGTCGTTCCGTGGGTGTTTAGTGATGCTGACGTGCGTGTCTTGTCCAGTCGTCTGATCATGCAAATTACCTGCAGTTTGCTTTACACATGTTCAGGTGCAGCTGCAGTATGTCATTGGATGGCTGAGTGGACACAAGTGCACAAGAATGCCCACCCATGGTTCCATATATTGCATCATATTCAAAAGTCAACGATGTATCTTTAAAAAGTGGTCGAACATACCACACTAGGATCGTGCTACGGAGAGTTTCAGTGCAGTCCTGGAGCAGACCATGCTACATCAAAAGATCTCACAGCACTTCGAGATGGTAGAACTACTGTACTGACCCCAACATTGACCAATTGACCAATGTTCGCTGGAGATCCAAGGATATCCAAGGTGCTCTTCCAGCATCTGCTCCAAGACATGCGCTTCCTCAGGGCCAGCCCCCAGCAGGCCATCAATCGACATCAATCGACTACAGTGACTGTGGAGCTGCCGACATCTGCCTATGATTCAGAAAAGGCTCCAAAGCACCATCCACCACAAGAGATTTTTCCTCGTATCTTGAAAGGGCTTCCCGGAATGGCGCACGAAATCCAAGGCGAAGGTTGAAAAACTGGAATGACCACACATAAGACATAAGGCTTCGAAAATGGCCACTATGTGCATTGTCAGCGGATTGATGTTCTGTGCGATCATCCGGTCTGTGGCCAGTTCAAAATGCCACACATTATGGGGTAGGATATGGCTGAATCTGATCAACAATATTTGTTTGAGTTTGTTCAAACATAGGGAGATTACGTCCAACATACACACATATGACCATTGTAATTGGGGAAACGATGCTTTCGGCATGGAACCGCGAATGCTCATGACCTGAATGATGCCTAATAAATGCCCAATATGAAGCAGCACAAGACGGCCCTCATTTTGAGCCCAGCATCTGATTGGACCTTGGGATCTTTGGGATCCTTGGGCTTGCCATCATAGGCCTCTGTCGGGTCTACTGGGATGCTCTCAGGTTTCTTCGGTTTCTCCTCCGGATCCTGGACCTACCGGGTCTCAGCTGCTTCACCCCCCCCAAAACTGAAGTCATGACAAGCCATCAAAATCCATCAGGATCCATCAAGCTCCCAATGTCCAAAACGCATCAAAACACCTAGAGTCCGTGGAGCAACTGAGCAATGTCCAATGCTTCCAGATCAATCTGGCCTGTCTTGGCACCTCTCTGGTCGCAAAGGGGTTTCGCCCGAAAAAGAGTCGCACCAACCGCGGACCCAATGGAGCTCTTGAGACGCGCGCAGGCCCAGCAATCGAGAGAGCCAGCACCAAAGGATTTGCACCGAAGGTGTATGCCAGTTCCTGTCCCAACATGTCCATGTCTCAAGCTCCCAGGCTATGCGATCAGAACAGGCTTCTGGTAGCTATGAATCATCCAATCATTTTCATGTTACCTAGCACACAGGCTATTCATGGAAACATTTGCTAGAGATTAAAACTTATGGCCAGCCAGCCAGCCAATTGACTGCCTGAACATTTTTCCTATTGCGGTGCTGGGAGTTTTTTTATTTTGGGGGGATCATATCAACATAGCCTGACACAGTATATAATATAATTAATCTTTTTCGGCTGCAAAAAAGCCCAACCGACTGTATCAATGATGTATAAATGTACAGTATCATTCTTCTCAAGTACCCCCTTGGAATCAACAGTGCCCAACTCCTGTTTTGTCGGCCCTGATCTAAAAGAATGCTGCCGCATGTACGCATAAAGAACATCAAAGAACTGTCTTGGAAAAAACCGACGCGTTTGAATGAAATTTGGTGATCCCCTGAACCTATGAACGTTGCCCATTTGTATTCATTTGTAGGCTTCAAATTGAGTCAAACATTGAGCCTTTATAGGTCTGACCGTCTTGGACCCATACCCATCAAATGTCATAACAGTCAGTCGGCCAAGTCTCATAATTCAAACCTTTCCAAATCCCTGTGAAGCTCAGAATGCTCAAGAGCAGAATGATCCACAGTGTCTTCTCCGCGAATGCCTTCCGTTCTGGAGGCATACGGAAGAACCTTGCATGGAAACACACCAAAACTGGAGATAATCCACATTTGATGGGCGATTTAAGCTGCAATGCGGCTACAAATTGCAAACCCAGAAACAGGCCCAAAAAGAGAACGGATTCAGCCAGCACCAGCGCAAACACCACATAGCGCAAGGTCTGCGGAGCCTCCTGCGGTTCGTAGACTTCCATCACACGACCAAGCCACACTTGGTTTGGATTGGTGATCCACCAAAATAGCGATATTGCCTTGGATGGGCTGCACCAGGGCGTAAAAAGGCCGGACATTGACATCATTGAGTCATTGACTCTTTGGGAGTTATGGGAAAAGATGCAGCAAAACAAAAAACTGGAGGGTCCTGGGTTCAATTCCCAAACAGCCACTTGGGATCTGTAATTATCTGTAATTATCAAGAAAGAAACTGGGTAATCGCTGGGTATAAAATGGTACAATTAAACACATAAATACACATAAGTGATACATAATTTTAAATTCGCAGGTGCTTTGACAAGTTTTTTTTTTGAAGTTACATGAAATTACAGTGGAAATGCCAAGGTGCTAGCATCGTGCGGCTCCATTTGGAGACATCTCCCAAGGAGCCCGCATTCTCCATGACCTCTCGGGTCTCGGGCACTGAAAGGTTCATTTCCAACAGAACCTGGCCATGGCCGACCAATCTGCGACCAATCTGCGACTCGACCAGGCGGTTTCCACCACAACAACTGGTTGGTGGTTGACCTACCCCGGAAAATATGAGTCAGTTGGGATGATGACATTCCCAACTGAATGGAAAAATAAAAAATGTTCCAAACTACCAACCAGATTACCACGCAGCATTATGCATCCCTGAATATATGATATGGATTAGCCACGTCAATAGGTATCGATAATCAAACTGCCAATGATTGGAGACAAAAAAATGTAACCTGCTAGTCATGGATTGTGAGGGAATTCTGGGCGGGGAAGTTAGCTACTATTCAGAATATGTGGAATGCAGGGTGGTCGCACCCCAGTTTGCCAATGTCAATTCGAAAGTAGACCTTCCCTACATGATAGGGATTCTTTCGCAGAACTCGTGAAAAATGAATTTAAATGAAACACAAATAGGACGCCTCTCTGTTTGAACGAGGGAAATAATTACATATACTATATTCTCACATGTACCATCATGTATCTACTGCTACTCTCCCCTGAAATCCACCAGCAAATGATTCTTGCCCCGAGTCGTCCAGGGAGCATCCACTGCTCTATTGACCTCGTGCTCAACACCATCGTCCGCAATTTCTGCAAGGATGCGCTCCTCAAGATGATGAGTGGCTTCATGGGCCCCCGTTCTTGTTCGTGCTAGTTGGTGAATTGTTCTGAGGAAAATGAACTCAAATATGTGGAGCTTGCGTACCCGATGACAAAGTGCAGAGATGTCAGTCTACAATGATGGTGGAATGGTCGCTACCGATGGTCAATCTAGGCAAGGTATGGCAAGGTAATGGCAAGAGATATCTCCACAATCACATCACCCCAACAAATCTACTGTATACAATTTTGGCATCTAGTCTTCACTTGCTCGACTGTTTCGGCTGGCTGCCAAATCACGAACCCCTTGGCAGGATGTGGCAATCACACTGGCTAAATCTGTATATATATATATAAATACAAAAGTAAATACGTATGTATATATATATGTGTGTGATTACATCTATCTATCTATGTATCTATCTGTCTATCTATCTGTCTATCTATCTATCTATCGGTCAACGTTGGATTGTGAAACTTTCCGGTTGGATTGTGAAACTTCCCGGTCGGATTGTGAAACTTCCCGGTCGGATTGTGAAACTTGGATTGTGAAACTTCCCGGACGGATTGTGAAACTAGTATTGTGAAACTGGAAAGTCGGATTGTGAAACTTGAAAATCAGATTGTGAAACTCTAAAATTGGATTGTGAAACTCTGGAGACGGATTGAGAAACTGGGATTGTGAAACTCTAAAGGCGGATTGTGAAACTATGTAGACGGATTGTGAAACTCTGGGGGCGGATTGAGAAACTGAGATTGTGCAACTCTGCAGGCGGATTGTGAGATTGTGCAACTCTGAAGGCGGATTGTGAAACTCTAGATACTTATTGTGAAACTAGGATTCTGCAACTCTGAGGACGGATTGTGAAACTCTGCGCACGGATTGTGAAACTAGGATTGTGCAACTTTGAAGGCGGATTGAGAAACTCTGAAGACAAATTCTGAAAAGCTGGGGAGCGATTGTGAAACTGGTGCTGTGAAAGTCTGCAGAGAGATGGTGAATCTTTACGTGGAGATGGTTGCACGGGTGCTGCGAATCTCTGAAGGCAGATCAGGAAACAGTGAAACTCCAAGTTGCAGAATTAAAGCCTCAGTTTGAAATTCCCTTAAGCTTGTGGAGACTCCAAGTCAGTTTGAAGTTCCATGGGGGTGGGAATTTTCATATCATCTTAACCTTGTGGAGACTCCCAGTCAGTTTGAAGTTCCATGGGGGTGGGAATTTTGATATCATCTTCAACTTGTGGACACCCCAAGTCAGTTTGAAGTTCCATGGGGGTGGGAATTTTTATATCACCTTAACCTTGTGGAGACTCCAAGTCAGTTAGAAGTTCCATGGGGGTGGAAATTTTCATATCATCTTAACCTTGTGGAGACCCCAAGTCAGTTTGAAGTTCCATGGGGGTGGGAATTTTCATATCATCTTAACCTTGCGGAGACTCCAAGTCAGTTTGAAGTTCCATGGGGGTGGGAATTTTGATATCATCTTAACCTTGTGGAGATTCCAAGTCAGTTTGAAGTTCCATGGGGGTGGGAATTTTGATATCATCTTCAACTTGTGGACACTCCAAGTCAGTTTGAAGTTCCATGGGGGTGGGAATTTTGATATCATCTTCAACTTGTGGACGCTCCAAGTCAGTTTGAAGTTCCATGGGGGTGGGAGTTTTCATATCATCTTAACCTTGTGGAGGCTCCAAGTAAGTTTGAAGTTCCATGGGGGTGGAAATTTTCATATCACCTTAACGTTGTGGAGACTCCAGTCAGTTTGAAGTTCCATGGGGGTGGGAATTTTCATATCATCTTAACCTTGTGGAGGCTCCAAGTAAGTTTGAAGTTCCATGGGGGTGGGAATTTTCATATCATCTTAACCTTGTGGAGACTCCAGTCAGTTTGAAGTTCCATGGGGGTGGGAATTTTCATATCATCTTAACCTTGTGGAGACTGCAAGTCAGTTTGAAGTTCCATGGGGATGGGATTTTTGATATGATCTTGAACTTGTGGACACGCCAAGTCAGTTTTTGAAGTTCCATGGGGGCGGGAATTTTGATATCGTCTTAGCCTTGTGGAGACTCCAAGTCAGTTTGAAGTTCCATGGGGGTGGGACTTTTGATATCATCTTCAACTTGTGGACGCTCCAAGTCAGTTTGAAGTTCCATGGGGGTGGGAATTTTCATATCATCTTAACCTTGTGGAGACTCCAAGTAAGTTTGAAGTTCCATGGGGGTGGAAATTTTCATATCATCTTAACCTTGTGGAGACTCCCAGTCAGTTTTAAGTTCCATGGGGGTGGGAATTTTCATATCATCTTAACCTTGTGGAGACTGCAAGTCAGTTTGAAGTTCCATGGGGATGGGATTCTTTGCTATCATCTTGAACTTGTGGACACGCCAAGTCAGTTTGAAGTTAAATGGGGGCGGGAATTTTGATATCATCTTCAACTTGTGGACACTCCAAGTCAGTTTGAAGTTCCATGGGGGTGGGAATTGTGATATCGTCTTTAACTTGTGGACACGCCAAGGTAGTTTGAAGTTCCATGGGGGTGGGAATTTTCATATCATCTCCACCTAGTGGAGACTCCAAGTCAGTTTGAAGTTCCATGGGGGTGGGAATTTTCATATCATCTTAACTTTGTGGAGACTCCAAGTCAGTTTGAAGTTCCATGGGGGTGGGCATTTTTATATCATCTTAACCTTGTGGAGACTCCAAGTCAGTTTGAAGTTCCACGGGGGTGGGAACTTTGATATCATCCTAACCTTGTGGAGACTCCAAGTCAGTAGTTACGCAATTTGACCGAAGAGCTGCGCAATCCTGGGAGTTGCGCAATCTGTGGAAAGTAGTTGCGCAATCCGACCAAAGAGTTGCGCAATCCTGGGAGTTGCGCAATCTGTCGAAAGTAGCTGCGCAATCCGACCAAAGAGTTGCGCAATCCTGGGAGTTGCGCAATCTGTCGAAGGTAGTTGCGCAATCCGACCCAAGAGTTGCGCAATCCTGGGAGTTGCGCAATCTGTCGACAGTAGTTGCGCAATCCGACCAAAGAGTTGCGCAATCCTGGGAGTTGCGGAATCTGTCGAAAGTAGTTGCGCAAGCAGAGTTGCGCAATCCTAGGAGTTGCGCAAGCAGAGTTGCGCAATCCTAGGAGTTGCGCAAGCAGAGTTGCGCAATCCTGGGAGTTGCGCAATCCTAGTTGCGCAATCCGACCAAAGAGTTGCGCAATCCTAGTTGCGCAAGCCGGAGAAGTTTCGGAATCGGACTTTATTCCTATCTATCTATCTATCTCTATCTATCTCTATCTATCTATCTATATCTATCTATCTATCTATATCTATCTATCTATCTAACTATCTATCTATCTATCTATATCTATCTATCTATCTATCTATCTGTACATTACTACCTACTTTTACAATAATAATTACAAGCATTGAAGTCCGCAGTATTCGAAGTCAATACCTACGGGCTGTGGCGCGGCATCATATATTTTCAGCACCAAGAGTCTTTATCAGCAGGATTTGCACTTTGTGCTTCGTTGATGCCAGCAAAGCCAGTCTTGAGTTGCTTGCGTTGTTTTGCCCCCTCCACTGCCAGGAGCCGATCTGCTTCCATGCCAGCAGCAAACAAGGCCGTAAACACGAAGAAGGACGTGCTGTTCGACCTGGGTTGACGTTGCTAAAACCAGCCGTGGAACCAGCTGACCGTCAAACACTTGGGTTTAAGGCCTAGGCATTGCTTGTCGCCCACTATATCTTTCAGGCTGGGGGCTGTGACTTCGCATGTCAAGGATGTGAAGCAACAAATATAACCACCGAGTCTCATCCCACCTGCTTCCCAGCAGTAAACCGCGTCTTCGTGACCGCCAAGTCACCGTTTGAAGGATTTTCTGTAGGAGAGCATCGCTCTCGAGAAGACCCCGAGTGTGGCCACAAAATAGATGCAAAAAGGTACCTGGTGTGAATCTATCCCCCAACATGTAAATTTCAATCAATATTGAGATCATTGTCGGTAACATTGTCCTATTTTTGAGACATGAAAATGCCATCTGAAATCACAACCAGCCGCAATCGGCCATTCATGGTGCTTCGTCTTGAAGAAGCAACGGAGAGACAACAAGACCACCATTGCACAATAGAACCTGTGCGTTGGACATGACCAACAAAATTAGATCTGGTTGGTGGTTTCAACCCCTCTGAAAAATATTAGTCAGTTGGGAGCATTATTCCCAATATATGGAAAAATAAAAAGTGTTCCAAACCACCAACCAGGATAGATTGACACGGCGCCTACCGAACAGGGGTCCGTTCCCCACCTTAGGACCTTTGATTTGAAACACCCACGTATACCTACCTCCACCACGGAACAAACAGTGTAAACACATTTCAACACAACTTTTGGAAACCATCTGGAAACTTTGCCCAATCTTATCATCTAGTCGCTAGTAGTTCCTAACCAAATATGTAATTTGCGTTGAACATCGTTGAACTAGGTTCAATAATTTATATATCTTATATGACTTTATATTTTGAAATAATTTGGGAATGTATGGCTGTTGATCTCCAAGCATCAAAATATTCTGCGTCATCTGCACGGGATCATTTGAGTCTGCTGGGATCTGACTAATCACCAAAACGGCTACCCCCGTGACAGCGGCCGTGAACAGAATCACCCGGACGATCTTCAGCCAGAAATGTGGCACGGGGGCCCTTGCCTTGATATCCAAGGCAAGTGGCTTCCTAATGCTTCCTATTCCCATAGCTTACAAGTTGCTTACAAGCATTGCGGGGAAACCTCCCCAGGTAGGCAACAAAGTTTATGTTTTTTTTTTGACAGCCGTGGTTATGTGCCGGATTTGTGGCACATGAGTGAAACCGTGGGCCGATTTTCTCTCTCCATCGCCATCTGTCAAGACTGCCGGCGGCAGTGATTTTGTTTCTGTCAATTTTCCCCAAACATACTACATACTAGTATGCAATAGCCGCGGTTGTCTGGGACTTTTGTTTTTTTAAATCTTTTTTTTGTTTCCCCAACATTGCAGTTACCCTCTGGTAATTTAACATAGCTATTGAAAATCACCATTCTTAATGGGAAAATCCACTATTTCTATGGTCATTTTCAATAGCTATTTTGACATAACCAGAGGGTAACTGCCGAATAAAACGTTGATAACTCACTTTCCTCAGGGTTGACATTATGGTAATGTTATGATGGGGCAGTGGTACCAGGCCATGAACGAACAGGTGAAGGATGGATAGGACACCTGAAATGATAACGAAACCACAAATCCACGAATGTTCTGGTGCAAATGACTCGGCAGGTAGTAAATCGGTGAAATGAAAGAATGAATGAACAGAATGAACACATGCATGACTGATGGATAAAAGATTGGTTGAAAGAAGAATGAACGAATGAAACATCGAGGGAATGAATAAAAGAAGATATGAACGAAATGAATAAATGAATAAACTGAATAAATGAATGATTGAATGAATGCACGAATGAATGAATGAATGAATGAATGGATGGATGGATGGATGCATGGATGAATGAACGAATGAATGAATGAAATGATTGGAATGAAATTGCATGCATGCATGCAGGAAGCAAGGAAGAGGGAGGGAGGGAGGGAGGCAGGGAGGGAGGCAGGGAGGGAGGCGGATGGCATGAATGAATGAACTAACGGAATGGGACGGTCTACAATTGAATGGAAAGCAATTGAACCTTGCCGATATTTTTTTTCCGTCAAATTTGGTGATGCCTTGCAAAGAACATGGACAGGCCACTTGACCTGTCCTAAAGTTGCACCAGAAAAGTCATCCCAAGAGGGATCATGCCACCTAGCAATGGATGCTCTGAAATCCAACTGATGTGTCACAATTGAATGCAATCGGCCAACTTCGCCAGCGCGTTATGAACATTTATGAAGTAGATTCTGATCATTGCGTTCCCATATGTTCCCATGGTTTGGAATGGCACCTGTAAACAGGTGAAAAACAAATAAACAAAAAACAGAAAAACGACCTTGGTGTCATGACTTCCCACACTCCAAATTTGATGTTGCCGAGCCACCGTGTAGATAGGTTTCTTCCACGTATAAGCTAAATAGGCCTCATACACGCACCAAATGCGCGTGTAGATGCTGCCCTTGAGGTTGGGAATCACCAGCATCTGCTTCGCAGAAGCCTCGGGAGACCGGGGGAGACCGGGAGACTTCGCACCAAAAACGCGAGGCACACCATGGCACACCGGGCGTGCTGGGTGTGGGTTTTTGAACGGGCGTTTGCTGCCGTTCTGTTTTGTGTTTTTTCTTTGGGAAGTTTATGAGAGCCCGTTTTCCTTAAGTTCATCATGTAGCAAATGACTTTAGTGCACCAACTCGGTCTCTTTCTTTGGTATGAATTGATATGAATTCCTTTCACGTGCATGAAGGTGTTCTGAAGCCCTGAAATATAAACATAACTTGAAACAAATACACGATGGGTATTATGCAATCTTCAGTGATGATGATGATGATGACGACGACGACGACGACGACGATGATGATGATGATGATGTTCATGTTGTGTTAGTAATGATGATGATGATTATGATGATGATGATGATGACGACGACGACGATGATGATGATGTTCATGTTGTTGTTGACGATGACGACGATGATGATGATGATGTTCATGTTGTGTTGATGATGATGATGATTATGATGATGATGATGACGACGACGACGACGATGATGATGTTCATGTTGTTGTTGACGATGACGACGACGATGATGATGATGTTCATGTTGTGTTGATGATGATGATGACGACGACGGCGACGACGATGATGATGTTCATGTTGTTGTTGACGATGACGACGACGATGATGATGATGTTCATGTTATGATGATGATGATGATGTTCATGTTGTTGTTGATGATAACGATGATTATTATTATGATGGTCTAACCAAACTTGAACTTTTGAGGGTGTTCAGGGTTGATCCGCATGCTGCTGCCCTCCACCCTTCATGCACCAGAATCAAGAGGTATCCATCCCAGGAACAACTGGGACGACGTCCCCGCAACCGAACTATCTCGGTTGTGATCCCCACTAACTGACGACATTGATATTGTCTATTCCGACATGTTATCTCACATAATATGTTCTGACATTTGGCATTGTTATGGTATTTTATGCCACATATGTTGACATGTCATCTGCTGTGTATGTATATATATATATATCTCTAGAATATCATGACCTTCTATTTGGCACTTGATCTGGCATGAACAAGAATATCTATTCACACATTCTATCTGAGATCTTTTCTGGCATTCTGACTCTGACAAGTTTATCTGGCATTAGATCTGGATAGATCTGTCATATATATTCTGACCCGTGGTTTAACATTCAATGGAACATTCTATCTGGCAGTCAAAATGACAAGTATTCTGGCGTATGTTTGTTCACGTTATCTGGCATTAGATCCGGCATATATTCCGACCATTTATGTGACAATCTATCTGAATTTTCAATTCTGAGTGGCACATATATTCTGACATATTCTCTGGCATGCGATCTGACCCTTTACAATATTAAATGGGACATTTTCTCCGCCATCGGCCAAAGACTAATTTTCTGACAGACTTTCAGACATATCATCTGACAATGATATTTTGACGTATCTGACATTTACCTCGGATTCTCAATGACTGATGTGTCTCACATGTGTGGCATATATTCGGACACTTCATCTGACATCCGATGTGATATTTTATCTGACATTCTATCCAGCATTTTATCTGTCACTTTATTTTTACACTTTATATCGCATAGTGTTCGGGCTTTGCGAGGCCCAAAGAGATACCATCAGCTACATGGCTGGGACCCTGGATATTACACTGTAGACCCTAAAAACGGGGTCTGAAGAAGAGTTACATAGCTATATCACGTAAAAACAATTTCAATGGTGTAGACCCTTGGACCTTACAGATGCTGAAGGTCTGAAGACGTTTACCCATGCGTCAAGAATACAAAAAAATGTTCCAAACAACATGTTTTCTCTCGCTCATTTTTTTCTTCGCTGCTGTCACACGTTTTTCACCAGTGCAAATTGGGTGGCTGCCCAAAGATTCGAAATCAAATCCAGCACGGATGTGCGAGGCATTCTATCTGAAGTCAACCCACGTATGTACACACCAAAACAATATTAGGGGGCTGCCAAAAATTGGCAAAAGTAACCAAAAGTACAAACGGCAAAGTTAAAAATCTCATTGAAGTACATGGTCTAAATTGAAAAAAATACATTTTTTTAATGTCATTGCGATACCTTGAAAATGATCCACTGAGTGTTTTACAACCGGTTGTGGACTTAATTTATGGATAGAAATTTTACTTTTCCACATATTTTGACAAAACATATTTTGAAAAAAATGTTAAAAAATTCACTCCAATACCTTGAAAATGAACCGCTGAATGGTTTAAAACTGATTGCGGGCATAATTTATGGATAGAAATCATTTTTTTAAAAATATAAAAAGTTTAAAATTTCATTCCAATACCTTGAAAATGAACCACTGAATGTTTTAAAACTGATTGTGGACATAAATTGGTGGATAGAAACTATTTTTAAAAAATATCAAAGTAATCAGCAAATATGCACAATTTTAACATTTCAATATCTTACAAAAGCAACTTTTTCTGGTTTACAAACTATAAAAGTGACATTTTTCATTTTGCATCATTTTCCCCGTTGCTCTTCTCCCGTTGTGTCTCCCCTTTCCTTCTCCCCGTTGTGTCTCCCCGCAACGAGTCGGGATTAACGCGCGTTAGCGGAAAGGCGGAAAGGCTGGCTCGAGGACTTCGACCCAAAACCGCTACGGGGAGACACAACGGGGAGAAGGAAAGGGGAGACACAACGGGAGAAGAGCAACGGGGAAAATGATGCAAAATGAAAAATGTCACTTTTATAGTTTGTAAACCAGAAAAAGTTGCTTTTGTAAGATATTGAAATGTTAAAATTGTGCATATTTGCTGATTACTTTGATATTTTTTAAAAATAGTTTCTATCCATCAATTTATGTCCACAATCAGTTTTAAAACATTCAGTGGTTCATTTTCAAGGTATTGGAACGAAATTTCATTTTTTTTTAATTTTTTTTTTTTGGTCAAAATATGTTCAAAAAACTAATTTCTATCCATCAGTTTATGTCCACAATCAATTTTTTGACATAATTTGACAAAAATATGTTTTAAAAAATAAAAATTCATTCCAATACCTTGAAAGTGAACCACTGAATGTTTTAAAACATGGTTGGTCAAAAAAAACCAGTCTTGCTCAGTGCCGGAGACGCTATCCAGACCTTTGGGGGTCGTTGGAAATCTATGGGTGCAAAAGTCTACAAATAAAATGCATTGGAAATCTAGTTGTGTACAGGACTAGACCTAACATGGTTGGTCAAAAAAAACAACCTTGATCAGTGCCAGAAAGGCTGTCCAGACCTTTGTACGACCTGGGGAATCTAGCGTGGCAAAGGTCTAGAAACACAATGGCCAGCAAAACCAATCTGTGTTGATCAAGGCCAGAAACGCTGTCCAGACCTTTGGACAAACTTTGGAATCTAGCTTGGCAAAGGTCTAGGGCTACAATGGTCAGCAAAACCAACCTGTCTTGATCAGTGCCAGAAACGCTGTCCAGACCTCTGTAAGAACTGGGGAATCTAGCTTGGCAAAGGTCTAGAGCTACAATGGTCAGCAAAACCAACCTGTCCTGATGATTGCCAGAAAAGCTGTCCAGACCTTTGAAAAAGCAAGATCTGCCTTACATCTTCAAAGTTGAAAATTATGGGACATCCATATATCATGTCCAACATAGACACGCTCAAGGGTCTATAGGACCTTAAATGCAGAGGGTCTACAGTGCTCTAGGAAGTACTCTAGACCCTGGGCCCCTGAGACCTGGGGGTCTGGGTACTCTGGACCTTATGTAGTTGAGGGGATCCAAAGAGCCTGCGAGCTCGCGAAAATCCTTGGGTCCGGCAAGGCCCAGAAACCTTGAGACCCTCACCTGGCAGGGAAAAATCTGAAATCACCAGCCATCGACCACCATCATGCCATATCATGATGGTAAAAAGTTCTCCATATTTTTGTTGGCAACTTCCAACAAAATCCAACATCTCTACTGACTCTACTCTTCCCACAGCCACCTGCCCGAAACACACGGCGTCGCTTCATCCGTGGCACCAAGGATTTGGCGAAGGGCGACTCCTGTGGTGATGCAATGAGCCCCCCAATGTCCAGGTTCTGCGGGTTGGAGAGGAAGCAAACATATGCACCTGCCGTCGAAAAACAGCTTGTGTTTGTTGCCTGCATGTTTTCCCCCCTTTGGCGGCAAATTTTTGTGAGACTTCAGACTTCAAACAGTGGAATGCCGAGATGTTTTTGTGGGGGTTCCTTTGCACCATAAACACAGGAGTTGGCCCTTTTAGCACTGCTGGAAACGTCGTCACCTGAGCCCTTACCAGCCTTACCGTGCTTTGGCAGCAAACAAATCAAGTGGGAAATGGTGGACAAAACCCGGTGGTTTGGAATCCCGGAATCTTTGTGTAGCGTCTGCGGATCACAAACCACAAGGGAAAAAAGTGGGAAGAACATGGGTCAAACGTGGCCAACCCTTGGATTCCATTGTGTCATGCAAAAAGTGTAAATGATCCATCAACCAAGCTCTGGTTCCCAAAGGGGGTTACTGGTTCAACCCAAAAGCACCAAAGGATTCAACAGAAAAATCCAGCGCGGTAGCCTGTTGCTTCTATCGGCCAAGAGCTAATCACCTTGTCCACAAATTCAAAGACCTCATTGAAACTTGTTGAAAAGCGGGCATGCATGCCACAGAAGAGAGCAGAAACACGGAACCAGCCAAATCAGCATATCATCTTCACTGATTCACCTTATGGTCATCAAAATCGGAAATCATATTGAGACTAGAACGCGCCAAAACACAACGATTGTAGGACTCTTGGCATGCACAGGCCCAATGTCCAATGCGGTACCGACCCAGTACCCAATGACTTCGAGGCCATCAAAGCCCTGAAAACCCTCCCCTCTCAAATACATTCAAATACGGCATCCACAAAACATTGCAATGCACACAAAAACATACCCGCTAATGTAAATATTGCATGCATACATGCATGCATGCATGCATGCATGCATGTGTGTACGTGTATGTGTATCTGTATATGTACGTTTGCATGTGTGTATGTGCATAAGTGTATGTATGTATGTATGTATGTATGTATGTAATGGAATGGAATGGAACGGAACGGAACGGAACGGAATGGAATGTATGTATGCATATCGAAGACACCCCCCAGATCAGTAGGGACTTAAATCAGTAGGGAGTTTAAGGAGTTTCGAAAAGTGATTGAAAAAAGAAAAGCAAAAATTGGATAGGTAAACTCCATTGAAAGAACCACTTGCCACTTGACAAAGCCCGTTGCAAAATCCCTCGGAAGACCTTGGTAGTTCACAGCACTTGTCACTTTGCGCAATGCCATGGGAAACAAAACGGAATGGCATCCAAACTAGACACATTGTAAAATGCTCTCATAGTTTTCTGGCCTGGAGCAGACATTTCTCATTTTTCTCAAAGCTCACTGTTTTTCACAAAAGTTCTCAATAGCAATTAAGCCTTTGTTTCAGCTTTGGAACGGGTGGGTCGAATACCAGCTGTTTATCACGGGTGGGGCGGGATTAAGTATCAAGGGGAGAGGGGAGGGGATTAGGATTATATAATTATATATAAAAAAGAAAAAATCATTGCACAGCAAATCCCAAAATGTTGCCATGAGTAATGTATGAAACAATATGTTGGGTTGACGGGGGGGGTTGGCCCGAGTTCAGCCGTGTTGAATTCTGGCAAAGTATTCTCCACTTCATCATACTTCATGTTCTCAGATCGTCCATGTTAGAATTTAGAAAACTGCGTGTTCGCCTAGGCGGCGTATCTTTTTTTTGTGGCATCAATTCATTTGCCTTCTTGTTCATTGCGAAATATGATTTCCTTTGTTCATGGACACGTGTATGAACTTGTCGATCATTTTTTGGAAAATCTGCACGGATTTTTGAACTCTTACAGTAGATCGTCGCTTTTTTTCGTCTTGAATTTCACTCCTTCTATCACACTCATGTCTAAAGTGTGTTGTATTTTTTCACATCTTTTCCATGTGTCATCTGCCGAACCAGGATGAACACTCATGTCTAAAGTGCGTACCATCAACGACGTGAGCAAGTCACATGGAACGTTAACATCCCCCCCACCCCAACCCCTGCGTGGCGTACACTCAACAACGTGAGCAAGTCACATGGAACGTTAACATCCCCCCCCACCCCAACCCCTGCGTGGCGTACACTCAACAACGTGAGCAAGTCACATGGAACGTTAACATCCCCCCCCACCCCAACCCCTGCGTGGCGTACACTCAACAACGTGAGCAAGTCACATGGAACGTTAACATCCCCCCCACCCCAACCCCTGCGTGGCGTACACTCAACAACGTGAGCAAGTCACATGGAACGTTAACATCCCAACATGCGTGGCGTACATCAACAACGTGAGCAAGTCACATGGAACGTTAACATCCCCCCCACCCCAACCCCTGCGTGGCGTAGCATCAACAACGTGAGCAAGTCACATGGAACGTTAACATCCCCCCCACCCCAGCGTGGCGTAGCATCAACAACGTGAGCAAGTCACATGGAACGTTAACATCCCCCCCCACCCCAGCGTGGCGTAGCATCAACAACGTGAGCAAGTCACATGGAACGTTAACATCCCCCCCACCCCAACCCCTGCGTGGCGTAGCATCAACAACGTGAGCAAGTTACATGGAACGTTAACATCCGTACCCGTGAGCCCAACATCCCCCCCCACCCCAACCCCTGCGTGGCGTACACTCAACAACGTGAGGGTTGGAATGAACAACCACGTTAACATCCCCCCCCACCCCAACCCCTGCGTGGCGTACATCAACAACGTGAGCAAGTCACATGGAACGTTAACATCCCCCCCCACCCCAACCCCTGCGTGGCGTAGCATCAACAACGTGAGCAAGTCACATGGAACGTTCACATCGCCCCCCACCCCAAGCCCTGCATGGCGTAGCATCAACAACGAGAGCAAGTCACATGGAACGTTAACATCCCCCCCCCACCCCACCCCAACCCCTGCGTGGCGTAGCATCAACACCGTGAGCAAGTCACATGGAACGTTAACATCCCCCCCCACCCCAACCCCTGCGTGGCGTACACTCAACAACGTGAGCAAGTCACATGGAACGTTAACATCCCCCCCCACCCCAACCGTAGGGGGGGTGGATCCTACATTTCTGATAATGTAATGAACATAAGGGGGGGGGTTAACCCCCTCACTTTTTGCCAAAAATGTATGGGAACTAGGGGGGGGTAACCCCTCAAAATGAGGCATGAGTGCCAGATGCTGGAAATGTATTATTGGTAGGGGTATTGAACCTGAAAATGTATGCTTTGTGGGGGGCACCACTGACAAGAGCCAATGGATACATAAACTTTTCTAAATGTATGCAAGCATGGGGGGGTCTGCACCTCAATCCAATTGATCTTTTTTTTCTGGGGAAACCTACTGAAACCCATGGGGAAACCTGGGAATACCTGGGGTCACCGAAAATATTCTGCCCTGAAGACCCCGTTAGCTTACGCTTTTAGATTTTTTTGGAAACAAACGCATGCAAACATATGCAAACACGATCAAGCACGCATCCTTCCCACTCCGAAGACATGACACTATTTTCTGAAATGTATGCATTGCAGGGGGTACCAATGACTACCTTAGCCAGATCTATTCCCTCCATTTTCCAAAAATGATGTGCTTTTCGGCTACCCAACCCCCTTTAAAATACATTTTTCAAAGAAGGGTATTCCCCAGAAAAAAATTAAACATTCCCGGGGATCCTGGAAAAACCAAACCCGTAAAATGTATTAAACCACCCCCCAAAATAAAAGATCCTGGGGGGGGTTGGATATCCCGACCCATGGATCCTACATTTAACGTACACCCACCGGTCAAATAATGTATTTAGGGGGGGTCCTGGGGAATCAAATTCTTGGAGAACGGTAATTTTTTTTTTTTTACCTGACCTCTCCCCCCCTAAAATACATTTTTAGGGGTGGGTGATCACTCAACAACGTGAGCAAGTCACATGGAACGTTAACATCCCCCCCCACCCCAACCCCTGCGTGGCGTACACTCAACAACGTGAGCAAGTCACATGGAACGTTAACATCCCCCCACCCCAACCCCTGCGTGGCGTACACAACAACGTGAGCAAGTCACATGGAACGTTAACATCCCCCCCACCCCCCCCTGCGTGGCGTTAACTCAACAACGTGAGCAGTCACCCATCCCCCCCCACCCCAACCCCTGCGTGGCGTACACTCAACAACGTGAGCAAGTCACATGGAACGTTAACATCCCCCCCCACCCCAACCCGCCAGCCCCCAACAGTCATCTGGCCTCTCTCATCCTGACGGGGAAGATAGCCCAGTGCAGCAAGGTCAGGAATTTCTGGGCTAACGCCCCCGTCTACCCAATATATTGCACCGGGCTACTTCGGTACTCAGAAAATCAGTTTTTTTCCAGAAACCCGGGTCTCTGAAAAAAACATCCATTTGTGGATCTGTGGTGCTAATGGCCATCAACCGGGGTCAAGAAACGCCTTCTGCCCAGCCGTGGGTGATGAAAAGGTCGCACTCAATGCCCTCTGGATGCCTCAAAAATGGAGATGGGACGAAACGTTGAAAGCACAAATGGCATGGGGCAGTTTTTTTTGTGGGAAAGAAACACATGAATTTGGAGAAACACTTTGAAACAAGTATAGTAAATAAATGGAAAGGCTGGAACATATTTGCCTGGCTCAATGAGACAATGCTTACACCATCTATGACATGGACAATGCTCACACCATCCATGAAATAAACATGTTCCCTTTCTATTCCACCCAAGATCTAACAACCTTTGTGAAAGTTAAGAAACGTTTTTCGCAAAATATAAGCATAAACACACAATCACACTTAATAAGATTAAATTTAAGTAATATAATATAAACAAAGAAATCAACAAATAAATAAATAGGTGTGTAAATATATATATATATGTGCATACATGTGTGTATAATTATATAACTATATATATAATGTTTAGTTCTGATTTATAAATGCCCCCTGAATAAAGCTAATTTTTTCCCAAAATAAATAATAAATGCCCCCTAAATAAAGCTAATTTTTTTTGTCCCTAAACCCAGATTTGCCCAGATGGGGCTGATTGTTTTTTTCCATGCTTTATTTGAGGTGGCTTTCATGTACTAATTCATATTGCCAGCTCATTAGATCTTACCTTGATAACTTCAAATTTTCAAAAATAATGGTTGCTCTTTTCTATTCAAAACCTTTATTCAAAATTATCCAAAATCAATCCCAAATCAACTCGTCAAGGGTACCCCCCATGACGTGCCTTGGCACTAATTAGAGTTTGACCCTGAATAAAGCTAATTGTTTTTGGCCCTAAACCCAGATTTGCGCAGATCCATGACATGAATACTAAATCAATACTAAATCCATGACATGAATACGAGATCAATACTAAATCCATGAGATGAATACTAAATCAATACTAATCCATGAGATGAATACTAAATCAATACTAAATCCATGACATGAATACTAAATCAATACTAAATCCATGAGATGAATACTAGATCAATACTAAAACAATTGCTGGATTCCTTTTTTTTTTGAAATTGCATTTTATGTATTCGTTTTCAATTGTGGTAATTTAAAACCTTTACTTACAAACAAGTTTTATGGTGGCTTTAAGTTTATTTAGGGTCAGAGAGGGGGGGGGGGCCCTATTGTTAAATCAAGGACAAACATTATATCATTTATTTAAAAACTATAATGCACATCTATTGCCATCTCAAGGAATTCGAAAGCTGACAGCTAAACTGATCCACTTGTATGCCATTCATCACCGATAAAACCCATAGGCGGCCGTTCTTCCCGTGCGACCCAGGTGCTTCATGAGCGCCCAACTAGGGCTTCCCGCGTTTTTCGTCACGGGCTTGATGTACTGCCTCAGTTAATTGGGGATCGTCATCCCAGGTGGAATATACTGTGGATGGAAATCCCACTCCCAATCCCCAGTTGATAGGTGGTTTCTCCCAGGGTTTCAACCATCCAAGGTGGTGCAGGATTTCGCAACCATCCACAGTGCTCTTGATGCTTGTAAGGTGAGACGATGGGCCATGTCAAATGTGGGGTCAGAAGCACACAGAACTGCAGGGGGGCAACCACAGGAGTTGACTTGGGTGACAGCCCCAGGTGCAAGTTGAAATTACTGTACCATCAAATGTTGGATCGTTACAAGTTGTAACCTTCATCCTAATTATCACCATCATCACCATCATCATCCTCAAAATCACCATCGCCAAAATCTTCATCACCATCATCACCATCATCATCACTAGCATCCCCATCACCATCATCCAGATCATCAATTTCATTCTTATCATCATCATTATCGTCATCATCACATTTTCACCACCTTCATGTTCATCCCCATTTTCATCGCCAGCGTCAAACTCATCATTACAGTGCCACCACCACCACCATTATAATCATCATCGTTACCATCGCCTTCACCACTATCCAGAAAATCACCATCATCATCATCATCATCATCAACAACAACATTCTCAACATTCTCATCACCACCGTCATCATCGTCACCATCACCACAATCGTCATTATCGCCACCGTCACCATCACCATCATCATCACCCCGCTGTCCCAAACGCAGTTTTGTTGAGTTTTGTTTAATTTCAGCAGCAAGTTGCAGTGGCAAAATGATTTCTTGGAAATCAGACTTTTGTACTTAGGGCATTTTTGGCAAAATCACCTGATTGCACTCTTGCAAATTGCGGGCAGCTCTTCTCGGTGTCAAACGGAGTTGGTGGGCATTGGCTGTTGGAAACTGGTGGCATTAAAATATAAAACATCATCCCAAGATAAGCGCCCAAAATGGCTGAAACCCGAGGTAAAAAAAACCAGGGTTTATGAAATATAGCAGTTGCAACTCCATAAAATCTGATAAAAAGGGGACAATTCCAATGGGCGGCAGGCTCCAAACTACCTATAGTAGGAATTTGCATCTGGGATTGTTTTATGAAATTTTAAATTTTCAATTCATGAGCGCCAAAAACTGAACACCCATGAACATCCAACATATCACACAACCTTTTGGCCTATAATGATTGGTCAACTTGGACACTATTAGAAAAAGGTAGTCTCACTATGACAAGTTTGTGCTTTTCTTAAGCCAAATCCTCATCCCTTCATCCATAGACCGAGTGCTGACAACTCTGCTGCGGATGGATCACCACCTGGAGCAACCCTGCCACCAAGCTGCTCAGTGACGGTGTACATGGAGGGCCCCTGGGTAAAATCTGTTGGATCAAACTGATCTCGTTCTGTGGGTTTGATGCGGCCATCGCGAATAGCATGCATCACCTCATCTGGCACAGGCTTAGTTGGATGGTTCAATCAATGCTCATCAATGCTCATCTCAAGTTTCATTGACTTCTGTTTTCTTCACCTACAATAAGTAGTAGCTAGAACTATTACGATAGTAACTAGGGTACTCTTTAAATTCTTTAAGAAAAAACATCTTCCGTTCCAAGGGGCCTTTTTGGTGACCATCAAAACGCCAAGGCACGAGGCGCCGAAATTGCAGCAGGTCGCTTTTAGAGACCGCCCACTTCTTCATCTCGATGTTCTTGTGGAGCCACTCTCCGTCCAGTTGATTCCTGATCCCCTTCGGGCATCTTTGTTCAACGAACAAGTGTCAGAAAATGTCAGGAACTATCAATGATATAAATCAATAGGCTGCATTTCCAAATTGTTTTGTTTTGATTAAATCATTTAGTTACAGTATAATACACACGCACAATCACACACACATATATATACATATATGTATACATTTAATGACATTAAATAATTATATTTATCTCCCAGTGCTTTATGTTGACCAAGCCATGATCTCCACATGTGGTAGAGGCGATAGACACGCCGAGTCGCGTCGGTGCTTCGATCTCTTTGTCTTCAGGCCCTGACCAGGTTTTGAATGTGGCTTGGTGTAAGAACAACTCCATCGTCGATATATCATAGATAATATATATATATGATATATGTATATATATATCATAGATATCCATACAGTATCATGTAGTTAGATGGCTTACCATGGAATGATTTGCTTCAAAAAGAACCCCATCGATGATGATCATCAATCTTTCTGATCAAATCAAATGCCCAAAGATGCCTAGAGGTACCACTCGCGCCCGCGGAGCGAAGTAAATCAAGATGTTGCAAGCCTCCACTGATTGGTGGGTGAGTCACCAAAAATACTGGATAGTCAGATAGTCATTTGGAAGAAACACATGCCATGTTTAGAGATGTTTAGCATGTTTCATGGTCCAAAATTCAGCAATGAAAAAACATGTTTGCCAACCACCACAGACCAAAAGTGGCTCTGTGGCGGACTTTGGTGGTCCCCGAAGTACCAGAAAAGTCTGTGAAAGGGGCCTTCAGTCACTCATAGCACGTCATGGGCTTACAAAGGTTGAATCTTTCGGTGTAACCCAGGCGATCTGAGGTGCATGTGTAGCCAAGAATGGGTTCTATGTGGTGTAGCGGCTCTTTTACCTTGATGATTGGGCGTGGTTTAAGGGACAGTCGGACAATTTAGAAGAAACACCCTGGTAAAATTCTCCCATGATGAAGTTTTCCTGCAACCCTTCCCTTCAAGTGGGGGCTTCAATCGATTCCAGCATCCGTGGTCGCCAAGGCACTATAAATCCCAGCGAGCCAAGTCCCATCAGCATCCCAGCAGCAACATCGATATAGGCCCGTGTACCGCATTGAGAGCTGGTACCATCGCCACCGGAGCAGCATCGGAAGTAGTAGAATTCACTCCTGATCATGGAGCAATCGACCGAGAGGAAGCACGCGCCTTTCCGTGCTTTGACTTGCCAGCTATTTGCAAACGGCCTGTATAGTAGTCATGTGTATAATATAGCAATATATATCATAATATATCATAATTATCATATAGTTGTATGAGAGTATCTGGAAGCACAAAACCCTCAGAAACAGTGTTATCCCAGGAAAGTCGATTCAATTATAGTAATTCTTTCGCCCAATAGTCAAATTTCTGCTGTTCCTGCGCATATCCTACAAATCCATAATGCTGAGTGTTTTGTGCGCCACGTTTACGGAGTTGCGCGGTGCCTTTGAGCCAACACTCCGTTGCCCACAGTCAAAACTGAAAATTGGAAAACGATGTGAACAAAAGGTGAAAATAGGTTACATATTTTTCATTATTTTTCCGTATGCGTCGCGCATCCCCGTTCATGCACTGCTCTGTGCACAGCAAACAGTTTGAATCTTGGATGCTGGCTGTTGGCTGATGGGAAACAAATTGGCAAACAGTTTCCCTCGTATGGGTCATTCACTATGATTTCGATGGTTTTTGATGATTTTTGTATATCAACCCACCACTTTTGGTCCCGCTGAAAGCCCGTGGTGGTACACCCGGACTCTCATCCCAGGTAGCGAAGCTCTCTAGCTGCATCCGAGACTCCAGATGTAAAACCTTGTCGCGTAAGGCGTGTAACCCTCCACGCAAGCGCAAGGATAGCGCATGGTCCCACCATGGCAGCGCCCTCCATCATAGTCATCGGTGTAATTCACGCAGGTGTCGATTCCACCCAGCACCGATCCGTCTGGGCAAACATCGGCATCTTCTGCGAGCACCACTGGCAAATTGCCATAGATCAGTACGAACCTGTGACACCCTGTTGACCCCGCGGAGTGTCGACATGGGATGACATGCTTAATTTATTCATAGGAAATATCTGTGATGCAAGACCTTTTCAACCGGCCTAGGCCAACAAACCAATGACTACCAGGCTACCACATGCAAAAGAAAATTACTTTACTTCGTGTGATCCCCACCATGACATTTATACATTTTGTTACTGGCAAATCTTCTGGCATTCTATCTGACATTTTATCTGGCATTCTATCTGGCATACCTTCTGGCATTCTATCTGGCATATCTTCTGGCATTCTACCTGGCATATCTTCTGGCATTCTATCTGGCATATCTTCTGGCATATTATTTGGCAAATCTTCTGGCATTCTATCTGGCAAACATTCTGGCATTCTATCTGGCATACCTTCTGGCATTCTATCTGGCATATCTTCTGGCATTCTATCTGGCATATCTTCTGGCATTCTACCTGGCATATCTTCTGGCATTCTATCTGGCATATCTTCTGGAATATTATCTGGCAAATCTTCTGGCATTCTATCTAGCAAACATTCTGGCACTTTATCTGGCATACCTTCTGGCATTCTATCTGGCATACCTTCTGGCATTCTATCTGGCATATCTTCTGGCTTTCTATCTGGCATACCTTCTGGCATTCTATCTGGCATATCTTCTGGCATATTATCTGGCAAATCTTCTGGCATTCTATCTGGCAAACATTCTGGCACTTTATCTGGCATACCTTCTGGCATATTATCTGGCAAATCTTCTGGCATTCTATCTGGCAAACATTCTGGCACTTTATCTGGCATACCTTCTGGGATTCTATCTGGCATATCTTCTGGCATTCTATCTGGCAAATCTTCCTTGGCGTTCTCTCTGGCATACCTTCTGGCATTCTATCTGGCATATCTTCCAACATTCTATCTGGCATACCTTCTGGCATTCTATCTGGCATATCTTCTGGCATTCTATCTGGCATATCTTCTGGCATTCTATCTGGCATATCTTCTGGCATTCTATCTGGCGATTGAAGTCCAGCGGTGCACACTGAGCTGGGCAGGTCCCAGGTTGAGGTCCAGCGGTGCACACTGAGCTGGGAAGGTCCCAGGTTGAGGTCCAGCGGTGCACACTGAGCTGGGCAGGTCCCAGGTTGAGGTCCAGCTGTGCACACTGAGCTGGGAAGGTCCCAGGTTGAGGTCCAGCGGTGCACACTGAGCTGGGAAGGTCCCAGGTTGAGGTCCAGCAGTGCGCACTAAGCTGGGAAGTTGGCAAAGAGCTTGGCGCAGAGAGTCGGCGAAGAGAGGTGGCAAAGAGCTGGGCGAAGAGTTGGCAAGGCGGAAGTGCAGGTGGAAGTTGATGCAGACATGGTCGAGGAGAAACTGGAGGAGGAGGACGAGGACGCGGAGGAAGAGCGCTCTGATAAAATCTAACAACCCTCACCTGGCAGGTGGGGAAAAACACGGTCAGCCAATGTCCATGGGATGAGAACCAGTCTGAACTGCGCAGGGCCAATTTTTTTTACCAAGACGCCAAGTCAGGACACAGGCAGCCAAAATAAGGCCGAAGAGTGCAAGGAATCCTCTCACGATTCCATCGCGAAGGGTCACCGACATTCTGATCTGATCCGGAGCGATGATCACTGCGTCACACTTTGGGCCGAATGCTGAAGATTTTCTGCGAAATCTTTCCGTGACTCCAGAAACAAGCGCTGACGTGACCCCATAAAACAGAAAGCATCTGGCATCATCTGGCTCTATTTAGATCTATTTAGCCCAAATTTCACTCCAACCTGGAAACAGAAAAATTTTGACACCGCATGGTTTCAGCATGTTTCAGCTGCATCCTACTCCCATCGAATTCGCAGCCGAGGGACATGAACTTCCACGTCCATGGCCCGGGTGGCAAATTCCAAGCTGCTGATTGTCTCCGATGCGCTTGAAATCGAGGGACTGATGCACACCAGCCTCAGTGGCATTCCATTCTGTTGAGGAGCCCCACCTAGCGTTGGCAGTTTCTCATGGGCGATTGTGGCATGTTGCGGAACAACTGGACTGATATGGCACAATACAATAGACAACACAACATAATACAGTACCATACCGTACAATACATACAATTTCCGAACAAATCCGTTGATATAAGACAAACTACAGAAGCTGCAGCTCAGTTGCAGCGCCGTCTTGCAATTTCCACCAAAGGCATCACTGAGGATCCTCGGCTCATAATCACCAGGGCCACCAAATGCTACAAAAAACAGCAACGGACTTCTAGCAGCAACACCTACTGCATGCGGAGCATCGTGGTGAGTTTGCTGTCCCGAAACGGCACGTGAGGTTTCTTGAATGCGAGGGCATTCACGACATTTCCTGAGATCAGGCAGCAATTCTACAAATGATCTGCGGACTCCTTACAATTCCATCAATTCCCTACAGTTTCACACGACTTGTATTTGTCATTGATGGATTCATCCTTCGTGCTATTGCATGTGATGTATTTCATCTGAATGTTCAGACATGGTTTGTCCACAATAATAATCACAACACTTGCCCCACGGTCGGACATTGTGTAGATGGTGTAGATGCATACTGTGAGGCCCGTGCCCTCAAATCACAACATTTGTCCGCCTTCAGCCTGGCTGCAAAATCATGTGAATCGGATAATCTTAAGTGGCCCCTTGTTTCTCCCAACAACATTTTGAATCAGCCCCTGTGTTTGAAGTTGGGCAATATGGCTGACTCCAAGTGACCAAGTGCCAACAGGCTCTTGTTGATGGAGGTGGTCTCTTTGAAACCTGAGCGCAAGACTCCTTCCTGAGGAACCGAAGGCTGATGAATATGATTATATAACGTGCCTACGGGTGGACAACCGAACGTGTAGTTGTCACTATTCTTTAATTCTCTAACATCTTGGGGTGGGGTGGGGTGGGGTGGGGTATTAACGTCTTTTGTAGTAAGAACTTCCAACTACGTTATTGACTTCTCTAACATCTTGCACGGGGTGGGGTGGGGTGGGGTATTAACGTCTTTTGTAGTAAGAACTTTCAACTACGTTACTGACTCCTTTAACATTCAAACTATGTTGTTATCTTCTCTCTCAACTTCGAACTGCGGTAGCATCCCTTGTAAGACATCTTCCAACTACGTTGTTATCTTCTCTCTCAACTTCCAACTATGTTAGCATCCCTTGTAAGACATCTTCCAACTACGTTGTTATCTTCTCTATCAACTTCCAACTATGTTAGCATCCCTTGTAAGACATCTTCCAACTACGTTGTTATCTTCTCTATCAACTTCCAACTACGTGCAGTTCCAAAGACCAGGCTGAGCTCAACAGAGCAGTCTAGACATATGTCCAATCCTGGCAATGGCGCTGGGAATCCCTGAAACACGGAGATTTCCTCATGTCTCTTACTGGCAAAACCTTGGCACAAATGTGACCAAACTGATGCCACCAGCTCTGCAGAAAAAAAAGCCGCTTTCATGTGCCAAAACAATGGCCCCACTGTCACTTTGTGAAGTGACCCCCCAAAAAAAGAATAGTTTTCTGGGGATAAAACGTCAAAATTTAGTGGCCCGTGCGCAGAAAAAACAATAACACCCATTGAAATGAGACGCACACGTGACAAAAAAATCATGAAATCCATTGAAAAACGCAACACGACAATACACGACATAGAATCCACAAACATCAAAAAGGCAACGCCGCCACGTTCAATTACCCACCTGGCGGGATGAATGTGGAAAGAATCTGACAATTTCAAGTCTAGTCTATTCTTGGGTGTTTTGAAGTTATGCAAGTTAAGTAATATCATGTGACATCTAAACATCTTGGATTGTAACTACTTTCTGAAGTGGGCATAATGAAGATGCTGGAAGGCACTTCCGCGGGAGACCTGCAAAACTGCAAAGGACTTACATAAGCTATCCACCAAATTCATGCTACTGAGTACTGAGTCTGCTGTGATGAGTGGATAACAACTGAATGGTCTGAAATTAGGATCTATAACTTCTAGATTGTAGCTGGGATTGTTCTCCAACATAATTCACTTTTTCGGGGTTAGTTGGAATCCAGCCACTCACCTTGAATCGTAATGCCAGCATGGGATTTTTTTGGAAACGATCTTGCCCCATCTTTGGCCAAGCAACGCACACCTTCAACCTGGCTCTTCTTCACCCTCTCCTCAAGGGCAGAACGATGAAGTCAAGGAATTGCTACATCCGGCAAGCTAAAGGAGGTATAGGAAAAACTGCCAACTGAGACGGTTTCCCTGGCTTTTCCACTGACCATATATGTATACAGTATATGTGTATATATATATATATGTACAATTATGTACATACATACCAACAAAACCCGAGAAATTCGCAGGGTCAGCTGGGAAACCCAGGGTTTTCAAACAAAACCCAGGGTTTGGCAACTCTGACCAATACATTTTTTGGGAGCCATCCAACCGAGGAGCTTTGTTTCGAAACACCAGCAACCACAAGCCACTTTGATTTCAAAAAACGCAACGAAACCAACCAAAACAGGATGCTGTTTTGAGGCATTCAACCCGCGTTTAATTTCACGGGTTATCAAGGGTAAATCACGGGTCCATCACGGTTTCGTCACAGGTTTGGAAAAACATGGGGTTTTCCCAAAACCCAGGGTTTCCGGGTCCAAACCCAGGGTTTCTGTAGCAAAATCATGGGTTGTCACGGGTAAATCGCGGGTTAATCATGGGCTTAGGGTCTGCATCAATTCTGACCTCGTTTTTTCGTGTAAAAAATGACAAAACTACCAGAAAAGGTGAACAAATCCTGGAAATTCTAGATTCTATTGAGGTGGGAATATTGGCAGCCTGGGCAGCGTCACGAGTGACCAGTTGGTCTGACCCGGTTTTGCCGGAAAACCCCGGGTTTCAAATGGAAACCCATGGTCGGACCACCAAAGTAGGTAAACCCGAGGTTTACAGGCAAACCCGACAAAAAACAAGGGTCTTGTTGGTTAGGGTATATAATGGTATATATTATATAATCAATAAATATATTAATAATGTTGGAAACTGGTTGATATTTTTACTTCCTCAAGTTGCTTACGTGGGGGGGTGATACTTCCAAATCTTTCACGTGGTCACTGGCTGAGACGTTCTCCCGTTCGCGCTGTTAGTTCCCAGGCCTCCGAAATCCCAGCCATCCGCCCGAACTGCGGGGCCCCGGGGCCCCAAACCGAGCCCGCGAGATCCACAACGCGCAAGCAGCCCACCGTGGCCGGCTCTGAAGAGCTGCGACGTAAAATCCTGGAGATTTTGGAGATGTTCCGTGAAAAATGACTGTTTTAGACAGAGATAGAGAGAGAACTATACTACATTATACTATTCAATTATATTAAACATTATAGATATTTCTAGATGAATTTTAAAGAAATTGGAAGATATTGGAAATTTATGAAAAAATCGCCTTCGAATGCCTTCGATTTTACAAAGGGGGTTGGTTGATTGACATCACCAATCACAGCAGCCACTTGCCTAAATCGCAGCGCCAGCTAATTTTGGTCACGGTTGTAGATGTTCATTTTATTTTGGACCAGGCCTGTACAACTTGTATTTTTAACATTTTTTAACAAGTTGATTAATGTTGATTATGAGTTTTTTATCCTCAGCTGCACAGCTCATGAGATCTGTCCTGAGCTGGAAGATCGCATGGCTTCGGCTGGAGGCTTTGTTCATGCGCGTCTCTGCGTAGATCAGACTCCGACCTCAGCAATAGCTGCAGCAATCAGCTGCTGATCTGTAGAATCATGAGTAATGTGGTTAAAACAATGTCATAAACCACCCATGACTGTTTTTTTTATATCACCTATTTATGAAATTGGGAATGGTTTATTATTGTTTTACCTACATTCAGACATTTATGAAGGGTCAGGTGCATCTTGGAAGGATTGGAGGTTTCCAGTGAGGCCATACCTTGATACACTGCATCTTTTTCCAACCGCACCCATGGCTTCACTTCGGCGCCAGCACCAGCGCCAGCGATGCCTTCTCGCGGCCCGTGGAGCTGCTGAGGGCGTTCAGCAGCTCACCTTGGCCTTGGTTGGACGGTCATCTGCTGAGGGGGTCCTGAATATAGTATACACTCTGGTGGACTAACATAGCAATTGAACATGGCCATAGAAATAGTGGATTTTCCCATTAAAAATGGTGATTTTCCATTGCTATGTTAGTTCACCAGAGGGTAATAATATATAATAATGCGTATAGAAACCGTTAGAAACCACAATCAATGCGATATCAATGCTACTTCATAGCTATGAATTATTTTGACAGCATTTGTTTTTGATGAATGAGATTAGATTTGCAAATGGGGCTGGGACATGCTCTGAGCATGCCCTTCATCCTGATTTGTACAAAACCCATGTATAACATACACACACACTGACATATATATGTATATATACATATATCTAATTCAATATTCATTAATACATAATACAGGGACATACATGCATACCATACTATTTATATACAATTATACACAGAAACCACATATACACTATCTGGATCCCTCACGATCCCTCTATAGATCCATCGATATCCCATGTCTGGCACCAGCTATGGAGCCCCTACTGGCGAGCTCCTTCAGCTGATCGGAGCCTCCAAGCAAGACACCTCGAGAAAAAGGCTAACTTCTTAGTGATTCAACAGAAAAATGAAGAACACATAAGAACATGTTGTTTCTTTCCCTGAAGTTGTTTAATCATATCATGATTTGTTTCTTGATTTGATTTTTGACATTGTCATATGTTCTCTTGATTGAACACGGAGAGGATGGGAATTTTTAACAAAACAGAAGATTGAAACAACAAAACTGAAGGGGGATCTTGCATGATATTGCTATGGAGGGACGATACAGTATCAACGAAAGTGATACGCGGAATGTACGGTTGGTGAACAAAACGCCAAGGGATTTTATGCGGTCAGTTTGTGGGGATCTAGTCTCCCATTCGATCCCGTTGTAGAACTGTTGCTGGTGGCATCCACAATATCATAAAATATCTGTCAGAAAATGTTCGTCCCCCGATTGTTCTCAGACCTTCTGAGTATAGCTGAGGAAAAGTGGGCCACCTTGCCTGCAGCGCTAATCTCCTGAGCGACAGTCAGTGGATCGCTGTGGGTCTGGCATCCTCAGGGGCCTCCACCAGTAACCATGGCATACCATGGCTAGGTGGAATCTTGCCGAGTCTCAAAGAAGGATGTTCCAACACATCAATGTAATCAAACTCCACCTGATGTTGTCTCAGAATCTCCACGGCCTCGGCTGATTCGGCTGCATCATTGCTGGATATTGATCCATGTAGCATTTTGCAAGCGGCCACTGCCCTGTGTACAGAAGTTGGATCCATCGTTTCCATCCAGAGTCTGCCAAGGAACGAGCCGAGAAAATCGACATCTGGGCGACTCTGGGGATCCTTTCATGAAGAGTAAAATTTTGCTCCTGCTGAGATACTCTTCCACCTCACTGGGCTGCTTACTGGTGGCTGGGGAAATGTAGAACATCTATGAACATCCCATTTTCCACAAGTCGATCTGATCATCTTGGAGATTCTTGGGCAAACACGGCATTCTTTACATCAACACACTGCTCTACAAGTGTTGCCACGCTTAGGGGCTGACACGTCACGGTTGTTTGCGCTGGAATCCCATTCAAACACTGTATTCACAGTCGGATGGGTGCCACACATCCTCATCGAACATAATCACTCCCCCCTGCCGGAGGCAAACATAATATGAACACATCTAAGCATAAACATCTAACAAATGCCAGTAGTTTCGTTCAAAAGATGGGTAAGATATAGATGGATTCAAAAAATGCAAACACATAGATTTTTGTAAAACAAAGGCAAATAAACGCAAATAATTAGATTCGCAACAAAAACCGATTCTAGTGCTAAACCAACGGGTCAACTGAATCTAAAAGGTTTTTGAAAACACATCCCATCATCTACTGGATTGGTGAAGACGGTGAAGACTGTCATTCCAGTGACGTCACAGTTGTCATTACACATCAGCCAAATTGGAACGAAACCATCCCATCATCATGTGGGGCCCTCCAGACGATATCCAAGTTGGCTTCTGACTAGCTGAATTCTCTGGTTTATGGTAGATGTAACATGATTATCGTCGTGTATGATTTAACTGTATACCAGTAGTGCCGCACAAGGCGGTGGCGGAAGTTTCAAAAAAAAGGAAACCTATAGGAGAGATTGGGTGCTGTGAGTCACGGATGGCAGAGCGAATCCACTGATGGACCGAAAGGTGGTTGGAGCTGTGTTTTTTGGAGTGGCTGCAATGGTTGGAGTGGTCACCTGGTCGGTCACCTCACCCACAACTGCTGAATGTAGTGTGGTGTAGTGCAGCTGTAGTTGTAGTTGTAGTGTAGTGGAGTTGTAGTTGTGGTGTAGTGCAATTAGTGTAGTGTAGTTGCAGTTGCATTTGTGGTGGTGTAATGAGTGCAGTGTAACGCAACGTAATGCAATGTAATGCAATGTGGGGTAGGGTAGTGTAGCGTAGTGTAATTGAATGTAGTGTGGTGTGGTGTGGTGTAGTGTACTGTAGTGTCGTGTAATGCAATTAGTGTAGTGTAGCGTAGCGTAGTGTAGTGTGGTGTAATGCAATTAGTGTAGTGTAGTTGTAGTGTAGTGTTATGTATTGTAGTTGTTGTTGCAGTTGAAGCTGCAGTTGTAGTTGTAGTTGTAGTTGTACTTAGTGTAGTGTAGTGTGGTGTAGTTTAGTGTAGTGTCGCGTGGTGTAGTGTAGTGTAGTATAACTGATTGTAGTGTACTGTAGTGTAGTGGAGTGTAGTGTAGTGAGGTGTAGTGTAGTTTAGTGGAGTGGGGTGTAGTGTAGTGTAGTGTAATGTAATTAGTGTAGTGTAGTCTTATGTAGTTGTAGTTGTAGTTAGTGTGATGTAGTGTAATGTAGTGTAGTGTAGTGTAATGTCATTAGCGTAGTGTAATGTAATGTAGTGCAGTTGCAGTTGCAGTTGTAGTTGTAGGTGTAGTGCAGTGTCATTCAGTGTAGTGTAGTGTAATGTAGTGTAGTGTAGTGAAACGTAATGTAGTGTAGTGCAATTGAGTGTAATTGAATGTAATGAGTGTAGTGTAGTGTAGTGGAGTGTAGTGGAGTGTAGTCTAGTGTAGTGGAATGTAGTGAAGGTGTAGTTGTAGTTGTAGTGTAGTGTATTGGAGTGTAGTGTGGTGTAGTGGTGGTTGTAGTAACCCTCACGTTTTGCTCACTTTTGTTAAGGTGCACAATCCCCTGCGCCTGCCACGCGAAACGGCATCTGAACGTCCAAAAGTGGTCCGAACAATTTGTGTTTTGTACATTTTGACTTCGAAATGTGCTTCCCGCCACAGCGGCGTGCACTTTTTCGACATCTCAACTTCCAAAGGTGGTCCGAACAATTTGTGTTTTGTACATTTTGACTTCGAAATGTGCTTCGCGCCACAACGGCGTGCACTTTTTCGACATCTCAGCTTCCAAAAGTGGCGCGAACATGTGGTGTTTTGTACATTTTGACTTCGAAATGTGCTTCGCGCCACAACGGCGTGCACTTTTTCGACATCGCAACTTCCAAAAGTGGTCCGAACCTGGTGTGTTTTGTACATTTTGACTTCGACATGTGCTTCGCGCCACAACGGCGTGCAATTTTTCATCTCTCATCTGGCCAGCTGGCTCCGCTCCGCACCCGCCGCTTTAGCGAGCCTACTTTTCGACCCTCCGGAGCCACAAATCATTGGAAAAACACAAAGTGTTTCGCGACTTTCCTGCCTTTTCGCGCATCTGCATCTTCTTTCTTCTGACTCTTTCTCTTCTCTGATCTTCTCTCTTCTAATCTTCTCTCTTCTCCTCTTCTCTCTTCTGCTCTTCTCTTCTCGATTCTTCTGCTCCACCTCTGCTTTTCATCTGTCTATATTGTCGGAAGTTTGACTTCTAAACTTCCTTCGATAACTTTGTATAGATATAACTATATATAGATATAACTATATATATAACTATATATATATATAACTATATATATATAACTATATATATATAACTATATATATAAATAACTATACATATATAACTATATATATATATATAACACACACACATATATATATAACACACATATATATATAACACACATATATATAATATATATAACATATATATAACATATATATATAACATATATATAATATATATTATATATATAATATATATAACATATATATATATAACATATATATATAACATATATATATATAACATATATATATAACATATATATATATATATAACATATATATATAACACATATATATATATAACACACATATATATATGTTATACATAACTATTATAACTATATAAATATAACTATATACATATATATACATAAATATAGTCTTCATAGGGTGTTAAAATCAACAAACATCGATATAGTTGATGGACGTTGATGGGCTTTACAAACCAACAAACGTCTAACTGAGGCACCTCTTCCTCCGTCGCCACTGGCGTGTCTGGGTGGGGCAGCGCATGGGCCGAGGACTTGCAGGGCGGAGCATCGCAGCAAGGGCGCGGCGGCAAAGCTGGCCGGGATGATGGGAGTCCAGGGAATGCATGGATTTTCAGTGAAAAAGTGGGTGAAAACTATGAGTTTTTGAGGGTTTTCAGGGTTTTTGATGGTTTTTGTACGCATGTGAGTTGTAAAACCACATCATACTGCGGTCGTACCACGAAGGTCTGACACTTTTTAATAGCATTCCCACCATTTTGGGGTTCAATATTGGCATTTAGAGGTGAACGCAAAGGATAGGAACCTGGAAGGAAACAAGAGAAACACCACCAAAATTTCTGCGGGGTTCTGTACTGGGTCTTCAATACCGGCACATGGGCCACATTAAGGATAGCCTGCATCTGAGCTCATCTGTTCAGAGGTCTTTCACAATGGGAAGCGCAATGTTAGCACATATCCCCACGGGGTTATGAGTGGACTGGCACGTGGGACAATAACCTGAAGTTACTGGTTGTCACAGGTATAATACAGGAGCTATTAAACAGCTATTGCTTACTCTACCCATTTTGGGGTTGCATGCGCTCAGCACAGCCTGCTAGATACGCATTGACAATATCAACAGGAAGCTTTTCAGAGGCATAGGGTCTCAAACCTGCCAGTAGATGAAAAATAGGGCACCCCAGTCCAGTGTCCATCAAAATACCCTCTGGTAAACAGCCACATAACCATGGAAAATCACAATTTTCAATGGGTAAATCCACTATAAATTGCCATTTTCCATAGCTATGTTAGTTTACCAGAGGGTAGATGTTCCTGCACCTGCCAGCGCGATGGATCCCGCAGCCACCGCGCCAAAAAAAGTTTCGGCCCCAGCGTGGCCGCTCCGAATGTGACCAGCGGCAGGCCATATCAACCTGCGTGAGAGCCTCCAGGTCATCAGTCAGCCTAGACTTTGGTTTTGAAGTGACATATGTTTATATATATATATGTGTGTGTGTAATTGTATATATATATGTGTGTGTATGTATTCATTCAATATATAGAAATGTATATGTTCATATTTAGATGCTAGCTGCTCGGTGAAGCTCGCTCCTGTTTGCTCCTTTATGATCTTTTGATCACATGAAATTGTAGGTGAGAGAGGCAGGCATATTCCTGTCCTGGGTGGCCTTCCCAGGCATCCTCTTCCAATACTGAACAGACTGTCCTGTGGAGACAGGGTAGGATCAGAGTAGGCTGATCTCTTGATGGGTATTGTCAATTCAGTGATGTATGCCACGCCACAGCACTACGGCCTTGCCATCTAGTTTGATTTTCTTGGTCTGAAGTGTTGACTAAATCACGTTCACATATTCTTTTAAGCGCTTTTGAGCACTGAACAGCAGCAATCCTGCGCTAGGTTGACACAGCACTGGGCCACTGCCTTGAAACAACCCAGAATCCCAAATGGGGAAACTTCTGGGGATACATCCAGTCTCCACACCCTCAACGACCTCAAGTGCATTGCAGAAATTCTCAACCCCCAAATTAGGTAGAAACAATTTTCGAGTGTATAATGTAATGTTTATGTTTATGTTCAATCAGTAAATCATCGAGCCATCTTGTGATTTCCCCTCAATGTTTGTCTACCACCGGGTGCCTCCAAAAATGGATTGAACATTAAATAAATAGTTTTCCCCTTGTGGGTGCTTCGCGCGGTTTAAGAAAATCGATTAAAATTTGGGGATCCCAAAACCAAAACCTCTCTCTCTCTCTCTTCCTCCCTCCCCAAAAAGCTAGCATGGAATAGCATGGACAACTTTGGGGTCCACTTTAGGAACCACCTCTCACGACTACATTTGGGCTACCAGGCCACAAAGGTTTCAGCCACTGAGCACCCGCGCGAGCTTTGCTGAAGGCATCCAGGAGTTCGCAACTGGTGCTACACCTGTTAGGCATCACTTGGCATCACTTCCTTTAGGTTGGCGAAAACTTACCCAAGATATAAGCGACTAAGATCCATCAAATATGTTCAATCAATATTTCAGTCATCAAATGAGTCAAACCACCCACAATTCAGCTGCATTAACTGCTTATATAACCCTCAAAATGCTGAAGCATCAATGAAGTTCAGGCACCTCAACTTTCGCACCCCGTCACGTGATGGCCTCCTTAGTTCCGGCGACCAGCCCAGGTTGAAGGTATGGCATATCACTCTGATGGGTATGGAGTCTGCCTATACTGTAGGTCCCTACAATAATGCATCTATGTGAACCTTAGATTCCAAGCTCCCCCAACAAAAAATATCCAGTATGGTCATGTACGGTCTATATTCCCATTTCTGTTCCCATTCATTGGGCCAAAAACTCAGCAAAAAATAGCCCCAAAGCTGACGCAGTAGCCATCAGTAGCCACTGAGTCAAGGGGCTGCCCTTCTGCTGGTAGCAGGTCGTCCACCTTGCGTTGGCATGGTTTTCTGCATGGGATCTATGACTTGTATGACTTGGGTCCCCATAGATCCTACTCATTTTGTCATATTTTTTCCGGGGAAAAATACCTGGATGAAGTATGATAAAAAACATGTTGGGATGACCCCCACTAAGCATCCCCTTATCTGATCATTGAACTTCCTTTCTCATCTTGCAAGAAAATGACCCGCACGCCGCACGCCATGGCACCTGGTCATGATAGATCTGGATGGCACTCACATCCACCTGGCGAGCCAAGCGAGCCATGACTCTGGGCAGCTGGCATGAAGAATGGGGCCCGGGCCCGGGGGCTAAGCATCAAACATGGTTAAGCATCCAAGAATGGGATGAACGATGGATGTTGGCATATGATGGCATATGCAATTTCTATCAGTTTATATATATATTCATTTATATGTTTCAATCTATTGAATGTGAATGTATTGGCATAGCGTATATAGATGCACATGGCATATAATATGCTTGGCTTGAATATGTTTGAATGCTGTATTACTGAACATGCATCCCAAGAAACATATATAATATAATTAATCAATCAACATTGCATCTTTTGGTGTCCCCTCTATTGTCAGTGATTGTCATTCGCGCCTCATACACAGACCTGGCATCATTTGAGATGGTTTCCTCGGCAGTGATAGCTTCCTGCTTGTACTTCATAGAAGGCTTGCATGCTGGAGACAAGCCAACACAAACCATCTTCAATCACTAGTGAAGATCAAATAAAGAAAATACCGTTGAAGATCAAGTACCTCTTTCAAGCCTCGAGTCTTCCTTTCAAAACCGTGTGGAAATACGGTGATCTTGAAGACCGAAAGCGGCCGAAATCAGGCTGTATATAGTTGCCTTGTGTGGAAGCTCTGGCGAATATGCGGACATACGCCCACATTATGTGTATAAATGTGTATAATATATTGACCACCAAGTATCGAAAAGGCTGTGCACAAGTCTTGGAAGCAATCCCGATTCTTCAATCAAAGTGTACCTTGGCATCTCAGCTGCAGCTGAGTGGTGAACGCTCTATTTTTGTGGAGACTGTGGAGATTTGTCATTTTTTTTCCGGTGGGTCATGACATGGATGATGTCCGAGCCATGAAAGCACGATCTGCCAAGTTGCGTCTTGCCACTTCCAGTCCTGGGCTGAAGATCAACTGCCACCTACCTTCCCAAAGAAAGAAAGATATGAAATCTGGAAGTGGATGGTGGCAAAGTGATCTTACACCACTTTGCCCAGCTTTGTATACCCTACAGTAATATATAGTAATATATAGTAATATATAGTAATATATAGTAATATATAGTAATATATAGTAATATATAGTAATATATAGTATATAATATATAGTAATATATAGAAATATCTGTAATATATAGTAATATGTATTTATTATTATATTTATTTACTTAATTCTACTTGCATCTACTTGCATGTAATTCATGTATAAGTTGTCATGATTAGTCTCTCTCTCTCTCTCTCTTTTTATGGCCCTCCATGCATCCCTTAAATGCTTTTCGCAGCTTGGAAACTGCCCATAAGCTAAGATGGTGCCATTGTATCCACGCAAGCATTCCTCCAAGATCGGAGCTCCAATCTGGCCGCAATCGATGTCTTAGGGATCAAACCTACTGCCTTTGATCCGAAAAATCCAAACAGTCAAGGGGAAACAAAACAGAAGGGTTGCAATTATTGAGCTTAGTAGGCGTCAAATCAAAACTCAAATAATTTTCGTGAAGTTTCACATGCTGTCAAACTTTCATTCCCAGGGAGGGTAACCAAGTACCTAAGTAGCCTCTCACATCGCTCCCCCACCCAATCCCTGCCTTGTCAAAGACATCTTGCTGCCCACTGCTGGGTGGAAAGACACCATCCTTGGCTTCCCCCGGGTTGCCCTGGGTCCCAATGGTTCCCAATGATGGCACAGCAGTCCAAGTGTATCACATTGGCTCTCAACTTTCAACCACCTCATGGTGCAGGATGGTCTCAGGCACCAAATACCCACAAAATGTGCGGGTTGATCTTACCAGGACATCCTGCTGCCAAGTATCATAGGTGAACTTCCTTGCATCCACCAGTCCTGAAATGCGGGTGTGGCCCCCTGTGATTTCTTGTGATTTGCGTGTAATTGCTTGTGGTCGCATGTGATTCCTGGTTGCTGCACCTGCCAATTTGATCCAATTTGGATATAGTGCTTCTGCCTTTCAAACATGAGTTGAAGACCACATCTTTGCACATGGCCCATGGCCAAAGCATGTCCTTCTTCCCTCAGGCAATGGCAATCCGACTGCACCACCACAGCACCTCAGGTCGAACAGCAAGGCACGGAGAAACGTGCCCTGATTATCCTGATTCACGTGTGATATGAGTCGACAGCTGTCATTTTCCAGGATTCTGAGGATGAAGCCATCCATTTAAAAAAACACCCTACAAACAGAAACACTACATGAACAAGGTTGGATTGAACCACTGAGCCAAGAAAATATGACATTGCCTGACTCCTTCCTACAAAAAAATGGATAGAGGATTCTCAGGTGGACTTTCCTGTTTCTCAACTTTCCCCCAAAACTGGAGAATTTCTTGCGTCCAGGGACGCTTCTCGACTTGCAAGAAATGTCCCACTTCCTGCTGTGGGAATCCGTGGGACGAGGGAAACTTCAATCCTCATGTAAATTCCCTCGGTCATTTTATCTTTAAACAAAGTGCCATGGAATCAGATTCATATTGGGATGTTCTAGATCAATTTTATGATATCAATCATGATCAATAGATTGACATAGATTGACATATGGGTTTCTAGATCAATAATCAGAACTATCTCATTTAGTAATTGTAAGTCAACTGTGTTTTTTGCTAGGGCCAGGGCGTCCAGGGGGGTTGCCGACGATAATGGTCCATATAAAGAAATAATAATAATCATCTCCATCTGGCATGATATATATATAATCATTAATATTCATCATCGATATTAATGAAATATGATGGGGAATATGATATATCATTCATCATTATTAATATCATCATCATATGATCTATACATCATCATTAATATACATCATCTATATTGATGGGGGATAATCATCATTGATATGGATCAGTTTTCAAATCCCATCTGTCCCATCTCTGCCGCCTCCTCTGGCTTGGCTGGCCGCAGTCGTGCGAAGACACGCACACGGGCATCCGTGCTGGTGGCATCCATCGGCGGGCAAGGGGTACTGTAAACTGAACAAAGCATGCCTGATTGGAATTAGAATGAAGGCCTTCATAATGAAGGTATCCATGTTATATGTATATGTGCATGTAAAAAAATATACCAATGTGATCTATGCGTAAATTTGATGGCGATGTGATATTAAGGTTTTAAATATGTGTATCATCTCGTGTCAACATTGTTCAATAGTTCCAGGTGCATGGAAGAGCTTCATTGGACAAGCCAAAACCAGCGCCTTAATATGATGGAAAAGAAACCTGAGCAGTGCCTCACAAACATTAAAACAACATAAAACAACAATTGTCTATCATGATCTATACACGGATCTATCTTGTTGCAAGCCTCGTCATCACAAGAACCACTTGAATAATACTGTTAACTCAAACCAAAACATGGCTGCGAGGACGCAGGTTTCTACATGTTTCTACCAGCAGCAAATACGGTTTGACTCATGAAAATACTGATGTAAGATATGTCAGTGAAGTGTGGCCAATAGCACCATAATGTGAATAGTAGGAATAACATATCATGAGAATATCATGGGAGTATCGTGAACCAACCAACATTGGATGATAGTCTTGGTTTTCTATACTCCTATTGCCCATTCATCCTCCGATAAACAAAAAAGTCCAATGATTTAAGTGGTGAACCCAGCATCTTATTGAAACTTCATTAAAACCAACGCTGGTGGCTTCAACCCATCTATTAAAAACAATATATATATATAAGTAACTATATATATATATACATACATATTATATTCCCATTGTGTTGGTATTATTCTACTGTGAAATTGATATATAGTGGTATTCCCATCTATTCAACCCAATGGTATTCCCAGATGTTCCCACTAGAATTTCACAGTCGTTGAAAAAGGCCACCGGACGTATTCCACCTCCTCATCGACGGTCCAGGTGATCGAGTCATAGCCCTTGCCATCGACCTGACGGCGACAACAAATTGCATGATGCGATTGCCATAACAAGACAAGGATGCTAATAACAGATGGATACATACAATATAATACAATATATACATATATATATATACACATATATGTATACAAACGTAGGTATATATATATATGAGACACATTGAGAAACAAAGAACGCATTGAAGACAAGAAGTCGAAAGCGACCTCAAGCAACTTGTTCTACCGACACAAAAAGCGACAGAAGCTCTCGGAGGCATCGTCAACCATGAGATTTTGAGGTGCCCAATTATTTTCAGAGAAATGCACAATAGCATATCAAGTCGATTAATTATAAGTTATACAAAATATCCCAATATCCCCTCTTATTCTAATTACCCTCTGGTAAACGTTTACACAACTATGGAAAATCACCATTGTCAATGGAAAAATCCACTATAAATGGTGATTTTCCATAGCTATGTTAGTTTACCAGAGGGTACCATCATTGTACCCTGGTTACCCCTAGTAAAAAACCTCATCCTCTCAGCCCTGCGCAGGCTTGGTTTGAATGCTCTTCAGAAGGCCGTAGGGGCTTGAATTTCCTCGACTGACAGATGGCTTCGTCGCCGCTTAAAATGGTTGGAATCGATTTGGATGGGTTTGAAATGTCCTTGGAATGGCTTAGAATCGGGTCAGAATGGGTTTCAAATATATAGGTTTAGCTGGGTTTAGATGACTTCAGCAACCAGTGCGCAAACGCGGAAATGAGCTCATCGCTTTCGAAAATGAGCTTCCTGATCTGATGCCTCAGTGCCAAACGGGTCCCCGGCTTGCACCATCTCTCACCTATATATTTATCCTTTATATTACCCTCTGGTGAACTAACATAGCAATTGAAAATGGCCATTTATAGTGGATTTTCCCATTAAAAATGGTGATTTTCCATTGCTATGTTAGTTCACCAGAGGGCATACCATATTATATATTCATTCCCCCCCAAAAAGAAACAAACAACTGCAGAAACTTCATGAAACTGCAACAAGCACAAAGCGCATCAAGGCCATCAAGGCACAAAATCAGAAGTGTCAAAAGGTTCCACCCCGTTCTCCATCCCTCACCGGGATTCGCACCCACGGGCTGCACCCAAGTGCTTCAGGCTCAAAGCCTTAGATCATCCCAGTGAGGAACTTCCTCAGCCTATGGATGTTTTTCCGATGTTTTCAATGGCTAAGCCCTGCAAACACTTGTAAATCTAGAGCATCCTGATTCTAGGCCTTTCGATTCTAAGCCTTTCCAGGCTTGTCCATTGAGGATCTCCACAGCTGAGCATCCCAACACCTGGTGTTGTGAGAACCTTCACATGACCTGGGCAGCCAGGAGGCACGGGTGGCTACTCAACTAGTCACCTTGCAGGTTGCAATTCACTGCCCAAATACCTGCTCCACAGGGTTCACCAAATACCTGTAGCCACCCTACTGTAGCAAAGATTTACAGTAACAAATGGACCTATCATGGAGGATGTCGTGTCAATCACCCACATCATCAGATTTCGCCAGCACGTTCTTGGAGAACCCCTTGGAGAACCCCCAAGGGGAACTCACCTGCAGAAGTGAAGAACGCCAAAGCTTTTCCAAAGTGGGTGGGGAAATCCTCCTGGCAACGTCAGGGTGTTTCTGCTTGGATCAAGGTGAACAAAAGCCTTGGCGCGTTTGATGTTTCTGATGGTCCTGCTGCTGCTGATGAACCGCCACAATCCACTCGGAACTCTGCAAATCCTTAGTATCAAATCAAGCCGCGTGGTGGGAAAGAGATATACTTGTACAAGTGCTACATAGTAACTACCACTACAGGAACGTCTTTTTATATTTATTGATTATATCTATATATAATGCATCTATGTATATGTATAATGCATTAAGCATATAATGTATGTATGTAACTGTATGTATGTACAATGTAGGTATGTATGTATAATGCATATGCACGTATGGGCAAATACAAGTATACATACATATTTACTCGTGTGTGCATTTGTCTATGTTCATGTGCCTATCTATATAGCTTTAAAGAATAGAAGGATGATGAAGGATGTAGGCTGCAAACAACAATGGTTCTGTGGTGCCATGCGCCAACTAATTACGTGTTCACTCAAGTCATTGGGGCAGTATCTCAAATGTTCACCTGTTTTTGGATGATACTCTTGGCCCAATCGCAGCTGCACATAATTTTTCTTAGCATTTTCATACTCAACCTATTGATATACATTGCGTGCGAATGCGTGCGATGCAAACAAAGACTGCCCCGGACAAGCCAAGTTCATGAGCTGTCTGCTCTGTCTCGCACCAAGGGGATCAGGCTACCGTATAAAATGAGATAGAGATTACTATATGCTTATTGATCTTATTGCCTATTGCTCTTACAAGCCTTGGCTCCTGATGCTCCCCCCCAAAAAACATGAAAAATCCCTGGCTCACAACAGCTCCCCAGTACCTACCGCCAGCCCAAGAGTTGACCTTGAGACTGTATGGTTTCCAAGCACCACAATAGCAACATGTTGATATTCTTTCAACAATTCTATAATCCCACATCGGGAGTGAGGACCCCCCCCATGAATATCAGTATAGTGGGATATCACCCTGGGTATCACATAGATCAAACCCCTCAGTTACTGGCACCTTCCATACCTCCAATGAGGCCATGTTGCATGCTCCTGATGCTTTCCTGAGTTGGTTCCATACCTGGCGGGCTGGCCATGCCCATCTGCCCATGCCCATGGCAGCCTTCTCCAAAACCGTGCGGAAACGCTTCATCAAGGCTGGGGTGAGAAAATTAGCGCAGCGTGCCTCTTGGGGACTTCATGGACCATCTGCAGCTCAACCTTGGGACCAACAGAGACTTCGGGGCATGCGAAACAAGTAATTCCCATGGTGACATTTCCAATATCACCAGCAAAATTGGGATGTGGAGTAAAAAGTGTCCTACAATGTCCTACACAGCCAACCGGTTTTCACATGTTGAACGTCAACTGAAAAGATGCCGGTAAACGCGAACACTCTAGACATGCAAAGTATATAATCACCAAAAACGGCTAAAATGTGCTTGACATGACCTTGTTCGACTAATACCCTCTGGTATTTTAACATAGCGATTGAACATTACCTATTTACTTTGATGAATTACCTATTGACAATGGTAATCAAACATGGCAACATATGGCAACAGAAACTCCACAATCTACCTACTGAATTCTAACAATCCACTAGCCAGCTGAACTAGGGCCATTTGGGGACGATTACCCTAACCAACCATCAACTCTCAGCAAGATCACCTTGGGGTCTCGATCAAATTCATCCAAATTTTATCGTTGATGTTCCCATTGAAACTCCCATTTATAATCATTATAATCATAGTTGATAGTTCCAGCTCATAATGTACAGTTGATATTCCCAGTTCCCATTGAAATTCCCAGATTTATAATGATATTAATCTGGGTCATGAAAAATAATAAACCATCCCCCAAATCACCATGTTTATGGGTGGTATGGTTACCATTCCCAGTCATGGGTGGTTTATGACATTGTTTTACCCACATTACTCATGATTGTACAGATCAGCAGTTGATTGCATCTGGGATATTCTGGAATATTTTTTTCTGAGATAACATCCATTTATTGACAATTAATCATTAAAAAATCATGGAACTAAATGATTTTTACAATGGGGTAAGATCCATTTAGAATCATCAATGGAGCTAGAGCGGGCCACTACCCCACCCCTGCAGTTAAGGGGAATGAGCTAGGGTGTGGTCCGTAAAACACTTATTAATGGAACTAGTTCCAAGATTTCCATAATGCTTCCCATGTTTGATGCCCCCATGACGCACTGGGCTGGAGAGTGGCTCCTCCAATGCCACGTTTGTCCAGGGTCCAATATCCTAGCGTTTCGCTGCTGGGAAATCTAGGAGGAAACCGGTCCCAATATGACCAGAAATGGGTAGTAAAAGATGGAATGGTAGGATATGGTAGGTTTATTCTTGGGTAAATCCCACATGGGAAAAAAACTAGAAAAAACAATTGGGAATGGGATTGAACGATTCAAAATGGGGATGAGAGAGCCAAGAGTGACTCCATGAGCTACAGTAGCCCTCGTGCATTGATGCAACATGTCCGAGTCCCTCAAAGAGCTTCGCTAACGAAAAGCGTTTCCCGTCGAAATCATTGACAAGCGGTCGGCAAACCCATGTGCACATATGTAACACAGTAGCCTAACTCAAAAAACATGCATGTTGCAACATGCTTCAAAGTAAAGTTCGGCTGGAAACATGGTTTCCAATGTCAGTCAGTCATACCATGTTATTATCTGGGTAAATTTTAATAATTCACCAACCTGAATTAAGGCCATTTGGGCTGATTCCCCTTACTAACCATGATTTCCAGTGAGGTCGCAGTGAGGTCGTTATAATTTACCCAGATACCATGTCAGTCACCCTCCATTTTGGAGGCAGAGTCAACTCTCCTGAGACTTTGGAGACCATCCCAATGACAGGTCCGCTGTGGGTCTTCTGTACCTCACGTGCTCCACCAAACCTACCATCCCTACTTTTTGTTGGCGGGACCGGGTGTTTTCAGGAGGATATATGACGCAGAATCTCATAAATAGCTCATGGTCCAAAGTCCCAAGACATCCAGAATGAATAGAGAATGAATTGCAAACCATGCATCCTTAACACAAGCCCTGGCTGCAGCTCTCCTCTCAACTTTTTTTTCTCTGGAAGCACTGTCCACTCATGGAGCTATCCATGACCTGCCAGCTTCAAGTGAGCCATGATGGTCTCGTACGCACTTGTGATCTGCTGAAACTTTTTGGCCGCTTCCTCCTGAAGGTGAGGGTTCTTGTCAGGATGATGTTGCAAAGCCAGCCTGGCGCCATGTCATGTGGCAGAATATGCTAAGGCAACTGAATGTGGTGTGGGGTCTATCCTTATAAAAAGGGAGAGTCTGGGGGAAACCATGTAATGATTAGTAATGGCGCATTCAATCCCAACTCCAGAGCGACAACCCAACAACCAAGGTCGATATAGAAAAAAACATGCGTAGGGCCACCTTGTTTTGTATGTTTTTTTTGTACGCCGTGCCTTAAGTCTTCCGTGATGCATCTTTTGAGACACACTCTGATGGCCACAAATATGCACCATGTTTGATCTGGTGGTTTTAAGATATGTCTTACCCTGAAAAATCTGAAGGATCATCCCAGCTGGGTCGTTTTCTAAAAACAAAAAAGCCTCTCTCGGGCACTGGACCTGCCTTCGGTATGCTCTTCGAACCTCATCTTGTCTTGCTGTAACGTCCAGACCTTCCCGCTGAGCAGAATGACAAGGACTTTGGACTTTGGACATGTTGGTACAGCAAGGTACAGCAAGGGGATGGGTGTGTCCCGAAATCTTGCCAATAAACAACACATCATGGCCATTGTGAGAGGAAGCATGATGATAGGCCAATGGGTTTTACACCGAAGTAAGTATGAATCTCTTGAAGGCCACAGGATAGTTTGAGGGTATACATGTAGTAGCGCGGCTCTCTCCATTGGGGGTGCAAACTGGGAACCCCAAAGGCCATGATTGCCATCTCAAAATGTGTTGAAGTTGATTGTAAACTTCCCCTTATTATTTCTTGGCAGCATCACCCACTGCGATTGGATTTATCACACACACACACGCACACACACACACATATATATTATTATATTATATTATATTATATTCTATTCTATTATATTCTATTATAATATAATATAATATAATATTATATTATACTATATTGTATTATATTATATTATAGTATATTATATTATATTATAGTACAGTATAGTATATTATACACATACATAATATATATGTATATATATATGCATCTATTTGTGATGATTTGTCGATTTGGGGGCTCGTGGCTACAACATGCTACAACCGTAATTTGATGGATTTCCTTTGAAATAACCAAAAACAAAAAACACACACACAGCAAAAATAGGAGGCCGACTGAAGCAAATCCAGTCACCCAATTGATAAAATGCGGCGGCCACTTTGCCATTGGGCGTTGGAGCTGGTGTCTTCTTCTCTTGTCGAGGCGGAGGTTGAAAGCCCCAGTCTGGGATGGTCTGTGGCTCCTTGGATCCAGAGTGCCCAAAGGGAAGCCGACGCTTTTGTGATCGAAAATAGACAGTAGACATTTATAGACCTGGAAGCCTGGTTGGGCCCACAAGCCTCAAAGGGATGCTCAACCAATTCGCGTTCGCGACGAAGAAAAAACCATAATCTAGCAGCCAGATTTTTGGGTGTCTGCAAGTGTGAGTGTTGAAAAACAACAACAATTTTTGATGGGCTCAACGGCCAAACTTTAACCACTTGAACCAAGCATCCTCCACAACAAAGCCACAGGTTTTCAGCAACAGCTTCGTGATGAGTTCCTCAATACTTCCTGGGGCACATGACAGCACTAAAACTACGCTTTCAATTTGAAAGCTGCCTGACCTTTTGACCATTTGCCCTAATTATTTCGACCCAAAATTGCGACAGATGGTAAAACAGTCCATATTGGATGCCCCCAGTTGCAAAACGTATCGAAGAGTGGCCCTGAAAGCCTTTTATATACGTGGTCGAAAGATGTCAAAAGTATTCAAAAGTGGTTTTCGACGGTTCAAACGCTATAGTACCGGGGACAGCTGATTCGCTCAACTTCAGGAAGCATTTCAACTCATTGGTGGGCACTGGTTCACGTGCTTGGCTACCCCAGCTAGGACAACCAATGCAGTACCAATGCCACATTTGAGACCATGATTTTTACGCCATGATCCTAACTCCAAAATAAGCACAGTAGTTATAAGCACAGTAGTTATATGTAGTTATGGCATGTTACGGCTGATTCTTCGTCACATCCTTTAATCCAGGCCAGGAAAAAAACAGACCGGCAGTCTGACCGGCCAAGATGGCCAAGTTTCCAGCGGCAGATAGGTTGTGTTTCAGGCACTCTTTCCGCAATTCAGATGGCCTCCCAGAGATTTGAAGTCTGCCAGTGGGCTCGGAATTGCAAAAAACGACATTGGATGACATTGGATTGATTGTCGCATGACAGATCTCGCGAGTCTTTTCTAGTGAATTTGGATAGGTCAGGTCCAAACAAGTTCAATACCAAGCTGCAAGGTATCAACATCGTGCCTCAGATCCTGCCAAATCAGGTAATGCTTCAGCCGACTGATCATGGCAGTTCGGTCCACTCCAGCTTCCTTTGGAAGGCCCAACAACTTGTACATGTCTTTCACCTGCCAAGATCTGCCAAGTGGATGTCTATTGGCAGGAAGGCATTCTTTCTCTGCATGATATTAGGTTTTTTTTGGGCACTTGCATACTTCCGACCTTATCTCTTGTCTCACTAGTCTCACAACAGAATCCGTGGCTGCCCAATAAAATTACCCTAGTAATCTCTAGGCCATTTCTGCCAATCCGTAACCCCAGGTGGGATCCCACCATGGCCTCTTTGTCGGTGGCCTCCTCTAAGCGATTCAGCTCCTCCACGATATTCAGCGCGCAGTCCAAACTGCTGAGCCGCGACACCGGGATGCCCTGCTTCTCCCAACCATCCACCTTGGACACGAGCAGCGAGGCGAGATTTCCGAGACTTCAAATTCTTGGCAAATTTGACGATCCTGTATAGATTTTTAGTTACGCTATAGATTTCAGCTAGGTTTCAGTTTTTGAGTCATAATTACCTAGTCGTATATAGTTGTATGTAGTTTTTGTAAATGGCATCTAAATGGCAACCCTCCATTAGTTTCAGTGCCACGCCAGAACGCTTTTGGGATTGCGAGTCTTTGATCACAGCCAAACAATACAACCCAAACCGTCAAACATGGCATGATACATAAAAATCCTTCACAACGTACAGTATATAATAGCTAGCATATATAGATATACATGTGTGAATGTGTATATATATATACAATATGTTAATTCTTACAGTACTTCTACATGCCAGGCCACGCCCAGACTCATGATCAACTTATCCAGAAAGATCTGTCGTTTCTCCTCCTCACAGAGCTTCAGTGTGTGCTGCACCTGCAGCTGTCGATCTTGGCACTGTTCCAGCAACTGATCGACCTCCAACTGCGACCACATCAGCACCTCGGGAAAGCCCGATGAACCCAGCGATACCCAGACCCTTGAGGTGGAGCACCAAACTGAATGCCTTGATTGGGGACGGGGAACCCCACTTTTTTATCATATCAGTGGCATCGAGGTTGTTACATTTGTTACGATTTGACCAGATCTATAGAAAAGGAATTTGTGGATGATTGCATGGCTATCTAGAGGAAAATCATAGAACTCCGAGTTGTGACATTGTGAAGACCCATGTGGATGCGGGCACATTGGCCATAAGGTTGTGGCAAAAGTTTAAAAGCCACCACAGCCTGATGCAAAGGTGAGCTGACCATGCCCCATTTCTCACCATTCGGAGCCATTCTGACAGTGGGTACCCCGAAACCAATGATTTCCCTATTTAGAATGACCAGTTGTTGATGATCTTGGGCCATTTTCAGAAACACCTATTGTTGTATGGTTATCCAAAAAAATGGTTCAAAATGGATCAAATTGGTTTCGAAAAAAAATGCTACCATCATCCCACCTGCTTCAATCGGCTGATCAACTCGTTGTTGTCCAGCTTCGGTTCATTGGGCATGCCCAGCATGGCATATTCCTCCTCCAAGAAGGATCTTGGCATTGACTCGAGTCCTCAGCAGGGGCAGCCACAGCTCAAAATCCCTGGCAACATCCAGCGTTGTGGAAATCATCATAGCTTATCTATTCTCCATTTGTGCAATTCATATATATATACCTGCTAAACCCAAAACCCAAGAATTTCTAGGGCAATCTAAAATAACTGGTTATTTGGATACTGCCCTAGAAATTTCTAGGGCGCCCTTAAAATTTGGATTTTGGGGTAAAAATGCGTAATTTATGATAATCTTGGGTTTTGGGTTAAGCAGGTGTATAACCCCAATCCCATGTTTGCAGTGCTTCCCTCAGGCCGCCGCTGTCCTCCAAGTGGTCAAGGTGTCCATGAAGATATCATTCAAAATTGAGATGAATGAGCCATCATTGGTTAAGATAAATTGGATAATGTTCACAATGAAAATTCGAGACTATAGATGCCTGCAGTTGCAATTCTACAGGGTCACTGTTCCAATGTTGGAAGTCTAATCAATTCCTCCGTTCCGCCTTCCAACTCCTTAGCCATTTTTCTTTGTGGTCGCCGGATGTCGATGTGACAGAGCGGTGGCGCAGAACCCTTGAGGTGCCACGCCCCCTCCAGCTTTGCACAGTAGTATTTGATTCAAGCACTGTCAGTGATGTCATCAAAACAAAGCATCACATGTTGCACTTACCTTTGATGCTGTGATAGCGAACTTTAATTTTTGCATCTGGTTGCTTGAATCCAGCCCCGTGACCGTTTCCAGCATCTCACATCTGCAACCTGCAGAGCAACTTTCGGCTGACAGACCAGGGATTTGTTAGTTGGGGTTCCCTTTGGGCCCTGCTGCGTCATGGCTGGATGTGGTGATCATTCCCCAAAAGATCTTCCTGGCAAAGTAGAGGACAAGAGTAATGGTAGGGGGTTGGCTTTAAAATGGGACAACTTGGATGCAATCCGTCAGCGCATGAGGGATGGCTACATTCTTGTGATTCACTACGATGAGAAGTTGAAGAAGGCCACCAACCAGGAAGTGGAGAAAACGACGATGAACGTCAAAGCCAACTACTTTGTTCTTGCACCTGTTTGCCAAATGATGTTTGCCAATGGGCTGGTCAACATAGATGGTTTGGAACAAGAAGTCAAGCAGTTGTATAGTATGTACAACGTCCTAGCAAATGAAAAGACGGTTGGCAAACAAGCATGGGCAATTCGCCATTTGATAAGTGTCCTGAAGCAAAGCACCAAAGCTGATAAAAACGATCGTACCAAACCCAAGCGCTGCCCGAAGGACAGTCTGTAAATGTTGTATATCATTTTGTATTTCCTTATATTTTTTTTGGGCTCCCAAATGTAAAATTTGGTGTAATTGCCTGCCGGAAGCCCAAGCCTTCGCAGGACCCGAAGATGCAAAACCTTCTACTGGATCTGGGCATCCTTGAGCGGAAGGACCCATCACAGATCCCTTATCCAAATCCAGTGCGCATGCTGTGGTTTGTTATGGTAGCTGGTGTTGTTGATGGGAAAAATGCAATCGGAATTTGGGATTATTGCAGCTCTTGCCAAATCATATCACAAAACCAAACTGTAGACTATAGATCGGCTTGTAAATCTGACAAATATTGGTTTCCCTCTGGTACAGCATGATATAAGGAGGCCACAGACGTGACACCTATAAATCTGACCCAAGTCTCAACTGATTCCATCCAACAGCTTGGCCAATGTCTGCAGGAAGATGGATCCTTGGCTCTGCGAGCGGACAAGGCCCAACCATCGATTTCGAAAATAAATTGCATCAAACCGTGCAAGCTGTTTTAATTCAGTATCAACATTGATCACCACATACTTTGATTGGTTGCCTGAAAACAGATCGCTAGCAAATGAATTGTACTGATTGCCAATTCTCCTATAAGTCAAGGGTGAAAGAAAGTTCGGCTGGAAAACACAGACATTTAAAAGCAAGATTAGTGTGAGGGTTGGGGTGTGTGTGTGTGTGAATGTGTTTCTTTTTGTGTGCAACTTCATGTGCACCATTTGTTGCAGGAGCAACAGCAACAGCGTCCCGAAAGTGATGCCTTAGTGCCTGCACAAGGTGCGCCATCGTCTGTGGCGACCACATGCCACCCACCAGCGTGCCCGGTGGAATCCCAACCTATCTTTGATGGTGAGGTCAACCAAACACAGGAGTTTCCCGATACTTTTGCTGATACCTTGGCATACGAGCCACCAAGTGCTTCTACTGAAAATGAACCCCAGAAGGATTTGAGTCTCAAGTTTGATGCAGCAGCACAAGCAGCCGAGTCAGCAAAAATTCCAGTGTCTGACACAGTGGTTGTCCCTGCGACTCCTGCCATTACTTTGACAGGGAGTTCACCCAAGCAGGACGCAGCTGTGGTTGCAAACACCACGCAGAAAGCATCAGGTGAGCAGCCAGCAAGTTCGGGCAGCAAAGGCAAAGACATGGTGATTGAAATTCAGGACAGCTTGCATGGTAACATGGTCAGGGTTGAGTTTGTTTCCTCAAGTTGTTGCTCACGGTCCTCCCAAACCTTTCTACTTCATAGTCCCATATAGTCCCCATCTTTTAGCTTTTCCAATCAATCTTGCCAGCCAGGGGTTCTCAACTTGCATAATGCGTACCTAACATGATATGGACAACAATCCATGCAAATTGATACAAATGCTTTGCAATAGATGACAGTCTTTGTGGAGCATGTGCAGGACTCTCAAGATCTCTTTGGAAGCAGCCCTTTGCCCGACAAGGACAGTCTTGACTCTTTGGGTCTTTGAGCACTAACAACAGGAAAGTGTGTAGAGAGCATTAAGGAACCTGTCAACACCTAATCTTACTTTAGAAAATTCTCTTTAACCATTTTAAACCCAAACCCCAAGTCTTGATAAGCAAAGAGTCTTTGCTGTCCTGCTCCTTCCAGGAGTGCGTTCCATCTACAGCGACTGGTGCGTCATCCTGCGACAGGGACAAGAAGGAGCTGGAGGACGAATTGGCATTCTTAATGTCATGCCTCAAAGTGTTCCCTGATGAACACTGTGTGTATTATTTTTTCCACGGAGGTGGTAAATTCGTTTCGAGGTAAAGTTGAACATTCATTGATCCAACATGTTGAACAACATAAGGCAAGGGAACACTTGCATTCCGACAACGCTCCCATCTCTTTCCAAGTCTTCAAATGGATTCTTGGCTTTGAAAATAACATGTTATAGACTCGGCATTCGGCGTGTCTTTCTACAGAGTTGGGTCTTGAGTGCTGATGATTCTTTGCAATCGATCATCATAACCAGCCACTTGCACATAAAACCATGCAAACATATGCAACCAATTTTTTGGGTGGTTGTAATTAAGGTGGAGTGGAGACCATTTTGATCACCGATTCATTGCCCTATGGTGGGGATATGGACGAAACACTACAGCCACCAGACCATACCCCTGATGACTGGCTACACACAGCCCCCACGCAAAAGCTCTTGGCTTCCGAAGGTGAGTCCTTGCCAGCTCGTCCAGTGGCCACGCCAATGCTGGCAGATGAGTCGAAGCTGCCTGTGCCGGCACCGCTTGCAGAGGAGAACATGGGGATGAAATCAAAGTCATTGGGGGTCCTTCTCAAACATTTCTATCAAGTTACAATTTGAAAACACTAAAGGCTTCACAGAAACTGTCTATCCGACATTGCTTTGGAACTTTAAAACTTTGTCCGTTCAATTAAATTATATTATATGTATTGATGGTACTGATGACAAATGATGACAATGTGCTTTTTTCCGTTCGGTTAAGGAGGCCCCGAAGTTCCCAGAGATTCCGGAGACCAACCACATTACTCGTCGTCAGCAATTGGAAGCCAAACAGGACAACAAGGGTACCAGAGGGAGAAAACCCAAGACTAAGAAAGCAGAAGATGAAGCCAAACCTGAGAACCCATCCGAAGCAGTTGAGATTCCCCAGCCAAAGAGGAAGGTGAGAAAAACTGCAGCAAAGAGTGCACCTGCCAAACCGGCCCCGGCTGCTGTTGCTGGAGAAGACCCCAGTTTGGAGCCACCCCAGAAGAAACTCAAGACTGTTTCTGAGGGAGATCATGCTGTGCCTGATGGGGGTAAGGGGGAAGTTCTTAGTGAGCCTGCACCTCCAGCACCGATGCCCAAACGAAAGGCCCGTGCAAAGAAAACGGAACCTGCACATGAAGATACCAACACACTCCCAGCTCAGGAAATGGGTGATGTTTCGCAGGCACTTCCCAAGAGAAAGGCAGCAGTGCGAGCAAAGGCAGCAGCAAAGTCCACTCCCAAGCAGAAGGCCGCCCCAAAGGTCTCAGCCAAGGCAAAGGCCACCCCAAAGTCAAAGGCGAAAGCAAAAGCCCGTGCTCGGGGTTCGGGTTCTTCGGGCTCGGGTGGTCCACAGAACAGGCAGTTTGTGAATCTTGAAGCACCTGTGCCTGGTTTGCCTGATGTGCGTGCTGTGGGTGATGTGCCTCATGATATGCATCCCTTGCCCTCTCTTGCTGTCAACCCCGGAGCCAACCCCAATCCTGTGAATCCTGGCGCTCAAGATCCCAATGGCGACTTGGTGGATCCTGACAGCTTCCGTTCTTATGCCATCAAGGAGATCTTGCAGTGCTTGCGGGCTTGCAATGAAGTTGGGACTTTGAACACAAAGGGAAAGCATGAACATCAGTATGAACCTCTGAGCTATGATTTGGGGGGAAGACGTTGGTCAGTCTACTGGACCAGGAAGGCTGCAGGCGTGAAGGAGTTGAGGGACAAAAGGTGGACAGAACTTGTCTACTTTTCTCGTCAGACCCCTTGCTGCGGGACCAATCTGGTTTTGGCCAAGGTTTGGGTCAGAACCTCACTTGTTAAATGTTCCATGTCTTTTTCGTTGCGGCCTGTGTGAAACCATGATATCATACCAAAGAATTTGTGAAATCACACTGACACTATACCTGTTGAATTTGGATGTCATACATCAAGCAATTTGGTCAGCTTCAACCCTTCAAGCGAAATAAGGTCGAGCAGTACCTTTCTCTTCCTGAACCCCGTGATCCCCGATGTCGAGCGATGCAACATGTGAAGATTGTGTGTGGCACAGCCCATGATTTGGCCCTACAGCAGTTTGAGGAAGAACGCCGCCAAGAGAACAACCAGTAGTCCGGATCTACTGTAGTGAGTCTTTGGATAGAAAGTCAGCTACGTTGATGGTGGCCTTAGGTTCCAAGAAGCTAAGGACCTGTTCCAACATATATATTACAAAGCTGCCTCATTTTTGCTACTCATACTCTTCTTTGATGGGTAAATCAACCGGAATAATAAGAAACAAAACCCAGAAACATATGTCCTGTCAGGAAACGCTTCGTGATTGGAATGGCTGCCATCACCTTTTTGCTCAGTGTTTGGCAATAAGATAGAAGTTTGCCGAACTGAACTTGTGGAAACTGTACGTGAACATCACGCAGTCTTGTCAGACTAGAGACTGATGAGTGGTGCAATCTTAGCTTGTGTTTCAAATCTGGATTGAGCATCGCTTGGGGGAAAGCGACGCAAAAAGTATTTGAATGTTCCTTTGGGGAGCTGCACCCTCAAATGTGTGTGGTTTAGGGTTTTATTGTTAGATGTCTCCTCCCGCCCGCAGGTGCTGAACATCTCCGGGCCTTCAACCATGGATCGTATGGCTGGCTCGTTTGGCTGCTGCAGACTGCAACTGTCCTTGGCGCAGTATCTTCATAGGAAAAAATGTATAGAAGAAATCATCTGTCGTGCGATCAGCGAGAAATGAAATTGGAATCTCAAGTGCTGAACTTAATCATGATTTTATGCTCTGATTCCAGTTTGCTTTACCTTGAACCTATATGTGTTGTGCCTGAAAAGCATTGGTTTTCAGATCATGCTAAAATGGCGCAAAAATTAGTAACATGTACATAACAAGAACAAAAGAAAAATGAAGAAACTATATGACACAATGAAATGGGCTTGATAGAAATAGTTTGGGGGCTTTAGGATTTTCAGCTGAGACTCTCTTGACACGTGCTGGTGCCATGGCGGTGAACATCGACTCCTTAGTGGGGAGACTGGAGGCTTTGTCCGCCCCCAAGGTAGCTCGGTGCAACCGGTAACATTTATAATATATTTAGTGTCTAATTCTGTGATTGTGTCAAGAGTTTTGCGTGATCCAATCAATCCTTTGTCTATAGGCAGCCCTTGGCTTGTTTATGGCCCTCCTGCCAGTATCAACCCTCTTGCATGTCACCCACACCTTTGGCTACCAGGCATTTGTTGCAGCCGTTATCCTCGTCCACTTTGCTGGAAATTTTGGAGCTTTTTCCCAGGTGGGATGCGTGGGTTGGGCTACACCTTGTTGATCAATATGTGTGGAGCATCGGGCATGATAAAACCCATATAGCCAAGGTTTTCACAATCATCCCTTCCAGAAAGCACACCCCATGTATCTCAATGTATGTTAATTCCAACTGCATTTGAGATCTTTGCTTGGACTTTAAAGATTGATGTGCTGAAAACGTTTGTTTTTCTGCAACTTTTTCCATGCAACTTTCCACGCATAAAGCGCTGATTCAAATGGCCAACTTGCAGGAGCTATCCTATGTGGAGTTCTTCGCTGGCCAAGCAAATGTTTGGCGGGCTGTCTCAGACTCTGGGGTCCCAAGTGCTCGAGTGGATCTGACATATGGCACAGGTTCACAAAATTTCAAACAAGATCCCATGGATATCCTCTCGAATGCAGGGTGGGCGATCTTTAGCTGCATTTTGTTTCTCCTACCTTATGCATGAAAATATTATACTTGTTCTATGGTCCCTAGAGTGAAAGTGGTGATTCAGTGGAACATATAGAAGTTATGTCGTTTGCCCTATTGTAGAACATACCATCTCCAACAGAAGGGAACGGTTTCATTGCTTCATCTCAGGACCTGTATATGGTTGATACTGCAATGTCGTGAGTCAGACTTTTTCTGTCTCATTGCTTGCGTATGTTCGAGCTGGTCACCTGTAAACATTGCTACATCGGGGCGGTCAATTGCCTATGCAGCTGGTAACACTGGGTTGTGCTATGTGGCTGAAGCCAATACGATGTGTGCAAGGTCATTTGGAAGCAAAGTTAGTAAAGAAAATTTTCTCACAAATCAAGATTTCAATAGGCATGAAATATATCGAGGAACAATGATAGAAATAGTGATGAACCATGATCTTTGTAGGGAATGTGAAGACGTTTCTTTCGGTCATGCTCCGAGGTGCTGTCTACTATGTTTACTCATAGTGGCGAGAGGTGGGACCTTCATGTTGGAGCAGCCAGGTGGAAGCTACATGGAATATTATGACAAGATGATATGGCTGTATTCACAAGTACCAGTTTTTTGGCATCAACAATTTTCTCTATTTGTGACACCTTCACCCCCGGTCATCAACTGCACTATTGGAAACATTGTTTTACTTTCCTGATTTTCCCATGCCCATGGCTCTAATCACTTCCTTGCCCAGGTCTTCAAAATTTGTTGGTGGATGGCTCATTATGGCAGCACATCGCCGAAGAGACACAAGGCGTTTTGTAACAACAAGGCTGCTGGCCGCTACAACCGGGGCAAGCTTCAGCTCAAAAAATTTCGGGAGCAACAAAGGGAGGAATCAAAACCAACAGCTCGATATGTTGATTCCAAAGGACGTAAAAGATACCACGGCTTGGCAGGGAAGCTGAAAAGCACCCAGACCCTTTGCTTTCAAAACACGTTTGGTTGGGCTGAAAGGGGAGCAGCAACAAGCCATCTACAGAACTGACTAGAAAGCCGTTCCGGAACAATTTGAAACGTAATTGTCGCTATTTATTTTGGCATCATTCAGGAATTAAGTTATCAAACTTACTTTGCCGCTATTAATTTCAAAAAAAACTAAATATTTATTGCAGCTGTCCAACAACCCTACTCGAACCAATCTTGGTTGTCATCCCTGGGAACTGTAAAGGGAAACCTGGGCATTTGCAACAGGGTGTATAAGCTCATATTTTTGAGATGGGCTGTTGATTTATACCCCGACCTCTACTTTATACTTTATCCCAGCGTGAGTTCCGATGCTGCCAAGGATCTATCCTCACCGCTTTGGATTGGCCACGGTCCAGTTGCTTCCCAAACTTCGAACTGAGGGGGAAGGCACTCCAGAACTTGCCTCAAAGCCAGATGGCCCAGCAATTTTCAATTCGATGAGTTGGAACACTGATATGAATTGGGATGAAGTGCGATTCAAGCCCATGTTGGTGTACCTACGGGGCAACACATCACTTGCACTTCCAGAAGAATGGAAATGCGTGTTCCCAACGAGGATCTGGCCATTGAACCATGAATAACCTTTGGAGACCATGAATACGGCATCCATTTTGGGACCAATAATCTTGGAGAATTGTACTAGTTGGTTTTGGGGTTTCCGTGGAAGGCCATAGATGGGGAAATGGGGAACCCACTGGGACCACTAACCTTGGAAAATAGCGACCTAAGAGCCAACAAAACACTTTGGGCCTTTCAGTTAAACAGTTTCCGTCACCCAGGTTGGCAATACTTTTGACCAGTCTTTTTTTCCATGCTTCCATTATGTGGGACTCCTGCCCAGGAAAGACAATCCAAGTGCCCTAGAATGTGAATTTGAATGAATTTGACTATTTGACCCCAGGACCTGTTGGGAAAATTCCCTTTGGACAATAATTTATTGGGATTTTTTGGGCGCCCTTCTTCTCCTTTAACTTTGCGAGAAGGTTCTTGGGGAAGTAGATCTGTTTACATGGAAGATTTTTACTACTACAAATGTTGAATATCATAATTTAAACTAAAACATATATTGTTTTGTGGTCATACCCGTTCAAAGCCGTTCAAACCCATACACACCCGTTCGAACCCATTCGAACCCATTCAACCCCGTACTGAAAATGCAACATTTTTGCGTACACGTACCCGTTCAAACCAGTACCCGTTCAAATGCGTTCAGAATGAGTTCAATATGCATTCAATAACCGTTCGCAACCCGTTCGGGAATGCAACAAAATGTTGCATTTTCATATGTTTCTATACCTTGGTTTTGGGGTCTCAATTTGGAGTCTTTGGGGGTGGTCTAGCGGTGATACTTGTCCCACTTTAAGGTTCAATGACAGGTCTTCTGAATCTGAAAGGGTTTTATGGCCACTCTTGGCAGCGCTGATCTACGGATGCCTAGCGACTGGGGGAAAAAATGATTTTGTATTCCCTGAACATGGCATGGAACGAGATTTTTTCAGTGGCTTATGCACCAACAATGCTCACTCATCAATTGGACATGCTGTTGCAACCTTGTATGAAACGAAAACACTGACTTGATCCACTCTTTTTCATTACTTCAATCAACTGGATGATGTCAATCATCACCACTTTGCAGCCAAAGATCAAATTTTGAGATTGGATTCAAACGGCCAGTTGCCTTTGATGTCGACCTCACTCAGAAGCAACCAATGGAGTTGCAGCGAGTTGGCACAGGGGGCACAGGTATGTGCTGACATGGCTGGCATGGATCTGACTGTTGACCCTTCTACGTTGTCCAAACAGGATTTACTGAAGACGATTGAGGACGGAATGTGATTTAATTGGGTGGGTGGCTTGAACTGGCTGGAACCATTCACTACCAATCTACTGCCCATAGATTTTTCAAGCGCTTGTCCACTGCCACCCCTTCAACCTGCTGACCTTGATTTCCATAATTCATAATGGTTTCGGAGACAAGAATGTTTAGAAAGAATAAAGGTGAATCCAAGTTATAATTTTGGTGAATCTTCATTGTTTGGACATAGACTTTCTTTGAGCAGGAGGCGAAGAAGCTCCTTCAGAGTGGCCAGAAAACTGTGACTTTGAAGCAAACATATTGGTTTCTGCAATTGATACTGAATTTACGATCATAAATTTAGATGTGACACATGTCGAAGGCCTAACATGTAAATTGCTGTCGCGCACACGAGGCGACTACCTTCTTGACTCCGAAGCAGGAGCCAGTGCAGGAGGATATTTTTACTGCTGACACCATTCCGGGAGAACCTAGCTAGCACATGATCCGGAATTCTTTCTCACATCTGTTGTTTGAATTTTGGGCCAACGAGGTGTTCCACAACTCCCCCTTCCAGCTCTTTGATATGCCAAGGAACTTGGTGATGGTCAACTGATGGCAGCACCAATTGAAGCTGTGCCAGATACCTTGGAGAAGTCACAGGAGCGGTGTGGGTCTTGTTCTGGGGACGGTGTGCTTCAGAACATATATAAACATTATTTTTGTCAAAATATAGTGCATGACCGGAAAAAATATTTTATGGAAATCTTGCACAACTAAAAGCAATTCCTTAGACCAACCAGCAGGGATAGCCGTGGTAGGAGCAAGATGGCAGTGCTGGCAAAATGGCAACAGAAACGAAGGAGACAGGTCAGACTGGGGGTGAGTGTGGTCAGAAGCGTTCCAACCCGCCACCGTCCCCAACAAAGAAATCCCCGGAGAAAAAACTCCCGAAGACCACTTTGGAAGTTGCAGGAGGAGTACCTATGATGCCTGCCCCAAGCACAGGAACGAATACCCCAAGGTCAGAAGCGAGTACTGCTGATACAAAGTTGGACCCGAATGCAGCTGTGATGGAAGCTCTACTGGCAAAGATCTCCTCATTAGAGGCTTTGGTCTTGCAGCAGCAGCAAAAGTCATCTCCCATGATGGTTGAGACACCCCCTCCTTCGAAGTTTAGCTCTCCAAGCACTCGACCCACCCCGTCTTCCAATCCCATGCTTGCAAGTGCTGAAGGTTCGACAGAAACACCGTCACCGCAGGGTGAAGCTGATGATGAGGAGGGTGAAACCACGAATGAACCCGCTAATGCGGAAGCTTCCACAGACGCAGAGGATATGATTGTCATGCCAGGAACGGGGACGAAGGCCACTAGCCCAAAGAAAGGATATGATACATTCCTGCTGCATGCGTCATACATGCATGTGTGTGGGGCTCCCCCTTGTACTTAGCGATCTCAATATGTTTAATCTAAGGTGATCAGCCACGACGCCCTTCGGATGCGGCTGCGTCGCCTATGTGAAGTCAAGCCCAAAACCAAAAAGTGTCATGTGGACCAAAAGACGCACGACATGTGGAAGGGGGGGGTGAAGGCAGAGAGTGGCTGGAGATTGCTCTAACCGAGACACTGGAGAAAATGGGAGCATGTCAGAAGAATCAACACAAAAAACTGAGAGTTACTTGGTTGCCGTTTAATATCACTTCTACTGCATACATGGGCAAGCAGTCCTCCTTTCCTTATACTTGTAGTCCTTCCCATGTCCATTAATATCAGTCTTGAAGAGCCACCCACTGAGGCTGAGTTCTGTGCCAGGGTAATTGTGGTGAGAGAGCGCATGGAGACGAAGGAGCAGGAGATTAATGGAGCTTGGATGACAGAAACCAAGATGAAGAAGGACTTTAGCTCGACTTTAATCTGCATTACTAAATTATAGATATGACTGAATTACAGGAAAGCGCAAAGCACAAGACATATATGGATGTGTTTCCCCAAATCTTGTCAATCTCAACATTGATCGACTTGCTCAGCTAAGGGATGCCGTGAAGTCGATCATCGCGTACTGCGAACGGTTTCCAACTGCCCTTGTACGGTGCAGCATGCTTGTCAAAATTTGAATGTTACCAAATGAAGTGACAAACAGAATATCAGTGACTCATTTTGATTCAGCCTCCTGATCATTCCTCTTGGCACAGGGCATGGAAATACGACAAGAATATCCGGGAATTTTTTGTGGAGACCGAAACCAAGCAATGTATTCGCAATTCCGAGTTGCACAAGCGGTCGGAAATCTCTGACCTGGGGGATCCTTTCCAGCAGTAGGCCCACCAATACCCACATCCTCGGCATTGCAGGATAGCAAGCGGCTAAAAAACCATACCATGGGGCCATGGGGCTATGTCGCAGTCACTCTGTCAGGAACAGGAACTTTCAAACCCACTTCCTGATCCTACTTCTACTCCGTTGGCCCTGGTGGATGAAACTGGGCTGACACCGCAGGCTGAGAAGATGGGGGACAAGGCAGGACCATTTACTTTCTCAAATCCCCAGTGCTGCTAGATTTCTACATAACTATCCTCAACCTACCACAGCAGAATATGATGTGACTAGCATTGGCTAGCCTTCTTCGGGGACTTGATGGGAATTAGCATTGCAGGTCTTGCCGGATCTGGTCAAGTTCATGGACAGCGTCCACAACAAAATGATGAGTGTCCACAAAATGACTGGCCAGCTTGAGATTGAAGCCGGGGAGCTGGTAGCCTCGAAAGAGTTTTTTATCATCAATAAGAATTTCTGTTCAATCCCAAGCTTTGATATTTGTCATTTATCCCCAAGTCACATGATAGAATGAATCCCTTCTTGCACTAAGTTTGATGTCCGACCTGAACACCATCAACACGCGCTTGGCGGAAAGCTTCAAATTGCTTTCAGGGCTCAAGGCAGAGATCACCATGACTGACGGTGGCGACCTTCCTGATGGGCTGCTCAACTGCAGAATTAGGACAAAGGACATGCTTCTAACGCCTACCTCATGTTTAAACTTACATGGTCTCAGTGCTTATCAACTTCACTGCTGTTGGCTCGGTAGTGGAAAAGCTGGTGCCATAAACGTAATAAACGTTTGAAATCGTTTGAACAGGCGTCAGCGTGTCAACAATTGCTATGGTTGCTTCGCATCCACAAAGTGCAAAAAACAAGAGTGTCAATATGTTTTTTTCATGAAAGAAAGTCTGGAAAACAACATGCTTCAACACATGGATGTGGATTCCACAACTGATGACGAAAGCCTGTGGATACTCGAGCTCATGCGCTACAACCGTGAAGCTTCTGGACTGCATTGGTCTGTGCAGCTGAGTGTCTCTTCACCATTGCTTCTCCATTTGAAGCCAGCGTTTGCAAAACAGATGCAAGGCTAAATCGCAGCTGCCAGCAAGTGTGCCTCAGGACAGGTACAAACCCTTCCTTTAGCACACTCCACAACACACTTTACTCACCTACTGAAAAGTTAACTTCTATATTTGTTTTGCCAGGACAAGATGAGACGACAGAAGGGGCTGGCCCTTGATGTTGATGAACAAGTTTTGAAATTACCCCGGACAGTTGAATGTTTCCAAAAGATAAGTGCTGACCCTGAGTTGAAACTTCAACTTCCAGGACGGGGGTGCTTAGCTGGTCGGGTAGTCAAGCATGCGTTGGATGTCGTGGAAACCACACATCGAAAGCATGAACCACTTGTATATAAGTTTGGCATAACACACTGTCCAGTCTATAGGTACCGTAACAACCGTTACGGCTACAAAGTGGACACCCATCAAAAGTGGGAAGCGATGATTGTTCTCTTCGCATCGCATGAGTCGGTGGGACCATCTTTTTTGGAAGGTGCTCTGATACAAACCTACAAGGGTAACTTGACCATATCAAGCACTTTTTGTCAGAATGTTCCCCGTGTTAAGTATAGTTTCTAGGATGTCCAAACAAAGGTCCCCCTTTTCTAGTCCTCCTGCTGCTTCACTGCTAAGGCAAGCCAGGCTGCCGCAATGAACGTGACGGTGGGGAAACTGTGAACGATTCTTTGGATGGTCCTTTCTTTACATACATGGTTTTCCAGTCTTTCCGTCGTCCTAGTGACGTAGCACTAATTCGTTCGAGGGGGCTACCTTCTTGATTTCTGCATGGATGGAGAGCTGCACAAAAAAAGCCTTTACTGCATAGAAACCCAGACACTTTTTCCCAATCAGAACAGATTCAAGATGATTTTTATGCCATCTTCAATAACCTGCCACCTGATCAGTATATAAATGTCCTAAGATGCCCACTTCCAAGGTTGAAGCAGAAAATCAACTTGGCCAAGGATTCAGCCAAGAAACCGCTGCTAAGCTGCAATCGTCATGGCAGTGATGCTGTGAGGCTCATGAACAAAGTGCCCATGTCCTCGGCCAAGGTGCGCAGATCTGATTGCCATCGACCCCCGCTTCAAGCTGCTTGGCTGTAGTGGTGATCCAAGAAACCCTAAACATCCCAAAGCTACAAGTATAGTCTTTACTCTCCTCCCAACTGGTCTATGGTTTTATGCACACACTTCCGGCTACTGAGGTTGATTTTGGCCGACGCCAAGAAGATCCGGCAGCAGAAGACTGGTGAGGAACCGAAACCACGGCAAAGGCCCAAGGCGAAAGGCAAAGCCAAAGCCAAGGCTCAGGCAGAGAAATGATTGGCATCCCCCCTGTGAAAAGTCTGACCATGTTGGGATGTTGGGTCAAGTTTTGAAATGCATTTTTTCCACTGGAAATTTCTTGAAAAGCAGGTGAGGTGCCTGACAGCTGGATGCGCAGGAAGCTACCAGTTTTTGTAAAAATGGTTCACAGCGTTTTGGGGTGCAAATCTATCAAGTCCACAACAAGTACAGTTCGCAAAACGCTCAAGGCACATAATACTTTTATCATAATCATCAAAACTTCATATGCTGTGTGACTTTTCCGTTGTTGCACCTCATGTGGACTTGCCAAGATTTGCAGGGGTTTGGAACCTTACAGTGTTCGAAGCTACATGGCTTCGACTTGAGTAGGGCCGACTTGTGGCTTCTCTGACGCTTTTGGCGGTGCTGTGATGGGTACCAATTTACTCCCATTGGGATGTGTTGACTCGACAGCTTGGCGAAAGATACAAAAGAACGTTTCAAAAGTAATCGCTATAGTCTATAGTATGACTTATGTTATACTGCTAATGCCTCATTGATTTCATGTTGCCAGGTCCCTCCAATGCTGCCATGGATCTGGCTTGGAGCTATTCACGCGGAGCAGCTTGGCCATTGCAGGGCGTCACAGCCAAATGATGTGTCGGGTCGGTTCCCCTTTCTTTACTTTGGACTTATCTTTGGATGGGAGTTTGAAATGACATCATCTATCAAAATCCCAACATTGCGCACATGCAAGTGTCACCGCTTAAAGCCCCATTATGCCGTGGCCCTAAGGCCCCTTGCACTGAAATCATCCAGAGGGCCACATCCATAATTGATTATGACCAGCGAGCCGAGAAGTCAGCGCCAGCTTGCCCTGTTCTTCGTGATCTGTATGGAGCTTCAGAGGCCCATTCCGTGGCCTGGCTGCACAAGTGAACTATACAGGTACCTTAGCAGCGGGTTCCCCAAATACTCTTAAATATACTTAAAGACTATATGAGCTTATAAACTTGAAAAAAACACCTCTCCACTTTTCCACCCAAGATCTTGTGTAGAAACTGTTGCAAAATCTTCGCATTGAGGAAGATGTTGTTTCAAAAGTTCTTGCCAAGCACAAGCTGCGCTTGAACATGGAGATCTCTTTTGGCACCGTGGGCCATGACAGGAAGTATCCATACATCAAGGCTGCATCCGTGGTCAAATCACTGGAGCGGCATGGCAAGCTTTCGAGGCTGCTGGGTTTTGAACATTTGGGGCCAGAGTACAACTATCTGGCGGCATGTGGAGATCTTTTGGAAGATTTCTGGCGCAAGTATCGTCCACTTCATGACACACATGAGGTGTTTGCTCGGGCTGATGCGGGGGCCATTCGGTTGCGGAACTCTGTGCCTGTGTATCTTCATGGTGACGAAGGGACAACCTACAAGAAGGATGGGTGTTTAGTCTTGAGCATTCACACTCCTTTAGGGGCTGGTACAGTCAGTCAAAAAATGGGCCCTGTTGTCGCAAATGGGAGGGATGCTGCTCGTACCAACTTTGCTGGTAATGCCTTGGAAACAAGATTCATGCTTGGAGCTTTGTTGAAGGATTCTTGGAAAGAAAGAAGACAAGGAAAACAATATTTTTGTGTTTTTTACTGCTGTGGTTTGTTCTCATGGTTGATGATGCAGGCTTATTTTCAGCTTGTTCTGTTGAGTTGCAACCTAGCAAGGAAGATTACCGGGATGACTATACAGCCTACTATCAGCTCTTGGAACTGGTGGTTCGGTCTTTAGATGATGCCTCCAGACAGGGTGTGGAACTGTCAACAGGGGATCGTTTGCACCTCATCCCTTTGGGAAACAAGGGGGATTGGCCTTACCTAGCAACTTTGCTCTTTCTTCAACAGCATTGTTGTTAATCTCACTAGAGCCTGGTTTATGAATATTCAGTATGGGTTTGGGGTGTCACTGCTTGATGTTGTTGAGCTGGCATTCTCCCTTATCTAAGGCAACCAGTGCGAATTTGAATCGCAGCTACCGAAACGTACCAAAGGCTGCTTCTTCACGGTCTGACTGCGCAGGAATTTGTCACATGTGCTTGGCCGGTAGACCTGGTTTTGACTTTGAAGATGTGCATCTTGTTGGACTGTTTTCGAACTGTACGTTTTGAAACGGGCCGATATTTTTCAAACATCAAGAGGGCAAATATAGGTATCATATATAGCACAATCATTCAGTTACAAGTGCGCCCAATGTGCCCAGGTCAGATTCTCCAGCTTTTCTTCAAAGTGCAGGTGCTGAACTTCCTTGGAGTGATGAGTCCATATTCACCCAGGTTTTGATGCACGAGACGGACAAGACCCTTTTCCACAAAGTGGACTTATTCCACACCGTGACACTTGGGGTGGGGAAGTCATTTGCATCCTCTAGCCTCGCAATTCTGCAAGAATGCTGTGCGGGAAGCAGTATCGAGGAACGCTTGAGAAAGCTCTCTTCATATTACTTGGAGTTTTGCAAAGATTCCCAATTGAATTTGATGTGCTGTTATTAAATGTTGTTGCTTTGTTATGTTTGGTGCCCCAAAGTTTTTTTCATGTTCCAATAGGGTTTGTGCCTAAAAAACGGTACCTGTTGTTTTGAGGAACATCGGAAAACCAACTTTGTGCAGAAAATCGATCGTTCACTTTTGGGATGGACTGGCGCGAAAGAACCTTCAGGGGGTTGGAGCAAGGGTGCCCTCACAACCACACTTTGCCAGTTCATAGAGAATTTTTGCTCGGAGAGAAATATGGAGGGTTGCAACAATCCCATTCTTCAGCGGATTGCCCCTTATGAAATGTTGAGTCACATGTTGTTTTCACTTCAAAGTTTTCGGATTTACTTTGTGTTTCCCCTGCAGTGTTTTTCAAGATTTGGTTGATGCTAATTTTCTTTATTGTTTGTAAGGGGTTCCCTATACAGTTAAGGCATCAACGAGCCGTGCTTTGAATTACTTCATGCGCAAACTCTATGCATCCAAGTTCTTTACTGAAGGTGATGTGTGCAGCTACATCATCTCTGCCGGGTTTCACTTCTTGCAGGGTTACTCATGGCTTGCCCGCGAATGCTGGCAGATGAATGTCCCAAGATTCCCCACCATGCCAAAAACGCACATGCTTTTTCATGTTGTGCACACAATGCGTGTGCAGTACAACCTTTTTGGGTACTTTGAAAACCCAGTTTCAATGAGCTGTGCTTCTGATGAAGATTTCATTGGAAGAGTGTGTGAACTGACGCGCAAAGTCAGCCCGCGTCAGCGCATTCGCAGATGCATCGAGCGTTATTTAACGCAGGTGCTGCTGATATGGTATCGTGCTGCCAATTGATCTTTGGGTGGAAAAGTGAAGAAACATTGGAGAACTTAGTGCCAACAAGAATGCATGAGACACATTGTGAAATACTGGAAATTTTGCATGTTTAGGGATGTCCTAAGAATATGCGTTCGGAACCGTTTTTTCCCGTTCGTACTGGAAATTTGGTAAAAAAATGCGAATAACTAGTTATTTCAATTTGCACTAGGAATTTCTAGGTTTCATGTTTACCAGGTATATATTACAACTTAAAATTCAAATACTAACACCAAAAAATATCCGCACCCCTATTTTGATTGATTAATCCTCATCTTAGGGGTCAAAACCTCCAAAATAGGGGTTCATTTGGGTTCCAGGCAATATATATTTTACATATTATCGGCATATATATATATATATCACCCTTCATATTATATATATATTATATATATATTATATAATTTATATCTATATTAACATCTCTCTAAGTATATGATCTTCATTGATTTTTCATCTGATTTTCTGCCAACAAGACTCTTTCCACCTCCATGAAAATCGCCAGGGCAGCCTCCCGTCCCAACAACTTCACTGAGATCCCTTTGGATTCCAACATTTCCACCGACAGCCAGTCGTGCAGCAACTGCCTCTGGCTGCGGGGAGAGTCAAGCTGAAAGGGATGAAAATGAAAAAGGGAAGAGAAATGGAAAGAAATGGAAATGAACTTAATGAACTCATGATTTTCACATTGTCAAATTATATATGTTCAGGGCAAAATAGGGCTATGCTGGCTATGCTGGCTATGCTGGCTATGCTGGCTATGCTATAAATTAAAGGCTATACTATCCATTCTGCACGAGGTAGAATCTGTTCGAAATTTCGTCGCACATGTTGCAAGTGCGATAGGTGTCTACACCCTAAGATGAACATGTCATCTTCCGAAGCAGGTGGAGAAAGTGGCAAATTGGTGCCAATTGAAACATGTTGAACAAACTGCCACTAAGCCAATATCAAGGACATATATAAAACAGTTATTATAAAAACAGTATTAAAGCATCATCCATATACCCCAAATTCTTCACTCTCTGCCGAGTCTCAGCAACTCCTTCTTGTGAGAGCTGCTGGCATGCACCATGCCAACCATCTGCCGGCGATGTTCCGCTTGCTCTACTGAGGTCCAGTGCAAGTCATGACTGCGGCACTCCTCCTCCAAATCTTCCACACTCATCTGGGCCCAGACCAGATGCCTACCACAGAAATTCGTGGTTGGATTCCGAAGCTTCAGTTGTCCAAGCTATTTCACTTTCATTCACTTTCCACATGCAACATCACTCAAATCTTCCTCCCACGGGGATGCCCACCCAAAAAGAAGCAAACATGTGAAACAGTCAAACACTTATATCACTTATAGTTTTAACATACGTTTTAACATGTTTAACAGTTCATACTAATCCTTCCAAGAATCCTACCCCAACATACCCCAACCATTCCCAACCATCCACCCATATCCGGCCATCATTTGCCAACCCACCAGGCCCCGACCTCCGCAATCTGCTGAGCAGCTTGGAGACCGAAGCGCTTTTCTCCACTGGCAGCTGACAGCGTCGTAGCTTGACCCGCAGCTGTGCTTCGTCTTTCTTGGAGAAGCCCTGAATTTGATCCAATAGGCCTGTCATTGGATTCGTTGAAGGGACGATTTACAGGAAGTCATAGATACTATACTATATATGGAGAAAACACGGGAAAATTGTGGAAAACCATGGTTTCCTGTAGATTTTCCCTGAGTTTCCAATCCAGTGATCTAGGACATGGAATTGTCACACATGTTTGGCTTGATAAGCCAATCTGCTGCCCTTTCAGGAACTGTGATGCTTGAATTTGAAGTTGAATATGGGTAACTAATATGACTATATATGACTAATTTAAGGGTCGAGTTGATTAAACAAATCGCACAATCAGGTTCAGCACATCCTCAGTTTTTGCATGGCACCTTGCGCCACCAAAAGGTTCGGCAGCTTCAGCACGGGAATGTCATAGGTGTGCCAGCTCTCAGCCACCAGCAGCTTCAACAAATCCGCCCGGCGATGTTCGCCTTTCATAGCTAGGTCCTTCTCCTTGCAAACGCTGCGAAGATGGGAGAGGGACATCTCCTGATACAGCACGTACCTGGGCAGAAAGTCATGGGAAAACATGCAGAAAATACGGAGGCGGTGGGTTTCAGTGACCCATGCATTGATTGGTGTCTGGACATGTGACCCATGATGGAAATTGCATGAAATTGCCAGAAACATCCGGAAACACAGCAGTGCTTACAACCTTCTAACCCTTGCTCATTACTGCAAAGTCCCCCAGAAGTATAAGACGTGCGAGCCAGACCCAAGGTGACACTTGCCACTACCACAGCTATATGGGTGCGTACCAGTCAAACTTTATTACACATTGCAAGATAATAAATACAAATTACCATGGCAAAAAATGTGCCCTAGCTCCAGAGAAGCCGCTCTTTGAGGCCCTTGACCAAGCTCTCTCGATCAAGTTGATCCACATAGGCGAAACCACGACTTTTGTACAGGGCAGCCAGCTCTGCATAGGGAAGCTGCTCCAAACGCTCAAATTCTTGCAAAACGTGCTGTGCGCGAGAACGGTCTTGAAGCTTATCATCTGGAATGCCTCGCTCTGCACACCTGAATGCCCCGCATTTTTTCAGGGGGGTCTTTTGGGATCTCCTGCTCGCTATCATTCAACATCCAAGAATGTCAATATTATCAACTTATCAAAACCATCTCCAAAATTCTCCAAACCATACAGCAGTGCACCAGATTTGGTTTGGGGTGGAATTTGCAGGAGCCTGGCCTCTTGCTGATGAGCTGGCTCTTGGTGAGCCCACCCCAAGTTGCCACGCAGAGCGCCTCCGTCAGTTCGTCCCTGGTCAGGACGGTCCCGTTGTCGGATGACATTTGCTGTACCACACGGGAAGCCTTGTCACGACATTCATCTTGCCTGAGGTGGACAACTCATCTGGTGCTGCTGGTGTTGAGCCATGCTTTTTTATACATCTAAAGTATTCGAAAGTAATCTGTGCATCAAAAAACATCAAAGAAATGCCAACATTATCCAACAGTTGGGTTTGTTCACTGGCAGGATATGGCAGGACTGGAGAATCTGGAGATGAAACACCACAATGGTGACATCCAACCGACCAAACTGTCCTGGAGAAAAAACTGCTGTGAGGCGTTGCACTCCAACTTCTATGTAGGCGGAATTGATTTATATGTCATATCTCTGACTATCACTGTAAGATACTGTAAGTACATGATATGCGTGCTGTATGCATGTAGAAGTGCATACGTAAATTATGTACGCACATACCAACTCATTACATGTTAAGTGTGTATTGATGTGATGTGGTCCAAGAACCCATACTGTGCCACTGCTTGTGCGAGTTGCAATGCTTGTAAAGGCAACAAGCGCCAAATCCGCAGCAACTTCCTTGGCAAAGGGGCGAATTGGCTTGGCACCCCAGCATACCCCAGCCATATCATAGAATGTCCATTGACTTGACCGCTTGACCGATCCATTTTGAAGCGCTACGGGCCTGGCATAATCCGCCTCCAATGACTCCAGTGCTTTGGTACCAATCCTGCCACCAAGATGCAGTCTGACTTCCAGCTCTTCTCTTTCAAGTGCTTGCAGATCACCTTCGCACCCAACTCCCTGCTCTTCACATTCCGAACAAAGCTCTTCCAGTGGCAGTTGCTGCCACCGATCCATCCTTGGTTTGAACTTTGGAGTCTGCACAGAGGCACAAACTTCAAACTTCTGTTTTTAATGCTTTCTGTCTGGCCTTCCCGCGTACCAGCTAGCTAAAATCACCACTTTCGGTGATGGTTCCACCACTTTCCTGGCCAACTTCAAACACCCTGCCAGAAATATAGCTGCATCAGTTTCATGTTCCCACTTGCTGCAAAAGATGGTAATGGCATGCAAAAGATGGCAAGACCATGCAAAAGCTTGAAATGTCTTGAAAATGTCTTGAAATATCCAAACAAATCCCAACCGGTCAGTTTCCCCCGTTTGACCCCAGCATCTCTTTTAGCAGGTCGGCTGCCGCCAGCTGCCCCAGGAGTTTCAGCGGCACCTCCTTTTCCTCGCAGCGTTGCCGCAGCGCCGGCGGCCCACGGCCGCGCGGCGCGTGGCCGTTAGGAGCGCTACGGCGCTCAGGTTCAGGCGCAGGCGCCGTGGCGAGTTTTTCCAGCCAGTGGGAGCTGCCTGGCGGCCGGGTCTACTGAAATTTCGATGGCGTGATGGCTGAAAAATGCTGAAACCGCCCAAATTTCTGAGTTGGAGATGTCATTGTAACAATCTTCGACACTTTTTGACAACCCGCGACTAGTCTTTTTAATTTGCCGTCTCTTGTCCAAGTACCATAAATGTGGAACATTGATGGTGGAATGATGGGCCTAGAAGCTTGGCGAGATCAGGGAAGTTTGCAGCTTTGGCAAGGTCTTCGGCCCGCTGGTTTTGCAAATTACCTCGGCGCAAGCCGTGCCAGGCACTTCATCCGAGGCCCTAAGCCCAAGCCATACCATAGTGATTTCATGAACACCTGTTGAATGGCTGAAATGAATGCGTTAGATGACTGAAATGATAAGAACCCTTCACCTCATCAGCCCATAAATTATGGACCTATAGACCTATGACATCCTATGACTACAGCAGTCTCCCAAGCCACAAAAAAAGATAAAAAAAAGTGTGCCAGTGCTATTTGAATCTATCCCAGCAGCGCTGTTCCGGATTCGCCCTTGACTCTAGCAGCAGGAGACTCAAGGGCTCATCTCCCAAACATGCTGCCTCCATCAAGGGGGTCTCCCCCATCATGTCACTCGAATTCACATCAGCCCTGGCTACCAGGAGTTGCTTCACCAGTGACAGCTGTGGCCCAGCTCTCAACAAGGACAACAGCGGCGTCTCGCCCATGGAGTTGGTTTCATTGACATCAGCTCCTGGGGCAGCTAATGGGCATGGAGCAATGGAATTGTTTTGGAACAAACAGCAGGAAACCATGCCATTGCTGGAGGCTTCCGGCCCCAGTTCTGAGGACTACAAACGGGCACCTGCACCCCATCTGTACAAAGGAGAAGAAACAACAAATCAGCCCAACAAAATCACAGCTCCATCCGAAGAAAAAAAAACCCAAGGATCCTGATTCCAACTGGTGCTGAAGAACCTCTTCAGCATCCACCTGAGAAGCCAGTTGATGTAACACCTCCATGCCCTACCTAGATCCGCGCCAGGGCGACATGCTGGAGGAGGTCTGCAGCTGGTTGATGGTCTTTCCAGGTCACTTGTTGCTGATCTTTTGCTGGTGGAATTGGTTGGATTAAGGACTTCTTTTACTTAGCGTTTTTTGTGGTGTGTATACCTCGCATGATTTTCTGGAAGAACCAAGGGTTCCCAACATAACTACCCTGTAAATTCCATCAAAGTGAACGTGAGTGACTTCTTGCTTCGGTAGCTCCTCTTGAGTGGTTTTAATCTGCGGCACAACTGCATCTCCATGTCAACAATGGACTCCTTCCCAGTGATCCAGGATGGCCTTCCGAAAACCTTTTGAGGATTCTTGGGGGCCTTTAAGACCCCATCCTGTATGACTTTCGCTTGATGGCTATAGAATCACATAGGCCACATCCTCGCACCAGTGGTGGCATGCCCACCTGATGTTGCTTGCCAGCACGCCGCCTGCCACGGACCATCTTTGCATAGGGGTGATATATTCAGCTGCGACCGATCAATGATGGCGCATCAGAAACAGTATCATTAATGATATGTGCAAGAATAACAGATCAAAACCAAACGAGTGATTGAAGTGAACGCATGTCAGCAATTTCACTTGTCTTGACTACAGTATTCCTGTAAGACTTAGCGTGTTCTGATTCTGTGTGTGTCCTCTCATTTTCATTCATTTTCCACTTCGACATCTACTGTAGGACCCTCGGAGCCCTAGGATGGAAGAGGATGGAAGCAGCCGATGCCCACGGTTTCCCAATCTCGGGCTCCCGGGCACATAATCCACACCTGTGGGGCTGGGATAGGTGTCGCCAAGGAAGAGCCTCGGATGAAGGGATGCCTATGACTATGGTGTGCTAGTATCGTGTAGAATCTATATACAATTACACCCCCAAAAGCATCCCCAAAATGGAAGCTGAAGATAGCTGAAGCCATCCCATGTGTAACATGAGATTGAACCTTCGACCATTTTCAACGGGGTGCCATGTGAAAAAAAATCCATCCCGTGCTCTCCCCTGCCCTGAAAAAGAAGATGTGCTGCAGCACCGAACACTCTTTCGTTGTTTCCGCGGCATCCACTCAGCCTTTTTCATGTCTACAGGAAGCATTCTGAGTGGGAAGCTCTTTGCTTGGTTGATCGCTTGGGTCCTGGCTCATGCCACAAGCAGCGAATGTGATCGTCAAAGGATTCCAAGGACCCATAGAGCAACTCAAATTACCAGAAAAATCCACAAAACCCATCCAGCTCATCCATATTCTGACGAATACCGGATGTTTTGCGACAGTATGTGGCAGTGCTGTCCGAGTCCAGCTATGTCCAGCTTGCGTCAAAAAACTCCAAGGGCCCTGCTCGGAAATACACACGGGTTCTCTCTCTCTCTCTCTCTCCCTCCATCGCCATACACAAGGGCTAGAACTTGGGGTTTGCCAAGAAGTCCCTTAAAATTTATTCGGTTTCATTTCGAAGTAGGAGCATGGCTATCATTGTACCATTCTACCGTTCTACCTGTCTTGTCTGAGAGCCCTACGTCCCGTTCATCCAGGACCTGCTTTGGACCTTGCGTTGACAGAAAGTGGCGGAGAGGGTCTGACCGACCCACCACTTGCGGAAGTACCCCCCAGTCACCTACGAAGGGGTGATTTTCCACTGCCACGACCATGGTCCACCCCCTGCACCTCATTTAACTACCCCCAACAGGTCTTTGCTTAAACACCGCCTATTATAAGTTATAAGGTCCTCTCACAGGACAGCTTGCATGCCATACCCCTGAAAATCTGCAGGCTCGGAACCCAAGTGAGTCATCTGAAGACTCAACAGCCTTGCGGTTTCGGCAAACTACAACACGTCTGTGGAACTTGGGGATGGTGTCTATGATATGATTTTGAAGAACTGGTGGTAACACGTGGTAACTGGCTGTATACAGTGTGGGGTGGAACATGGCGCATCATCCCGCTAACTTGTCAATGGGCGGCAGATTAGGAACATCACTCTTACAAACAGCCCACTGAAATCTCAGCTTCCAACCCGTTGTTTGGGGTCAAGTTGACCCTCTGCCTGCCATGGCAAATCTTCGAACATGCTGAGCAGCCAACAAGCAGAAAGAAACAGTGCAAAGTTAACATGTTCAAGAACAGAATGAGGAAACAACATGAAACAACACTATTCCAGTAACTACATTCCCAGCTTCGAGCATGAGAGTTTCATAGAATTTCTTGCAAGATCCACATTACATTCAACAGGATTCCCTTCAAACAGTTCCAAAGTTCAGGCTGCCAGGCTCAATGTAGTGGCCATCTTTTGGAGTTCCATCTGTGTCGACCAGATCCTGACGGCTGTCAGCTTGGAATCTTGCAACATAAACTGGCCGGTTTTTGCTGGCCCAAGCTGTATGCTCAAGTGGATCTATATCAAAACCCTGGCAGACTCCAGTTGTCACATCAAAATGGCGGATGGTGTGCTGTTGGTTGTGCATAGATTGCATAGTTACGCTAATCTTCATACCCAAACGAGAAACGAGTCGTTGAGTCGTTGGAAAGTCGCCCTCCCCGCCAGCTGCCTGGAAGTCCCACAACTTCATCTTGCCACCACCTTGGACAGGACTTCTGGCTTCAAGCATCGGAGATCGTAAAGTTGACCAGCAACATACCCATAGGATCCATGTATGGTATATATGCTAACATTTGGGGTATATTGATGGTAAATGTCACCATATATGGCATACATGGATCCTATGGGATGTATTGTTGAGATTATTTAATCCCTCCACCCATGGTCCCCGCAAATGAATAAATGAACAGATCCACTAATTGCTAAACCAGAGGTTCTGCGGAGTGCATTTAATATTAGGGGAATTAATTGATGGATGATGTTTCTCCATGTCTCTCCTTTGAAGTTAATGGGCTAAAACCGATTCGAAGAAGTCATAGGCCAACATTAAAAGCCCGATGCAGCCACATCAACATTATCATACATGATACCATTGATCCCGCAGGAATATAGGCAAGAACAACAGCACAGCGTGAACCGACGAGCTGTGCTACCCAAGCTTGTAAGACCATGGTCCGTGCCGATGTGCGGATCGCACAACTCAGCGTTTTCAAAGCACCTTCCATCAAATCAGGGTGATAAGACCAGCAACTTGAACAAGAGAGGAGTGGACTGTGTAGGTCAAACTCCCAAATAACCAGACTGTTTCATTCACAATTTGCCAATATCTGCGCCACGGCCGGTGACTCACCAATACGTCACATGGGATCATCCGGCCCCAACTATGGAAAAACAATGGGTATCCCCACTTTTTTTGTGGAAAAAAACATGAAAAACGAGAGCAATTGAAATCACCATCCGCATCCACCAGTCACATAATGGCGTAATGGGCATCCCAACTTCTGCAGCAACTTTCGGCTCCAAGGATCCCAAATCGCACCAGCCACACGTTGCGTGTGTGCTCCGGTGGTGGGCTGATACATTACCTAAAGAAAGGGCAGGTGATGAAGCGCCAGCGTGAGAGTGCTATGCTTATCATGCTATTTAGGCATGTTTTTTTTTTTAAATTATATGTGCTACAATTAAGCTGTTCATGATCTATAATATCATCAAATGCTGTGTCTCATGTGTCTCGAAATATCATTCTGATAATGTGTGACATAGTCGGGCACAGAGCTAAAAACAACCGTCCCTTCTCTCAAATATGAAGGCAAAGCAGCAAAGGAACACCGAGCACCAGATCTGCATCCAGCAACTGAGGAGCCTACATCAATCCACAGCACGGAGCGCCAGTCCAGGATGTTCAAACAGATCTCAGAGGACAAAAACGACAAAAACGACAAAAGTGACTTGGTACGACTTACCCTCTGGTAAACTAACATAACTATGGAAAATCACCATTTTTCATGGGAAAAATCACTATAAATGGCCATTTTCAATAGCTATGTTAGTCATTACCAGAGGGTAGTGCCCCGGGCTCACTGTCTGGGACCCAAAATCTCATGGCATGGATTGGCGAGTTCCCCCCAGCTGTGCAGCTGTGCTTCCCAACGTTGTCCCCTTCAAAGGGATGCATATTCTTCTGAGTGAAGGCGCGGACCTGAAAACAATCTTTTCAGATGCTTTCAGTATAGGCATTCCACCAAATATTACCATCTGGTTATTTAACGTAGCCATGGAAAATCACAATTTTTAATAGGTAAACCATCTATAAATGGGCCATTTTCTATGGCTATGTTAAATAACCAGAGGGTAAATAGATAGGAACGGGGAAAAAAACATTCAAAACAGGATGGTCACATTCATTTCGACCCTTTGGTGAGCGTCGTATTTGGATAATACATGATAAAACCACATAATTGACCAATCAGAAATACAAGACTGCGTGGATTCCCAGAAACAACATCTTTCATGGTGAGGTTGTTTGTGGTCGTGATTATATGCCCACATATGTTGGATTGTAAATGGTGTTGTTGAAGGATTGATGGGTTCAGCACAGGTCATCATGGCTCACTGCACAGAGTCTTCAATTGTCACTTCCCGATCTCATCCACTCAGGGGTGCTCCCAACACCCCAGGTACAATGGAGATCAATGAAGGGGAAACTGGGTAAACTTGTAAACAATTAGGGGTAAAATGACCAGTTTGCCCCCCCATAGTGGCTGTCAATTACCCTGTTTCTGAGGCTCATCACTGGCACTGACCTTGTACTCACCACGTTGTAGGTACTCAGCCGGCTGAAGCGCGTAAAGGAGAAGTGACACAGCTGCACTGCAAAGCAACCATTGTTTTTCTTGGGGGCGTTGACCCGAAAATGATCATTTCAGTCCCAAATCTTCGACTGAGATGTAAATGCATAACACACACACAATATATATATATATATAATATTATATTATATATTATATTATATACGTTGTACACACCCAGTAACCGTCGTGGACATCAGTCGCAACCCATTCTCGCGATCGTGTTTATGCAAATCAACGCAGTCTGCTGAGCCCTTGACTCGTTTGATACGTAGAAGTTGATTCTTACAAAGCCATCCTGTGAAACCATGTTCAACACTGGGATGGTGCTGAAGAACCCGTGGTATCCATGATATCCATGTTGAGCTGGCTTTGTACCCTGCTGGAATTAGGATGTCCTATGGACTTGGAAAGGGTGAAAATGATTAAAAATGCCTAGGCATTTAACTGCATCGATCCCAAGGTTGATTTACGGCCATGAAATTGCTGCTTTGCTACTATTGGTATGCGCCATCATCCCTATTCATCATATCCTGTCTGATGATCCTTGATGGGGCGACTGGCCGTAAGGATGTAGTAAACTTATTCCTATAGGATCTATGTGATTAATATCATCATATGAATGATATTGAATGTATCTAGATTCAAACATAGTATATTCATATTATATATGCTAACTTATCTGACTGACTTGACTTGCAGGGAATCCCAGATCTGCTCAGATCGCACAATCATAGCTGGGGATCCCTCCTCGCGTCGCTGGCCATCCTGAGCTCTCAAAACATCTCAAAACCCCAAAAAAATCAAACATTGCAATAACAATAATAATCGTCATAATAACACTGTGAATAATAACAAGAAGAATAAATAGTAATATTATACGTATATATATATAATCTATATGTATGCGTCTGCGTGTGCCTTTTTTCTTGTACAAACACGCCGCATGGTGATGCATTGTGCTTTTTTCCAAACGGATTTGATTTTCCAAGTGAATTGTGAATGGCACTTGTTCATACTTTTCGCTTTTCCCCTAGCGATGGCCTAAGCCCAAACCTGCCCACCTCTTTCCTTTGAATGACTTGTCCATAAAATGAATCAACTGGTATATATACAGTATATATATATATAACTTCATCATATTATTTCATCCTTCTCATGCATTTTTTCGGTATTTGGCCATGGATTTTTGCTACAGCAAAGCCGTGGCTTCAGGTGCAAAACCTGTGAGAACGTGTGATATCATCCCGATCATCCATGATCATCCCATCCTTGGGTTCGCCTAGTGTCCGCCGAAGCCCTCAACCAAAATTCCTGAATTTCACCATGTTTCACCACTTTCTAAACACATCGGGGACTCGGGGTATCTCGGGGTCATGACTTTTTTCATTTTTTTTCCATGAAACTCTCTGCAGAGATGACACATGATGACACGCTCTGAAATGTCCTCCAGGTGGCGCTAAGATGTTGTACACATCTGAGCTGGTTTTGCAGGGTGGAGCTGTCACCCCAGAACTCGTCTCCCCATGTAATCACTGATTTATGTTGTCGCAAGGCAAATGCAGACTTCGTGGTTTGAACATTCTGCACATGCGTGAGCTGACCTCGGACTGCAAAGCTGTCACCGCCACAGCCCATGTTGCCCCATGCACCACTGATCTGCTTGTCAAAATGGCAACGCACTGCTTGTGCCATGATTCTCTTGCACATTCCTCAGCTGATGTTGAACTTCAGAGCTGTCGCCAACATTCACCAACCTCATCCCCATCGCCCGACGTCACAACCGAGCCGTTTGACAGGATGGCGGCAAATGCCCTGTGGCGCCAACGCGTTGTACACAGCTGTCACAGAAGTGTTCGGTTGCACCAGGAAATCCCACGCGACTTGGAATCATCAAGAAATGACCCGAAATAAATACGTTGGACCAGGAGGCAAAAAGCTGTCGCTACAGGAGACTCCAACCGGCTATTTCTTTCGTCTCATCATTTGCATCACAGCTTCGCTTCCAGGTTCTCCAAGTCTCCTGGATTGTCTTCGATGATGTGGAACATCTAATTGCGGAAGCTACTCCGGCCACAGCTCCTAAGTGCTCGAAACCATTCCAAGGCCTCAGGACATTTCGCGGAACTTTGTTTGACAGCTCATGTCTTGGGTCGCCGCATGTCACTACTGAGCCATCCGCTAGAATCGCAGCAGGGGCAATCTCATTGGCTGTGCATGCGATTGATATACCACCGGCTACATCAGTGATGAAAAGCCATCATAAGGTGATCACAAGTGAAACGTCAAAATGCGTTGCGGGAAGCTTGAACATCGCTGCACTGTCCTCAGCCGATCTTGGACTTTTGACGACACATCCATCTCCCTGGATCAGCAAATGCACTGGCTGTTCCTTGGATCTGCTGCACACTTTAGGGTCACCCTGTTACACACCCATGTCAGCACTGAGACAGCTTCCAAGATCGTAGCACTGCTTAGCACTGAGAGGATCCAGGACTTTTTGGACCGGTTACCATCTACCACAGTATTCCGCACCGTTGCAATCCTGTCACCTCCAGGGCAGTCTTCGCCAGGATCTCGAACATGTGAAGCAACACCAGGCTGTCCCTGAACGTATGAGCCAAACTGCGGCGCATGTGTTTCAAGGTGCGGCATTCATCAACTCAAGTTTTCTGTTTTTTTTCCTTAGATCAAGCAGTATGGGCAAATTACAATAATTCACTAACCTGAAATAAAGCCATGTTGGGATGATTCCTCTTATTAACCATGATTCCAGTGAGGTCGCAGTGAGGTCGTTATAATTTACCCAGTATACAGTATATGTACTGACAAGGGCATATAAACTGGAGAACACATATAGAGGGTTCCATTCTCCACCATCGGTTTTGAGGTACCCCCATTTATGGAAACCACCATGTAGGCTTGTCATATGGCGCCCAATGCTCCAAGCTCCTCAAGTTTTTGGCTCTCCAAGCGGCAAGGATCACATGGAAGCCGTGAATCAGCTGAAGGTCTCGTATCTCAGCCGTGGGATGCCGTGGGGCATCCAACTTGGATTCTGTCAAGCATGCATATACTTATACGTACTTGTATGCATATAATATATATTATATTTATATATATATATATATTATATATATAACAATGATGTCTAGTTATGTCTAGTTATTCCATCTTAGTCGAGTTTGGAACACGGTTGTAGATATGCCTTACTGGCATTTACTGGCTGTGTGGCTTTTATTGGTCACATTTAGTTGCAAAGTTGTACACATTGGAGAACATTGGCCCAGTTTGTTATTTCAAAGTTATTGGCTGTCTATAAGGGTGCAGCCTCAGGAACTCCAACTGACTGTGCAATCGCATGCCTGCCAACTGCGAACGATATGACAACAGGTATCTATGTAGAAGGTCGGTATATTGATGTATATTGGCTTCAACACCTGCACCCAGCTGCAGCAAACGGGAGTTTTGATGACTTACTGCGCGGACGTACGCGGAACCGTTGGCCAAAATCACTGAGTCTGTAGAGCAGGAGTTTCGAACTCTGCAACTGTGGCATGGGTACGCATAAGTTGGGTTACCATCCAACTACTGACTTTGGCTTCTTTTGCATCAGCTAGTCTTCCAGGCAAGTACCATCAAGTACCCAGAATAATCCCTTCCCCCTATTACTAAACGGCTCCCCCCGAATAATAAACACTTGGACTTGGAGCAGTTTTTAGTATTAGGGGGTATTTAGTATTAGGGTGCGAAGCTTCCCCCTAATATCAATTAAAAACCCTAATAGAAAAAAAACTGAATGTTTCTATTTCAAAATCGATTAGTTTTCCTTTTAAAATCTAATCAAATCAAAATATTGCCAAAAATTGGATTTCGAAGCGTTCCCCTAACATTAAGCCTAAGGCCCATATTAAAAAAACTAACATTTTCTATTTCAAAATCGATTAGATTTCCTTGTAAAATCTAATTAACATATTGCCAAAAATTGGATTTCGAAGCTTTCCCCTAATATTAAATAAAAAACCTTAATGTAAAAAAACATATTTGTGTTTTTCGACCTTAAAAGACGGACCCAAATAAAAACACCCCGGGGTTGACTAGTTTTTATTGTTAGGGGGTGAAACCCTGAAATGGGACCTTCATTTTTAATTTGTTTTCGAAAGGGGATCAATTAAAAATCGAATTGGCCAGTCTGCAATTTCCCAAAATTTAACGCGGACCCTAGTTTTCAGTATTTGGGGTAAGTTTAGTAAAAGGAGGTGGGGATTATTGGGGAACGTTTCACCAACAATGTTAAACAGGGGAACCACAACATAGCAACTGTGAAAGGAAAAAAACTACGACCACAACCACGTCAATCCCAAGAAAAGGAGAAACATGGGTCAGGTATGGAAACTTATGCTTGCTAGATCTTGAGCCGGTTGAATCAGCTGAGCCTGCCGACGTGCAAAATCCATGCGTACCACTTCCCGATGGGTTTGAAGGTCGCTGGATCCTTGGCCAAACAAGCCAAACGCAATGGGTTCCATGAATTTCCATGAGACATTTGGGCCTGAATGGGCCTGATCTTCGGGCAATCTAAGCACCGTGCGTACCATTTGCTCCAGTGCATCCATGCATAGTGCAGGAAGTGCTGCAAAATATCGCCGATGCCTGGCGATTTCTTCGTTCCAAGAACATCTGCGAAAGATTTGACGTGTTTTCAAAGCTCTCTCGCCATGATTTGGTTGTGTTTTGCAGCTTCTTTACCTTCTCACTTTCTTGATTGTGTGCTTGCTGCTAGTGTGTTTTTTTCTTGGGGCCTGCCTCCAACCCCATAATTTGATGGTTTATGGTCAGTTTCCCTGGTAAATACAGGTAACAATCCATTTCAATGGGCTAAAGCGCCTTCAAAGGCCAAGGTCACGAGCACGGCAGCAGTCACCAGCACCACGATTGCCAGCAACCTCAGGTTCCGACCCTGGAATTGAGGAAGCCTTGTCATCCTTAACCATGATGATGATTCCTATTCATAATCATTATTACTAATCTTTATTACTAATTATTGTCACTAATGCTTATTACTAATGATTATCACTTATTATCATTGCTGTATATATATATATACACTGTAAACTATATCTACTTATTGGTCTAGTCTAATTATATATGATCATCGTTTTGGTCTATTTTGTTGTAGCGAGACTCTGTTTTGTGTTGCAGTTAGCTGGCCAGCTTTGGAGTTGTTTGTGACATATTCACCAAATAGGCAAAACCCAGTTTGCATAATTAATGGGATGCCATATGATGCCATGGGATAACTATAATGGATCATGAGAAATGTTTATTGGATAGTGCGGAGTGGATAGTGGGATAACATAAATGGATATAAATGGATAAACTAAATGGGATAATGGATTCCCAGCTTGTGGGTTTAGCAATGGTTTCGTTTATTTTCCCAGAGGGCAAGCAAGTTGGATGCATTTCCACGAGCACGATCGCACAAATACGCAGTAGTCTCCAGGGTGCGCTGAGAGTTTTCCTTGACGTTTGCTGGGGTGAATACAAAACTGTACTGAGATGCCCAACGTTGTCAGGAATGCAGCTGCTGAAATGGCAAGAACAGCAACCTGCTGAACTCAACACGACCCCCCAACAATACATCAAACATGTCTTATTTTTCCCCTATATACAGAATGGTACACAGACATGTATCAAGATGTATCAACATAAGATCCCGCTTTGCGTTGCATTCCACAAGGTGGTGCCCCCAAGATAGCTAAGTTGGTTTATAACTCCAATAACTATGGTTTATAGGTGATATATCTATAGTTAATGGGCTTATAAACCAACTTATAACTGGGGGGCACCACCTTACATGTGACATCAATACGTTGGACCTCAAATGTCCAAATGGAGAAGCTACGAAGAGTCATCAGCTGCCACTGAAGCTTCAACTTGCCACTGGCCTCAAAGTGCTTCTCTCTGCTGTGCCTGGACAAGGATCTTAAGTCTGACAGCTCGTACATAGCACCTAGATTTCCAGCCAAGTTATATATATATAACCAGGTAGATTTATACATGTATAGCCCCTCCGGACTAGCACATGTATGTACATACATATATACATGTATCTATATCTATATATAGTTATAATAATCATATCTCTCTCGCTATCTCTCTCTCTCTCTCTCTGTTGACTGATATGGATTGCATATGATGGTGTAGATCTTTGTATCACATCACCGCCATCTTTCGTCAATCCTGGGCTCCCCGCAGCTGGTCGTGCAACAGTGGCGACTCAGCCAAGGCGACCCATGGTGATCCATGGTGATCCAACATGTGCCGTCCGACGGGCACAATTGATGGCTTAATGGATATGATCAGTATGATGATCTGATGCGGTTAGTAATGGTTAGTAATTATTCATAATATGATGATTAGTAATGGTTAGTAATGGTTAGTAATGGTTAGTAATGGTTAGCAGTGGTTAGTAATTATTCATAATATGATGATTAGTAATTAGTAATGGTTAGTAATGGTTGGTAATGGTTAGTATGATGATCTGATATCATAATCAATGATTGGAGATTTGCATGCGAGTTGTGTTTGTGGAGCTCATGACCCTGAGCATTCAGAACGTGAAGTCATGCACCTACTGCACCAGCTGCACCCGCACTGATAGCCCCAGGATCCCTAGGCCCTTGCCAACCCTGGCTTGGCCACCAGACTGTTTCTGCGATAAAATTGCCGGCACCTGGAGAGTTTGATGGATTGCCCCAGTAAAACGAGGGACATCTTCGATTCCAAAGGTGGAAACATCAGAGTCCGAAGCAAACAGCTTGGATTAAAAGTACACTCCAAACTCAGCTTGCAGCTATGATACTTCAAAAGAATGCCAGGTTTATACCTAAGTTTTTTGCTGCCCAATGTCTTGGGATGAATCGCCGGATGTTGCTGGTGAAGGCAGCCTCCAATGACTGATCCGAAAGATGTCGTGAAGGCCGCGATGGCAGCCTGAGCGACGAAAACTGAGGATGGGGGATTTACCCCCTCATTTCATGGCAATTTCCCCATGGGAAGTAAATAAAGCTCAACCAGTGGATTTGACTTAGGGGTAATCTGGGCCAGTAGTTCCCATAGTTTTTATATTTTAATATATGTTATATGGATTAAGGGCTACTTTAGCAGTGGATTTAGAGCTAATTTGCCAGTAGTTACCCTCTGGTAATTTAACATAGCTATTGAAAATGATCATTTATAGTGGAATTTCCAATTAAAAATGGTGATTTTCCATAGTTATGTTAGTTTACCAGAGGGTACCGTACTTTCTGATAGTGATTTCTGGTTCGTGCCCGAGGCGCCAGTTGGCCAAGATCCAGCGATGACTTTCTGCTCCTCGGCAGTGGATCCCGGATCGTTTTCCATGGCTGAAAACTGCTGAAAGATGTTCAAATGTAAGGAGGATTCGGGGTATCCCATTGAGTCTCCTATGTAGTTTTAGGAAATAGTATAAAATAGTATAAAAATATATATTCCTATATATAATACTATACCCCATATCCATCCATATCCATGGTATTCGGGGTTTCCTATTTATGAAAAAAACACATTTTAGGAAACCTCCATTTTGATACTATGTGAGTATGATCAGTGTAAGATCTTGCACAAGATTGATTGTGGGAACATGCTCACTGGGTGTGAGATATAAAAAATCCAGGGTCTTGCCCTGGCCTACAACTAGCAAGCAAGAAATTGGATGCTTTTGGCAGATGAAAATATGTGAAAATGATATCACCTCACTTCCACCATGGCATCAATGGCATCGCTAGGCTTGCAGCACTCCAATAGTGGCATACGCCAACCCAGCCATGGTCAAGGCCTGAGAGATTGGATCTGCCCTGCTGTCTGTGGTCCTTGCAAACGACCAATCAGTAAGAGTCAAGCACTCAATACTTTTTTCGTGACAGTGCGTACCAGTATTTGACCCACGGACCCAAAATCATATAAATCATAGTTTCCACAGACATGGCATGACCCTTGTCAAAACGCGACTTTGCCGCTCTCAAAGCAATTCCATTCATCCAAGGGACTGCCGTGCTCAATCCCAAATTGCCTCCCCAAGCCATTTGCGACCTTGGCCAAGGCTGCTAGGATCAGCGATGGGATCGTTTCCAAGTCGGTTGATGACTGTCGGTACGCCCACAATTCCAATGAATTCTTGATAATGTTTGCACAGTGCTGCATCAAACAACCAGCACTGGTCCATTGTGCGGTGAATTTGGTGAACATATCCTCTGGTAATTTAACATAGCTACGGCATACTACGGAATATGGCCCATAGTTAGTTCGGCAACTTACCTATTTTCACATTATTCAACATTGGTGATTTCCATAGCTACGAGATGCTACGAGTATCGTAACTGGCACATCCACATCGTTCGCATTTGTTTAGCTTCCAAGCGGCGGAAGACGACTGAAGGTGTGAGCTGCTTCCATCTGGCGGATGGCAAGCGATTATATAATGGATTGGTTTCAAGGATAATCTGCAGAAAAACCACCGTATTCCATGGGAAAAGACAACGGTTTCCTGTAGAGAATTTGCATCACTGCCTTTCTCACCTACCCCTGCATGCACACATAGCACATGCACACGCACATGCGCACGCTCACGCACACGCCCATGCATGACGTTGCACAGCAATGCATCACATTACATCACAGTACATTACGTTGCATTCATCGTGCATCTACAACTGTCTGTGTCCATAATTGTGAATCCAGGTTTCAACAGGACCATGCCCATATTATTTATCATATTTGTTTAAAGAACGTTAAAGGACATCATGCACACATGCAATGTTTCTATATTGCGTGTTCATTTCCGAAGAACTTTGCAATTTAGTTCACGAAGAGTTTATGATTGGGTCTGCTGGCATGGGAGTGTGGAATATCATTGCATATGCCCGCGAAAAAGAAAAAGAATTCCAATATGTTCCAACCTAGCAGGACAAACAAAAGGGCCATGGCGGCCATGATCTTTGTTGCCAAAACCGGGGTCTGGCCGATATGTTTCCGCCACTTTTTTGACAAGTGGCCGCAAGAAAGACCATGTCAGGGCGGCTGCTGCAATCAGTCAGGAAGTTTGCGCTCAACTTTTTTCCCCCTTGCAATGTCCTGTCCTGTAACTAATGATGGTGACCACAAATCAACGAAGTCCAAGGGCTCATAGCTGCTGTTTGGCTCTTGGTCTCTGGGCAGAGTGTGATCTCGGGTCTTGCTAAGCAATAATCCATGAGGCGAAATGAATGGGAGGGTTCTAAATGCATGCGTGCCAGTATCTGAGAAAATCGCAAAGGCAAATCCGGCTTCGAAGCTGTGATCTTTGGAGCATACCATGTCCCTAAAGACCTCATCGATTTGAAATCGCTCGGTTTTTGCGCGGCCTTCCTTTGGAAAGCTGCCACAACGTTTCACGTCACTGGCAACGTTGGTTGCTGCCTATGGGGACGTCTTGCCTGTTGGGTGCAGACTGCCGTTTGGATTTTCAGTGATGATATATTCTGATTCTCTAATCAAACCGTGCTTGGGATAAAGAATGGACTGCGTGGACCAAAATGAACCAAAAGGGCATGAAAAAGATCTGTTATAATTCAATAGTCCATGTCAAGTCGGGGGTATATCCCTCAGAAAATGCTAATTGAGCGGCACCCCGCATTCTCTCAGCTGAAATGTACTGTTTGATGGCTGCATGCATTGCCACCAATGGCCAAAGCCCCTCAGGGTCTCACTGTTTCTGCCATCACATCACGCCTTTGCAAAATGTGGGGGTCTGTGGGGGTGCTGGTGCAGTGCCATCCATTCATTCACCAGCAGCATTCATGCAGGAAAGTGTTCTGGCGCTATGTACTGCTTGGTGGTGATGTCCAATGATTGCAATGTTCGCCAATGCATTAGAAAAAACAGGAGAAAAAATGGTTCTTTCAGCGCTTTGCAGTATCTTTCAGACGGAACTCCAACATGACTTGGCCTTCAAGCAAATCGACTTTCGACTTTCGGCCGTTCATCCCTTGTTCCAAACTCCCAAGACACACACCCTTGAAATATGGCATTGTCTGAAAATATACTACCCCTGCATTCACTGGTTTATCATCCTTTTCCCCATTTGAATCGCCTACCTCATTTTGAGACACACCCACAAATCATCATGCATCTATCAGATTGTTGGTTAATATACCGTGTATATATATATGCATATGCTTATATGAACTATTCCCATCGCAAAGCCATATTGTGCTAGGTTCCCCGACCCTCACCACTCCCAACAACGCACGCTCCGCCAACCTCAGAAGGGGGCCCTTTATGGGGCCGGTAGGCCCAATGAACCAATGGGATGATCTTTCAGTCTATAGGCAAACCCACATCATGCCCTGACTGGGGCTTCCACATATTCCAACTTCCAACCACACCCATTATATGAGCAATCTCGAAAACCCTAGGTTCACGGAAAGGACATCCACAAATTTGGGAAGGTCCCATCGCTTACCACACGTTTGTACAATAATGATATATGGTAAACTTGGGGGGTATCGCTTGCAAGAAACTGCTACATTTTTTTTAATATATAATTCACAGAAATCAACGTCCAATTTGGGTATCGCTAATGTGGATATTAGAGAAATACAATGACATAACCTTGAAAAGGGGTATGGCTAATTTGGGAAGGTCCCATCGCTTACTATGTGTTTTTAACAATTTCCATCAATTTCCATAAACCATCATAAACCAATGTCCGTCCAATACATATTTAGTATTGCCGGTGATTATATATTGGGGCCTAGTGTCATCCCAACTTGTCATGGGAAAAAAAGGAGACCCTGACACTTCCAACCGGTACCGGCCTTACGCGTTGGTTCAGCTCCAACACCTGCAGGAAATGTGGGATTCACCCGATGCCATAAACTATCCCCAAAATCACAATTTTTATGGGTGCTATAAACAACTTTAAACCATCCCCAAATGGTAGGTTTATTATTGGCTTTCCCACATTGTATATTAATTATGCACTACTAAAGGGTTTAAGATCAGCTCTAAGTCCAAGATTCTATGTACTACTGTAACTTGTACCATTTTAAATGACAGTCAGCAGCTGAGAAGAATCGCGCATGAGCACTTTGGCGAAGCCCCTTCGCCTTCCATGCTAACAGATGACCATTTCAATCTTTGAAATTGGATTCAGGGGGTTCCATGTGTTTCCCATAACTGCCAGACAAGCCAATTTACTTTGATATGTATTGGCAACCACAGTTTAGTGCTCTAAAAACAATACAGTAGTTACAGTCATACGAATACTGCATATTAGTTTCAATTGAAAGTCATTGTAGTAAGAACAATGGCGCCGTAATAACATAATAATAACATAATAACATCTAATATAATATCATAAGTGTGCAAAGAATGGCATTTTCTATTATAATATATGATAAAAAATGTCCGAAAGAGTCCCATGAAAATCAAACAGAAATGACTATGAATAATTGATATCCATCATAATCACTACATATATATATAGGATTATATTACTGTAGGTGTCTATAATACTAATCAATATATTTAAAACACTATAGTATCAACTTTGCGATTAGTACTATACATATTCGGTTTGAATACGTTTGAATACCATAAAAATATGAGTTTCTTAGCTAATAGTACTCAACTATCATTAACATACTATAATCGTGATAGTTGCATATACTATATAATAGCTGATATAGTAATCAAAATTATAATTCAAAACACTATAGTATCAACTAATAAATTAGTACTTATTGATCTTATTGGTTTGAATACTACAAAATCTTAGTTACTTAATGTTACTTAATGTTACTTAATTAAATACTTTATCACCAATTTAGGTGTCAACCGCCGATATCACCAATTTTGGTGTCCCCTGGGCCATCCTGGGCCTCGAAGAGATCTGCTTCCCGGCCCCAAAGATGGCCATCCAGCAGGTCCACCCGTTGCTGCAGCGTCAGGGAAGACCTTGGCGCAGGCGCCAGCGCGTTGGCGCCAAGGGACGTTTTATGGGCTTAGCCGGGACGGCTAGTGAGTTAGAATTAGTTACCCTCTGGTAATTTAACATAGCTATTTTTTTTTTTCCCATTGCAATTTGAAGCCTTACAGGCACTCAGACAGAAACTAACAAAAACGTGCAATTCGCGACAGCAGCTCACATCCGGGCGTCAAAGCACCCCCAATCTGGTTTCCAGCTAGAGCGGAATTTCTTGCCGTCAAGAAAAGAGCTGGAACAATAGAGGCAAGCTTGTACATATATTGACCAGACATTGGTGGGATTGACAGGGACCAGGTGGATACCTAGAGCTACCTGACACCGTAACCCGAAGGAAGAGCCTAACGTATTGTTGATAACTGAAGTGTCAATGCCCGGCAATGCCTCAGAGATTAAATCTTTAAGGTAGCGATGACATCGATGTATTAGTCGTCCAAAGCCCATATCTTGGTTAAAAAGGGGAGATACAAAACCCAACCTTGAGATAAAGTCAATCAAAACAATGGACCACGGGGTAAAAGCAGTGATTGGCGATGTTCCACTGCACCAATACGCTTCGCGCATAAACCGGTGAATGGCATCAGCGCAATGCGGAGAGCTAACAGCTTTAGGTACAGGTGAATTTGAGACATCTAACCCTTGGACAACTGCGGTTCGATGTGTCACCCATTGATTGAATTTGGGATATTGTTGTTTGAGCGCATCCCAAATGCGATTGGGAACGAAAGCGCCAGAGTTGAGCAAGTTCAGGAAACATCGCTCCAACTCCCCTACTACCAATGTAGTTAGACAAGTTCCACGGCACAAAGCAGGAGCAGGAGCTTTGCCCCTTATCCTACGGCTTGGTGGGCAAGTGCACTTACGAGCTGTGGCGACTTTAAGTGTAGATAGAGCGCGGTCAACAATCTGATCATGATCCGGTGGCTGGGTTAACAAGTTCCTATTCACAAAGGACTTGATCAAATGAATTTGCACAGCTAGGATACAGTTGACATCACACACGCTATGATCAGAATGTTGTTGAAACTGTCGTTGGCATAAACTCTTAGCTAATGCGTCTGCTTTTTCATTGCCTTCATTTAAACCAGGGTCTTGACTTGGGTCACGTCCATGAGCTGATACTTTAGATACATGTACTGTTCGATGGTTTAAACTTGTTTCAGCGGCTATGAGTGTCCACAAGTCAAAATTGTCCCAAGAACGCAAAGATGAAAAGCCTTGTGCATTACGACTTTGTTCACGAAATCCTTCGACTATGGTTGCACAATCGGTAAAAATATGGGCGTCTCCGTCTGTTACCTTTTACGCCAGCAAGATCGCTCCCAGCTCAGCTCTTTGTGAACTTTGGTCGAGCCCTGGGAGGGGTCTTGCCAGTTGCAATATTTGCGGAATATATACTGAGCAAGCTGCCGACTCTAGTCTACCCGACTTTGAGCGAATAAAACTGCCATCAGTAAAAAATTCGGTCGCCCGGTTGAAGTACATGTTTTGGAGGTAAATCGCCAAATTGGAATGGTTGGTCTTGTTGTAAACGGAACTGTGTGTCTCGCCCGCTTTCCCATAGAACACCCATGGTCCATGACGTATCCGGCATTTGCACTGAAACTTCCGGCGGCGGATTCGTTGGACAATGTTTGGACATATGCAAGAGATCATCGTCTGCATCGCAATGTTCGCATTTTCGGGAATTTACCAGGCCTGCTTTAAATTTACGGGGCCCGTCAAAAATTGATCCGGCTAAGAAATTTTGGATGATATTTTGGGCATGGCCAAGTTTGACTGGTAAATTCCGCAGTTGTTCTACTAAGCCAGGTGCAGGTACTACAGTGGAGAAGTCGTTGTCGAGGAAAAATCGCGTCGCGAACATATTAATCACACCGTCCCGCGAGTCGCCTAAGTTGTCATGCCTTATTGGGGATCTACGGAAAAGTGAACGCCTGACGGATCGTTCCAAGTCATCGTCGAAAAATTTGTTGCTGCCATAGAGGAGTTTGAAGTCTGTATCGCCCGGCCGTTTGAAGGACAAACCGTCGGCCCATTCCCATTCCAATTCCCGAACGACAGCGGCCAGAACCGCTGGAGCGCCAGAGGAAGTTCGAATGGCATAAGGTTTGATCTGTTGGGCTTGACGAAAAACTTTTGCCACCAAGTCGGGCTGACGGCGGTGTAACTTTCTATATGTGAGCAAGACATGTCTAACCCAAATAGCCCAAGGATCAACCCAAACATTATCCCATGTAGACATGGTCAAAAAAGGGCATCTCATCCGGTTTTTCTTTGGGAAAACAGTATTGACAACAGCTGTCCTCAAATAATTAAATGCTTTCTTATTCGGGGGGGCAACTTCAGACCCATATAACCATCGGCTATGACCTGCAGTTTTAATATATCGTGATTTGAGTTTGGCTGGAAATGGAAGCTTGCCCATTTTCCGAATGGTTGCAGCAGCTGCTTTCGTTTTCAGGTCAACGGCTCTAGCAAGTCCCTTTGTCGTCACTGCTTGTTGAAACCCTAAAGACTTGACACGCTTTCTGTGGGGAATCTGTTTGCCTACTTGGAGAAGAAATCTGTCGGCGTCTTTCGCCTTTTTGGTTAGGAGCGCAGACTTAGCATTGTTTTGAACTTGGCCAATAGCCTGGTCAAAAGCTTCGAGAGCTGTGGTTGCTTTGATGAGCTCAGGTAGGTCTTGCTTACTAGCCCATAGCTTTGTATCGTCAATGAACGCAGAGAAGGTTACCCCTGGAAACTGCTCAATCCTTTTCGCAAAAACAGAGAAAATCAGGTTAGCAAACAAAACACTAAAGGCGCAACCCTGCACGACCCCGTTGGAATGGAGGACCTGATTTTCCGTAAGCGTTATTGAGCTTGAAGAATTTGACCTGATGGTTATAGAAGTCTGTAAGCGGTTGGCATATATGAGATGGTAATCCTAGAGTGGATCCGAGTTGAATACAAAATTTTGGCAGCAACAGGTCGAAACATTTCCACCGATCAATAAATATAACGATAGAAGTGTTGTCAGGGGCTTCGTCCGAATCAAACAAGTGGCTAGATAATTCGATTTCTGAAGGGGTAGCCGATCTATGGGGCAATCCGCCCGCGAGTGAAGGGGGGGCCAAATTTCCCAACCATGGCGCCAATTGTTTGAAGCGGACAGATGCCCAGAAGGAATAGAAAATTGACGTAATTCCAATGGCCCGGGTAGATTCAGGGGTCCATTCATGGGTTTTGGGGATGGCAGTAATGGAAACCAAATGAAATGATTTGGGCCACTTCCCACTAGCTTCAACAGTAGTGAAGAAAAGCTTGATGGCCTTCCATGCGCACGGTGGCAATACTTGAATTTCCTTAATCTTCCATCCATCCAAACCCGTGGCTTTATTGGCGGGTTTTTTTTGGAAAAGTTTCCACATGTTAACCGCATCAAAAGGGGGAAGTTCAGTTGGATTCTTCAAACTGTTGATTTCATCCTGAAACATATTTACAAATTGTGCGAAAAGTGCATCTTCATTGGTATTCCGATGATGGTTATAAATCTTTTCAGCATGATCTTTCAGGAGGGAAAGAATCTCATTAGGGCTCCCAGTTAAGGATCCATCAGGGCGAACAAGTGTTTTGGGGTGCGAAGGGGTAACCCCCTTTAACCATCGAAAAACTTCCCTCTTATCCGCAGAATTGGAAATCCTAAGTCGATCTTTCCACTCATGGATGGCTTTAGTGGAGTCCTGCATTTGTTTGTCGAGATCACATGTTGTCAATGCCTGGTTAGCAGCACTAAGGAATTCAATGACTTGTTGTTGGGAGAACCCTTGTGTAGGAACCGTGCACCCTAAAGTCCCCAAACCCTTGGAGGTATTAATCAACGTCCTCTTCAGGTGAGTCATCCAGACAGGATTATCTTCATGTCTCTGCTGGTTTTTCTTGGACAATTCATGCAATTGCTTACGAATCTTTAAAGAAGCTTGCTGATATTGATTTTGCTTACACGGTGGTGGAAGGAATGGCTTTTGTTCGAAAAACGGAATATCACCCCTACGTGACTGAATGAACTGGCCAGTTATACAGTTTAGCATCTCGTGCATCATACGGGTCAAACTATCCCAGAGAGTTTGGGGGTCACCCTCTTCAGCTGCCCGAACCAAGGAAGGAATATACTTTGTTAGGATCGGGTGGCAAATTGCATCCCTTTCATCCCATTCTTCTTGAGAACAAGGTTTGGGGGGAAGGTTCCACTGAGGGTGTTGTTTAAGCCCAAAAACCATCTCATGGAAAACCTGGCACTCTAATCTTATAACGACTGGACAGTGACCAGGCGCAACTGGACCTCGAAAGATGCTTGCTTCTTTTGCTGCTGATCTTGCCAAGTCGTTCAAAAAGAGATGGTCGATTCGAGTTTTTCTCAAACCCCGAAAACCTGACGCCCACCCATTTCCTGAGTAGGTGGCCTCGGGCTCTAAGTTCCTGGATCTGCAACAATCAGCATAAAAATCTGACCACCGATTGGAAGCCAATACTTGCGTAAGTGCACTGGAATCCTCCGGAGCACATTGGAGATCACCTCCAACCACTGTGGGGGATGTGTCAAAAATGGAAGCAAAACTGAAAATATCCGACAGCAAAGTTTCACGCTCATCAATTACAGATTGACCGCTTGGTAGGTAACAATTTAACACAACAAATCCTGATCTCCCATCATCAGAAGGAATCCATAGTGGCATACATACTCTTTCGAGATGGCCCCACCCAGATTGAAATGACAACAGCCGTGCTGGGTGGTCACGAGGAACCAAAGCAGCCAGGCCTCCCCATGATTGGCGTAAAGAAGCCTTATCAGACTTAATCGCTCTGATTGGGGGTTGATGTCCAACTAAAAGGTCCCACCCAGCATTTCTGGCCCGAAGTGTCAAAGAATTGACCCGGCTGGCAGGTATTCGTGTTTCTTGAAGAATGAGGCAACCCAAATCAGGGCACGAGTTCGCAAAGTTAAGGACTGTATCAAGCCTTTTGGGCAATGATGTGACATTTAATGTAGCAATCTGCATTGGCCCTTCACCAGGGTAACCTTTACATGGGGAAAACAAATGAGCGAAATAGAGCAAACTTGTCATGAAGGATGTGAGCTGCATCAAACGACAAAATTGTGTCGTCCTGTTCTCGTTCAGATTTGGCGGGGGCTGGCAAGCCCTGCGCCCAGGTGAAAAACTGAAAGAGCAGGCATGACAGCAAAAAAATATACGGCCAGAGCCGCATGCTTGTCGAGTCGCGAATGGTTGAATTACAAAAGATTGAATGAGCAAGACACTGAGAGCGCTTCTGGCTAACATTCTTCTGGCAAAACTGCGGCGTTTCCTGGCATAACGCCCTTGTTCAGATTTTCGGGGTGGTATCTTACAGCAGAGGGTCCCAAACCGGTACATATAGTTAATGAGAACACAATAGAAAGGAGCCAAAGCAACCACCCCGGCGAGTGAGACGCCCTGCAACCCACAAAGAAAGCCCAGAACCATCTCACCAAACAGTAGCAAACACAGAGAAAAACATTCAGGGAAACTGAAGTTTAATGATACTTTGCCACCTTTGGCGCTGGGGATGGAACCGGGGTTGAGCTCAAAGACTCACCTGGCTTCGAAAGCTTCAGATCAGCAATGGCATCAAGAAGTTGTTTAAATCCCGAATCCTGGCTGGCTTTCAAGGTGCTAATCTGCTCTTTCGTGGTTTCTTGGCCCTTTTCCAGCTTTTCTACCTGCGCGCTGAGGGTCACAAACTTCTTTTCCATAGCATCAATCCGATTACTTGTGTTGGCATGGGCTGCAGATGCCCAAGGATCACCCGCTGCGAGATTGGAACTTGATGATGCCGTTGAGGGGGTAGTGTCACCCTTCTTTTCGGCAGTGCCTGCCTTGGCAAGACTCTGATCTTTCGCAAACTTCTGCCTAGCAATCTGTCCGCGATCCTGTGCTTCTAGGGGTGTGATGAGCAAGGATCCCAAATTGGTAGTGAATCGCATTTGTGGCGGATCTGAATTTGATCCAACTACCAGAGTTGACAATTCGGCGTTCTGAAAGGTTCGAAGCACGACCATGTTCCATCCTTTCTCATGCATGATCTTGGTAGCTTCGTTCGCCTGTATCCCCACAACGAACCCTTGGACTTTGAAGAACTTGGTCAGCTTCAAGTCTTGATTGTTGGCAGTCCATCTCGGGTCATCAGGGAGCCAAAACGCTCGCATCTCGGACAATTTAACATAGCTATTGAAAATGACCATTAATAGTGGATTTTCCCATTAAAAATGGTGATTTTCAATAGCTATGTTAAATTACCAGAGTGTAGAATATCTTGGAATTTAGTATCTGAGTATATATGAGTATATATGAGTGATATACCTGACTGGAAAATATGTTGGAAATTAGATGAATTTAGAATCTGAGTGATATCTGACTGGTAATTCTCTGGGTGTGATAGTGAATCGAGGGTTGTTGTGGTTCATTGTGGATTGGGGGGTCTGCGTATGTGAAGTGCGGCGTGCTGATTATACGTAGGCGATGATGATGACGATGATGACGACGACGATGACAATTCTTATTCTTGACGATTATTGTGACGAGAATGGATGGTGGTGATGATGATGATGATGATGATGGATTATGGAATATGGATTATGGATTATGGATGATGATGATGATGATGATGATGACTGGCGATTATATGAACAAAAATAAAATGTTGACTTTGAGGAGGAAACACTTAAAAAGAAGGAACGGCAGCTATGACAAGCTCCCTGCCCAACAGGCACTGAAAATCTCTGCATCTCAGTGGCTTGGTCTTTGGAGCTGCTGCAGGGTAGAGGAAGAACCTTGCTGCCGGTGGCTGGGTGCATCTGTTTACCTGGCCACCTGACCAACTTCCGCAACCGTGAGTGTCCTTTCTTAGGCTGGGAAAAGTATAATAATATCGCGGATCTAAAGTGGATTAAAGAGGGTGTCAAACAGGCCTTTACAATCCTTTATGAACATTTTTTTCATTCTCCAAACAAGTTGCACTAGACCTATGTTGGCACCAGCTCTGTTGAACACCTCACCCATGTCTTCCTTGCACGCCATGTGACTCCAGGAATGCAACTCGATCTTCCACGCTTTGACTGGCCTCACCATCCTCACCGCCATGGACCTCCAGTTACCCACAGCACACTTTTTATCGGTGACTTGGTTCATCATCCCGGCGATGGCACAACAACAAATTCATAACCAGCCAAGCCAGAGTATGGAAGATAATGCAAATCATATCTAGATATGCACATGATTCATAATGAATGCACATATAAATGTATATATTAATATAACTGTATATACGTAAATGTACATAAATGTACACTTACGGTCCATTTTTCCTACAAATAAAACAGAGCCAAAGGATGATGACAATCAACCAGGATAGATCTCCCCAACTGCTTGGTTCACTGCTGCATTGGCACCTCCTGGGCTTGTGCAGCTTGTGGCGCCGCCTGGCACCACATTCCAACACTGTAAGGCTGAACAAATCTTAGATGATTTACAATTATTGGATGATTAGTGATGATCGATTTTTGGATTACGTAACATATTTCATATGATATATATATATATATTATTATTATATATATAAACTAATGCTCATATCAAAATGTATCACTCTTTCTTAGCGCGTTGAGTTTTGGCCTCTGTTGACCGATATCCATCTTGTCTCTGCGCAAACAAGGCCTTCAAGAAGTCGTCGAGGGCAATCAGTTCTTCCTCGCAGCAGTTTCGACGGTAAAAAAAAACTCAGTAATTTTCCAACTGCTATAGCTAGTGTGTTGAAACCCTCCAGTATGGTGGTCATTCTTACTCAGTGACCTTCCTTTCGGGAAAAAAAACTAAACTTCTTTTTGGTGGGGTTCGCGCGCGCAATTTTTGGGAAAAAATAAGGGCAACCTGCGCGCGCGAACCCAAGCAAAAACAGTTTATAAAGTTAATTCACTTTCTGAGTTGGCATTTGTCATGGTGGCGACATGGACAAAACATGGCAGCAATTTCCCAATATCTTGGAACCATTACACTCCGATAATCCAACATCAAAATCGAATTTCAAATTTTTAGAGCATATATTAAAATGGTTCCTGTTCCACTGATTTCATTACCATATTTCACACTTTCTGTAACATCTGTAACCAAAAGATGCCAAAAACTCTAAGAACTTCATAGAACTTCCAGGTTCGTCATTCATCCCACGTTTTTCGGCGCCTCCGCCGAATCCGAAGATCGACGACGACCTGAGAGCCTCCGATGATGGGCCAGGTGGTTGAACCACCAACCCTGGGTCATTGTTGCCAAGTACAACTGTCCAAGAAATCACACCAACCAAATGAAAAAAAGTGTGATTTTCTGAAGCGCAAATTAAACATGGATAACATGGAACATACTCGAATTGCATGAAAATCAATTTGCAGTTCCTGACGATGCGTGGCTGACCCCAATCACGGTCCCCGCATCCATGCATCACGGTCCCCTGTCGACCCTGCGACCTGGATTCTTTGGGCACTTCAGGAAACACTTGACCTCAGCCAAGCGAAGAAACCCTCCAAATCCGTACATTAACAATAAATAACCAAGCACCAAACCGTTGAACTATCCAAAATGAGTTCAACCAGTTGTAGGCTCTCTAGTGTGCTTAGCCTGCTGCTCGCAAAAAATCAATAAAGTTATTTTAAGAACTGTGAACTAGCAAATGAATCCAAATGAATCCAAATGATATCAGTGCTTCTGCAGGATGGAAGGATCTGCAATTGTCTTCAATTGTTCACAGTTTGGTCTGTCCAGTGGGTTGACTCACTAAAACTCACCCAGAGTTGCTCTGCCCAATCCATCCGAATCCCACTTCCCTAGAACAAACATGCACAAACCCATGCGGCTATATGTTGGTTACATGGGTTTAGTCTCAAAATGGTGCACCCACAATTCCAATAAAAATATCCTGCATTATCATTGTTTTCTCCATTTAAAAAAAAAAACATATTATATACTGTAAAAAAAATGGGTATACGCCACATTTCCCGATGGCACCTCGAAGGCTTTCCCCTTTGGCTGGAGCTGGTGCTCCTAGAGCCACAATGGCAAGTTGCAACCATCCAAGGCAAAGGATAATTTGTTGGTCAGCCAACAAAAAATACAACACATTCAAATGCACCTGCACATTAATGAATGAAAATCACTGAAAATCTAAATGCAAACTGCAACGACAAATCCAGCAAATACAAATACAAATAAACACACACATAAATGCAAACAGCAACCACCACCACCACCACCACCACCACCTCGTCGTCATCATGGTCGTCGTCATCGTCGTCGTCATCATCGTTGTCGTCGACATCATCAACATATCAAATAATCATATATATATATATATAATTTATCCATGAATGGTATTAGTACAGTAGTACAACATCGCCAAACTTTCATTGTTCAGCTCCATCCCCTGCCATGGCAAGTCTCCTTGGGACAGGACGCTGGGCATGCTGGGGATGTTGGTCGAGCTTCGGCGGCGGGCGCACTTTTCCTGAGCGACCAATACCGACCATTCCCTATACAGTGTGGCAACACTGAAATGAGTAAAATCCCACCCTACAATAGTTTCAACTTAAACCTCTTCTAGTTCTTTTTTGGGGGGGTGGTGATCTACACACACGCACACACACACATATATATATATACACATATTATTATGTTTCATATATAACCTCTCTCGAAATAAAGAAGGGAGCACGAGGGAGCGCACATGAGCCTGCATTCTTTCTGACTGTTGCAAGGCAGGAGGAACGTAAATGATTCAATTCTCATGGCTTATACTTGAGTCGCCAGTGCTGTGCCTCTGGCCAAGCCCAACACACGACATACCTATGACATCCTCTGACCCTCTAGATAGTTTTTTTTTGTGGCTTCAAAGCTGTCAGGGATCGTCAAGGGGCAAGGCAGAATCATCTGGACTTTATCCCCAAAGGGTGGGTGTGCAGCCAAGGCGTCCAAATGATCATAGATCTTTGCCAAATCGTCTCCATCATCCGCATCATCTTCTTGGTCCGAACCCATCCTCAGATCAGTATCCTTGGTGGCGAGCTGGCAGCTTTCTCTTGCCCCCAAAAATATCGAAACCGTCATTTTTTTTACCGTCATTTGGACAAACCCATGGCCATGGTTGACTCGGATATGCCATGATAAAATAATGTCATCTACGAAGTTTGGAATTGATACACCTCCTTTTTCCTTGGCTACACAACATTTTTCATGGATGATATGATTGACATCGTTTGACATCCGTCCGCACGGTCTATTTTTCCCATAGTTCATCCGAGCACCCATCATGAATAATTATGTTCTTTTTTCACCGCAGGGGACCTCCAATCACTTTAGACACGCCATTGCCAAGGGCACATCTGCATAGAGTTCGTAGAAACTGGTCCTCCGGCGCACCTGTCAATAACCAGCCCCAAACAATAGTCCACCCGCATTTCTTTTGACAGCTGGGATCATGGCAAAATATGGGTGCCATGGCGCGCATATGTTCAAATGACTTATATAACACCACAAAAAAAAATGCAGTTTTTTTGGGGGGCACAAGTCATGTGATTACCCTCTAGTAAACTACCATAACTATGGAAAATCACCATTTTCAATGGGAAAATCCACTATAAATGACCATTTTCAATAGCTATTTTGACATAACCAGAGGGTAACCGATTAACCAATAGATTTCGGGCTACAACTCGGTGGCAGCTCCACCTCATTGGCCGCAGCTCCACCTGCCTTCATCTGGGCTGCTTCCTGCGGCTGTGGATCCATGATTGAACCATCTTGAACTTGAAACATGGTGAACAAAATATAAGGGATATATAGGGAATTTATATTAAACTATATAACCCTTTAAAAATGACCTTGGACACATAATGAAACATGATGAACAATTGTGACAGATTAGAAATTGAACATAACTTCACCATCTTCACCGGGATGGATGGACATTTGGCCATCTCGGCGGTGAAGGAATCGAGGAATCCGACCGCCAAGCCTCGAACTCCGACAAGAGCTCGGCGCGCAGGGCTTGCATTCCTTGGCACCAAGTGCCAGGCAGTGCTCACTGAAGCGTATCCAAATTATCCAATCCCCTGATTGATTTAGACTTGGAGATGACTGGTGATGGGATCCGTATAAACAATTTGTTCAGAAATCATGCATTGGGAATCGCTTGGAAATTCCCATGGCAATCAATCAACAATCTCGGGGAACTGCTGATCTGTACTTGGTGCCCTTGCATATATATATATATATAAATATAAATATGGATAAACATATCATAAATCCATGCCGCCAAAGCTACATGGACAAAATAGGACGCTCATAATGCGATCAGTTTAGACATTTATAATGGCTCAAATGTATGAGTAAACAAATAAACATATACATATAGGATTTAATATTTTACATGATATATTTAGGCATTCCAAGGCAATGTTTCCAACCTATCGAAAATCGCTGCTTGCCATTCAAGCCTCGGTCCATGCAAATCGATGCACATGAGGTGGCTGCCCTCTCCACCACTTTCATCATTTCCGTGCGCATTTCTTGCCTTCGCTGCTCAGGCTTCCCACAGTCTATTTTTTTTTAATCAACAAATGATCAACTTCCCCGTATGACTCATATAAATATTACTGCACATATATATATAGTTATATTACTATAATATTAATATAATTGTATATAACTAATAGAGATATAATATATATATAACTAATAGTAATATATATATATATACACATTTACAAATATTTGCAATTACACGTGTTGATATTTCAACGGCTTCCCCGGAGCAGCGTGAACCGCTTCAGCACCAAAATCTCCATTCTTTCATATTCTTTCCAGGTGGCCGAATCTCTTCGGCGAGGTATCGGAAAGCAGCCTCCATACTAGCCTTGGAGAGAATTTTGATCGCCAATGCAGGAGACACTATCAGTAGGATGGGGAGGATGACGGGGGGTCTCTGTCGAAATGCCCCAGCCCATCCATCATCCAACTCATTTGGCGATCCAGACTCAATCATCCCAGGCCGGGCCAGATCATGCAAGGGGATGATGCTCATCCAAGAATGAATTGGTCAATAAAGTGATACCTTGAGGCAGGGAAAACTACCAGCAACCAACCAATTGCGCTGAAGGCGATGGTGGACCCAGCCGAGGTACTGGTGACGTCATGAGCTGCAAGCCTCACGCAGATTTGGATGGAGTTGGACCGCTGGATATGCCAGTCTTTTTTAATGATGCAATGGTTCTGCTGGAGTTGAGTCATCCTTCACATCCCAGCGAACTTTGCTAAAACTGGATCGTTCCCCTCACCACGGAAGTCCACTGCAGCCAGGCGACGTGTTCGCTTAAATATGCGGGTGTTTATCGGCCGGGGTGATCCAGAAGGGCTGCAGATATCTCTGAAACATTCTGAGACTATATAAATTTGGAGGGCTCCAAAAGCAATGCCTTTGAATTGCTTTCAAACATCTATTGGATGCTCTGGATGTTGGATGTGGGGCCTTTCCGGTCAACATCTGGCGCGGCTATGCGCAGCTCACCACTTTTCTGGGCGAAGCCCTCCGGCGGCCCTTAGGGCCGGTTGTGGGTCATTGTCCGGATGCTTCTGATATCTTTCTACCGTGTGGTCGGAGTCTTATGGGGCTGACTTAGAAATGTCATACCTGTCATCTTGATACATTGTGGTCATTTCACTACCAGATTGGCCAGACTTAACCATTGCAACGGAGGTGCAAACCGAAGACATATATCTGACATTATCTGAAACCAGCAAGCAGTTTTGCCAGTCATGACCGCATATGTTCCACTCTTTGTCACTATTTTCATCTATTTTCCACTCCCTCATTGGACGGGAGGGCTACCTACCTGGGATCTCAGCAGAGCAAAGGCCTCGGTACAGGAGATGTTGTTCTTCTCTGGGCAATAGTCCAAATCGGACAAAAACCCATTCGGGGATGGTTCCCTTATATATACTCATCATCATTTCCAGTAAGATGCTGAGGTTGCTGTAGCTGCTGTGGTTTACAAAACCAGTGCGAGTTTTTTTGCGAGTGTAAAATTTGTCATGGGGCCAACAACTAATTAATTCCACTGTCATGAGTCAGAAAACATATCACCTGGGAAAAAAATATTGCCATAAACAGCTCCCCAAAATGCATCGCCGACGACTTGAACCTCAAACAGGTTATCACCGTGGGTCCTCCCACCGGCCAAGCACCATGCGGAAGTTGATGCTACTTGAAGTTGTCAAAATCGATGAAGTTGCCAGCACCCCAAACCTTGGCAGCAAAGGATGGTACCTCTTGGTTAAACGGTGAAGCTGCAGTCAAACTCTTGCCAAAACTCCCACAAGGACTGTTCAGTTTGCAGGGAAAATGACACACCAGTGGGTTGGTCACAGGATTGTTTGCCCCTAGATTTTGTCTTAAGTTGCATCCTCCATTGTGTGTGTGGGTACGGGCTACAGGGTAAGGTCCCCAGTTGATTGTTGCTTGATTTAAAGCAAATGCCGTTCCTGTTAGCGGCTCCCAAACTTGTCCCTTCCCGGCATCTTGGTGAAGTCATCCAAGCAGCGCTCGTTTTCGCAGCGGCACGTGCTTCCTGCAGGTACCTTATTTCTTTTGGAGGTCCCAACAAGCGGCGCGAGAACCGGTATCGGGTCCAACATTGTGCTACCCAATCTTAAGATGGAGAAACGAAATCGAGGGAATGTGAGGACTTGTTTCAAAACACGTTTGCTATCTTTGTGCGTGGCCCTCCCTCTTTCCCTCTTCCAGTCAGGTTTCTGCTTCTAATTGTGCCTTGTACAATGCCTTGTATGATTTCAAACATGTTTAAAATTGTCATTTAAATTTGCCCATCTTCCACCAGTCACTGGACCACCTCCTGACCATAGCTGGACCTCTAATGCCAGCTGAGTCACTGCCACGCTTCCTTCTCTTGCTCCTGCGTCTCAGAGACCACATCACGGCCCCATTCGTCCTGCGACGTCATCCCAGCAAGAAGGACGCACAGCAGCAAATTTTCAGGGTGACAGATTCAAGTTGTTGTCCCTTGGTCCGTTGCCAAATACATCCAAATCACAATGAATTAAATCAACATCAACAGCATGTCCTGGAATCTCCTAGGGTTTCCTGGATGAAAACATCACCGGCCCGCCAGGGACCCCAGCGCCTTGGTGATCTTTGGCTCCGGCGGCTTTCGCATCGCCGGCCGCTTGATCTCCCCGGGCCGCGGCGGGGCGGGTGCGGAAGGCCGGCTCGGGGAGGGCGAGGCCTCAGGGAGTCTGGCTGTCATGTAATATGGCTTATATGTTTAATATTGTTATAGATCTAGATGCTATAATCAAAGGAAGTTTAGGGGGAGAAACTTCCGTGTTACGGACTTTTAGAATGTCAGGGAAAGAGTTAGTCAAAGAAAGAGTTAGTGAGGGAAAGTAGTGAGGGAAAGAGTTAGTCAAAGAAAGAGTTAGCAAAGAAACAGTTAGTCAGGGAAAGAGTTAGTCAAAGAAAGAGTTAGCAAAGAAACAGTTAGTCAGGGAAAGAGTTAGTCAAAGAAAGAGTTAGTGAGGGAAAGAGTTAGCAAAAAAAGAGTTCGTCAGGGAAAGAGTTAGTCAAAGAAAGAGTTCGTCAAAGAAAGAGTGAGTGAGGGAAAGAGTTAGTCAAAGAAAGAGTTAGCAAAGAAACAGTTAGTCAGGGAAAGAGTTAGTCAAAGAAAGAGTAGTGAGGGAAAGAGTTAGTCAAAGAAAGAGTTAGTGAGGGAGTTAGTCAAAGAGTTAGTCAGGGAAAGAGTTAGTCAAAGAAAGAGTTAGTGAGGGAAAGAGTTAGTCAAAAAGAGTTAGCAAAGAAACAGTTAGTCAGGGAAAGAGTTAGTCAAAGAAAGAGTTAGTAAGGGAAAGAGTTAGTCACAGTTAGCAAAGAAAGAGTTCGTCAGGGAAAGAGTTAGTCAAAGAAAGAGTTAGTCAAAGAAACAGTTAGTCAGGGAAAGAGTTAGTCAAAGAAAGAGTTAGTGAGGGAAAGAGTTAGTCAAAGAAAGAGTTAGTGAGGGAAAGAGTCAGTCAAAGAAAGAGTTAGTGAGGGAAAGAGTTACACCCAATCGGGAAAGTCAGTGCACCGTCTCTTTGAAACACAAATCACCATGGGACGCCGCGCATTCGGGAAGTCAGAGAAGTCAGTGCAATTTAATGTAAATTAGCATGGGACGCTGTACGCCAGCAATCATCTATTTTGTTTAATGTTCGGTGCTTTTTATGGCTCTAAAATTAGGAATCATATTGTGGACGCTGCGTCTATGCCGTCATTATTTTAAAATATTTTGAATGATTTTGTTGAAAAACGCAATGGGACGCAAATTTCACCACAACTACAGTCAAAGTGAAGCGGCCAACCAAAGATACAGGTGCAAGGACGGATGCAGTCCGAACAATGCCCGACAAGGCGAGCGTGTCAAGCACGCAGGGCTGTTGCCACCCCGATCGCCCGGCCAGTGACGACTGCTGCGTGTGCCCCCTGTGGCGCACGCAACTCGGTAGTGGGAAGGTATGAAGCAGCAACAGCAGCAGCAGGACCAGCAGAACCAGCAGCAGTAGTAGCAGTAGCAGCAGCAGCGACAAGACAAGACAAGGCAAGACAACTCGCGTATTTCCGGCGATACTCTGGCGATACCCTAAAATGGAAAAAAAGAACCCCTCGCCACCAATCCCCCTCTTCATTTCAACACAATCACATCTCCAAATTTCAAAAGGGCAAAACCCAACACAATCCAATTCCCAATGGAACTGACACATTAGGTAAATTTCAAACATGCAAAAACGCAGGTAAAAGTATCAATAGTCAAAACCATGTTTTCCAAACACAAGCTGGACGCCGCACGCATCGACTTCCACAATTCTTTCCCCCCAACTAGACGCAGCAAAACATGTGAACGCATTGAGTTTCCAAGTGGAGAGTAGTCAAAGAAAGAGTTACTCAGGATATATGAGGTAGTCAAAGAAAGAGTTAGCAAAGAAACAGTTAGTCAGGGAAAGAGTTAGTCAAAGAAAGAGTTAGTCACAGAAAGAGTTAGCAAAGAAATTGTTCCCTCACTGTAAATGGGATTGCAAGTGGTGCTGGTGGAGGAGTTGCCGATGGAGTTTTGAAGGAAGTCTCGCACGAAATGCGTTTTTGGGAGATAGCAGATGCACGAAACCCTATGTTTTTCCATACAAAGTCCGTCCCCGAACCTCGATGATCTACCTCTGCGGTGCGACGGTTGCGAGACGGTCTCGTGTGTGGTCGGATCATTCTCGGATCATGTTCGGATCGGTTCCGCATTGTAAATGGGGTTTCACCTGTGTTTCGTGCATTTGCGGTCGACAGAATTCCATTGTGATTTGCAACTGTAGGATCGTTCCCGCAGTGTAAATGGGATTGCAAGTGGTGCTGGTGGATGAGTTGCCGATGGAATTCCATTGTGATTTGCAACTCAGGATCGTTCCCTCACTGTAAATGGGATTGCAAGTGGTGCTGGTGGAGGAGTTGCCGATGGAGTTTTGAAGGAAGTCTCGCACGAAATGCGGTTTTGAGAGATAGCAGATGCACGAAAGCCTATGTTTTTCCATACAAAGTCCGTCCCCGAACCTCGATGATCTACCTCTGCGGTGCGACGGGTGCGAGACGGTCTCGTGTGTGGTCGGATCATGGTCGGATATTCTCGGATCATGTTCGGATCGGTTCCGCATTGTAAAAGGGGTTTCACCTGTGTTTCGTGCATGTGTGGTCGACAGAATTCCATTGTGATTTGCAACTGTAGGATCGTTCCCGCATTGTAAATGGGGTTGCAAGTGGGGCTGGTGGATGAGTTGCCGATGGAATTCCATTGTGATTTGCAACTCTAGGATCGTTCCCTCACTGTAAATGGGATTGCAAGTGGTGCTGGTGGAGGAGTTGCCGATGGAGTTTTGAAGGAAGTCTCGCACGAAATGCATTTTTGAGAGATCCGGTTGTGGAGCTACAATTTCCGACGCCGTTGCGCGTACTTCTATTGCGTTTTGCAACTCAGTCTCTGCAGATCGCATTGTAATGGCTGCGTCAAGGTTGCGTCGTACTGTGGCTGCATTTGTCATACTATTGTCTTTTGCAGCTCGGCTTCATAAATCGTCTTGGAGTGGCTGCATGAAGGCTGCGAAATAAATTTGTTAGCAGATTTTCTCCATTTTGGCACTAGTGTTTTTTTATTGCACGTAGGTTTAGAGCAGTGGGAAGTGTGGGGCGTAAAGAGTGCAGTGTGAAGTGTGAAGTGTGAAGGAAGCAGTGGGAAGTGAAAAGTGTGAAGTGTGGAGTGTGAAGTGTGGAGTGTGAAGTTTCAGTTTGGAGTGCGAAGAGCGCAGTGTGAAGTGTGAAGTGTGAAGTGTGAGGTTTGGAGTGTGAAGGGAAGCAGTGAGAAGTGTGAAGTGTGAGTGTGAAGTGTGGAGTGTGAAGTTTCAGTTTGGAGTGCGAAGAGCGCAGTGTGAAGTGTGAAGTGTGAAGTGTGAGGTTTGGAGTGTGAAGGAAGCAGTGAGAAGTGAGAAGTGTGAAGTGTGGAGTGTGAAGTTTGAAGTTTGGAGTGCGAAGAGTGCAGTGTGCAGTGTGAGGTGTGGAGTGTCGAGGGAAGGGCACGGTCGGGACAGGTTGTCTTTGAACTATAGGTCATTTATGTTTGGGAAACTTCCGCCGCCGGCTTGCCCGGGTCTATGTTATATTTATATTATATATCAATATTGTAATATTCATGTGGTATCATATATGGTATATAATCCAATTATTGAATTATATTTAATATCAATTTAGTATCACTGTAGGTGTCAATATAGCCAAAGATAGAGATATGTTACTATGTTGCTATCAATGTGGTGTTTGCCCAATGCCATGTATTATCATTATATATATACATAATTATATATATATATATATGGTCCCGTCCTCCGTCTCTCCACCCCCCCCCCCATGGGTTGGGTCCCCAGGTAGCAGCCCCAATTCCCTTCTATTTGCAAGCTATTGGCAGCATTTCTGAGGTCCAGCTGCGTATTTGCTAGGTCTTTGCAGCATTTCTGACTACCAGCCTCGCATTTACTAGATACATGCTACCTTTTAGGCGGCCTACGTAGCACACATACTCCTTCAAAGTACCTACGTGCTACCTATAGTCATATATACATGTGCTATGTATCTACTGTATCTACTTCCTATTTACTACCTGTGTACTCTGACAACACTACCTGTGTTTAACATATACCGTACCTACCATACATGTCAATGATGCCGAGCATACCATACCTATCATATCTTTCATACATACCATACATACCATACATATGAAATGTAATTACCACACCTACGTACACCTACCATACATACAATAGCAAACATACATGCCATACATACCATACCTACCTTACATAGGAAATATTCCAGACCCATCATAGTAATCATACATACCATACAGACCATACATACTGTCATATCAAACATACCATACCCAACAGACTTACATACCATACCTACCATCCATACAAAACCAGCCACTCATGCCATACATACCATACCTACCATACATACCAAACATACCATACTTTCCAAACATGCCATACCAGACCGACCATACACACCATACATACCCAACATACCATACCACACCCCCACCACACCACAGGGGGGGGAGGGGGACAGTGCCACACCCCCACCACACCACGGGGGGGGGAGGGGGAAGATCTCATATGGGGCCAGTATATGGGACCCATCCCATGGGGGTGTGGGGGAGTGGGGGGGTGGCAGGGCCTGGTGCATATATATATATATACTAGAGGACCCGCACTTAGAATATTAAGTCAATCAACTTCCAGCCAAATTAATTAGCTGCGGGCTCCCTGCTGAGAATATTCTAAGTGCAAGCCTGGATATGCAAATAGAATATTCAAAAATTATATGATTTTAGATGTATACTGATCTTGAGAATATTCTAAGTGCATCAAAATTGTGAAACACCTCCATTTTTTTTCGCAAAGCAAGCCCTGGCTTGAGACTCCATAATATTCTAAGTGGAATCAAGAATGGTTTAGTTTATATATATATATATACATATATATATATATGTAAATCGATATTTGGTAGCCAACAATGCTGACACATTTATATTAATAGTTAGTTGGTAGCCAACAATGCTGGCGTGCCAACAATATTATATATAAAGGTTGATTGTATTTGATTGTTTGCTACAGGACTGTTAAAAAATATTCTAACTGCAATGTTTTGAAACAATTTGAATATAGAAGTCAAATAGCCAAAAACCACCAAAATTCCTTTAAATTCCTTTAAATTCCTTAAAATTATTTAAAGTCCTTAAAATTCCTTTAAAAAAAAATTCACCACATGACATGGGACGTCCAGTTCCTTATTTTTTTAATACCTTTAAATGCATTTAAATTCATTTAAATTCCTTAAAAGAAGAATTTACCACATGACATGGGACTTCCAATTCCTTTCAATTCCTTGAAATTCCCTTAAAATTCCTTTAAAAGTCATTTAAATTCCTTTGAATTCCTTTAAATTCCTTTAAAATTCCTTGAAATTCCTTTAAATTCCTTTCAAATTCCTTTAAATTTATTTAAATTCCTTCAAATTTCTTTAAAATTACAACAATATAATATATAAAGGTTGATTGTTTGCTACAGGACTGTTAAAACATATTCTAACTGCAATGTTTTGTAACAATTTGAATATAGAAATCAAATAACCAAAAACCACAAAATTCCTTTAAATTCCTTTAAATTCCTTTAAATTCCTTTAAGTTCCTTAAAATTAAAAGACGAATTTACCACATGACATGGGACTTCCAATTCATTATTTTGCTTTACAAAAATTCGTTAAATTCCTTCAAATTCTTTTAAAATCATTCCAATTCCTTATTTAAAAAAATATTTTAAAATTCCTCTAAATTCTGAAAAAAAATTACCATGACATGGGACTTCCAATTCCTTTCAATTATTTGAAATTCCCTTAAAATTCCTTTAAACGTCATTTAAATTCCTTTGAATCCCTTTAAAACCCCTTTAAATTCATTTAATTCCTTTACATGCAGAATAGCTTCTAAATAGCTGCTAGCTAGCTGCTAAATAGCTTCCAAATAGTTGCTGAATAGCTTCTAAATAGTTGCTAGCTAGCTGCTAGCTAGCTTCTAAATAGTTTCCAAATAATTGCTGAATAACTACTAAATAGGTGCTAAATAGCTTCCAAATAGTTGCTGAATAGCTTCTAAATTGCTAGCTAGCTGCTAAATAGCTTCCAAATAGTTGCTGAATAGTTTCTAAATAGCTGCAAGCTAGCTGCTAAATAGCTTCCAAATAGTTGCTGAATAGCTTCTAAATAGTTGCTAGCTAGCTGCTAAATAGCTTCCAAATAGTTGCTGAATAGCTTCTAAATAGCTGCTAGCTAGCTGCTAAATAGTGTCCAAATAGTTGCTGAATAGCTTTTAAATAGCTGCTAGCTAGCTGCTAAATAGCTTCTAAATAGTTGCTGAATAACTACTAAATAGGTGCAAAAACGTGCTAAATAGCTGCTAAATAGCTTCCAAATAGTTGCTGAATAGCTGCTAAATAGCTTCCAAATAGTTGCTGAATAACTACTAAATAGCTGCTAAATAGCTTCCAAATACTTGCTGAATAGCTTCTAAATAGCTGCTAGCTAGCTGCTAAAATAGCTTCCAAATAGTTGCTGAAGAGCTTCTAAATAGCTGCTAGCTAGCTGCTAAATAGCTTCCAAATAGTTGCTGAATAGCTCCTAAATAGCTGCTAGCTAGCTGCTAAATAGCTTCCAAATAGTTTTTGAATAGCTTCTAAATAGCTGCTAGCTAGCGGCTAAATAGGTTCCAAATAGTTGCTGAATAGCTTCTAAATAGCTGCTAGCTAACTGCTAAATAGCTTCCAAATAGTTGCTGAATAGCTTCTAAATAGCTGCTAGCTAGCTGCTAAATAGTTTCCAAATAGTTGCTGAATAGCTTCTAAATAGCCGCTAGCTAGCTGCTAAATAGCTTCCAAATAGTTGCTGAATAACTACTAAATAGGTGCTAAATAGCTTCCAAATAGTTGCTGAATAGCTTCTAAATAACTGCTAGCTAGCTGCTAAACAGCTTCCAAATAGTTGCTGAATAACTACTAAATAGCTGCTAAATAGCTTCCAAATACTTGCTGAATAGCTTCTAAATAGCTGCTAGCTAGCTGCTAAATAGCTTTCACATAGTTGCTGAATAGCTTCTAAATAGCTGCTAGCTAGCTGCTAAATAGCTTCCAAATAGTTGCTGAATAGCTTCTAAATAGCCGCTAGCTAGCTGCTAAATAGCTTCCAAATAGTTGCTGAATAGCTCCGAAATAGCTGCTAGCTAGCTGCTAAATAGCTTCCAAATAGTTGCTGAATAAGTACTCAATAGTCTCAATAGGTACTAAATAGCTGCTAAACAGCTTCCAAATAGTTGCTGAATAGCTTCTAAATAGCTGCTAGCTAGCTGCTAAATAGCTTCCAAATAGTTGCTGAATAGCTTCTAAATAGCTGCTAGCTAGCTGCTAAATAGCTTCCAAATAGTTGCTGAATAGCTTCTAAGTAGCTGCTAGCTAGCTGCTAAATAGCTTCCAAATAGTTGCTGAATAGCTCCTAAATAGCTGCTAGCTGAATAGCTTCTAAATAGCTGCTAGCTAGCTGCTAAATAGCTTCCAAATAGTTGCTGAATAGCTTCTAAATAGCTGCTAGCTAGCTGCTAAATAGCTTCCAAATAGTTGCTGAATAACTACTAAATAGGCGCTAGCTAGCTGCTAAATCGTGTCCAAATAGTTGCTGAATAGCTTCTAAATAGCTGCTAGCTAGCTGCTAAATAGCTTCCAAATAGTTGCTGAATAACTACTAAATACGTGCTAAATAGCTTCCAAATACTTGCTGAATAGCTTCTAAATAGCTGTTAGCTAGCTTCTAAAAAGTTTTCAAATAGTTGCTGAATAACTACTAAATAGGTGCTAAATAGCTTCCAAATAGTTGCTGAATAGCTTCTAAATAGCTGCTAGCTAGCTGCTAGCTAGCTGCTAGCAAGCTGCTAAACAGCTTCCAAATAGTTGCTGAATAACTACTAAATAGGTGCTAAATAGCTTCCAAATAGTTGCTGAATAGCTTCTAAATAGCTGCTAGCTAGCTGCTAGATAGCTTCCAAATAGTTGCTGAATAGCTTCTAAATAGCTGTTAGCTAGCTTCTAAAAAGTTTTCAAATAGTTGCTGAATAACTACTAAATAGGTGCTAAATAGCTTCCAAATAGTTGCTGAATAGCTTCTAAATAGCTGCTAGCTAGCTGCTAAATAGCTTCCAAATAGTTGCTGAATAGCTTCTAAATAGCTGCTAGCTAGCTGCTAAATAGCTTCCAAATAGTTGTTGAATAGCTTCTAAATAGCTGCTAGCTAGCTGCTAAATAGTATCCAAATAGTTGCTGAATAGCTTCTAAATAGCTGCTAGCTAGCTGCTAAATAGCTTCCAAATAGTTGCTGAATAGCTCCTAAATAGCTGCTAGCTAGCTGCTAAATAGCTTCCAAATAGTTGCTGAATAGCTTCTAAATAGCTGCTAGCTAGCTGCTAAATAGCTTCCAAATAGTTGCTGAATAATTACTAAATAGGTGCTAAATAGCTGCTAAATAGCTTCCAAATAGTTGCTGGATAGCTTCTAAATAGCTGCTAGCTAGCTGCTAAATAGCTTCCAAATAGTTGCTGAATAGCTTCTAAATAGCTGCTAGCTAGCTGCTAAATAGCTTCCAAATAGTTGCTGAATAACTACTAAATAGGCGCTAGCTAGCTGCTAAATCGTGTCCAAATAGTTGCTGAATAGCTTCTAAATAGCTGCTAGCTAGCTGCTAAATAGCTTCCAAATAGTTACTGAACTGAATAGCTTCTAAATAGCTGCTAGCTAGCTTCTATATACATACATATATACATATGTACATGCATGTTTATCACGTTTACATGTACAAAGCATCCCCATTGCACATAGGAACGCATGCAAATAATATTCTATGTGCATCGATTTTGTGAAACAGTCCTAAATTTCTATTAAAATCATGCTTTTATGTTTAAATTATGTTATACATGTGCAAAAATCGAATATTCTAAGTGCACTGGTTTTACCCCGGGGACATATGGTTTTAAGGATATTCTAACTGCATAGTCAATAAAATCGAATATTCTATGTGCTAGTCCACTAGTATACATTTAAAAAAAAGAACATCATCATAAATGGGTCCTATAAACTATTCCCAAATGGTCATCATTTGGTTTCACCACATGAATTACATCTGCTCATTTATGTCATCCAAATTCTGGATATGACAGCTGGCCTCCACTGGCTTCGGAGCTTCCTTGTCCTGGACGGAGCAAGAGGGGCTGAAGGATTGAACACGTTGAAGTACCGCACAAGGTCACTAGGCATTATATATTCTGAATGATTAAAGTGATGTCACCCTGGTTACCCGGGGATCAATTGTGTTATGTAACCTCCATTTCCCCCCATTTATGTGGAGCCTTTAGTTCCACCTGCGCAATCCCCGGCTCCTCTTTTGCCGTGGGTGACGGTGAGGCATCTGCCTCAAGTGATGGTCATTGATGGCCATTGAATGCCCCTTGGCCCGCCATAGTCACTATGAAATCTACAAATCATTGGCATTAATTAATTAACCATAGAATCTATAGATTTCTCATATCGCAGCCTGGCCTCTACAGGTGGCATTCCATTGTCTGCACTCAACCTAAAGGCCGCCAAGCCTCCACCTTCTGTCGCTTGGGTTCCTTTTCAGCAGGCCTTATGCGGAGGCTTCACGTTTCTGCACTTCCAATGGTTGGAACCACTTCTCATGGATATATAATCTTGAATGCCTAGATCTAACCAAAGCAAGTGTTTGCTAAGTCACCCTGAGTCAAATAATGATTCCCTCCAGTGATTCCTGTACTGCATGCGGGCATGTAGCTGTGACACCCGAATGCTTACGGATCACGGGTCGGGTAGATGCCCTACCTCACCGCAATGGTACCTGGTCGCTACAAGCCTAAGCCTATGTGCCTCAAGATATCTGCAGAGGATCTAGCTGACACAATGACGCTGTTCCCACACATGTATGTACTATATATATTGTACTGTACTGTACCACACTGTAGTGTGGTTTGATGTAATGTAATGCAATGTAGGTGTAGTGTATGATATGTAGCATAATGTGATTTAATGTCATGCAATGTATACGGAATACGTATAATAAGTATATGGGGGTTATCCAAAATTATGGTACCCGAAAACTGCCCTTACGCCGCGCTTTCGCGAACCTTTCGCGCCCTTTCGCGCCCCAGCAGAATCGGGACATGGGATAATGATTAGGTTTTCGTGTGCAAATTCGTCACAAAGATTTACAGGAGGATTGTATTTAAAAACATTACTGATTGGAGATCCGTTTTCAAAGCTGCTCTAGTTACATTCCTGCTGTGCGTGATGAGTCTGTTCCAGTCCACAGAGTCGATGGCATTGGGCAAGTCAGTGTTCCTGTGAGGACGTTTGACTTCTGGACATTGGTTTTGCACCCATTCTTTGAAAAGCTTTTGAAGTTGCGGCAATGCAGAAAGAACTAGCCCATTTTGGGCCAGGGTTGGGTCCGGGAGGATTCGCCTTTCGCGAACCTTTCGCGGACCTTTCGCGAACCTTTCGCGGATTTCTCGTCTAAAAAATGAAATTTCAGAAACTAATGTTTATGCAAGGGTGTCTTTTATAATTTACGCCAATCATGCAGGGTGCCACTGCCAATTGTCAGAACATGGGACAATACGAAACATGAATCCTGTGGCAATTCTGCAAGGAAAACTGCCAAATATGAATACTATAACTATCTATAACTTAGATATTTATAAATAGTGGTATTCAGACCTTTCGCAACCCTTACGCCGCGCTTTCGCGGCCTTTCGCCACTGCAGCAAAACACACACATCCATATCTGCAGATGTCACTCGGATACTAAAAGCCTTGCGTGGGTTTTAGGACGACTCCCATATGTACATGTACAATTACATGCACATTTATGACCATCTCCAGGATAAAATGAAGAGCTGAAACAACTGCTGTGGCCGCCCGGCTCATCCGGTGTGTCCAGTTCCTGCAGGAAGGCATCAAACCTCGTCGCGTACGTCAAAGCATCAGGGACCCACACGCCACCTGCGTTGATGTGTGGATTATTTATGAATTATCATGAATTATCTATGGATTATATATCTACCTTAAGCAACCATAACCTTACTTTTTACAGGTCGCAAGTAGAAACCTCGACTATCTGATGGTTTTCATGTAAAACCTAGGTTTTCTTCAATAACCTAACTTTCTATATATATATATATAGAAAGTTTATTGAAGAATATATAGGGATCTGGAATTCTATCATAGACATGATTGACATCGTTCCTATATATGATAAATTTAATTGATATATGTGTTTACCATATATACATATCATATATATCCCCATATATCATTCCATGCAATCCTTGACCGGTCCCAGCACTTTCACTTTCAGGCGCCGCAGCCTGCTCTTCCTTGATCAAGAGACTTTCGGATCTCTGGTCTTCTTGGATGGTGTTGGGATGTGTATATATATATATATTATATGATCATAACTTATATATAGTCAAGCCAAAATGCATGGCCATTATATTTAAAGGGTTATTATATATATGTTTTTTTAAATGATGTTCTATATTTTTTCTGGGGATGGCATCCCAAAGGTATAAAAGCACCCCAGCTGCAAAGACCAGAGAACAGATGGTGTGAAAACAGCTATATAATGCTATATATACATATTCTTTATATACTGCACGTAACTCCACAACGGGCACGAAACAAAAAAGTGTCATCAACTTTAAAGATTAAAACACCCTTTTTTTCGCAAATCAAATGGAGTTCAAACACTCCCGGCCCGTTGCGGAGTGCCATGGCCAAAGCAGCCTTGCAGCTCGGTCAGACATGAGGCCCGGTCCTGCGCAGGGTGCTCTTGTCTCATGGTTTTGCAATTCGAACGAATCATAAAAGAACTGCTTCTGTTTTCAAATGTTTTTCTATATATATGGGTTGACCAGATATCGATACCAAAATCAACATGCAGACCTTACAGATTGGCATCCTTTTTGCATATATGCATGGTGCCGCAGCATTTTGCTAAAGGCTAACTAGCCGTTTTTCTGTCTATATACTGCCCACGGGTGGATCATGGCGGAAGACCAGGAGACCGAAAAGGTCAAATTAGATGTTTCTGACTTTGCTGTGAAGTTTGAACAAGATGTATCTGTCAGAAGTCATTTGCGTGATGACAAAAGGGTTTTGTTTGAAGAAGTGACTGAGGAGAAAATCAAGGTAGCTTGTGACGACCATATCCATGCTATCTTGAAAATTGTCCTTACCAAAGCAGTGGCAACGGAGGGAATCCCTCAACCTCCAATCCACCCACTCCGGGACCAGTTGGAAGTCCTCTACAAGAAATGTGGCCGCACCAATGTTGACCAAGAGCAAATCGTTCGAGACTCCTGGTATATCAGAAAGTTCACTGGCTTTGTCAAAATGAAGACACGGAAGCGACAAGTTAGCGAAGAAACTAGTCTCAACTTTATAGTCGTGCATGCATGTGCATGTTGCCATAAATACCACACGTTGACCTTTTCTCCAATGATTTTTGGTAATGTCTATCTTTGGATTCCCCATTGCCATCTCACCTCCAATTTTCAGGGGATCCTTGTCGTCTTACTGAGGAACCGAAATTCCAGGAGCTGTGCCTGATTTTGAACCCTGGTCTGCAGGTGGGGCCGTATGGGTATACGACCACGCGCATGATATATGAACAAATATCAGGTGATATATCACCGTTGCAAATATATATGATGCAACCATATGTACACACACACTCATATATCATAGGCACGAATCCCCGCCCACTCTCACGCACAATCAGTCTGTCCATGCAGGCCACGTGTGATGAAGTGAACGAGAAAGTTCAGTTGAGAATTGAACGCAAGAAAGCAAAGAAGGCACTGAAGCTGGTCATGAACATATATACATTTGCCATACATAAGTTTCCCAAATGAAGGCTATATATATACTTAAGTTTTGATCAATTTTATGTAGAAATTCAATCACCTGGATCGACCGTTTTTTTAATATACCGCATGGTTTTTGAATACGCAGAACAATCCCGATGATGGAAACATTGTACGTTAGCTCCTGCATGCGCAGGCAACACAGGAAAAGAAGGAAAACGATGACTATGATGATTCCGACAAGGGTTCTCAGTGTGACTCTGACTCTGGCAGCAGCCACGGGTCTGATGATGGAAGTGAGGTTGAAGGGGTGGACATCCCAGCTCCAGCTCAGTCGGCCCCAGTCCCAGCCACAGGATCAGTGCCCAGGGCCGGTCCTCCTGATGCTGGCAAGGACGTGCCCAAGGAACTCCTCCTGAGCATTGAGCTCAGCTTGGGACAACACTACCACAATCCTCTTTGATATATCCAAACGATAAAACGATTCTAAACGTATATATAGAGATTGACCATTTGTCAAAATTTGATCTCTTTCAATTATGTATATGTGTGCTCAATTCAAAAGGCATAATAATGTGATGGACTTCACAATATGTATACCAAGGTCAGACGAAAGCTGCGGAATCTATGGTTGATGTGGGCAACATAAATCTGGAAGATGCAAGGAAACGTTTGGCCGAGTAGGGGGCCAAGATTACTTGTCGATGTTGTCCATCTAAGAAAACATGCCCCCGCAATTGCAGTTGCTTACTCTTATAGAAAAACTGTATATATCCCAAGACTCCACCCGGTTGATTGACGAGGATCCGAGAGAGAAAGGCCAGATTGAACGCGGAGATCTTCAAGATGAAGTCAGAGCCTTTGGAGGAGCCACTCCGTGGACCGGCAGGCACAACAACATGAACATGCATTCGTTAACCTCAATTTCAATATATGTATTTTGGATTTGGATGAATTTATACATTGGATGATTTGCACTGCATGTTTGTTGATATATATGAGCATATACACACATGACACACCGAAAAGAACATATGTAACAACACGTGCTGCACATATAAAAGAGACGACTATATATAGTTTGTCATAGGCATTGGAACCCAATCATATATCATCCGCCAGGCACAACCAAAGTTTCCGGTCCGTCTTTGCCGGCCATGGACAATGCAAAGACTTTGCCAATGGGGGACATTATGGGGGAAAGTTGTCCAACGGAATCTTTGCTACCTACATCATCCCCTGATGTTGAAACTTCCAAGATCCGGGCCAACTATCAGCGTAGAGATGTCGAGCCACGTTCTCCTGACCATGGCGCAGGTTTGACTTCATGTGACCCAGTACCTTTTCCATGTTATGAATATCATCTTAACCCAATTAAGTTTCTCCCTATATTTTATATTATATATATATGTTATGATCGATATGTAGAGTTCATATGATATATGAGCATGCACGACATGTCCCAACTCCACCTTTGCTGTGACTCAGGTATGCAAAAGCCCGGACAAGGCAGAGACCCCGGACTCTGCGGCTGTTGCCGATACGGGGACTAAACCTTTTGTCACCAGAGATCAGCAGCTACGTCGCAAAGCTGCCACCAAGGGCAAACGCGGAAAAAACAAAGGGAAAAAAAACAAACATGGAAAGAAAGGCAAGACCAATGGCAAGGGAGGCAGCAAATTGAAGAGGGCCCGTAGCCGCAGTTTGAACACCCTTCGGGCACACAGCAGCAGCCCCATGTCCAAAAAGAGGCAGACTGGGAATGATGGTGCTGAAAAACCGGCATCAGTGATCCCAAGTGCATGTTCCGCTGAGAAAAGGAAAGGCAAGCCGAAAGAAAGCAAGGCAAAACATGCAGCACGACCAAAACAAGCACCCAAGGCGAAGGCAGCCCCAAAGCGAAAAGCAGCGGCAAAGGCAGAGGCAGCAAAGCCCAAAGCAAAGGCCAGGGGAAGGCCTAAGTCTGAACCACATGATCCCAAAGTCATTCGTCAACGTCTCATGACTGATGAGAAGTATGCACAGTCGCAGGTTGATGACATCAAAGACTTTTGCTCTCAAGTTCTTGCAAACGGGGGGGAAAAGGTCACAGCTCCGCAGTTTAAGAAGTACGCCAAGAGCTTGATTCCTGAGTTCTGGTGGTTCTCAATCCAGAACATCTACTGGACCAGAGGTTCTGTAGGTCTGACGAATGTGGATCTTGGGAAGGATGTCTTGCATTTCAGTTTCAACCAGTCGTCAGCGTCTGAAGCTCACCGCATGGCTGCTGCACTCAAGTGTGCAATCATTGCAGCCACTCAGCAAACCATGTTTGTTAACTTTGGGTTGTCAGAAAGTTCTTGGGTGTGGTCTTTGAAGATCTCCAAGTTCAGGGTTTCAACCTATACCGTCACACAGGGGTTACATGTCATGTGTCCCCTATATATACAGATAGCTTTCTCTTGGCAATGCCTCTATCCCAGGCGACAGCGCTGGACAATGAAGAGCCCTTTGAAAAGGATAGCCCAGAGCATGAGACGCTGAAGCACAATTGCAATTTGGCCTTGTTTTTGCTCGCCAATGGCGAATGAGCAACATATATATATATATATGGGGGGGTTATATCTACATGGCTCACATCATGCCCATAGGCAATTGCAATTATGTCAGACTGGACCAACCCTTTTACTATATATAGGTTATATATCATATATCATATATATACATAGATATATACCGCTTTTGTGCTTTGCAGGGGCAGTGTGGGCCATATGAGATATGCTTTGCGATAGCTATGATGCTAGCTGTGCGTTGGTTCTGACAAGATCGTGCAACGCGCATCGGATGTGAAAACATGTCTTCATACCTGTGCTCGGCTGCAGAGTGTGTTGATTCAATGGCCCTCGATTGCATTCAAGCCCATTCGTCATAATGCACTTTTGGTTTCATGGCAATGTTGAAAAAATATCTTGATGTTCCCAGTAAACCATTTGACCATTATACTTCAAAATCGGTTCTCGTGTTAACCTTTTGAGGGTTCCATCTTGAGAACAGCACGGATCTTCAACAGTGATGTCCACAATTCCACCCCTTTAATACAATTTCCACATGGGGCCCGATCCCATGTCTCCTTCGGGCAGGTCGCAATGCCACCGCGGGCCAAGAACGTCTGGCAGGTGCGGACAAAATTCAACAAGCGATCGAGAGGACGTGGGGCTGGCTAGTTTAAGGATTGGCAGGGTCGGCTGTGGATGGGCCGAACCAATTGAACTACAATTATATCATACATATATGTTTTTTCCCTGCGCTCAATCTTATAAAGAAGTGTAGGCCTGGTCAGATTTGTGGACACCGGCAATGTAAAAAAGTTGTATACAAAGATATATATAAAAAGAGATGTCATCAGGATCGAAATCAATTCATCATTCAGGTGTTGAACAAATTTCAACTTGCATCAAACGGCTGATGTGGAACAAATTTCAGCTGTCATCAGATTCTTCACCAACAAACATGTTCGTATGTACTGTGCATCCACTGCATGCGACTGGTGTGGGACGCAATTGCTCGAGTGATACTTTTGAGCTCAAATCAGGGATTGGGACTGGCCAATTGTCAGCTTGACTTGGGGTCATGCCTCACAAGTTTGCAGAAGATAGCCAGCAACTGGACCGCTTGTTTTACCAGCTCAAGCTCCACAAATGTCCAAAGGTTGGGGTCTCATTTTATCAGATCAACTTGAAAAGCGCAACACACGGATGCATACCATGTGCCCAAAAAAACATTTATTGGGACAGAATGATTCCACATCCAATGAGGTGCTGGCCCTTTGCATCTTGATGATCATTTGGACTCCAACTTTCAGATCCGAAGAGGCCAGGAGAAAGATTTGATAAGTGGTTTTATCTTCCCGGAACATGTATCGATCTATATATATATATCTCTCTCTCTCAACATATATGCAGTATATGAGGCGCGCCCTTTTTCCTGCCTTAAGTGACTGTTGTGGAAGCAAAAAAGGGCGCGCCTCATTTTGATATAATATGTGTTGGGGTGGGTGGCCCATGGCGAGCTCATGAATGTTGCACATGGCCCTTTCACCCAGACATGCCCAAGCCGGGATCTTCTGCGGCCTTGTCCAGGAGTACCAGCTGTACGAATTCTTTGCTGGGAAGGCGAACCTGAGCAAATGCAGTCGGGCCTCAGGACTGCGAACGGCCTCGTTCGATATCCTGTTTGACCCTTCACAGCCCCACCATGGATCCAACTGCATGGACATCAATTCTGGCAGTGGCTTTGCGCTATTTGGTTTAAATTCAGATGTTGAATTGGGTTATGCTGGCTATACCCCGCTATCCTTAACTTCGTCATGTTTTTTTCCGGCTTGATGTTAATTGGGATATGGAACCATGCACGGGTCATATAAACATGTGAGGAAAATCATACGAGGCAACTCCATTTATATATTTATATACAGATTCATCTTGATCTTTTGGGAAACAAGAGCGAGGTATATGAGAAACATCTCAGACCTTTAAAGGATAGATAACAAACTGGTCCACCAGCACATGTCGATAGGAAATTCCATGGGGGTTGCACTGACCAATCATTTATGTATATATATATATAGAGCTCACTTATATATTTAATTTCACAACATCTGGAACCTTGGTCCCAAAAGATTGGTACCAGTGCGATATGACCAACATCATGACATTATATAATGAACGATCTTATATATATATAATATATAAATCGAGTTCATGGAGTCATTTTCTTACTCAGCCAATGCCTAAACTTCAAACTTTTATTGCTTGAGTTTCGGGGGATCACCCACTGAATAAGTCTTTGATTGGGACCATCCATTATATATACAATATACACCCGTCCCTTGATCATGACTGTTCATGTGCCTTGATCCCAAGCCAGCAAACCCAACCGTCACCCTCGCTTGGCGTTTTGAGGTTGTGCCTCCATTCACTTTTGTGCTCAGCGGACAAGTTCTTGGCCACCTTTGCCATCAAGTGTGCGAGCTGGTCGTCGGTAAACCGTGGGACCAGTTACAGAACCCCTTGTACATCGATTGGGTACGAGCAATATCCTTCAGTCACCAACTCAAACATGATGGCTGGGCGGTTTCTCAAATCGAATTCATAACTTAATTTTATTTGAATTGATCAAGCCAACTCAGCATGATGCTTTCCCCAATCTTGTGAAGTGCCTTTTGGGGATGGTGCATGCATGATGCCCAAATATTTCTTCACAAATTATTGTTCCCAATCAAGTGAGGCTATGTCTACTGCTTTTGGTGGTTTCCTGCCTTGGAGGAGCATGGCTGGTCGAACAGCCAGACCTATCAGTTTTGGAATATTTCCCACCATTCCAATCGCTGCTTTGTCAATTGTATGAATCTTCCGGTGGAACATCTGTGCCTAGCCGGTATTTTATATACATCTTTGGTTTTATATGGTTTACGTACAAGAATGCATATATATATATAGAACAATTATATATACAAGACATGCACAGGAGATCTCTTTATCATTTCCCTGGATCAGGTATTCCGGACAAAGTGGTACATGGCCCATTATGGCGGTGCCACGCCAAAGCCCCATTACGCTTGGGGGAATAGCCGTCACATTGCAAAGCTGGACATGGGACGGCTTGTGGGATGGCATGCCAAAAAACAACAAGCTGGTGTCCCAAAAGTCAAGACCTGTGAAACGTACAAGAACAAGAAAGGGGAGACCTGTTACAAAGGAACCCGCCAGCTTCGCAAATCGGAGTTGCTCATCTTAAGGTAGTTATTTTCCCTTAAAAACCATGCAGATATTACCAGATTATTTGGGAATGCATCAATCAATTTTGGGTTCGCAATCTTGATCATATTTGTTTGGGACCTCAACGCTTTAATTCCCCAGCAGCTCTTTTAATATATATATATAGTTGTCCACGCATGGATGATTTCAAAACTGCGGCTTTGGTTTTGTTCATTTGGAAACCTGTGGTTTTCGCCCATCTGAGGGAATATCCCGTACAGTTTGGCTTCAAATTGATTGATATCTACAGTGATCTCGTGAGTTCAGCGTGTGGCCGTGCAGCTTTTCCGGAGAATGCTGACATGATTCCGCCAGCCAGGGAATCATATGAGGGGATGCCGCATGAACATATTTCCCTGGAGTGGGCTAATTTAGTTGACGTGTTCAACTACCTCCGCCAGGGCAAACACCTGGTAATTCCAGAAGCCTGGATTCATTTGGTTCCAAAACCATTGCTTTGATCGTGATGTGAAACCGGTAAATGCTTAGCCGATTACTATAAATTTGAAGATCATGAGTCGACAATCGTAAATTGCGACGATTTTACCAAATATATAACTTTCGGAGAAATTGTTGGAAAAAAAGAAAGGTTTTGGGTAAAACCCCCGTCTTTCTAGTATGAAAACCCATATTTCACCCGTAGAAAACCCGTCTTTGAGTGATTAAAATCATGACCCCACTTTCCGTAACCCATCTTTAACCCGTGGAGAACCCATCTTTTACCCGTAGAAACCCGTAGAAAAAAGATGGGTTTTTCACTTCACGGCCAGGGTACCAATTTGATGCAATTTGGGCCAATTGTGGCCCCCGACCGCCTTCGATATGCAATGATCGGGAAAAGCACCATCACCTGCAGCCAATCCACAGCATTTCAGCCGATTAATTAGACTTGAATCGGAAATCATTGATGGTTGCATGCATGGGTACATTCCGCAGCTTGGGAGAAAAACATTTGGCATATATAGCAAGGAAACCATCCCCCATGGCAACCGACACGTCAAGACTGTGGAGTTGCGAAACCCTCGCCCACGGGATCGACTTCTTGAATCAAGAGGCTCTCAAAGCTGGCGAAGAAGAAAATCTTTTAGAAGCTATGATCAAGGACAGTTTTGTCATATATATATGATTCGTATATTGGAATTGGTAAGTAATTCAGTCTCATCATGACAATGGTTGTTTACATATATAGATGGTCTCCCACTGATTGCCAGGACATGGAGAAGCAACAGCTTGAACGACTATCTCCTGCACCATCCCCTCTTCCTCAGACAGTTTCAAACTCAATTCAAGATATATATTTCTTATATATAGGCCAGTAGGCCTCCCTGACTCCCAAGGCAGCTGGGGCAATGGACGTTGCAACTGCGGAGACACAGCAGGCCTGCAGGTGGTGGAGTGGTGCGTCTGGTGGGGTATGCTCTCATGGGCCCATCTGGACACGAACACTTGCATGAGGCCCCAGGTGTAGTAAATTCATTGGAAGAATGTTTGTTAAAATATCATCCAAACATCCTCCCACATACTTTTTCCCATTGCATGCATGTTGCATGGTCATGTGCCACCTTTTACTTGGTCAGGCTACGGATTCCCAAGTTGAAGCTGCGCTCAACACTCAGAGCGGTTCGGTCCCTACAGAACAGCCTCCAGTGACACCAAAGACCTTGGTGCCCTTTACCCCTACCAGCCCTGGTGAATCTGTTGAACCCAGAGTGGAACCGAACGCCCCCGAAGCTGAAGCACTTGCGGAACAAAAGACTTCAGAAGACAAGGACTAAACCTTATATATATATATGTCAATTTCAATTCACGCATACTTGAGCGATTGATACAACATGTCCAGTGGATATGCCAACACCATTATTTAAATGAACTTGGATTATCTTTGATTCATCTTTGTGCGTAGGAGCCCCAAGCTGCTAAGCCAGTCGCCACACCAGCTAGGGCTGGTGCGGCTGTGGACAGCAGTCAGTCCGCCCAGCCCGCCAATCCACCCAAGACAGCACTGCCTTCCAAGCCGAAGAGGACTCGTCAGGCGAGCGACTTTCGACTTGTGACCTCAGAGTGATTTTGTGTGTTGTATATATATATATAGTTGTATATATACATATTCAAGATTCAAGGATCGTTGCCTTGGGGAACCAAACGTCAAACAATCATTATATATATAATAGCCAACTTAATTGGTTCTCCATGTATATACATATATACGGAAGGTGTAAAAGCGATCATGTAATAGATTGCCTTCTTTAATTTCACAAGACCCTCTTCATGACAGGAGTTGCTGAGAGAAGCCGCAAAAGCCCAGCTCAGAAGAATGTGTACCCTCAAGAAAAAACGCCTTGATTTGAATGTCCCTGATTGGGTGGTGAAGGAATTCAAAAACAGGCCCCAAGCTGAAACAGCAAGCCTCCTGATGAAGTGTAACTTCTGCAAGGCCAGGTCTTCCCATATATGGCATATGAAATTTGAAGATCAACAGCAATTGGAATTTCTATATATTTTTTTTACGTGCGTTCAACCTCCCACTCGTGCACAGGAGAAGTTTATCTCCTCCTTGGAGATAGTTGTGAAACGTCGTTCATCTCAGAAGGTCATTGTAGACGAGGAATGGCTGACAGAAAAAGAAATGAAGGAAGACTATGGATGGAGTGCGCACTTTCCTTACTCAATGGGGTTTGTCTGAACTCAAACCACATCACTGAAACTAGTTTCCACGTGCATTGTGCTAACTGTATATATGTTACCGATTCTCTCTCTCTCCCGCTCTGCCCTGATGTTCCCAGGGCCAAGATTTCTGGAGCGAAGGCGTCTTGCATGAAAAGAGAAAAGACCCATTTCAGGATATTCAATCCGATCGTGCACACTGATTTATACAACTTGTTGAAATTTATTTTCTTGTGGTCAGATCGACATGGTAGACACACAGACATATATATATATGTGTGTGTTCTATATATATAGACCCCAAAGTTTTTCCTCTCGCATATATGCTGCGCAGGAAAAACGTCTACGATGGCATGGAGGAGTTCTACGTAGTGGTCAAGGAGAAGGGAACTCGGGAACACGAGCTTAGCCAGGAAGAGATCAAAAAAAAAGTGAAGGGGTTGGAGGCCGGGACCACCAATCAATGATAGATCAATTTGAGATTTGCTTTTCATTTCTAACTTCAATCATGATTGAAAATCAAGCTGCATATGTGCAAACATGTTTGATGATGGGTGTTGATCTCTCAATCTCATGCTGGGTTCAAACACAATCCATTAACCACCCTTGCCACGCACAGGAAGATGAGGCACCGCACTTGGCGCCTGATGCCTTTGAAGCCCTTGGGCAAATGGAGGAGAGAAATGCTGCCATAGCGGCAGAACCGTTGGATCAGGGATCCCAGGTTGAGGAGGCCGGCTCAATCCGGCTCACTTACATATGGCATTGTTGTCACTAAAGTAAAAACATGTTGTTTGCCTATCTATATATTTGATGTCAAGTCTTGCGCCGTCTCAACATGGTCAGACCAAGAAGAAGTTCAGAAAGTTCCTCGAGTCTATGATTCAAAAGGGAGGTAAGATCAGGCAGTTGGTGAGGGAAATCTCAGAGATCTACTCCAAGAGCGACCTTTTGCAAAAGCTCTGCCCTCAATCCATGATCCTATACAACATATATATGATCATATTTTATATGTTGAGTTCAATAACCACAAATCAGATATGATCCTATATGACCTTAAGCCCCATGCACTAAGGTCGAAACGACAGCTGGAGGATGAGCTGCAGAAACTCGACTCCCAGTACGATGCCTGCAATGCAGTGATGGCCGCTGGAGAGGTTGGAGGATTTTCTGATGAGTGGGGGGCTAAGTTGACACCTTTACCATTTATTAGTCATCCATTCCAAACTAAACAGGTCAACTGACATCAACTGACTGCACATGAGGTTTGTGAAAAATGCCACTGCAGCCATGAACAAAGCGACCTTTACGTGTGGGTCTCAAGCCACCTATATAGTGTCCCATCACTTTTACTTGTATATATTCGAACGGATTCAGTACAGAGGTTCGCCAATCAGCTATATATACAGCCTTGCATATATCGATCTATATATATATATACAAATCATATATCTTATGTATATCTGAGCACATGCACGTGGACACCCTGTGCCCAGAACTGCGCAGTGGAAGCTAAGACTCGGTGAGTACCTCAGCAAATGAACATGGTGCACAGCTTTGCACTTGGCAACTGCAACCGTCAGGAATGCCAAGAAGTATGAAAAGAAGGACACGGATTTGGTGGGTGCTCCGGTCAAGAAAGAAAAGAAGGAGAAACGTGAGAAGGAGAAACGTGAGAAGAAAAGTAAGTCAAGCAAACGAAAGACAGGTGAAGCTGAAGCCGAGACCAAGACGCCAACTCGGAAGTCCAAGAAATCCAAAACCAATTGATTTCTTGGTTGATATATGCTGATCTTTTTTGATCTTGGGGATGGATTGCCGACAAACAGCAATCGCCATTTGTTGGAATACCAACAATTATATTTACGTGTCACACGTGGGAACCTGCAGCACCCTGTGATGAAATTCAACAGGATAGCGCTTGCGGGATATGTTTACTTTTCAGGACCCAGTCCATGCCCGTGTCAGAACGCCCAGCCACTTGTCAACATGTGTAGTTGATGCAACATATATATATGAATGTATATCTCGTATATATAGGTGCAAATATTTAACCACCATCAGCTTTTGATGTCACTGGACTGTCATGGCAATGGGGCAGACTTGATACGGTGCTGCAACATATCTAGGCAGCCGACTTCGCTAGGCAAAATGGCCCTCACTGTGCGGGGTGCATTGCATACATATATATATGCCAAATCTTTCTTGTCAGGCCCCTGCCCTATACCCCCAGACAAACTATGTCCAACAGCCATCCGCCCGTGCTGGCCAGGTGCTGGCTTTGCAATCAGGGCCTTGACCAAAGACATTGGTGAAGGGGTCTGTGCCTCAATCGTGCCGGGAGTGCAAGCTCACTTCATACACCATGAACCCATTTGCACCACCAGACCAATGTAGCTGTTTGGGGACAGTGGATCGAGGTCAGAAAATCAAAAACATGTGTGTGATCCAGGGGTTGAAAATTGCTTTTGGGAGCCAACATGATTTGCCCCTTAAACACGAATGGTTTGATCATGTTTGATCTTAAAAACCTATATGATCACGCATGGGTTTTAAAATTGTAAATACTATATATATCGAGCCATTGAAATTATGATAAGATATAATTGTTGGCAATGGCCAGCCACAGCCACACGTGGCAAAGCAATGGTCGACGAATCTCCTGACGATGAGCTGCTAGACTTGCTTTGTTGTCACCGCAGTGTCTCTCGACTGTATAAACCATGCGAATAGTTGATTGGCATCCCAACTTAATTCGGTGGACCATATATTTATAGGGAAGAATGTTTGAGGCATATATATAGCCAAAAAACCTTGGGTGCATTCCCAACATTTATATAAGAGTTGACTTGTAATCTTCATCCCATCCTGGCATGTTCGGAGTGTTGATGTATATACTGGCGGACAGGGGTAGGTTTTCCTTTATGTGTGCCCCATGTTGGTCAACAAAAAAAGGTGGCATTGGGAAAACAATGCCATATATATATATACATATAACACCCGTACATATAGACACCATCCCCAATGCCGCCATCAAGGAAGCGGAAGGGCCATTTCCATGGCCAATGCCCCTGGGGCGTGGACGGACGACCACCAATGACGGCCTGGCAAATGGAGATGGTCGATTTCGTCATCACCAATTGCTCTTGGGACCCCTTCACTCCCAGGTTGGTTTGAAAAACTTCCACGTGAACTTCAGCGCAACGGGCGCCTTCTCGAGATCGCCCGAGAAGCCGCTACCATGCCGTGCATAGCATTTGATTTGCCGGCCCCCAATCTTTCAGCTGGGCGAATTTTGGAGCACTGTGTCAAAACCATTGATCGTATTTATAACAAATGGAGTCCCATCATATTCAAAATTGGATGGACACACAACCCATGTTTTAGATGGGGGAATTCATTGTACGGATACGTGACTGAACGAGAGAAATGGGCACAGATGTGCGTCTTGCATATTTCGCATGAACCATTTTCCACGGCTATGCTGGAAGCTGCTCTGATCCAACAGTTTAAAAGCATCTTATTTGACATTAGATTTCAAAATTGTTATGTTGTTTTTGTGGCTCTTGACACCCATGCTATATATATATATATATAGTCTGATTATGTTTGACCAGTGTCAAAAACATAGGCTGTTGTTTCAACATTCCTCTTATATATAATGTGGATGGTGCACATGATTCTATAAATATATGCATCCATATACAATATATGTTCATTTGACATTTGGTTCCGGTCTGCCTTTGACACTGGACTTATATATATATATATGTATAAATTTGACAGAAAACACTGGCGCGGCGTTGGCAGAAACCTTGCCATACCATCCCATCCCAGGTAAAACCGGATCCAAGAACGTGCGTTTGGGAGGGGACACCGTGAACACGGACATGGTGGATGGCGTATCTATGTGCTATGTGGTGTACAGATCATTTAAATTCAAACCGCAGTGACCGTTGCAGCATGAAGGGTGCCCCTTCAGTTTGCAAATACATGTGTTGATAAAGTGGCATCGACAAGCTTTGCCTTGTATAGGCAGGTAGGATACACGGCTTTGGTTTCAAGGAAAAACGTTCGTCAAGTTGGTTTGCCTGGGGATCCTGATTCCAGTTGCTATCACACCTCGAAATGTTGATTTTTGATTTGCCACGTATACAATTCTGAGCGCACCGCAGGCTAACCTGTGTCTTGATATATGTGCATCACTTCGATCTGGATTGATATATATCATGATTAATCACCCCAAATCTGATTCTCCAACTTTGGCCGGCCACTCCAAGGCCTCCAGCTGCAGAGGTGCCATCAGAGCGGCACATGGAGTTGTGAGGGATATTGGGCAGGAGGCTGCTAAAAGTAGCCGCGGCCTCTTAGAGTTGAGCCGATGTTCTCAGAAGAATAGCGAAAGGGATGTTGAAAGAGTATCAAGGCAATACAAACTTCAACTTCCTGTTCCGATGAGGGAATTACAGAAATCCCCAGGAGTCCGGTATATGGGCACATTCCACGTGATCGCTTTGGAAGACTGGATGCAATTCATTGTTGATCACAACCTTTTCCACATACTTTGCGGCCTCAACCAGCCGGACCACAAACGTGAGAGGGCAATTCTTCGTGAGTTTTGGAAGTTGTACCGCGCTGCAAACCCAAATCATCAGATGTGGGACATGATTGACAGACATAACATTCAGCTCTCTCGCTTGGCACCCATGTTGCTACATGGTGATGAAGGCAGAGGCCGCAAAAAGATGCCTTTCCTTATCACTTCCTATCACTCGATGATTGGGTTCGGTACAACTTTAGCCAATGAGCAGCGAAAACAGAGATTGTATCTTCAACTCCGTCTCAACTACTCCGGTTCTTCGCACACGACCAGGATGATCTCTGGCTGCTTACCAAAGATGACCAAGGACGAGGTTGCCTTGAAAGATCTTCTTTCTTTTACTGCTGGAGATTGTATGCGCACGTTTCAAACAGGTGTTGCAAACCAGGAGGGCGAGAGATACCATGCTATATGCTTAAATGCAGTTGGAGACTGGATGTGGCTCGCAAAAGCCGCGAATTTGCAGCGAAGTTTTGCCAATGTTCCGAAGCAAGCTTTGGTTCCCACTTCGGTGCCAAAGGGCATCTGCCACTACTGCCACGCTGGACAGACAAATTACGATTTTGAGGATTTGGGATTCAATCCGGCTTGGAAGCGCACAATGTTTTTGCCTGGAGACCAACCGTGGAAATCCAGACCTGCTTTGTTGGACCTTCCACACGATCCGTCCAAGCCAGCCGCCTTTTTTTCATTTGATATTTGGCACGCCTTCCACCTTGGCCTTGGAAAGGTCTTTGTGGCATCGGCATTGGCCTGCATTTCTGATCTGTTCCGTGGAACCAACATTGATGCTCGCTTTCTTGAGCTGACGGATCTGTATCTTCAGTGGTGTGATGAAAATCGGACGCCCGCCTATATCATTGGAATAACCAAAGAAACTTGTGGATGGTTCGATCGAAAGACTTACCCGAACGGACAGTGGCACAAGGGTCACATCACGACGACGCTGCTTCGTTTTTTGGAGTCATGGTTTTCAAAAAACGATGTTTCACAGGATGCAATCTTGTCATGTTGCAAAGACGCAACACTTTGTGTCAATCGTTGCTTCCACCGAATGTATGCCAGTGACCTGTGGCTTGAACGAGATTTGGCCCGAAGCATTGGAGGTGATGGCATGGAATTTCTATGTCAGTTTCAAAGGCTGGCGCACGAATCATTCAATCAGGGGAAAGCTCTCTTCCCGTACCTCCCCAAGACGCACATCGTTCACCACACGATGCTGGAGTGTTGTGACACTGTTTGCACAACATTGTCTCCTTTGGCATTTGGCGTCCAGGTCGACGAGGATTTCATCGGAAAGAAGAGCCGCTTGGCGCGGCGCGTGGCACCAACACAGGTGATCTTGCGCGTGCTGCAACGGTCACTGCAGGTTGCATATGCCTATTGGCATGAAGCTGGCTTCATCAAGGGCTAAAAAAAAGTTGGGGATTTTGGTGGTCATTCGTGCGGCATGATGGGATGTTTCATAAAAGATCACAACATCATCATTTTGTTGAATTTTGTAAAATCCATGAAGTTGATGGATTTTTGAAAACCTCGGTTTTCGACAGAAACCTCGGCTTTTCAGTCATGACCTGTTTTTTGTGGGTTTCGGAAGCTCCTGGTATGGATTATCTGCTTCACTTCACTTCACTTCACTTCCGGATTCTGGGTTTTCCATCGTTTTCCTAGATGCTGGGGCTGGAATCAAGAGATGGTTGAAACTGAAGGTGCCATCATGGCTGACGTTCACACATAATATCAACGTTTAAGAACATTCACCATGATCCTTCCAAACCAGCCAGGTTTAGCCAAGACGAGCCACGACGCGTCCAGGTCTGGGGGTGGTTGCGGCTCAGCATTTTTTAAGACAGGGCCTGCAGGGCACATTTTTTGGAGCAAATCGGGAAAATCATCGAAAGCCGAGGCAATCGGAAAAATCGTGACTTGGCCTCGTCGAATCACCGGTTCTTGTGGTACCGCTTTGGGCGCTCTTGGTGGTACAACTTTTGGAGCGGCCTGTGGCACTGCAACGCTTGCCGGGCTTGTGCCATTGGATACTCCAACAAGCATGATGTGGATTCAAGCAACCCTCCCAATGTGACCACCCAACAATATAATATAATATAATAAAAAATAAAATAATATAATACAGTATAATATATTATAATATAATACAATAATAACGTTTAATGAATGTTGTTGAATAAGCCCTGATACTTATTATTATTATTGATCTTATTGTCGGGAGTGACCTTTGGGACGGGGTTGCTTTAATCCTCGTGAATGGGATGAGAAGGTGCCATTCCCCCGATCCCCATTGTCATCCCATAAACCAATGGGCCACTAGGTCACTAGGTATTTTCCGGCTGGAAATGCTCAGGAAATGCTCAGAAGGTGTATTTTCAAGGAAACCTGAAAAATCATCCCATCCATCAACGGAGTTTCGGGCATTGCTCAACTGCACATCTGGGCAAAGTATTCTGATCAACTCGAAAGATACGTCGTTGCAGCCATTTTCGGGATGATTCCCCTAACCCTAACCAGCATGATACCAGCATGTATGGTAATTCAATGTAATTCAATGTACCATCTGGTTATTTAACATAGCCATGGAAAATCACCATTTTTAATAGGTAAACCATCTATAAATGGGCCATCTATACTATGTTAAATAACCAGCGGGTAATTCATTTGCCTTCACGTTACCCATTTTTTACCCCAATCATCCAACATCTTCCGTGGTGCCTTAGCCTTTGCTGGGGCAGCCGGGGCAGCCGGGGCAGCCTTGCTGGGTGGGCTGCCAGGGACTTCCGGCTGAGGAACGAGTCCTGGGGCAATGAGTGTTTTCTTGCAAGTGATGCCTCCCACGGCCCACCGGCAAATATAGTAATAGAATAGGAATAGTATGTATGCATTAAATAACAAACTATACACAAACATGATCAAACATGATTTTTTAAACATGTAGCAGCTGTAGCGATGCCCGGCTTCCTGGCGCCAAGGGTTTCGGCGCCGATGGCGGCGCCGTTGGCGGCGCCTTGCCCGTGGACTGGGCGATGACCGGCTCCAAGTTGATGCCCCTGCGACCAGCCAAGGTGTTCCTGGGAGGTCGACCGTTGTGGTTCCATGTTTTTCCTATGGTTCCGTCCTGAGTGGTGAAGTACAACAGAGATGGTGAATTTTAGGGATATGATGGGACCCATGGGATATGATGGGATAATCATATGCTCTACGCAAGGTCCATTCACAGTGGCTTTCGATAGAGTGTACCTTGGATACCCTTCCGCTTTCTTTAAAGTACGTATATGTTTATTTTGATTTGTGGCTCGAAATTTCATAACCATTAAGCATCAATCACTTACCATTCTCCAGGGTTTACCCGGAAAACATTACCAGTTGCCCGATATCTTACATACTCTTACTGGCTCCATGTTCAAGCCGAAACTTTCAGTAGGATCCTAGGATCCAAGATCTTTGACTTCAACTTCCATTTTTAAAAGGCAATTCCAATCATTCGCTCGCAGCCTGGAGACAACATGAGCCAACTCCAAAAACCGAGCTGCAACGCCTCATCATCCTCTCCCAGCCACTTTCGAAGCATTTCCAGCACAGGAGCATCGATCTGCGTATCCTGTTGAACTGCTGTGCGCAGGGCAGCACGCACTGCATCCTTGTTCCTGGAGCGTTTTTGGAGCTAAGGCAGCTAAGGCTAAGGGAGGTGACTTGATGCCTGGTGGATTTGGCCAAATTTCTGCGATATTATTTGTGACATTGATATCAGCAACAAGTAAGCACAAATAACATCTGGAACCAATTATATAAACGCATTGCATTTACAAAAAAAAACATTATGAAAAAAGATCGGTATCAAGAAACGAAGGATACTGGGGAAAGCAATGGAAAGCAGCTATGACCAACAACTTGGAATTGCCCCTGCCAATAATTCTTATAATACGGATCCCTCTAAAAGGGGCTTGTTTGCAACACAGATTCCTATCGGGCTACTACAGCTTTAAGGGTGCCATGTTTCTGGGAAACAAACCATAATGGCTAGGAAGGGGAAAGCAAATTGCGCTATGGTCATATCAAACATGTTGAATTCAACATTCGAAAGTCATCAAACATACTTAAATCATCTTAAATCTGATATTTCCTGGTCAGATTGTGGCAGATCACCCACCCATTCCAAACCACAAAATAACAAACAGATGCAAAAAAACAAACTGTCATGCCTAATAATTTCAACCCATCCCATATGGCACTCAATCCCAGCCCATTGTATGGATTGCAAGACCCTGCTCTCTCCATTATCGCAACTTTCGGTATCACACATCACTGTAATTATTAGTATTTGCTATCATTTGCATCACCATGTCTACTATACTTCTCCAAATTATGGGCTAATGTTAACCATATGTTAACCCAGGATTTCCTGGGTTAACTAATTCACAAAGGGTTGTTCATCATTATAACTATTAAATCATATTATATAATTCAATCATATTCAATCTATTAATCCTGGGTTAACATATGTTAATATTATTTGAAAAATATTTCCTCACTTCCCCTGCTTTTAGCCAGGTTTCTGAGCCGCAACCCCTTCCCGAATCAGCACCAGCGGTGGCGCGGGAGCGCCACCGGGTGGGGCTTTCGCCGTGGCCGCGGGCGGCTCCGCCGGGGCCGGCGCTGGGGGCGGCGCTTTGCCCATGGCGGCATTGAAGGCCTCTTCGCCCAGCCATTTCTTCAGCATCTCCAGGATGGGGGGTTCCTGAGCTCGGACTCCCGATTTTTTGGGGGTGGAATGTGAATGACAACTGGTGGAAGATGAAAATTAGTGGAATCCTTTTTCTTGGTTTACTTTTTTTGAATATTACTGTACGTGCCATTACATGGCCCATCATGGCCCCAAATCAATGACAATGATGTCCACAATATATCCAACATGTACAGATATTGCACTTAAGAACCCGAGGGTTTACTGGAACGCTCTTATTCGGTTCTTATCCAATGGTCCCGCTGTACCCAGAGATGCTTCATTTGTTCTCTTGGCCATCACCAGCCATTTCTGGGATGTTTTTTGGACCAGCAGATTTGGCATCGTCTCTGTCTCAAAGTTTCTCTCACCAACTTTTACATCTTTTGATACGAATAAGCAACATAATTACATATAATTAGTGTTCAAGGCAAAGCCCCATCCTAATTTTCAACGCTGCGCTCTGAAGGCAGTTTGTTCAAAGCGATGACATCTATGGATGTCAAAGCAACGGAAGGGTTCCAGTGGACAGCTGCACCCCACAGGCAAAGCCCCAACATCTAAGAACCACCGCTTTGCTGCAAGGGGCAAGATGCACACTAGAGACCCAGTGAAACCTAGCAAAGCAGCAAGTCCTCTTGGGTGCAACCCCCCAGGCCCAAGCCCACCAAGCAACAAGCACCCAGACACCGGTGTCCCTCCCCAGGGTGGAGGTGGGGAAAGAGGAGGTTGAAGCTGAGGAAATGCTGCGGATAGGGCGAACATGCCATTCACACTATCATTACGGGGGACCATTAGCTAGTGTTCAAGGCAAAGCCCCATCCTAATTTTCAACGCTGCGCTCTGAAGGCAGTTTGTTCAAAGCGATGACATCTATGGATGTCAAAGCAACGGAAGGGTTCCAGTGGACAGCTGCACCCCACAGGCAAAGCCCCAACATCTAAGAACCACCGCTTTGCTGCAAGGGGCAAGATGCACACTAGAGACCCAGTGAAACCTAGCAAAGCAGCAAGTCCTCTTGGGTGCAACCCCCCAGGCCCAAGCCCACCAAGCAACAAGCACCCAGACACCGGTGTCCACCTCTCCCCAAACTAGCAGGACACTGCTGCTGTAAAGGTAGCATACTCAAGCATTGACTCGAAGGAGAGATGAGAGGACCTGAAAGAAGAAAGTTTACGAGTCACAGCGGGGGGAAACAGGGGGGGAACAAAAGACTTATGAGTCAAACTGGAAACCAGGGCGTGCTCGCTTGGCAAGACGCAAAAGATTACGTTGAACTACTGGCTCCAGTTGAATCTCAGTTAACTGCGCAAGTGCATCTGTGAGATATATTCTGGCAGTTTTAATGCTGTTCCATCTGCCCACAAAGCAAACTCGTGAGAGGTCATTGGTGGCCCGAAAGAAATGGGTCGCACCGCCTCGACGGAGCGAGTACCATTGGTACCCCTCAGGAAACTTCAAGTCACTCAGAAGACTTTTAAGACGGGAGCGCATAATTCCGGGGGAAACACTCCGCAAATAATCCCCTGGAGAGAGGGCTGACATGTAGTTAGCCAGTGCCACCACCAGCCAGCTATCGTCAATGACTAAAGATTCCTGAGCTCCGACTCTTTGTCCGCTTTTGGTCAAAGGAAGGGACCAAATGGCCTTGGTCTTGGTGGTATTCCAAGTAAAGTCTCCTCTCTTAGCCATAAAGAGCTCCCCAGACCGCGCAAATCTGTCAAAACCCAAAAGGACGAGGACAGCAAGATCAGACCAGCCTTTGTCAAATGCAGCTTGAGCAAGGGCATAAACCATCACAGGCAGAAACGGTAGAGCACGAGCAGGCAACTCCGCCCTAGTCCAACTCCCATGCAGTCGCCAGGCCCCCACCAAACTTCGCTTGCATTGCGGAACAAAATGCCCCAGGCCAGACAAACAATCGCTAGCATACGACTTAGGGTCCCCATTATGCCACAAAGCTTCAATGAATTCACAAACTTTTGCATCTAGACTTGAAAAGGAAGAAGGATAAGTGAAACCATGACTTCGCAAGAACAGCAAGAAACGTGAAACAGCCTCCAAATATCGATCCCGAGTGTTTTTAGCCACAACCAAGTCTTTTAGACTCCCCAGTGCCTGCCTGTCCTTTTTTCTTTCGACTCGGCCCCGTCGGCCTAAGACCTGTTGTCTAGGCATTGCGACGACGCTTGGCCCATCTACTGGGCCCATCAGCTGGGTTCCACTTGCTCTTGATCCATCCGAGGCAGAGTCGAAAGTGTGCGGCTAGGCATACGGCACTGATGCGGCGTAGGGGACCTTGGAGGGCTCGAGCGGAGCTGCGTCCCTTCGAGAGGCAGCTCATTGCAACTTGGTTGTCCACAAGTGTGATCAAGCGTTGGTCATGATGCTTTGGATCGCGTCCTTGCCGGCGGAGAAGATCAAGGACCGCCACCAACTCCAAGATGTTGATGTGTTGTCCTGGCTCTCTCCATGAGTAGGACATCAAGACTTTCCAAATCCAGTGACTGGGATCAATGCTCTGCCGGCACAGTTCACCAACGGAGTAAGGCATCCCCAAGTCAATCCGGATCTCAGCACCACGGTGTGTCCCATTGCGAGCTAACAAGTAGCTCAGCATCTCTTCGTCTGTCAGCCACTGTTGAGGGTCAATGAATGACCGCAGGGGCGCGACTGGTGATGGCAAGACCCGCTCGAGCAGGCTCACCACCCCAGGAACCCCCGCAGCCACACTTGCAAACCTCACTTTCCAAGGTTTTCCTTCTTGACCAGCTTTGTCTTCCTTGGCTTTCCAGACTTCCCAGAGCATCAGGCTGACATCCTTTCCAACACATTGCTCCGGCTTCAACACCAGGCCCACCAAGAGCCGAGCCACCACCATCGCTGAAAAGGAATTCCCAACCATTTGACCTCTCAGGTCTGCACTGAGCTTGGTTTTGGTATTGAGGTGTGTGGATTGGAAACCCATCATCCGGAGCTGCTCTTCGACTGCAGGCCTTCTGGGCCCATTCTTGTCGGTTACCAGGTTACGAGGCTCATATTGGTAGGGCTGGAGCCTGTAACTGTCTCCGCGCCACCGCTTCAAGGCCTTCTCTGTGGCCTGGTCAAACCCGGCAGGATCTTCTGGAGGGCTCTGTCGAGCGATTGGCCGGGTGAACGTTGCAAACGGCTCTTCAGGTTCGGCCATCTTGGTGGTCCCTTCATTCAGGAACCATGTGAGCGGGGGACGTTCCGTGTCCACCTTGATTTGCTTCACCTGGTAGTTGTGACCTCTCAGAGTTCGCCGCGCGGCGACAGACAGATCATCTCCAGCCACAAGGTCCACCCCTGAAATCCAGTAGAGCCTGGGTCTTCGGCAACGCCCAATCTCAGCAGCCTCAACAAAGTAGGGCGTGTACCCAATCTTCTTGCTTTGGGCTTCGTAATCTGCATCATCCATGACCACATTTTCGAAAATCTCCACTACTTTCCATGGGGGAAGGTGCAACTTCTCTGAGCACGATCCCAACCATCCTCTGATTGCCAACATGTCGTCCAGCAGCTTGCTCGAAGCTCCTTCTGCTCCCTGTCGTCTAGGGTTCAGCACCGAGTGGTTGATGCATGGCCATCCTCCTCCAATGACCACCTTTGTGGCGCGCGGAAATCGCCTTCTCCATTCCAAGACCTGCTCCTCCGTCACGGACTCAATCTTCTGAACCCAGATGACGTGGCGGCAGTGCTGCTTGTATACCTTACAGCACTCAGCCGAGGTATCAATTGCCACCACCCCAGCGGGCTCAAACCCAATCAAATCCAGTGCTTGCTTCAGGCCTCCCATGCCCGCAAAGCATTCGATCACTAGGGCATTCTCAGTAGCGGCTCCCTCCAGTCCATCACGCTCATGACTGAGGCTGTGAAGTCTTGCACTTCCCCAGGGGCTCAGGCCAGTAGTGCAGCAGGCTCCTCCGCCTTCTGGACTCGCGTCTGTCGCATACACTTGGCCTGACACTTTCATCTTGACGTCAAGCCAGTGCATGGGCAGTGAGCAGCATAGCAGCAAGAGCTCGTCGCGACCTTTCTCACTCAAGAGTCGTGGCCTGCTGGCATTCATTTCCACGTACAGCCTGTCAAACAACACTGCCAGCTGCCGGTTGTATTGCACCGAGTGCATGTTCTTTGAAACCACAGACTGCAGATTGGGGGAATCAGTACGGACCTCATCCCCCACCAACAGCCCAAGGTTAGCACTCAGAAGTGCCCGGCGGAAGCTCCGCGAGCTGCCAATCCATCCTTCCTCTCCAGCCACTTCGGCTCCCAAACTGGTCCAGCTGATTGATCCCTCAGCTGCTTTCTTGGGGTCTCTCCCTACAGTCAATTCCTCCATGGTCTCTCGCAATTGGAGTTGTTCATCGGTCGGCTGGCCTTCGTACAGCCCCCGGTCGGTCCTCCAGATGATCTTCAGCTGGTCAAAGTTGTCCACATAGAACGAAAAGAATGATCTGGGAGTTGCCAAAGGTTCCAACGGGCTCGGCTCGCCCATTCGAATAACTTGATTAGGCGCCAAACCTGCCATCTTGGCCATGTTCTCAAAGCCGTCCTGGATAAAGTCCACCACATTGTTCCACCCCATGGGTGCACTCTTCACTCGAGGGTAACCTTTCTCCACCTTTCCATCTTTGAAGGCCTGTCCTGAAGCCATCCTACTCAAACTGAAGAAGGCTCGCCATGCATATCCTGGCCGGTAGATATGAAAGCAGTGTTTCTGGTCCTCAGCGGCACATATGATGATTTCGTCCTCATGCAAGTAGAGGTTCCCCCACAGCGGGGCATAACCCATCTTCTCCGAAGCTCTCACTGGCATGCGTCTCTGGAACGAGTTGCCGGGGATCATGTTGATGATCAATCTCAACGTGCGGAGCCATTCTCCATCCTCCTTCAGCACCCAACTCTTGTGGACGCCAAACGCCCCATTACGAACTGGCTCCCCTCGATACTTGAGGGTCTCTGCCTCAACTTCCCTCTCAAGCATGCCTGCATCTACCAGGTGGCTCACGATCTTGTCCCACTCCTCCTGGCTGGTGACTTGCACCAACGCTGAGGTGCGTGGCCCAATGAGCTCCTCGTCCGGGATACGCAGCAGCGAAGGGTCATCCACATATTCCTTGACCGAGTCGCTCACCACTTCTGACAATGGGATCCTCGCCGCTTCACTCGCACCTGGTGTTGTGGGGAGTATTGCCTCCAATGTCAGAGGATAGGATTTCCCTACGTTGGGTCCTGTGTACATGTCCCCCAATGTCTCAGACGACTTCTCCCAGGTGTCTGCCCTGATCGCATCCTCCTTATCTTCTTCAATCCATTTCTTGCTTAAGCTGTCAAGTCGCTTGATGGATCTTTCCTGGCTCGCAGTAGGTTCCTTCGCATGAAGCATGCACTCAGACAGCATGCGACCACCTGCTCCGTGGCAGTATAGGTGGTTGATCACGAAGCACTGCAGCCAGGTCCATGCCTTCACACCGATTTCCTTTGCCTCACTGTTCAGCTTCCTCCAACTCTCACTGGTCACATCCAAGCGGCCACAGAGGACCTCCTTCACCGCTGCCTCAAAAGCCAGTTCTTCGTCGGTCATGATGGGCATTGGCAATGGGAGTAGCTCCTTTGCCAGTCGGTGAAAGTTCTCCAGAGCGCAGCAAGGAAGGGCACGCGCTAAGTTGCCCAACTCTCCAGGGCGGTCTTGAATGCCGACTTTTAAGACCACCCCCACAAGACTCACCGACAAGCTGAGCCCCAGCCCTCGCCGCATCATCTGCCTCCATGAGACCGGCGTCACGTGCTCTTTTGGAATCAGCCCAAATTCCTGAATCAACCAGTCGGCAGCTCTCAGGTCCTTTGAGCCAACATATAAGTGTTGACCCACCAAAGATATCCTCACTTTTTCCTTATCCAACTGACTGACAAACTCCTGGTGGTAGATTGAGGCACCAAACTCTTATTGAGGCACCAAACTCTTTGTGAGGGGTGCCAACATAAACCCCGTCCTCTCTCTTCCACTCAATGTCAGCAGCTCGCACTTCAATGCCATTCACCAACTTTAGGAGCCGACCTTCCCCAGACCGAGGATCAACCCCGGCCTGAGATTGGTCGACCCCCAAGAGCCGGCAGGCCACTTCCGATGCGGATGGTATCAATTCCTCTCCTAGGAATTGACAGCTGAGCCGCAACTGCTTCTTTACCAGTGCAGGTGGGTCTCCAGCGACATTGGCAATCATCTCAAAGAAATCCTGCTCTATCATCTTCCAGTTTGGGCTCTTGCCCAACGCAAACCTCCTGAGTCGATAGAGCGCCACCACCTCCGGATCCTGCATGAGGCTTCTGACCTTCTCTCGTGTTTCTTCAGACACTTCACATTCATTTAGGGCCCTTTCCATCGCTGGGTATTCTAACCCCCGCCGGGCCGCGGGTGGGCTCACCACCGCTTGCCCTTCTTCCCTTTTCCTCTTCCTTTCTTTCCTTTCCCTTGGCTCTGACCTCCTCCGTTTTCGGGTGGTCCTCCGTCTTTTCCTTCCGCTTCCTTCTTGTCCATGTTCCCCCCCCCTCCGGGGGAGGGATACCAGGCGGCCCTCCTTTTCGGCCATTGGTCCCTCTGCAGCCTCAGGTCGCTCTTGTGCTCTTGCTGGGCTGCCTTCAACTCCTGTCGGAACCAGGCTCGTTGCTCCTCCTCCGGCACAATGAGCTCCAGCAAGTTTGCTTGACTCCATTGGCCCTGAGCTATGAACAGCTCGATGCTCTTCATTCTCTGTACGGCCACGTCGAGTGCACGGAGAGAGTCGTTCATGGCCATGAGATCCACCAGCGTCGCCAACGTACGCAGCTCTCTCAGATTCCGCAGGCCAATCGCTGCTTCTGGATGGCGCACCATGTAGATCTGGCTGAGGTATGCGCGCGCTACCGGCGGCATCTCCTGCTCTGTCTCGGCCGTTCCCCCGCCTATTGAGCGGTTCAGGAGCTCCTGAAAGCGCCGGAGCGTTAGGTCCGCCAGAGCCCCTGGCTTCTCCTGATGCAACCGGTGCAATCGGTCTACTCCCTGTGGCAGGGCGGCCAACTGAAAAAGCGACCCTGAACTCGATGAGGAGGTCTCGTCGTCCCCTGAGTCACTTTCCTCGGAGGACCCCTTGCTAGCTTCCTCCTTTTTGGACTTCCGCTTTTTCTCTGAATCTCTTTTCCGCTTCTTTTTCTTCTTCTTCTTCAGGTCGTCTCCTTTCAGCTTGAGCGCACCCCCGGTAGGTAGCGGTGCCTTCCGCTTATTCAGAACGGCTCGAAGGCCTTCCTCTCGGGCATCCACTGGTGCCTTCTTCTCCTTCCTTTTCTTCTTTTCCTCCTTATCATCGTCGATCTGCCTCTCTCTCTTGTCGCCACGATCTCCTGCAGTTCCAAGTGCTCGAGCCAGCCCTGCAATGCCAGCTTCACCCACCTCCACTTCACCATCAGCTCGGCTCCCACGGCCACCATCCCCACCCCCCACAGCTGGAGAGGCGAGGGCTGGGACCGCAGGCGCCTGCGTGGCGTGGAGTGCCAACAAGCTTTTGGCCTTCTCATTCTTTTCATCGGTCATCCACGGCAGCCTCACGTATGTATCATCCGGCAAGACTCTGAAGACGTCAACGTGGATGGGGTCCCGGTACAGCGTTTGCTCCCCACACCGATGGGCCGCCACCTGACAGAAGTGGAATGGCAGCACCTTCGTGGGGTAATGATTTTGTACCCACCACTCGTAATATCCGTCTTCAATGGCCAGAAAGAATCCTCGCCAGGTTTGACCTTTGCCAGCCTCATCCTCTATGGCGCGGTGCTGCAATTTCACAACACCTCGGCCCTGCTGTCGCCCCGCATCGTCATAGAGGCTCACCTCTACAACAGCGCTGGGTGTCAACCCAAGCCAGTGTTCCTCACCAGCTTTTCGTCCTGTCTTCCGCCAGGGCTCGGGTTCAGCCATCCCGACACCTGGGCCCTTTCACCCGGTACGGACCGGGGTCCAGGTTCCAGATGCCAGGTGACCTTACCTCCACACCTGGCACGTCTTCCTAATTGAAGCTGAGGAAATGCTGCGGATAGGGCGAACATGCCATTCACACTATCATTACGGGGGACCATTAGCTACGATATATTACGATCACTATCATGATTCAATTATGAGTGACAAAAAAACAACAACCAGGTGGCAAACCTATATATCCCTGTAGCCACGGGACAATTGGAGTCTTCAGTTGGTACGCCAGTTGGAGGGCGTTCTTCACCGCAACGCGGTCCTGTTTAGCCACACCCTGGCGGATCATCATCAGCACGTCCTGACGGGGAGGAACAGAAACACACATCTGGATCATCTGCACTTGTTTTTGTGCATTGACGATGATTAACGCCTCTTCCCTGCCACAGTACCTCAATGCCTTAACCTTTCAGCAAACCCATTGCCGCCTTCCCCGGCGGTGGCTGCTGCGCTGGCATGGCCTGAGCTGGCTGCACCGGCACGGCCTGGGGTCGCAGCACGCCAGGCATGGGTGGGAAGCCGGGCCCGGGCATGGACGCCGGCATGCCGCCTGGCATGGCGCCTGGCATGGCACCCATGGGGCCGCCCATAGGGCCGCCCATGGGGCCGCCCATGGGGCCGCCCATGGGGCCGCCCATTGGGCCGCCCATGGGGGGGCCCATGGCGCGCGGGGGCGCCATGGCAGCCATGGGGGGGAACTTGGCAGCGCCAAACATCTCAACTCATCGCAGGGTCCTCGCAGTACCTGAGCTTCCAGTCAACTTTTTGGGTGCCAACTGCAACTTCATATTCATCAAGCCTGCCGATTGGACAGCCAAGTTGCTCTCAACGGTTATTCGCTCATGGCGCATCTTGAGTCTTTGATCCACACGCTGCGTGCTTAAGGAAGTCAGGGACTGGTCAGAAACTATGGAGGTTAGTGCAAACAGCCTGGGAAACAACCAGAATGACAGCCTGCACTGTTTGGATGATCATGTATCATCCATACATATATATATATCATCATGTAACATCATATATCATCATATATCATCACATATCATCATGTATAATCATATATCATCATATATCATCACATATCTTATATCCTATACAATCTTATAAATACATATAAATACTGCTCTTGGTGCCTCCCCCCCAAAAAAAAACTACAGCTGACCCATGCCACCTGCATGCTCTGCGTGCCACCGACATCCTGCGAACTATGGTCACCTCGGCGGGTGATTAATGCTCTGACCTTCCAAAGGTTATCAAAAAGTGCAGCTGTCATAGATTGATATGTTGATAACCTGCCAAGGTTGACTTTTTGTTGCCTTGTTATTGACTTGTTGTTGACTTGCTGTTGACGTACTTTGTTGACTTGTTGACTTGTTCTTGGCTAAAAAATTATTGACTTGTTGACTTGGAAAGGTGCAAGGCATGAAAACATGAAAAGTATCAACAAACGGCTTGTGGGATGTCGGCAGCTCCGCATAACGTTGCATGTGTCCATTGTGACAAGGATAGGACAGAGCTGGCCCCCACCAATGTTCAATTGCTACACATCCAAAAAAACTGGAAAAACACTGGGACATCCCCAAAACCATGGGTTTAAGTCATGGTCTAATGACTGGGATGATGTGGGGCTACCCCCATGCCTTGGGAAATCTCCATTGGAAAAACTAAACCCGAAAGTGGCCAGAATGGCACACTCTCAGCACTTTGCCAAGTTCCTGAGCCAAGCACATCCCAGCATCAGTGCCTGAGATATGCCAGCAGCTCATCGAAACATGGCCAAACCTATGGGCACTTTGTGGCCATCCAATAAGGTTTTTTATCATACTTTGTCATGGTCTATCAAGGGTTTGTTAACCACTGTACCACCATCATTGGAGGGGATCACCTTTGGAGGTTGCCAGAAACATCAATCCAGCTGTTTTTTGTGACTCGTTTTCTGGACATGTCTGGACTACTGGACCTGTGATCTGTATTTGTCCCAGTATTTCCGGGTGTCCTAATGGTTTCCTTCTATGATCAACCCATGCCTGGAGTAGCACTCCATGAGACCCCAGGTGTGGTCACCGCAGCTGGGAAGCCACGCTCTATGATAGAAGATGGGAGCGAAGAAGGCCGAATTCAAGGCCAGGCCAATGGGCCTCGTGAGAGATGACCCGGTCTCTGGGTCTGTGTGGGATTCACCTGCCATAAACCATCCCCATTCATAAATGGATCTATCAATGCGGGGGATTTCAACCATCCCCAAATGATTATCAGAGTGCAACGCTGTGGGTGTTTACTCGTCAATGTTTACAGTGTTTTGTGGTGTTGTTTTTAAATATGATTATCTATCATTACAATCTAAATGCATCCATTATGATGATCACAATCAACTGACGTGTAGAAAAAAGGCAGTACATTTGTGAAAACCGTAAAAATCCATGTTTATCCTGGTTCATCGAAAAAGGATGGGGTAGAGATATATTTCATTTTTATCAAATGATGCATTGAATGCTCATGTTACCCTCTGGTGAACTAACATGGCAATGGAAAATCACCATTTTCAATGGGAAAATCCACTATAAATGGCCATTTTCCATTGCTATGTTAGTTCACCAGAGGATACCACAAAGCCAGGGCATCCCAGGGCTCCGGGCACCAGAGACAAGACCACGACCAGGACCAGTGGATAATGTTTCAGCTTCTGCGCCTGGCAGAACTTAACCACAAAACCACGTTGTGGAAACATGCCCAGCTCGGCCATCCCTAGCTTTTTTTTCTGACGTTTGGGTTCCCAATTTATCGTATAGTATATAATGTTACGTAATATATATATATACCTATAATTATACTATAATTCCCCGTAAACCTGATAGTCTCTGAAGCTCTAGCATGAAAAAGGGTGAAGTGCGCATTGTTCGACAAATCTGACAGTCTGTTTGTGAGCAAATAAGACGCGTCAAGACCACCAAGTAGGGATCATACTCGCGACTTGTCAGGAATTCATCGGCCACCCTTGGTTTTGCCAGGGTTTGTGCTGGAGCCAGTCGCGAAAGTATCGTCTTATTGAATCTTGTTTTTCGTGGAAGTGGAAAGCCAACAAATATTGGATCCTCTCACCCAAATCAGTGTTTCACCATGTTTCACCAGTCTCTGCACTAGTCACTAGATGGGCACAGCATGGCACAGCATGGCACAGCATGGCATGCTTGCACTAGATGGGCACAGCATGGCACAGCTAAATGCTGAGCCCTCTGGCCATTGTGCTGCTCGGTAGGTGGCAAAGCAGCTGGTGGCAAACGTGAGGATGGTGAGAACCTGCTTGGAGCTATGACGGCCCATAGCAACTTCGGCAAAGCCATTATGGTTATTGTCGATAGGCCGATAGGCAATCAACTCAATAGAACTGATAGAACTGTGATATAATTACATACTAGCAGACGCCCTAAGTTACCCCATTTACCCATTAGTTACCCCAACCGCAAGGCACACCGAGTTACCCCAGGGCAGACAGTAGTTACCCCAGGTGTCAAATCCCCAAGGCACAGCGGCTCAGATGCATCATGTTTTGAAGTCGTTGCAAACTTTGAATCATGTTATTAGGTTGCATTTAGCTATGCCCGGAATCAGAATATGGGAAGGTGCGACCTGTCAACTTGGAGTCAAATATCTACCAAACATGATCAAACTCTATATTAGTGGGTGTGCCACACTGTATAACATCAAACCACATCAGTACGCTTTCCGTCGCAGGCGCGGCCCTACGCCCGAGCTTCCAGACCCAAAGCCCCTGTGGCGGACTGGGTCTTCCATACCGCGCTGAGGCCCTGGAACGAACAGCTGTGCATCAATGGGGCAAATGGAAATGATCTTGATGGGTAATATCACCATTTAATGCCATATATATATACATAACTTCCCAGAGACACCATCAAGATCATGTCACAAATGTTTGGTTGATGGATCTTGATGGCCATTCACAGTGGCCATTCTCGAATTTCGTGGGGAATGTGGGGATATCTGTGCATTTCCAAGAAACCACTGCGCAACTTAGTGATTGGAATGACTGTTCAAGTGGCCAACAAGACCGACGCTACTGGCTATATGGTTGGTGGTTTGGAACATTTTTCAATTTTCCATTCAGTTGGGAATTTCATCATCCCAACTGACGAACTCATATTTTTTCAGAGGGGTAGGTATACCACCAGCCAGGAAGTGAACTGCCAACGGTGCGACGGTGATTTCCAATGGCCTGAGTTCCAGTGGCTCGCTTTTCACCATATCTGTGGTGTCACCCTCCACAGCCTTCCAGGGCAAAGTGACCACAGGTCTGTCCCTTGCTGTTGACCGCAAAATGGAAGCTTGTTGAACCTTCAACTATATAGACTATCCTCCCTCCTAGCAAGTGGTGCCTTGTGACAAGATGTGTAATTAATGTGGCTTACCATGATCAAATGAGGTTAATTAATGTTAAGTTAATGTTAACTATAGCCGATCTGATCATGATAAACCGTGATAAACCACACCAAAAAGCTGGATAACTGGATCAACTCCCCCAAAATCACGTGGGATAACCATCTCCCAACCGGGTTCCCTGAGGTCTGGGCCGACACGGGTGGTGCTGCCGCCTTCCGCTTAAATCATCCCATTTTTCTCCCGTCCCATACGACGACAATCACCAAACGTGGAGCTTTAACCTGGTTTCAGCCAGAAAAATAGGTGAAAACTAGGTGAAGATATACTGTAAACCCCATATATATATAAACAAATAAATATAGTTTTTTTTTAAAAAAAAAAACTGACTATGATACATTATGATCAACATCCCCTAAGGCCCTATAGGAAAACCGGGACGGGATTCGTGGTGGATCTCTTTCTCACAGAGAACAAAAAATTGGGCCCGCACCAGCATGGATTGCCAGCTCGGAGCGTAGATGTTGCACCTTAGGCCACGGAACTTTCAACATCCCAGAGGGATCATTCATGGACCCTCTAGAGATACGTCCGGATAAATCAAAATACTTCACCAATCACCTGAATTTTGGGGCGGTTTCGGGATAGTTATCCCTACCCCTCCTTCAAATACATATTAAAAGGATTTAAAAGGGAAAAAAACTGCAGAATTTGCGGCACTTTTCCATTGCCAGGCTACCAAAGGTAGCAGTATTTTCCAGTGGGTTCCTGAGGTGTCAGCCACTCTGGAATCTTCCGTTCTCGTTCGTCACAGAGTTTCGGGGAAGTGGAATCACCACTGCATCGGTACCTGCCGTGAATGAAGATCAACGATGTCATTGGATCATTGGGATAGTCCCGAAAACCCTTGTAGCGCATCGTGACCTTCAGAGAATGCTGGAACATACCTGAAAATACAGCCCATTAGCCCAGTGAACGGAACGGCCGCACGTGCACCTGCACCTGCAAACAACATATCTTGCATCGCATACATTGCATGCCATGAACAAGTTTTTCATCTTATGGACATCATGATACATCATGAAGATTCATGAAGTATAGGATTTATCGTACAGGTCTCACAGGTTTAAGTCGTCAGCCCCTTGAAATCAGCAACTCTCGGGTCCTTGTGTTTTTTGTTCCCATCGCTGCAAATTTCTGAAGGTCTGCCCTATGGCTCACTTCCCTGCGTTGGAGTTGGGCCCGCGCTTCGGGCCACTCTTCACCACACTGACCTGGGCCCCTAACGTGACCGTAACGTGCTAAAACTTAGACTTCAACCGAAAACCTTTGAAAACCCATGTTGGCCATTGTTGGCCCAGCTACTCAGTTCCTGAGGAAAAAAAAACTTGAGTCCATTTCCATGGCCCCGAAGGTGTGACCAACAAACGACAGCCGAGCCAAGGGACGAAGCGTCGGTTGTACACGAAACGCTTCTTGGCACGACCGGTGAGTTTCTTCTTCTTCTCAGCTTTGGCCACCTGCCAGCTCTGACACACCACTTCTCAATGCGGAAAAAGAATCACTCTGATTCCGCTGAGATGGTGCCTCGGTGAATGGTGTCTTTCGACCATTTTCTATCAAGAGTCCCATGACGAGGCTTTTGTTCTCAGTGTCTTCTCCCAATGTCATAGTGGGAGACCACATTTTCATACATTTTCATACATTTTCCTCGTTTGGGTTTCATCCAAGCAGCAAGCCTCTCACCCTAGAAAACTACACAAATATGTTCCATTGACATCATGAATGGCAACTGCCACTTCTAGCAGCCCCGCCTTTGGGGTCTGATTCTTCACCTTTCCGGCGCGTGCCAAACTGCCGTGCACCTTTCCCATGGCCGCCAGAGATGTGTCGGAAAGCAGGCGGCGTGGCGCGAAACGCGTTGCGCGATGTATGGGTCCTGGAAATGGACAGGTTTGAGCCGACCGTTTCGGTGATGCATCTTTTCCAAAGCCCCGCAGTCGGCCATGAAGGTGCCATTTGCAGTGAGATGAAACTGATGGAACCTTGATTTATGAATATATTTATAAGTGGTTTAAAATTTTCGTACGGTATACACAGCGGTTTTGGATTCATGAAGAATCTGTCCTAAAAACCTGGTATTTATATGTATTTATGATCATCCCCAGGAAGTCACCGCAAGTGGACACTCTGAGCAGGTCGCACCATGCGATGAAGCATTCCATCCTCTCAGCCTGGACATCGATGGATGGCTGTCGGAATCTGTCGGACATGGAGGCGCTGGCGATGGCTGCCGATGTATTCGCTGAACAGAGAGTTTTCCAACCAACAAATTAAGGATATCACTGACATCATCCATTCAGATCCATTCAGTGCAAATGAATGCGAATGAAAGTGCCCAAAACACCATAATACACATCACCATACACCAAAAACCAGCTCATTCTGCCGTTCCATGGGTCCAGAAAATGGATGCAAAAGGATGGATAGTCTACACTGGCAATGGAACACATGCCTTTATAGATGACTTTCTGAGTGTGAAAATTGGGATTTCACATTGACAGGTGCTATCAGGAGCTATTTCCATCCTGTTATGAACTCACTAGTGCAAACCCCCAACAGTTGACATAACCTTGACTTGGTTCTTGAAGATCTACTATTTTCTGGAGCGCATTTTGGAGTTCCATGTGGGGTTGTCTCAAATTTTGCCAAAACATGGCTCGTCATCATTTTCAAACCTACTAGTACGATACAAATTTTGGGGCATCTTTCATTCTTGGTGAACTCTGCACCCTTCCCAGCCCTGGCGTCCCCAACCAAGCTCGCGGAAGCTTCACTCAGGAGCCCTTGCGCTTCAGCCTCAACGCTGCACCCAGTGCACCCTGTGCCAGCTGCACCAGCTGCGGCAGCTGGGTTTCCCAACGCATTCTGCAGGACTGCATCCCATCGCCAAGGACACTTGTGCGAAGGAGTTGGACCTTGGAAGCTGGCGTTGCCTGGGACTAGGCTGGGAGATTGTGGAAAATGGGGTTCTACTTCCCGATGTTTCCCGATTAGCTGATTAGCATAAAACATCGTTTCATTTGCCACTGTCACAGGGTACCCTGCAAAGTGGATTCGATGAATTCGTCCTTACCCACAACAGCAGATCAGGTGTTGGCGTCTCTGACGACAGTGGATCAATGGTGGTCATTAACCTGCGTTCCAACTATACCCTGCGATCTGCGGTAGTGTGATATGGCACTGACAAATCCCAAAAATTGACACCGAACAAACTTCTGGCGTGGACATCAATCTCTATAGTTTAAAACCCCAAGAGCTGCCAGCTTCACCCGCGCTGCTAAATGCATCAATTGTTTTTGTTCTTGGGATCAAGTTTCTCCGCCTGAGCCTGCAATGGCTGACTGAGAAAGAGAAACGTGGTGCTCAGGCTTCCAAACACATCCAAACACCATAGCTTCAAAAGGGTCCTGCCCATTCGGAACTTCGGTGATGAAACCTGATATTGTCCTCAAAATCAACACAGAAACAACAAAACAATTCAGTGGCAGCCACAACAGTACTCACTGAGGAAGTGCTGAAGGTGACACTGCTGTCTGATAGGATTTGCAGCAGCACTATCGAGCACAAAAGACGTTAACACATCAGCCCACCCTGACACAGCTTCTGTCTTCGGTATGGCAAAAAAGATCAAACAAGGCGAGCAGTCATCCCTTCCATTCCCTATCATCATCCTGTGATCAACTGGTCTGTGTTGTTCATACTTCTTCAAAAACGCATTCAATCAACTGTAGGCCACCCAGACTTCAAGGGAAAAAAACAACCAAGTGGATGTACATCAGCAAGGGATTGTATTATCAACAAGTTGCTGGGCAATCCCCTCTATAACACATAATATATATATAATAAACTTAAAAATTACAACAAGAATAAAAACACACTCATAACAATACAAACAACAATAACATCAATAATAGTAAGATTTCTATACTTACGCACACATGCACACACACAACATCACACAACTCTATATATATATACATATATATATAAACACACTATACATATCTAACATGCATCACCAAGGGTGGGATGAATCACCAAACAGCGCCCAAAGCTAAGGCGGAGATGGAACAATCTTCACCACATCCTTGGCTCGCCTCGGTTCAGCTCGGTTCACTGCTTCCCCAATGACTATGATGGTGATGTCTTACTTTACCCTCTGGTAAACAGCCACATAACTATGGAAAATCACCATTTTTAATGGGAAAATCCACTATAAATAGCCATGTTCAATAGCTATGTTAAATTACCAGAGGGTATATTATGATGGTGATGTCTTACTTTATATTATCAATGGCCATTTCAGGAACCTGAATCGGAGGTACCTACCATACATAAGGCCGAAAAAAAAGACCTATGTAAGGCCTATGTAAGGGAATATCCCCCCAAAATATGGCCTTATATGGTACAGTACCTCCATTTTAGGATCCTGAAATTCCCATTGATATCATGGAGGTTTCCTAAAATGGGAGTACCCCCAGTTACAGTATCATCCAGCCATTGGGGATCCCCCATTTGAAGAAACCCACATATTGTCACATATGTTTATATTTTTGAATATACATATTATATATATATACACAGTATATATGTAATGTATATTCAATTATATGACACAATATAAGTTAATTAATAACAATTTATCTTATATAGTAACCTTATATAGCAACCTCCCAAAGAATAGGAAAGTCAAATACCTGGCAAATTAGTTGCATTCACATCCCCCCTTCATATCAAACACCTTTGAAACTTTAAACATTTAAATTCTATGGTCCCACAATGGTCCCACAATCCCCTATTAAAAACCCTATGGTTTCTGAGTGCTCAATTTTTTCGGGGGACGGGATTCATTGAGGTGGCTGCCCGGACTCGCGAGTCCGATCGAGTCCGGGCGTCCGGGAAAGCCAAGATGACGATGATGATGATGATTAATGATTAATGTTGTTATGATGGGGATGATGAGGATCATGATGATGAGGATCATCATGATGATGATGATGATGATGATGATGATTTTGATATCTTCTTGAAATCCTATGAGAAGCCCTAATGAGTGTATGGTTAATTCATGTTAATTCCATATGATATGTAGAAACAACATGTTCTGGTTATATGATACATGTAGAAGCAACACTGGTTAACACCCTAGCAACATAATTGAACATAAAATCCCTTCCGTTGTTTGATGTCGTACAAAATTCCCTGGTATTTGCGCTATTCTGGGCTGCCGGGCAAACCTTGGGGTCTGTGTGTAATGATGTGCAATGTTAGCATGTTTTTGTCAGGATCGGCTCAAACTTGGCACAAACCAAAGCTCCATCGGCG